AAAAAAAATTTAAAAAAAAAAAAAAAAAAAAAGGGTGAAGGAACGATTTCTCTGGCCAACTGTCGATTGTCCCTCTCTCTTGGCTCTTTGTTTCGCTTATTATTCAAAAAGTGTCACTCTTGCGGCGCTGTTGCATGCAGAGCCATGCTTGCCGACTCAGCGCGTGTCTCAGCTTGAAGTTGCCTCAGCTTGGACCAGTTGCGTAGAACTCTGGGTCATGCTCGCATATTCCTTCTTTGTGCAGCTGTCGAAACGGGCCGTGACTCGCTGCATTGCTTTTGGGTTGCTTATTTGCTTTGCGGATCGTGCTGCTGCCGATGTTGCTGCTAGCTCCTTCGTCTCTCCTTCCTCCCCCTCCCTCTGTTGTCTGACAGCTCTCACTCGATTCCGTTCCGCTTCTGCCCAGACCCCTCTGTTTTGCCGCCGCCGTTGCCGGTGTCGTGCTCGGATTGGCAGCGTCGGAGCTCTGTTTTGAGTTTTGGTCGAGCAATCCCACAGGCTTGGGTGCATCTTTGCCATCTACCGTCTCTTGTCTTTCGTCTCTTGTCTCTCTCTCTCCTCGCCTCTTGCTGTCATCTGCGACAACCCCATCCGGTCTGCTCCCTCGTTTGTCATCTCCAGACATCCGATTCGGCTCTCCCGCTGTATGCATTCCAGCTCAGCTCGCTGCCACGCTCAGACATCGCCTCGACCCGACTCGACTCAGCTCGACTGGACTGGTCTGGAACGGAGCAGCCGCCGCTTTCAGTCAACACCTCTCGACGTGGGCTCGCTCCCTCCTTTCCTTACCACCACATCCCGCAACCTCAGCCTATATATCGCCGCTAGCTCTCAATCGCCAGCATACTCCCGCCCGCACCTTTCTCGTCAGAACGATCGGACATCCTCCTATTCGCCTCTAGATCCCTCTCCGGGACCTGCGCCGCCATTCGACTGCACCTTCAACGTGCTGACGGACATCTCGACTTCCCTCGGCACTATCCAGCTAGCTCTTCATACCCGACATACCCGCCGAGATCTCTCTCATCTCCCATCGGCAAACGATCGCAGATCTGGATAGCTATCCAACGGCCACCTCCGAACCGCAGCCCACCTTTCATCTCGCGTCCTCCGACCTCATCACTCATCCTTGCGATTGTTCGTGCCTCGAAGCTCGCCCTCTTCCTATTCCGCGGTCTTTGCGCTTTTACGATCGATCCCACCGGTTCGACGCTGGCAACCTCATCCACGGATATTGTGAGTCACCCACCTCCCTTTATGCGCTTGTCCCTTGTCCCCTTTGGCCCAAATCGACGCGCCTCTTGCGCTGCCTTTGTCTTTCGACCGCGTGCTTCGGTGGCCTTCATTCCGGCCATCGCCGAGGTTGGATACCTTGCTCCGTCGACACCGTCTTACGGTCTTTTGTCCTTCGGGACTCGCGACCCGGATGCCTCAAGCTCGGCGAGGTGGGCGTGCTTCTTGACGAGCTGCATCCGAGACAAAGCTTGGCATCGTCGGCGCCCGCCAATGCATTGATGGCATCCAAATGAAGCCCACAACTTTGTTCGGCTAAGTGCTCTCGTGGCAGCTGGCAGTAGATGTCGTCCCGCCGCAGTCGCAACCACCGCGCGCGCCGCATGCACGCGGTCCCTTGTCGTAACCACACGACCGCGTTTGGCATTGTCGTATTGCGCCTTTGTTGCCTGTATGCGCCCATCTCGTCTGACAGCTTCCCATGGCACGCTAGCAACTTCGATTGTGTCCAGCGCTCTCCCTCCCTCGTCTTCCCATTGTTGTCCAGAGTTCATCCGCTAACATGCTTGGTTCATCTCTGATCTGCCTCTCCGTTGAAATTGGCCGGTGTCGATCGATTTCGCCGTTCGCTGTGCCGTCCTTCTCTCTTCGCCCTCCTCCTTCCCCCTTCTGCAAATGTGGACCCACCGCCTGGGTCGGTTTCCTCCCTATGGTGCCTCGTTCTACTTCATATATGCGTGCAGACCCTCACGACTCTGGACCTTATCTCGGGTGTCTCGACGCAACCTCCCACGTAGTCGTTTCATCAGCCTTCCGCCAAGCTTTTCGGCTCTTCATTTGCTGTCGCCCTCTCGACGTGCATACATAGCCTTGCTAACCTTGTTGGTTGCCGATCAGCCAACCTTGTTCCCACCTGCACAACGCAACAACCTGTTGTAGCGCCAACCGCGGCTAAATCTCCCGTAGAAGATCAAGACCACGCTTTTCATTGCGGTCCTTCTTGTCGAGGTCGTGCGGAAATCGATACCCGCCCTTCTCCTTGCCCCTCCAAAACCTCCGGCCTGTCTGCTTTCTGACGGGTCGGTTTTGGTACGCCTCGGATCGATTGCACCACTCTAGCGGGTGTGCGTTTTTACTCGGTACCACTTCATATCCCCGCCGCCCTTCTCCTTGTTTACGCTGGCTGCAGGCCCTTGCTTGCTAGTCTGCTCGGCTTGCTCTCGGTTCAGCTCTTGGCTATATACTGCCAGCCACCCGCATTCGCGTCGTTGACGTGTGAACGCATCTCGCATCACTCTGACCAGGTCGATCTTCCTTCGTCCTTCATCTGCAAGAAAGCTTTTCTCCGAGGTTGTCCCGGTAGACGTCTGCGGCTTTCAGGTACACCAACATCTCGTCACATCTACGCAGTGACGGCAACCGCATAAGATAGAACGCGTTTGCGCCTTTTCTCTCTTCAGCTTCTCGAATCTCAACAAAGCACGACGCGCATCGACGCCGCTGAAGATCCTTTGACGTCGCTCGTTATCAACGTCGTTCCTCAAAATCACCTCCTGCCCCACCGCAGGAACAGTCAATGGCCGTGGCACAGCGTCACGACGGAGTCGGCCAGTACGGCTTCGGTCAGCACTACACCACCATGACGCCGCCGTCGTCGTTCAACAACTTTGGCTACGACCGCCGGCCCAAGACGGAGGATCCCGCCGAGCCGCTCTGGCCGGTGCCGAGGGTTCAGCAGCAGCCACCTCAGCAGGGGCCTGCGAGCGAGAGGTCGTCGATTACTGGAAGCCTGCCTTCTGACTTTGGTCGAGGGCCACCTCATCAGAGCAACTACACATATGACGGAGCGTCGTCTGCGATGCGCAACCCGGTGGTGTACAGTCAGCCCGCGCCCGTTGGGTGGGGTCTGGGTGGACCGTCGTCGGCTCACTATGCGGAGTATCCTACCGCGTCCTACATGGCGCCGCTGGGCCAGCGGGCGCTGCCACCGATGCAGGGCTCGACTTACCTCGGCGCGACCAACGGTGCACCGTACGGCGACTCGTCCCTTTACCCGGATGCCTACCCCAAAGTGATGGGCGGGCCCGCGCCCATGGGTGGCCCCTACGACCACAACGCCGAGACAATGTGGCCGCTCGGCCCCAACTCTCTCGACGCCTTCGCCGGCATGCCCGCTCCCTCGGGCCAGATTGCGCGCCTCACGCTCACCTCCGCCGCAGACAAGGGCAAGCTCAAGGCGCGCACCACCCTGCCCCCGCCCAAACAGTTCAAGTGTTCCGCGTGCGACGCCATCTTCAGCCGCAACCACGACCTCAAGCGACATGCGCGCATCCACCTCGCGGTCAAACCCTTCCCCTGCGGCTACTGCGACAAGGCCTTCAGTCGCAAGGACGCGCTCAAGCGCCATGTGCTGGTCAAGGGCTGCGGGATTGGCAACAAGAAGAGCGGCGATAACCGCAAGCGTGCTGCGACACTGTCCAAGTTGGAGGGGAGCGACGGACCGAGTGCTAGTCGACCACCGTACGATGGTGTTCCATCGGACACAAGAGGCTTCCGTGAATACAACCAGCCGGGTGCGCAGACGAGCTGGCCCTCTACATTGACCGACGCTACCGTAGGTGGTGGTGGGGACTACACCTCGCCGCGCATGGACGAGCGGGGACAGATGCAATTGAACCAGGGCTACTCGCAGAACTACGGGTTCATGAGTGGAGAGGGTTTCCCGCAGCAGCAGAGGCAGCAGCTGGCAGGTGGACTCGTGAACGCCTTCACCAGCCCAGCGGGTACCTCGGCCAGCTCGCCGACCGAGTCCCAGCCTCGATATGCGGTCAGCGGCGTTGGTGAGGAGGCCAAGTCCTCGCTCGCCGCTGCCAACTTTGCCCCCGCGCCACCTAGCGTCGGCGGTCTAGGACTGGCAGTCGCCGGCATAGCCAACGACCAGCCTGCCTTCGGCGTCGACAACGAGGGCAAGCGATTTGGTGGCAACTTCGCCCAGCAGCCGCCTATGCTCAGTCCACCTATCGCAGACGATCCGACGGTGCTCAAGAGACACCACCAGCAGTCTCAGCAGCAGCAACAGCAGCAACCATTCGGGGGCTTCCTCGGCAACAACGCCCACTAGCTCACCTCCTAGCATGAACACTTGCCATTCCAAGCTTGCGTCGCCGATACGCAGCATACACGCGCTCGTCCAGCATGTAAACCCGTCTTGTAATACTCGCATATGTCTCTCCCTCGCACCCTATCGTCGTGCACATCGAGACAGTGTGGTCGACGACTCCGTTCCCTTTTCCGCTCATTCCTGAGCGCATACCCCTTTCTTTTTTGATCTGCAATCCGAATGCTGTCTTAGTCACAGTCCCATTTCTTGCCAGAGCGACGCGTGTGAATGTCACCTCCTGCCTGATGTGTGTTCTTGGTCTCCTAAGTGACGGTGGTGTCTCTGTGACCGTGTTTGACGACGGTGGTGACAGCCCACGGTCTTACCCTCCACGAGAAGTGAAATCAGACGTCTGAAATATATTTGCAACGCCGTCAATCTGCCGGATATACCGGTTTCTTGGCGCAGTTGGTTAGCGCGTCTCCTTAACAGATTTCGCATTGAAACGTTAGGGCTTACGGAGGAGGTCGCCGGTTCGAACCCGGCAGAAATCATTTTTGGCTCGCTCAGCTGCTCACGACGACGGTTACATGCTGAGCGGCGATCTTTTGCTTCGTGTATCCATGGATGTCTCGAAATTTGCTCGTCACAACAGGACAAGAGGGGGAGGGAGAAGGCCGGTTTGAAGAACGGTAGGAGGGTTAATAAATTCGCAAATAGACGGAAAAAAAAATGCTGGAAAAGAAAAGAGAGATGCAAAAAGAAATTGACCAGCCTGGGGCTCGAACCCAGAATCTCCTGATTAAACTGCCTTCAGTATGGGATTTACCACACAGAGTCATCGTAGTCAGACGCCTTACCATTGGGCCAACCGGCCAAGATGCGGTTGCATTCCTACGTTGCGTATATGTTCCGCCTTGTTTGCTATCATCACTTTGATTGTCGGCGAGCACACTAGATGAAGATGCATGCCGTTTCATGCTGTGGCGGGGATGTGGACAGGCAGGCGTGCGGCATGCGCGCCCCGTCCAAACATGCGACTGCGCAAGATGGGGGCACTCAGAGATGCAACGTGCCCAGAAGCGAGTCCGTCCTGACGCATCGCAAGTCTAATAGGATCCACTCAGCTCAGGATGTCCTGCTTCAGCTCACACTCGCATGCGCACACGTCTGGGATGATGGAGCTTTTGGAACGAGGACAAACCCTTCTGCAATTTGCGCTCTTTTGATTCATGCCAACGACTACATGCTCACCACCGGTCTCCTCCTTCGAGCCGGGCTCTTTAGGCGGTGATCTTCTTCAGAATGGCCTCCTCGCACTCCGTAGTGGTAGCCGAGCCGCCGAGGTCGGGAGTCAAGTACTTGCCCTCGCGAATGACGGCGTCGACGGCGGTGTAGATCTTGAGTGCCGGGTCGGTGTAGCCCATGTACTCGAGCATGAGCGCGGCGGAGCGGATCGAGGCGATGGGGTTGGCCTTGCCCTGGCCTGCAATGTCCGGTGCGGAACCGTGCACCGGCTCACCCTGCGTAGCACCAAAGTCAAGTGTATACGGTTAGTTGCGATCATCGATATCCTGGAAAGGGGAAGGGTGGAACGTACCATGAAAAAGTTGTCTCCGGCATTGACACTCGGAACCAAGCCCAGACTGCCAACCAGCGCAGCAGCGGCATCGCTTACGATATCGCCGTACAGATTGGGTGCCACGACGACATCAAACACCTCGGGCTCGCGGAAGAGACGGTAGACCATCGAGTCGACCAGCTGCTCGTTGAGCTTGATCCCCTCGTACCTGCCTGCGCCGCCGTTGTCCTTGGCGTCCTTCTCGTACACCCCGCGGACGGAGGTGCGGAAGAGCCCGTCGGTGACGCTGAGCACGTTCGACTTGTGGCAGATCGTGACGGTGGGGGTGTAGTTGGGCTGGGTGGTGCGGCGAAGCTCCTGACGAGCGAGAGCGACTTCGAAGGCTTTCTTGCCGATTCGGGTCGAGGCTTTCTCGGTGATTTGGCGGATCGCGCGAGCGACTTGGCCATCGGGGCCCGACTCGGAGGTCTCGGATTTGATGTACTGCGAGCATCACAAAGGTAGGCATCAGCAACATCGCTCACATAACCCTGCCTTGGCAGTGGGGTGATGAACTTACCAAGCACTCCGTGTTCTCCCGAATGATAACACTATCAACAAACTTCTCATCGTCCTTGGTACCCCTCACGCCAACCACGGGTCGGATGTTGGCATACAAATCCAGCTCCTTCCTGAGCTTGACGATGGGCGAGCTATAGCCGTCGACCTTGTGGCTGGGGCTCGAGACGGAACCGAACATGGCGCCGTGGCAATCGTTCTTGAGTGCCTTGACGGTCTCCTCGGGCAATGCGCTGCCGGTCTTCTGGAAGTGCTCAAAGCCTGCGTCGAGGTGGACGAATTCGAACTTGGGCGCTCCTGGGGTGTTCTGCAAAACGCGTTGCGCACACGGAAGCACTTCCCGCCCAATGCCGTCCGCCGGCATCATGCCCAGCCGCAGCACTTTGGCCGAGGCGTTCTTGAGGATTTGAGCCGCTGTAGATGTCATTTTGAAGGTTGAAGGTGGGGTAAGGTGGTGATGGTGAAAAGGTAGAACGGGGACACGAGCCAACTGTTGCTTGTGAGTAAAATCAGCGAGTCACGGCAATTTCCCGAAGCTCCCATCTGCTTTCTTCTCAAGCAGCTGCCTGCGCCGATGCGTAGGGGGTGTGCGGGATGAAAGCAGGTCAAAAGAATGGGATAGCTACAATAATGTGTGCAATACTTGTCCCCGCCCACAACAAAGGCCGGTTGGCCCAATGGTAAGGCGTCTGACTACGATCCCGTCCGTGGTTTCATCCACCCTTAAGAGAGGCGCCAGGTATAATCAGGAGATTCTGGGTTCGAGCCCCAGGCTGGTCACATTATTTTTTTTTGCTCCTTCAAACCCTTGCCTTGTCAAAACCTGTTTGTTCGAGACCGGTCTGTCTGCACGCTTCTGCTGCTTCGATCTGCTCAATCATTCCTTCTGGGTCGCCTCACAATCAGAACACAGGGTCGAGAAATGAATGCTATTGTAGACGCTCTTTCAGGAGCTACAGGTGAAATGTATGCACAAGGTCGAAAGGCGGCACCGCTCACTTTCGGATAGCGTAGGCAGTGTCGCGATCCGAACCAGCCTGACCCCTCTCGCTGAGGCCGAGACCGTATCGGCGCAGGCGAATAGCCTGAACCGTAATAAACCCGCTGGTGGCGGCCGAGTCGAAGCCACCCTGCTCGTCCATCGAGGTGAACTTCTCATCGTAGAGCAACTCCTCGGAGCTTCGGCCCTCGACGATAACATTGCCCTTGTACAGCGCGAGCTTGACCTGGCCATTGACGGTCTTTTGCGACTGCGGGATGCACGAGCGGACAAACTCGCATTCGGGCGAAAAGAAGAAGCCGTAGTAGAGCTGTTCCGAGAACTTTTGGGTGATGACCTGGTCGCGGATGCGACGCACCTCGCGGTCGAGCGTGAGACCCTCGAGGTCCAAGTGGGCGGCACGGAGGATGGTCGCACCGGGCGACTCGTAGCAGCCTCGCGACTTGACGCCGATGAAGCGGTTCTCGACAATGTCGATACGGCCAATGCCGTGTTCGCGAGCGAGCGCGTTGAGGGTGAGGAAAACGTCAACCGGGTCTGTGTGCTCCTTGCCCGTCGAACCAACCTTGACCTTGGACGGGATACCCTGCTTGAACTCGATCACGATGCGCTCCGGGGTGTCGGGCGCCGACTCGGGGCTCTTGGTGAGCTTCCACATATCGGCGGGAGGCGTGGTGTTTGGGTCCTCGAGGATACCGGCCTCGTACGAGATGTGGAAGAGGTTCTCGTCGGTCGACCACGGCTTGGCCTTGGTCTGGGTGACGGGGATGCCCTTGGACTCGGCGTACTCGAGCAATGCCGATCGGCCAGCAAACTTGTTGAAGAACTCGGGGATTCGCCACGGGGCGATGACCTTGATGTCGGGCTTGAGACCGTAAAAGGCGAGCTCGAAGCGCACCTGGTCGTTGCCCTTGCCGGTGCAGCCGTGCGAGACGTACTGACAGCCGGTCTGCTCGGCAGCCTCGATCATGCCACGGGCAATGACGGGACGGGCGAGCGAGGTGCCGAGCAGATAGACGTCCTCGTAGATGGCGTTGGCCTGGACGGCGGGGAAGATGAGCTCCTCGATGAACTCGCGCTTGAGGTCGGCGAGGATGAAGTCCTTGGCACCGCACTTGAGCGCCTTGGAGCGAGCCGCCTCGAAGTCCTCCTCCTGACCGACGTCGGCCATGAAGGCAATGACATCGTAGCCCTCGTCAATGAGCCATGCGAGGATAGTGGACGTGTCTGTCGGAGGCCAAGCAAGAAGCCAAGTCGCAGTCGCGTGTGGGCATGGCGGTTATCATGGTCACGCGGGCATCCAGCGCAGCGACGACGGCAACATTGACAAGCCAGCAATGAAATGCATCGCCAGAAGCAGTGTGCATTGCGCAGGTCGAGCGAGGATGATCGGGATAGCGACGGGTCCGTTCGGGAACAAATTTGGCGGCGGCGCACGGTCAGGGACCGACCACGGGAAAAATTCCAAAGGGGGGCGCGAAAAAAATTTCGAGTCACGCGAAGGGCGGGCGAAAAGCGCAAGGCAAATCGCAAATCGTCGGTCGTAGGGATACGAGTTGTAGCAGAAGAGGCAGATGGTATGGTCAGCGATGGTGTCGATGAGGTAGCAATGCGGCGTTGCGCAGGGTCCAGCGATCTCGGTCGACAGCTGTCCAACATGGCCCGAACCCCGCACGAGGAGGGACAAGCAGGCGATGACAGCTGCGTCAATGAAGTCGCTTCCGGAATGGTTCCCGGACTACTTACCGAGTCCACCAGAGTAGGCCAAAAGCACCTTTCCGGTCTGTCCTGGCATGTTGTGCAGCGGTTGTGGATGCGAAGGTGTGCGTTTCGTAGCTTTGAGATCTCGAAGGATGAAGTGACAATGTGACTCAATTGACAAGGAGTCGACTTGAGTTATGTGTGATGGTGGTGGTGGTGGTTGATCTGGAAGAAAGTGGGTGGCTCGACTGATAAGGCTCTCTCTGCGCTTCTTGGAGCACAAGCCAGCCGTCCCTCCAGGCAAACTCAATTCTTCCAAAACCCTTTTTTTCCCGTTCAAATTGCCAGACTCGCCTGAAAGCCGCGTGTTCAAGTCGCCGTGCAAGGCGCAAATCTGCCTCGGCTGCACCTCTGACTCGTCTGCAGCAAAAAAGCTCGTCTCTTTTGGTTGGTCGAACATCCTCATCCGAGATGATCTACCTGGCATCCCGCCATACATACGGCGAAAGCGGCACCCCTTCGCGCTTCCACATTTCCTTCCCTGGTCAATCGGTGAGTGTTCCATACTTCATCCAAAGGCAGTCCAGGCAGGTGTTTGTCGAACAAAAAGCGGCAAAAATGATTTCTGCCGGGTTCGAACCGGCGACCTCCTCCGTAAGCCCTAACGATCTGAGAGACCAGAATTGTTAAGGAGACGCGCTAACCAACTGCGCCAAGAAACCTATATACATCAATATCCCTGCATTGCGTATATATAGTAATAATTCGTGCATCGATTGAGCTCTCTTCTCGCTGCTCGCTGCCATCCTTCGTTTCAGATCAGTCACGCAACATCCGCAGCGCCGCTTCACGCAATCACACGAGGTACACGGTCAGCTTTCTGAGCATTGACAGTCGCTTGTATTGCAGTCGTGCCATGGAAACTTCTTACAGCTTGCTGTTGGGGCGTGCGATTCACTTCTCAGAGAGCTCCTTGACACCTGGCAGGGTCTTGCCCTCGAGCAGCTCGAGCGAAGCACCACCACCGGTCGAGCAGTGCGAGATGCCCTCCTCGGCGCCGTACTTGGCTACGACGGTAGCAGTGTCACCACCACCGACGATAACAGTCGAACCGTTCTTCTCGGCCTCGAGGCAGGCGTCGAGCATGGCCTTGGAGCCGCCGGCAAAGTTGTCAAACTCAAAGACACCAGCGGGGCCGTTCCAGAGGATGGTCTTGGCTTTGACGATGGTCTCGTGGAACTTCTTGCGCGACTGCTCGCCGGCGTCGAGACCCATCCAGCCATCGGGGATGCCTTCCGAGTCGGTAGCGGACCCGGTCTGGGCGTCCTTGGCAAACTTGTCGGCGGTGACGTAGTCGACGGGGAAGACGAGCTCGACGTTGTTCTTCTTGGCCTTCTCGACGAGCTCGGCAACCTTTTTGGATCCGTCCTCGTCAAAGAGCGAGGTGCCGATCTTGACATTGTCGAGCGTCTTCTTGAAGGTGAAGGCCATACCACCGCAGATGATGAGCGAGTTGACCTTGTCGAGCATGTTGTCGATGAGCTGGATCTTGTCCGACACCTTGGCACCGCCGAGGATGGCGAGGAAGGGTCGCTCGGGGCTCTCGAGCGCCTTGGCAAAGAACTCGAGCTCCTTCTTCATGAGGAAACCGGCAGCGCGCTGAGGCAGCTGGACACCGACCATGGACGAGTGAGCACGGTGAGCGGTACCAAAGGCATCGTTGATGTAGACGTCACCGAGCTTGGTGAGGCTGGCACGGAACTCCTCGACCTTCTTGGGGTCGGCCTTGACCTTTTCGCCGGACTCGTCCTTGCCCTTGCCCTCCTCCTCGACGTGGTATCGGAGGTTCTCGAGCAAGAAAATCTTGCCGCCAGAAGCAGACTCGACGGCCTTCTCGGTCTCGGGGCCAACACAGTCGGGGAGGAACTCGACATCCTTGTTGAGCAGCTTCGAGACCTCGGCGGCGACGGGCTTGAGCGAGTACTTGGGAACGGGCTTGCCATCAGGACGGCCCATGTGCGACATGAGCACGACGGCCTTGGCCTGCTGCTCGATAGCATACTTGATGGTGGGGAGGGCAGCGACGATACGCTGGTTGTTGGTGATCTTGTCGCCGTCCATAGGGACGTTGAAGTCGACACGGATCAGGACCTTCTTGTCCTTGAGATCGACATCGGTAATGCCAAGCTTGCTAGAGAGAGACATGTTTGCGGAAGTGTTCTTGGATGAAGGATATGTATGAGGGATGGTGACGGATGTGGTGGAAAGAAGAGTCGATACGAAGAACGCACGGCAGGTTACGGGTCCAAACGCTTCCACACACGAGCCAGAGCTGTGGGCGGAAAGATGCGAGACAGCTGCCAGATCGTGAAAAGGCGTTGAGAAGTGGAGCAACAGCGCAGCACCGTGCGCAAAAATGGTCTCCCGATCCAGCCTTTTGGCTTCGATTTTCTTCTTTTTCCTCTTTATCGATGTTGAGAAGGGCGGGGCTCATCGCCCTTTGCTTGGCTCTGGTTTTGTTGGGCTGCCATACTGGATCGCTCGATCTGCTTTGGCCACATCGGGCTCAGGGTCTGCTTCGGAAGTCGGTTTAGAAGATTCACCAAGCCTGGGTTTTTTCGAGCAGCTTTCGCTTGTGTTGCATGACCCACTGAACACCACGCAGCGCTCCTTGACCTTCTCCATCAGCTCTCTTCCTGGCCTCTGTTGCAACGGCGTCAGCTTCTGAATCGGAAACCATGTCCGATCCCTCTCAACAGCCTTCGGGCTCCTCGTCGTCTGGTCAGGCCAACGATGGCGCGCCTCCGAGCCGCACAAGCGGACGACCGCTTCGAGGCATGCCTGCTTTGCGCGGCGCACCCTCATTGCGCGGAGCATCCACACGCAGCGCTTCAGGCGCATCTATGGTGCCATCGAGATCCTCGTATGCTTCTCCTGCTCCCGGTGCACCAGGTGCCGCAGGTCCAGGGTCAGGCACCCGTATGTCATTCCGCCCTGTCATGCCACAGCGTCGCAAAGCATCCGAATCTCCCGCGCCAACGTCCGCCGCTGCAGCCGAGACCGCATCCGCAACACCATTGTCCACACCACTCACAAGAAGTGGTAGTCGAGGTCGGGGTCGCGGCGGCGCCCGCCCACCAAGACAAGCAGCGCAGATGACAGCGTCTGGACCGTTCGCTCTGGGTCCATCGACGCGGGCTGCCGGAAAGAAGGTCGCTCCAACAGGTCCGGGAGGCTCCAGTCTCACCCCGTCTGGCAGCAAAGACCCAAGCACAAGCAGCACCTCAACTAAGGCGGATCCCGACAGAGCCGCGTATCGCAATCCAGATAAGCTCAAAGACGCAGAGCAGTACTCGGATCCAGAGGATGGCGGCGTGGAGATTGTCGACATGGACGAGGTCCACATTTTGGACGATCTCGCACCTCGTGCGCTTCCCAGGGTCGCAGAGAAGGAGACCAAGAAGGACAAGCAAAAAGCTGCGACGGCTCGGCAGAAGAAGATGGAGGGACGCATGCTCAAGGATGAGCGCGAGGCCGGCGGTTCGGCCGTGCGTGTCAAGTCGGAGGATGACGATGATGCGATGGGAGAGCTCGATCCGAGGTCAGCATCTGTTCTGAGCGCTTCAGCGACGCCACAGCCGGGGGATGGGCCGCAAGTCAACAGCGCCGATGCGTTGGATCTCAGCGAGAGCGAAGGTGAAGAGCTTATGGACGATCTCGTGGACGACTTTGTCTTTCATGATGACGATGATGCCAATCCCGAAAACCGGCTCTATCTGTTCCAATTCCCCCAGCTCTTCCCCAAGTTTAGGGCGCTCAAGGCGAACAAGGCAGACGCTACGGACGCAGCAGCCACTGCGGAGCCCTCAACAGCAGCAGTCACCGGCAAGCGGCGCACCGTCTCCTTCGCCGAAGGCACCGCCGGAGGAGCAGGTCAAGCCGTCAAGGACGAACTACCCAGCTCCGAAATCGACTCCGATGCCGATTCAGCCATCGACTCTGCCGACGAAGACAAGAAGACCAAACTCACTACGAATAACCAACATGAGGGCCTCGTGGGCAAGCTGGACGTCTACCGTGACGGCCGCGTCTTCCTCCGCTTCGGCGAGCTTGTCATGGAAGTCACGGGTGGTTCTCAGAGCACATTCTTGCAGCAGGTGATGCTGTTGGATCCGAGCAACCGGACAGCGACGAGTCTGGGAGAGCTGCATAGGAAGTTCATCGTTAGTCCCGAGCTGGATTGCATGCTGAACGATATCAAGCTGCATGACGAGGAGGAGAGGGCGAAGGAGGACAAGAGACGAGAGGAGGAGCAGAGGAAGATCGAGGCCGAGAGGGCCAAGTATGGCGGTGGGATTGGGGGCGTTGGCGGGAGGTGATTTGTGGAGCAGCGCAATGCAATCCATTCACGCCTTCTCAATATGTCACGCACATGCACACAGTCCGTCTGTGCAATCAATTGAAGTATTGCATTCTTCTGTGACAACCCATCAATCCGATTCATCTTCGTCGTCCTCATCATCGTCCTCATCCGAGCTCTCCTGGCTCTCCAAGATGTACCTGATCACTTCCTCCGCTGCCTTCCTCAGCGCCAAGTTCTTCTCGCCACCCACCTCCTCCGCTGTCACCCTACTCAGTGGACTCTTCCACCAACCCACAATGTTCTCCTCGCTAATCACATCATCGTTGTAGAACTTCTTGAGCAGCGGGATGAAGATCTTGTAGTACTTGGCGTGACTTGCGCAGAAGTTCTGCACCGTTGCCAGGGCCTCGATCTGATCGTCGACGGCAACGACCGAGATGAGCGGGCACCACTTGTCGAGCACCTTGAGCATCTCTTTCGGCTGGTCCGGTTCGCACTTGGTGAGGATGAAACCGATGACGGTCTTGCGCACCTCTTTGAGCGGCACGTTGGAGGCCATGCGGAGCGTCTTGAGTTCGATCGCGGCATCGTCGACCGTGTGGTTCTCTTCGAAGGCGCGCTCGAGCGAGGCGGTGGCTTCCGAGCGGAACTCGTTGAGACGCTTGACCGCGGCTTGCTTTTCGACGTTGGTCTCGCCATCGAGCATCATCGACTCGCCGAGCATGTCGTCGTCCGAGGAGGACAGCGAGTCGTCTGTGGCGAGGTCAGAGGCGTCTTCATCGTCCGAGTCGTCCGAATCACGCCCAACACCGACTGACGAGACGTCGGAAAGAGCGTCAGAGAGCTGCATGTCTTCCAGATCGGCGCCGAGTCGCATGAGCCGCAAATTGTGCGAACGCTCAATCACGTCAACTTCGTCTTCATCCTCGTCGGAGGCGTCCGAATCGTCATCGATTTCGCCCTTGGCTGCCTTGTCACCCAGCGCTGGCCACAAGAAGCCGACGCTTTGGGCTCCGAGCTCCTTCGAAAAGGCATCCTTGCCTTCCACTGCCGTCCGTGACGCGGCATCGCTGGCTCGCAAAGAGTCGTCCTGGTCCTCTTCTTCACTGTCGCTGTCAAAATCGTCGGCTCTGTACTTCTTGTTGGCTATCCTGCTAAAAGCAGCAAGCTCGACATTGGGACCGACCACACAGCCGTCGGCGACAATGCAGCCCTTGTTGATCTTAACACCGTCGAGAATTCTGACATTCTTGCCGATGATACTGCGCTCGATCGTACAGTCGGCACCGATGGCGGCATTGTCCCAGATGTACGAGCCAGAGATGGCGGTGCGGCTGGCGACCTTGACGTTGGATCCGAGGACAGACTGCTGGAGGGAGGCCTTGTCACCGATCTCGGACTGCGAGCCTACGAGGGTATGCGTGCCGAGCTGGCACGTGCGGCTCAGCACGACGTTGTCGCCGAGGAAGCGAAGACCAGATCGTGGGTTGTATCGTTGACCGCCGGGAAGGTAACCAGCTGGTCCGAGTGGGTACGTCCACTGACCAATGACATCTCTGCTGATGGCGTCGTAGTCAGCCGGCGACTTGACACGGGCTGCGTACCCACGGCCGTACGTGGATGTGCCGACCGTCTCTGGGAACGAAGAGCTGGCGACTTGAACGGAGGATGCAGGCGGACCCGTTGGCGCAACGTGGATGAAGATTTTGCTGTCGAGCAGATCAGAGGTGAGAATACCGAGCACAAAGTCGTGACGCAACGTCTGGTAGTCGAAGTTCTCCGAGAAGAGAGGTGGCACATCTGCCGAGCAAATGTCGATGCCGCAATCGACAAGGTCATTTCGGATGTCGACTTCAGCTCCACGAGAGAGGGAGTTGGTGGTGGCAGCCGCGTCTTCGTCGAACACCTCGAGGGGCAAAGTGGTGGTCCTGAGCCTGGGTGCTGCGGGCACGGGTGCGTAGTGGACGAGCTGCGAGGTGTGAGGCTCAACAAAGAAGAGCGAGAGATTGCCTGGAGCGCGTGTCCTGCTTCGCTTGCCGACAGGCATGGTGCAGATGGTCATGATGGCGTCCTTGTCTCTTTTTCTGCGACGCTTGTGTGCATCGACAATGCTGTCGAGATCCATGCTGGCAACCGAATCGGCGTGAATGAGGATGAAGTCGGATCGAATGATTTGCTTGCTATCGAGCTCACGCATTACATCTCCGAGCGATTGGGCATCGGGAGTGGCAATGACGGTGATCTTAGGCAGCGAGTACCTTGCGGAAGACGATGCGAGATGTTTCTTGATCTGATCCGAAAAGCGGCTGGCGAGGATGAAGATCTCCTCCACTTCGGCAAGCGCGAGGTTCTCCAAAGTCCAGTCGAGTAGAGGCACATTGCATAGTGGCAGAAGACAAGCTGGCTTGTCGGTGGTCAAAGGATGCAATCGTTTCGAGAAGGCGTCGGCGAGCACGACAGCTTGCAATGGCTCTCGCTGCAGATCTTCCTCCCTGTTGTGTTGCGACTTGGGTTTGGACGAAGCGCCTCCACCTGTGGCCTTTCCGCCTCCCTTTGCGGATGATTTGGGCGGCATGCTGTGAGAGCTGAGAAGCGGGCGGGAGTGATCGGTGGTGATGACGATGAAAGGAACGAGAAGTCACACACAGACCACACGTGATTTGCCCTCCTCTTCTGCTCCACAAAGCTCTTCTGCAAGGAAACTTTTTTTCAGAAGAAATGAGCCAAATTGGACCCTTTGCGCACCCAAAACTGAGCCTTTTCAAGTCAGAAGAAACGGCGGCACAGGCCAACATCCTTCTCCGCCAAAGCAAAAGCTTTCATTGTCAGAGCAAACCTTGTCTGCGGACCTTCTTCCCTCTCTACCGTATCATCCCAAGCATACACAAGCAGATTGACTTCAGATCGAACAGATCGCAAACCGTCTCCAGCTCGAGGCGTGATCAGCATGGCGCCTAGGAAGAAGAGGGCATCCGCCGCCTTAGCCTCTCCCCCTGACGCTCCAATGAGCGCATTGGCAGCTCGCAAGGCTCGCGAGCAAGCGCAAGCGGAGGCAACCTATGCAGAGATCCCCAGCGGGGCATCAACGTCTCGTTCGTCGCGTCGTTCGAGCTCACGTCACGAGCCACCTCCGTCAGAAGACGAAGTGCAAGAAGTCTCCGTCGAGATTCCGTTGCCAACATCATCGCAAGACGCCTCGTTCCAGGCCAGCATTCGTTCGTCTGCCGAACAGGCCTCCACCTCTTTGAAGAGATCACGCCGATCCTCTGGAGCGACCGTGCCAGATCCAGCGTCCATCGCTGCATCTAGACCACGCAGGAACTCAACGGTGGCCAGCGCTGGTCCAAGCACACCCCGCCCTGCGACGTCAAGAGCGGGAAAGCCGAGTAAGACACCTCAGAGCGCGGTCCGCATCGGCAAAACAAAGAGCACATCAGGTATCAGCAACAGAGACGAAGCCCAGCAGAGTGCATACATGGACGATAGCGATGACGACTCGGACTTGGACCGAGACGTTCGAGCGATCTTGGCGGAGTTCGGTCTGCGAGGAGACGAAGCATCAGAGGCAGAACAGCCGACAGCGGCGAAGCGTGCCAAGCAAGTGCCGGAGACTCGCACTCCGCTCAAGTCGCGCTCAAGTGCTGCAGCCCAAGCCGGATCGTCCTCAAGGTCAAAGCGCACACCAGCGAAGCCCAAGGCAGCCGAGGAAGCGCCTGCAGTCAAAACGCCACCAAAGAAGGCGTCAGCAAGCAAGACGTCCGCCAAGCAAGCTGCTTCCGCAACTTCGGTGAAGAGCAAAGCTAAAGCCAAGGACTCACATGCAACCAGCACGGAATCAAAGAAAAAGGTCCTCAGTGAGGACTCGATTCGCGTCAGGGATGCCAAGCGCTACTTCGCCAAGGTGGCAAAACAGCAAGGCAAGACGCACGTCGGTCCGTCAGCTATGCCTATCGAGGACGAAGCCACGGGCTTCCTCGCTTTTGGAGACGATGATGACGACGGGTCGGACGCAGCAGTCAGCGTCGAAGATGGAGATCAGGACGAGGCCGCAGGAATCGAGAATCCGGACTCGGAGAACTCTTCTGAAGGTGAAGACGCCGCCGAAGACAGAGCTAGTGCCCCCAGCACACCAAAGCGCAGGGCAATTGCCTTCGATAGGAGTCACCGTTCCCCGACGCAAAACGGCAAAAGACCCGAGAAGAACGCGCGGAAGATTGTTCTCGACTTTGACGAAGATGAAGAGGAGGAGCAAGTTGACCAAGAGCAGCACGCAAGCTTGGACGAGATCGCGGCAACCACTCCCGCGCTCACTCGCGAAGCACTTTTGGATGCCGTGCCCTACTCTAAGTTCTCCCCTGTGCTCGAGGGAGAAGGGAAGAACATCCACGTTGTCGAGAATAAGCGCAAACGGGGGAAAGAAGCGCTCTATTTCGGCCTGCGACACGGCGAGACCCTCGTCTTTCTTGGCATTGGTCATGTAGAGGTTCTGCACGGCTGTGTTCAGATGGGCGGTGCAGTCTTGTCCTCCAACGCGACAGGAATCAAAGCTGCTGACGTGTTCGCTCCCATCAGCAACCCGCTTCCGATCCTCAAATCGATCTCGGCAGCGCAGTACACTGGGCAGAGTGCAGCTCTTGGTGTCTCGCAGAGTACTGCTAGTGTCGACAGCGACTCTGGCGTGGATAGCATTTTCGACAGCGTATTCGACAGCATCGTCAAAGTGACGCCTCTCTCTTCCCCTATCACAGCACTCGGTGGAGCCTGTCCCATCGGAGGTCTCGCCACGCCCTTTTCCGCATCGCCTAGCCTCGTGCTCAACAATGACGTTCATCAGCTCGCCACGATCAAGGTGTTGCTCGCACCGCCAGTCGACGAGCTCGTACAGAGGCAGAAGAGCCTCGCAGGTAACGGCGCCTTCTCCACTGCCGGTCTCACCGCCACATACATCCCTCACAAATGGCAGCTCGCCCTGCACAGCCTGTCAGCATCGGCACTGTCAGCAGCACAGCATCCGCAGGAGGAGTCCGTCGTTGCCCTCATTCGCGGCAATAAGAAGGTTGGAAAGAGTACTTTCAGCCGGATGGCCCTCGAGCGATTGCTGTCCATGGGCACGGTCGTGGGAGGGAAAGTAGCCTATCTCGAGCTCGATGTGGGTCAGAGCGACTTCGGACCACCAGGTATCGTGGCGCTGCATGTCTTCAGTCTCGACGACAATGTTCAAGGCGAGGCCGCGGAAGAGAAGGAAAGCGATGGCGCCGACCATGCCACCGAGAATGGACCCGAATCAAATGGGTTAGAGGCGGTGCCGCGCATGGTCGGGTCCAACGTCCCTCACAGCTGCATCAATGTTGGCCCTGGCTGGTGCCAGCCACGTGTGCCACTTCGCGCACACTTCATTGGCGACGTCTCTCCTCGAGATGACCCGGAAAGCTACGTCGCTGCTGTGCACGACTTGGTCGAGTATTTCCGCGAGCATGTCCAGCCAGGACAGTCTCACGCGAGCAACGATCCGCACCGAGTTCCACTCATTGTCAACACGCAAGGCTGGGTCAAGGGTCTGGGCGCCGATCTGGCTGCACGCCTCGAGCCTGTGCTGCGACCCACCCACATCTTTGACGTCATTCCTCGAGGCGCGTCCGATGCCGTTCCTCCACCAACTCGTGGGCAGCCTTGGCTCGATGCAGAAGGCGCCATCCTCGGCTCCGGGCCAGAGATCATCACTCTGGAGAGCGTGTCGCAGTTGGAGTACGTGCAGGGTGCATTCGGGCCGCAGCGAGACAGCAACGGCAGCTTCAAGCATCGCGAATCGCAGAACGGCGCTTCAAGGGCGGCCGACGACAAGAATGGACCAGGTGACGGAGGCTCTGATCCCCCTCGCTACATCACCGAAGTCGGATCGAAGCTGGCCGCCGCCGAGTCTCGATTGCTCAACATAATGAGCTACCTGTACGCAACGCAGCTAGCCCCTGCTGGTCCTACAAATGGCTTCGGGGTTCAAGGTGCTTGGGACTTCCGCGAGCCGCTAGTGCACCGTCCTCCCCTGGTCATCGATGTTGAGCAGGGACTCAAGGCAGGTATCCGAGTTCTGACGTTTGGATCGTCGGTGCCAGACAGCCACAAGCTCATGGCTCTCGACTCGTCGATCGTCGCCATTGTCGTCACGGACAGCAGCAATGCGCGACAGGATCTGGAAGAAGATCTGGAAAGTGGAGAGCAAGGCGGGACCACTGACGTGTGGAGACAAGCTTTCGAGCGAGCTGCTCATCTCTCCGAGTCGGGTCGTCCGCTCACGAAGCGCTGTATTGGTCTCGGTATCGTCCGCTCGATCGATCCCGCTTCTGGTCAGATCCATCTTCTGACTCCACTGGATCCGGCGTACCTGCAGGAACTTCAGTCGTCCACCGGCGCCAGCATCGGGCTCGTCAAAGGCGCACTCGACTTGCCTGTCTGGGCCTCGCTCGACTACGAAACCATCCAAGAGGCGCGGGAGAGCAGGCTCGACGTGCCACCTGCGATCCACGACGCCACCTCCTCCTCCAACGGCGCAGCCAGCAACGGTGACGAGGTGACCGCAGGGCAGCAGCTTCTCGCAGGCATGCCTCGCAACAAAGTGCCTTATCTTGAATGGCCTCACTCCGGCAACGTCTCGTCTCGTCACAAGGGCAAGCACGCCGCTGCCAACGGCAGCGCAAGCATCATCCAGCTCGGCTCGGAGAAGCGTCGCGTGCGTCGCAACCTCATGCGCAAGAGTCAATTTGTTTAGACGCCTTCCCACTTGTATGAAAATCGAAGCCGCACCACGCGCTTTCAGAGCATTATCAAACTTAAGCATTGTATAACCACAGCCCGGCGTTGCAGAGTGACCGAGATCGTGGCTTAGACAGAGGGAGGTGGACGAAGAGCAAGAACGACGAAGGGAAAAGAAATGCAAAAAGTATGAACCCAACCCGATTTGAACGGATGACCTTCGGAATTTTCCTGAACATAGAGCGACTGGAAGCCGACGCTCTACCGCTGAGCTATGGGTCCACAGCGCGTCATGCCACCATTTGCATGCACATATATACAGTGCCTCGATCCTCAACAAATGGCTGTTACCGACTGTCTCTTCCGACGATCTTGCCACACACACCTTCTCGACCCCGCAATTCGATGTCTATGTTACCATTGATGAGAGTCAAAGCTACGCCTGCTTACACAGTTCTCTGCCAGAACGCACCTGTGCGTTGCAGAGCGACACCTGCAGGGGCATACTGATGATGCTTGCGGCTAGGATGCCCAGACTGTCGCCGAAGCCTACGCAGCCAATGCGAAACTCGTGCTCCTGTGCCTTTTTGGCTAGTCTATACGTCTCGTCCTCGTCCTCTGCCCCCGACGGGGGATGGGGATGAGCATCGACGCCGATGCTGTAAAATACAGAGACGTAGGCTGCACCGCCGGCGAGACCCTCGATGCAGATCAGAACGATGACCAAGGGGCTGACTATGCTCGTGCGAAACCATGCGTACAGACTCTCGGTGGTGAGAATCGCTAGTAGGGAGGTTTGAAGGATCGCAGGTAGCCACAGGAGCGACCGTGGGATAGCCGGTAGGTGGAAGATCGATATCGACGACCGCGAGAGGAACACGAATGTCTGATAGACCAGCTGATACAGCGGATAGTAGTCGGTCAGCTTGCGGATGATGTGCGCGAGCAAAGGGTGGTTGGATGGTGTAGGGAGTGGGTATATGAGCGTTGGTGCGACGCCTTGGTTGATGGTGTATTCGGCAAAGTAGACCGTGACGAGCGGCAGGATGTAAGGGAGGAGCATTGGGCGTAAGAGAGACATCTTTTCGGCGAAGCTGAGGCGGATTGTGGCGGGATCTGGCGTAGAGGGATGGACGAGAGGCGTAGAGTCGTCCGCGTCGGCATCGAGGTCGTCTTGGGACGTTCTATCATCGTCTGTTGAAACGGGTACGTACTCGCCCCCCTTCCCGCCGCCTTCCAGTAGCTGCTCGACGGAGGGGAGCACCACGGTGTATGCAAGCACCATGAATCCCGGCAGCACGCTCAGTATCGCCATCCCCGTTTGGACGCCCAGTGGCCTCACGACCCACCACGCTCCCGCTCCCACAAGCCCCGCTGCTCCAGTCCCGCTCGCAAACCACCCCACTGCATCGCCCGCAAAGTTGGTCTCCAATCCGGCCCCGGCCAGCTCCACCTCGCTCAGTCCGCTCCTTCTCCCTCCGCTCCGCTTGGGCGCATACCGCGTGCTCAGCTGCAAAAACGTCAGCTCGCCCAATCCCGACGAGAAGCTCGCCAGGCTGATGCCGAACAAGCGCATCGTCAACGCCGGAAAGAAGGACACCAGGAGCATGCCGACAAAGCTCAACGCTGCGCAGCTCCATACTCGCTTCGTATAGCGCACCTCTCCTTTGAGGAGGTATGGCCAGACCGCTTTGGCGATGAGCGCAGGGAAGATGTTGGCGAAGCTGACGAGGCCCGTCGGCACGCCCTGGGGAAGCAGCTCGAGCGCAGCGGTAAGGATGACTACGTAGAGCGAGTTATTGAGTAGACCGAAGAGGAAGAATGCGATGTTGAGGCGGAGCGAGGTGCGTTTGGCGGAGGGCGAGACGGAAGGATGGTTCGGGCCTGCCCGCGGTGTGGTTGAGGGTGCGACCATCTCGTTGGAGGGTATGGAGGCAGGCGTCAGACTACGGGGCGTGGAGCGAGATGAGTGCAGGGGATGGTCGCCTTGGATTCGGCGAAGTTCCACCGCTTCGATCGCGACCATGCATGCACGCTGCTGTGTGAGGAGGGTACACTGACGAGGCTCGTGTGGCCTGCTGCGCTCTCTGTCGCGGCTGTGACCAGGTACAGGGCCAGAGTTCTGCCCGTCGGTCTTGCGCTGCGTGTCCGCGTCGGGCAGCTATGCGCGCACTGGCGAGCGCGTATGAGGGAATGCCGGTCGGACGGTGCTGAGTTGGTGGTATGTGACGGAGGATGATGTGAGGTGTGAGGTGAAACGGCGTTTGATGCAAAGGCTGGCAAGTGCGTCTTGCACCCTGAAATGTCCAAGGCTCGTGTCGATTTTCCGGTTGTCACGACCGAGCTCCTCATCGAGCATCAAATTCGGATGGCTCACCACCTTTAGAGGCATCAGACAGGTGACCTCCTCCTCGAGCGGGCTTACAGCCAGTGTAATACACAGCTGAAGACGTTGAATGTATGAGACCGTTGCGATTGGAACAGAGTGAAGCTGAATCTAGTGTGTGGGCGTGAGGGGATAGCTGCAGGCAGGGCAACGCCATCAATCCCTTCGCAAATTGTCGAGACGAGCCTGAAGAGCATCCTCATCCTTGCCTCCTCCACCGCCGAAGCCTCCTCCTGCACCCTCTCCAATCGCGACACGCTGCTGTGGTGCTGCCTGCGGTGCCGACAGTGCAGCTGTAGGAGCCTCTCCCAACTGCTGACCCACCGAGACCCCAATCTCATCGAGCACCTCCTTCAAGATGTTGTCCGACTCCTCCTCCTCTCCCACTCCTTCGTCCTCGTCGTCCATCGCCTCATCCACAGCTTCGCCCATCATCTCGTCCTTCATATCCATGGTTGCGCTCTCCCTCTCGAAATCCCGCATGATCTTTTGAATCTGGGGCAGGTTCATGCTCCTGTTCATGGTGCCCATCGCCCGTGTTGCGCCCTTCATCGCCTCGGCCATTTGCTGGTTGCTCCGCAACGTCTGAATCCGCAACGATACAGCCTGAAGCTGCGTCTTCATCTGGTAGAATTTGTGGATGTGTCGACGTGTGCGCACGAGGTCTTTGGCCATGACCTTGCAAGCGGGCATCTGACCAGCACGCGCAGACTTCTTGATGTCCTGCGTAAGCTTCTTTTCTTGTTGTTCGAGCTTTGTGCGTTCACGATCGAGCTCACGTTGCGCTTTTTGAAGCGTGCGCTGATGCTGCCGCAAACGCTCGGCCGGCGACTTGGTGCGGCCAAAGAGAGATTCGACGATGTTCATGTTGAGTGATCTGCGGGTGGATGACTAGTGAAGCTGCGGCGAGTGAAAGCAAAGACGGACGCTGGCTTTGTACGACGGCTGATCCGATCGATGTGATTGATGCCAGGTGTGTGATCGAGGTGATAGTGGATGAGGTGATGAAGGTCAAGAAGAGAGAGATAGGTCGGAACGTGTTGCAATCGGTGCATCCGGCTGTGCTGGAGTGGAGTTGTTGGAGAGAGAAAGAGCAACACACTCCGACACGGCCGATGATGATGGGCTGCTGCAGCTCAGCTTGGACCCTCTCGCCAAAATCACACAAAAATAAGCCTGCCTGTGGCTCTGTGCGTGTCTGCGTGTCGGATCCAAGACTCGGCTGTCACACAGACTCAGTCCTTCCAACGGGAACGTCGAAGCTGGCCTCTTCCTTCTAGTGCAAGGCACACGCTAGCGTCGAGATCAAGGCTCGATCATCATCTCGACATCGACACCGCAGCTGGACGCCAGGATACTCTCTGCAACATTCTTGTGCAGACACTGACCACGTCAGTCTGCCGCTCCGGTGCTGCCTTCTCCTTACGATTGGGTGGTGTACATCCCAGCTCCGCACAGCTAGCTAAGATACTGATCTGCTCTTCGAGCATACGTGCCGTCCTGCCATATGGCCTATCGCTAAAGTACTGCATCAGTCATGGCTTCGCTTATACCGCCAAAGAAGCCTCGCAAGCCGGGCATGCCCAAGCTCAGCATTCCAGCCAGGCCAACCTCCTCTTCATCAGCACCCGGCGGCTCGTTTCAACGCGATGATACTTTGTTCGACACTCCTGCTGCCGCGACTACAGAGGGCAGGCCTCATCTTCAACTGCAAACACAGAATTCACAACGGCCGCAGCCTTCACTGATGATCCCGCAGGCCTCCTCGTCCTCCCTCTCCTTGGGCGGCCACGGATACCAAGATGAAGGCTACGATGACGGTCATCCTGGCGTGCTCAACGCGAGCGCCAACACCATCTATCCGGACACTGTGCCGCATCTCACGAATGCGCAGATGCAGAGCGCCATTACAGACGACCTGCGGCGCGCCATCGGCGGCATGTCCATGACCGATTCCGAGGGCGAGCGTCTCGACGCCAACGGACTCAGGATACCTGTCACGGGCTCGAACGGATACTGGATGACCAATGACTCGGCGAGCGGCAGCAACAGTGGTAACAGCCGCTCTTCCAATACGGGCAGCTCAGAGGCAGGCGGCGTCGAAGCTTCATCACAAGCATCTTACAATCGCGCCAGGGCAGATTCAAGTGCTTCGACAGCATCGAATCGAGCCAGCACGTCAGGAGGGCACGATGATGAACTCGTCCTGGCAGGCAACTTCGAGATCCTCTCTCGGCTCGGTGAAGGTGCAAGTGGCGAGGTGCACAAAGTTCGACATCGCCCTACAGGACTGATCATGGCGAAAAAGACCATGTCCACTTCGCCCAACCCGGCCATTCACCGACAGATCCTTCGCGAGCTCGCCTTCAACCGCTCCTGTCACTCGGACTACATCGTGCGCTACTATGGCGCTTTCCTTGAAGACCAAGATACATCGATTGCGATCTGCATGGAGTACGCAGAAGCAGGCTCGCTGGATGCCATCTACAAGAAGGTCAAGAGCCGCAACGGTCGGACGGGCGAAAAGGTGCTAGGCAAAGTAGCCGAGTGTGTGCTGAAAGGCCTGAGCTACTTGCACGAACGCAAGATCATTCACCGCGACATCAAGCCCAGCAACATCGTCGTGACGCGCGAGGGTCAGATCAAGCTGTGCGACTTCGGCGTGTCCGGCGAGCTGATCAATTCGGTCGCTGGCACCTTCACAGGGACAAGCTACTACATGGCACCCGAGCGCATTCGAGGTCTAGCCTATACCATCACGTCCGATGTCTGGTCGCTGGGTTTGACCATCTTGGAAGTGGCAAGCAATCGCTTTCCTTTCCCAGCCGAGGGCGAGCCTCCACTGGGACCCATCGATCTGCTCTCGTACGTGGTCACCATGAAGGTACCCGAGCTGCAGGACGACGAAAAGGCAGGCGTCAAGTGGTCTCGAGCTTTGCGTGATTTCATCGAGCGCTGTCTGGAGAAGGAGCCGACGAAGCGTCCTGGACCACACAAGATGATCAGCCACCCGTTCATTCGCAAGTCGGAGACGCGACAGCCGCAGCCTGACATTGCCAAATTTGTGGCTGATATCTACGGCTGGAGCTATCTGCCTTCGTCGATTGCGAGCCAGCAGCAGCAGACACCGACGCAGGCGACGTCGACGGGCACGTCGTTGGGTAGAATCCCGAGCGTGCGGTCTGCACCGGTAGCTGCGGCTGCTCTGGCGGCGGCGACGGGCCAGCAGCCGAGGCAGTCAGTAACGCCACAGGGCCTGACCATGTCACGGACGTCATCACTCGGGGCATCACCGTCTCTCACGCCGGTCGGACAAGAACCTACACAAAGTGGGAGGCTGCGTGCTCTGCCAAAGATCTCCCTTGCAGTCGATGGCGGACGCTCACATCAGCAGCCAGAGGAGCCGGCAGCCGAATCAGCTGCTGTCGCTCCTTCGTTCGGGGCAAGGCCGAGATCCAGCAGTCAGCATCGAAGTCAAGAGGAACGACTAGCGGCTAGGATGCGAGAGGCTGACGTGGGATTGGTAGGCAGCCCGACGACCACGACTGATGAGGACGAGGCGGGACGTGCTTAGACTGTCACAACCTCGTTCCGCTAGATGCATGAGCCTCAGTGATATGATTGCTGCAATGTCTTTCGACGTCTCTCGATACCATGTCTGTGGCGCAGTGAGGCCTCATGAGCGAGTCCGGTCGGGTGATGTTGGCAAGATCTTGAATTCTCAGTTTTCGCCGTTGTCCGGGCCAAATTTTTCGAAATGCAGCGTGGCAGCAGGAACTGAGCCAAAAAGAGAGCTGCGTGTGAAAAGCGGATGGACAAGGTTGATCCGCCGCTCGCAAACGGAACCGAGGCGAACCCCACATTTCCACGCTTTCATAGTCGGTGTCACGCTAGCCCTTCTTGCGTTTCGGAACAACCGCCATCATCACCTCAAGCACGGTCGTTTCTGCTTGATCTTCGACCCTCGGCATCAATCAGCTTTCTCACGCCTCGTCACGTTTCGGAGGGATTGCCGAAGTAGGCTGTTAACAGCGGCAAGTCGAAGTGGCTGAAAGGGACCGTCAACCGGATCATCCGACTTAGCACTCTGACCACAGAAGACCATTACGAACAGCTCTTGCATACTTGCTCAAGGCTTCACTTGAAGTACGCATGGTCCATGTCTGGAGCGATAAAGGCTCTTCACCTCCGGTCAACGTCGCTGCTAGGTAGTCAATCCGACGCCTCAAGCGAGCTGCGTGCCTAGACGCTCAGCTCGTCGCTCCCTAGCACCACCACCACATCACCACAGCATACCCGCCATGTCGTTCGCGATACCGCATCCACCCACAGCCTCGGCCTCGTCCGATTCAGGCTCCTCTGCATCGCTCACTCCCACCGCTGCGCATGGCTACACCAGCAACACTGGCTTCTCAGATCCCTCGACCTCAGCCAACGCCTCCGCAGCCCCCGAGTCCACCTCGCTGTTCAGCTCGGAAGAGTCCAAGTTCATCACCGACTCGCTCTCCTCGGCTGAATCCTTCGATCCATTCACCATCGGCGCGCCCGGCTTCAAAGTGCCGTCCCTCCTTCCGCCCAACATTGCATCTACGCACGATCACCTCGCGTCCTCGTCCACTGGTCCTGCCGCTCCAGCGATCCCTGCGTCCAATCTCGATCTGAGGACAAGGAGCTTGTCTGGACAGCAGCAGCCATACAGCACCTCCTCGCCAGGCAACTCGGCGGATGCGTTCAGCACTGCCCAACGTCTCAACAGCTTCAACCTCTACGGGCATCGTCCAACGGGGGCGACACCACCGGCGGCGTCAGGTAGCAGCCCGTCCTACTTCAGCCATCTTCAAGACGGCGGGTACTATGGACCGGGCCGACACGCTTCTTTCTCGGGAGCCTCTTTGCCGTTGTCGCCGGCAGCGGTGGCCGCGGGGTATGGAAAGAACAAGGCGTGGCAGATGGAGCAGCTGTCGTTCCTCGAGGCGCAAGCAAATCGCGGGGGCCAGCAGCAGCAGCAGTTTGGCGGTGCGCCACCATACGCCGGTGGTGTGCAGGACATTCGTCGCGGTAGCACATCGATGATTGGTCGAGCGAGTCCGTACGATAATCTGTTCTTTGGCACCCCACAGCATGTGTTGCTCCAACAACAGCAGCAACAGCAGCATCAGATGGAGCAGCAGCAAGGGAGGCCGTTCTATCCAGGAATGGAGGTGCCGCAACAGCAGCCGAGCCTGGGCATGCTCGGAGCGCACTTTCCGAGCAGCCACAACTTTGGCTCGCTCCAACAGGCGCCACCATCTCAACCGGGGATGGGGCAAGACCTGCCATCCGGATTCTCAGCGCAGGCGCTGGCGATGTTGAACGGCGATGCGGGGTTAGGTAATGTTTCGAGCCTGGTCGCTACTGATGGTGGGAATGCCACGCCGAAAGGGAGGAGGTTGTCGAAAACGCCTACGGACAGCGCGAGCAAACCTGCTCGATCAGCGGCATCGCCCGGGGCGGGCACCAAACGCACCTCTACAGGCATTCCTAAAACCGCCCCTACGCACAGCACGTCCCTCCACCCAGGCCCGTCAGGAGCAGTCATCCGCGCACTAGGAGACCTCGCGCACCTCGATCTCGACCTCGATTCCGCTCCTCATCACCTTCCGCCCTCGCTCCATCCCTATTTCGCTCCACCTCGTCTCGAACGCACCCAGCCGCACCTCGAGATGTTGCGGGCAGAACACATCTCCAACGGCCTCATCGACCCGTCCACTGGGCGGGAGATCAAACCCGAGCCTACCGAAGAAGATCTCAAACGCGACGCGGAAGAAGCGGAACGGGAGAAGAAACCACCTGCGCTGCTCACCACCGAGGAAAAGAAAGCCAACCACATCGCCTCGGAGCAAAAACGACGTGCTAATATTCGAAAAGGTTACGAGCTGCTGTGCGACATTGTTCCTAGCCTTCGTGAGGCGCTGGAGAGGGAGGCGGGCAAAAACGATTCCGACGACGAGGGCAAGAAGGGCAAGAAGAATGCGACGAAGAAATCCGATGATGCAGGAGGGATAGAGATTGATGGGGAGAAGATCGATGGGCGAGCGGGACCGAGGAGCGAGGCGGTGGTGCTGATGAAGAGTTTGGATCATATAGGTGGGTTGGTGGAGGGGTATAGAGGATTGTTGGGGAGGAGAAACAGGGCGCGGTTGGCGGTGGCGAGGAAGATGGGGTGGGACGGGTTGGCGAATCAGCCGGTTCCGGATGTGGACCGGTTGATGGCGATCAAGGTGCAGGAGTGGTGGGCTGCCCATGGGGATGACGCGGATGAAGAGGAGGGGGATGATGAGGAGCTGCGATTCGGTGGCGCGGATGATGATGATGATCAGCAGGCGGACGAATCTACCGTCGTCGACGAGCCGAGCGGCAAGAAGAAGCCTGCAAAGGGGAAGAAGGCTCAAGGGAGGAAGAAGAAGGCTGAAAAGGACGATGATGGGATGCACGACTAGCCTGCCCCATTTGCTCGGGAACCGCATTCTCTGTTGTACAACACCTCGCTACAAATACATCGGTCACCCTCTCATCAGTTGTCTTCTGAATCCACCTCGGCGTTCCATTGGCTGACGATCTGGTCCACCGACATACCACGCCCATTCCCAGCGGCGGATCCGCTGGTCTTTGCAAAATCGACGAGGTCCTTGGGCACCATGTTGGAGCTATACGTTGCGCCGGTTCCGCCTGCGCTCTGCAGTCGCCGATCCGAGAGGATGCGCAGTTGGATGTCTGCTTCGCCCCTTTGCACCTCTTCTTCGTCTTCCACCTTTCCGCTGTTGCTCCCTCCTTTGCCGTTGATGCTCAATCTCACCACTCCTTCCTCCACCTCCTCCACCCCGCTTCTATCCTCGCTCTTCGCTCGACCGGCCTTCTCATTCAAATGCAGCTCCTCCAACTCCTCCCATCCGAACAACAACGGATCGGTCCGCGGCAACCACGCGTTCACATCGACCAACCACACCCTACTCAAATCCTTCGTCAGATACACATCGAATATATAATCGCCCAATCCCCACTTGCCCTCCTTCTGAGCGATGACCAGCACGTCCTCGTAAAAGTCGCAGATCGCCGCCTTGATCTCGCTCTGCAGCAGGGGGGACTGGAGGTGGTCGAAGAACGTTACATCTCGTTGAGTTATCGCTATCAGCTGGTGGGAGCGGACGAAACAGCGGAACTCGTGCGACTTGTTGAGCGCGAACCACTTTTTTAGCACCAGCTGCGGAGAGATTCTTCTACTCGCTTCCTCTATGGCTGCCGAAGAGATGGTGGGGTCCGTTATCGGGGAGGTGGTGGTGTTGGTGTGGGAGATTTGTTCGAGATCCCTTCCGACAAACTCACTGCTCTTGAGCAGGAGGTAGACGTCTTCCGGGTGCAAACACTGCAGCGTGTTGCCTGCGAGCATGAATGCGGCATCGAGAGGCGCACTCCAGTTGAGCTTCGGAAAGATGGGTCCGCCATCGTACTTTGCGATGATGCTGCGTATTGTCGAGTCCATAGCGTCGAGTCGTACCGCAGGCTGCTCCTCTTCCTCGTCGCTGTCCCCTTCCCCCTTAGCGGCATCCCGATCATCCTCTGCTTCGTCCGATGAAAGTGACGATGAGGAAGACGCACGATTTGAGTCCGGCAGTGTGGACGGCCCACTTCCTTCGGGCAGCACAAAGGTCTCGCTCTCCAACCAGCCCAACAGCTCCGGTTGCACCTGCGCGATATCGATGACGGTAGATTTGGGTGCATGACGCCGAAAGATGGGGTACCACACGCTGTACTGCGTCCAGTAAAGCGCTTCGAGTGGTGGTGCGAGAGGATCCGGGATGCTGCTTCTGCTGCTGCTGGCTTCCGACATGGTGGCTGCGGATCCAAGGGGTAGGGTTGGAAGGTCAAGATGAGGAGGGGGGAGGGTGTGGAGGGTTTTTGCTAGGAACTTTTTTTTGGACTTTCGGAAGTCGGGCAGTTTGGCTTGCACGATGGATGGGCCAAGAAGAGCGAGCGTTTTTCGCTCCCTTCACCTCTTCTCGACCATTCACGACATCGACACGGTTCACAAACACAGCGTTCATCGACCCCTCATCACTCACGGTTGAGTTCAGTCACGATGTCGCACATCCTCGAACCGCTCGATGCGCCCTCCTCCTACCGCGATTCGCGCTCGCACTCGTCCAAACACGAACAGCAACAAGCCCTTCGTCAAACCTGCACGCTCTACCTCGGCAACCTATCGTTCTACACAACGGAGGAACAGATCTACGAGGTCTTCGGGCGGGTGGCCTCCGTCTCGTCTGGTGGTGGGATTAAGCGTATCATCATGGGACTCGATCGCAACACCAAGACGCCGTGCGGGTTCGCGTTTGTCGAGTTCTACACGCACGCCGAAGCGGTGGACTGCATGCGCTATGTGAGCGGCACAAAGGTGGATGAGCGCGTCATCCGGTGTGATCTCGACCCGGGGTACAAGGAAGGCAGGCAATATGGGAGAGGTCGAAGCGGTGGACAGGTGAGAGATGAGTATCGGCAGGAGTACGATGCAGGCCGAGGCGGGTGGGGTCACAACAGGTTGCGAGAGGAGGAGGGAAGGAAGAGGATGGAGGCCGAACAGGCGAGGAGAACCGAGAGGGAGCAGCTGTACCAGGAGGGCACGGCGGGGATGGATGCGGGTGGAGGTGGAATGGTGCCCATGGGCGGAGAGTTTGTGTATGAGGAGATGGAGGGTGATGCGCGAGGACATGGCGGGGAGCGGGAGGCGAAGGAGGGATGGGAGGACAAGCCAAGGGCGACGAAGAGGGAGAGGAGTTACGATGATGATGAGGACGAGGAGCTGTATGGCAAGAGCGAAAAGGTAAGTGTCAGTCCGTTGCAGAGTCCAGCGTCCCAAAAACAGAGGCAGATACTAACACGAACTCTCTTCTTCTGCGCTGAGACAGAATCCGAGGTTCAGAGATCACGATGACCAGGACGCCGACGATGCTTGATCTCACACCCTCTCGCCACCTTTGTATTCGATCCACGCAATGATCAACCGACGCACTCTCACGCAGGCTCAGTCCACAAACAGGATCGCCGTTGTCTGCTCTTCATGGCTGCATTGCGACCTACTCTTTCGCCGCCACCTCCTGCAGCAGCGGTCTGACCCTACTCAACGCGACCATGATGGCTTCCTCCGTCCTGATCGTCCTGCTACCCTGTCCATCAACGACATTGACCCAAGCATCAAACAACTCGTTGGCGGTGTGCCTATCCAACTTGATCCCCTCGTCCTGCTCCACGGCGACCTCCAGACCACTCAGGCCACCAAAGACAATCAGTGCATGCTCGAACCCTTGCTGCAACGGCTGCACCGTCTCGCCCGACGGCAGCGCCACGGGCGTCTGTGAAGTAGACGCGAGCGCAAGATCCGCTAACGAGTGTCCGCGCTCCGACGTCCCGATGACCAGGTCGTACGACTCCCACGGGCAGCCGGTAAGCACTGTCGACAACGACGATGCCAACCGCACCGTGTAGCCCCAGTACCATCCGAGCTGTTCGACCGGTTCGCGCGGGCTGACGATCTCGCCCTGTCCATACCGATCACGGGGCATCTTGACCGTCACCCTTGTACCTGTTTCCACCCTCGCCCCCGCAGGCAGAAGCGCTTCGATAGGGTCGCGAAGACCGATGTTGACATAGACGCTGTTGGACCCACCTCGCCCTTGGGCCCAGTGCGGTTGGTCGACCGTGACGCCTTCGCGATAGGCGCTCTCGTCCTCGAACCGCAGATGATGCGGGCAGTCCAGTGGCGGCATCAGACCGGCTAACCTCAGGTCGCGATGCATTGGGAACAGTGCCTTCCTCAAATACTGCGGTGTTTCCAGATACTGCAGTACCCTAGCTAGGAACGTGTGTGGATCAAAACCCTTTCCTCCTTCTGCCCCGGCCTCTTGTTGTCCGTTCGCCGCCGCCTCGTCCCCTTCCTCAACCTGCTGTTCCTGCTGCGGGAAGCGCCGCTTCGTACCCCGATTCTGCTGATTGTGCTTGTGCTGGTACAAATCGCTCCCGCCCTCAGTACGCACCTCGCCCTCGTCGAACACGACGATCTCGTCGACGTTGAAGATCGCACATGCGCGGGCGATGTGTGCGGCCAGCCGACTCTGCAGCTCCGGCGACTGGGCGTTGAGCACGATCGAGCCGGGGATGGCGACCGAGACGGTGAACGTGCGGCCTGGCGCGGCGGTGGGGCGGGTGATGAAGGACGGCTTGTGCGGGTTTACTTTGGCTAGTCCTGAGGGCGGGGTGGGTTTGGGTGCTGGTGCGGAGGGCTTGGCAACCGGCTTGATAGCTAGGACAGGCGCTGGTGGTGCGGCGCTGGAGATGCTTGTCGAGGGCAGCGGGGCTGGTGCTGAAACGGCATCGTCGTCGTCGGAATCATCGTCGGCGGTCGGGTTGGATTTGCGGGACTTTCTCTTCTGAGAACGGTTCTTTCGGATGCGCTTGCGTGCACCGCCTTCTGTGCTGGTCGTCGCCGCAGCGGAGGTTGAGGCTGCTGCGTTCGTGTCTGATGCCATCTTGCTCGATGGTCTCGTACTCGGCCCGGAGAGAGAAGCAGGATCAAGAGGCCAGAAGTGGTGAAAGGTTGGTGGAGAAGAACGAGAAGGTCAAGGCGAAATTTTCTATGAGAAGAAATCTCAGGGTCCGATTTCCGAGCTCGTTTACGAGCATCACAGACGGAAGGAGGACTCATGGAGGCGTGTCAACGATGGCTTCCACAGGTCGACGAATGTGGTGAGAGGTACGTATAGTGCAAGGATACAGACCTGCTATTCCTCTGCTGAAGCGACATACTACCAATCTTTCGCCTTGCCGCTGCTGCTACTGCCCGCCGCATCGCGCGGCGCGGCCGCTGTCGCCCCTAAACCAATTCCCGTGCTCGCCGCCTTGCCGCTCCTGTTGGTCGCCTGCTGTTCCATCTCCAGCTCTATCGCGCTGGTCCCGTTGACCCCTAGTCCCACACCTCCATTCGCCCCTGCATTCCCGTTTCCCACTCTCCCACTGAATCCAGCCTTGTTCGCCAACTCATTCAACTTGCTCGTGAGCGCATTCAACTCGATGTTTTGCGCTAGACTCGCTGCTCTGCCCCTCAACTTCTCGCTCAACTGCTCCAGCGTCGATGTTAGCTGACCCCCCTGCACGGCACCGGAACGGTCCGAGAGCCACCACCCCGTGCTGACGCATTCCTGGGCGTCATTGACTAGCCAGTCGTACCACATCTTGGTGATGGGCACCGTGGCGAGGTGCCAGAGAGCGTGCGCGTCGAGAATGCGGAGAATGGGCGGGAAGTCGAGCAGCTCCAGCAGGACTGAGGCGGACATGAGGCCGAGGATAAGTTGCAGGCGACGGCGCTGGTGGGCGTGCGAGCTGGGCGGGCCGATGTTGGTCGAGACGGGCACGGGTGGGGTTTGCGCACCATTGCTGAGCGGGGTCGGGGTGGACAGAGCGGAAAGGTTCGGTTTGGATGACCGCATGGCGGCGCGCGAGTAGGCGGTGCGATCGACCAGTGGGTTCGACGGGAATGTTGTGGGTCGAAGCGAGTAGACCAGCCAGAGCACCGTGTGAATCAGCCCAACAACCACGTTCGCCGCCATGTTGTACGCGTAGTCGAAGCGCCCAATGCTGAGATAGAGAAAGTGCAGCGCCAACGCTCCCATGCACGCTCGCCGCAAGAGCACAAAGCTGCTGCTGCCCGGTGCGATCCTGAAGAGCCGGCAAGCAGTAAAGAAGAAGCCCGACATGATGACCGACCCTGCGCTGAAGTAGTCGAATTTCTCGGTCCAGTTCTTGTCCCTCGTGTGGAAGACGGCGGACCACAGCCACGCGTTCATGCTGATGAGCGTGTGGACGATGTAGACGAGCTTGAGCGGGAAGGCGTCTGGCAGCTGCTTGCGCATCATGAAGAGCGCATTCCAGTGCACCTTCATGTTCATCAAGCTGAACAGCACCGAGAGCGGCTCCTGGGCACCGAGGAAGCGGATGAAGACCCACTTTCCGTGGAATTGCACCATCTGCTTCTGCACGGGTCGCAGCGCCGCCATCTGGGTCTCGATGATGCCCTTGACGCGTTCGGACTTGGCCGAGGCGGAGATAGGTTGGTCTGCGGCAAGTCGCTCGACCTCAAGACGTGCATCGTGTTGGATTTTGCGCACACGGTCGGCGGCTTCGTTGGTGATGCGGTGGGTGCAGTGGTACTTGCAGTCGTCTTCGCAGCTCCAGCGCGTGAAACGGAGCATGAAGGGCAGACGATGCGCGAACATGGTGCCATCGTCGACACCGTCTCTGCAAACATCAGCGACGGATGAGGCTACGCACATCTGGTACTCGGGCGATCGGTCGCCTTCGGATGCTTGTGCTGAAGGAATGAGGAAGAGAGTGGCCAGCATGGCTAGCAGAAGGAGCGATATCGCAGAGCGAGCGGAGCGTCTTGAGCTAGAACGAGGCTGCCGCAAAAGCCTTTGCGATCTCGACTGTGCTGAGCTTTCTGTTGCTGCCATGCTGAATGTTGGAGACGTCTCGTCGTCTGAGTGCGGTAAGGAGATAGTTTCAAGAGGGCAAGGCCGCCTTGGTGGTGACTCTGGAAGCAGAGCGGCTCGTGATGGTCCCGCGACTGATCCCGCAATCATGACCGTGACAAGAACAAGCTCGTGCTGAGTTGGCGGAAAATGTACCCTGGAATGAAACGTGCGACCGTTACGATGCTGGGACGAATGATACTCGGCAATCCCCGTCGTGTTCGCAGCGGATACCCTCTGGCTTTGCGATTCGGTGGCTATCCGAACAAAGATGCGTCAGCCTGTCGGATAGCTCGTGGGAAGTACGTGATGATTCCGGTGCACTTTCTGCTGCCTGGTGTATGCGGGGCCGTCGTGACGGTTCGTGCGATGGTGTTGGTTACGATAGGAGTATCGATTCCCTTTCCCAGATCAAGTGTGATTTTCGCTTGGAACAGCTCGGGATCGCTTCTCGTTTGGAATCCGCTGCCCCGCTTTCTCGAGCTTCTAGAAATTACGGTTGCAGATCAGTCTCGAGGCTTTCTAAGGCGACCACGAAAATAGCAACACAGCAGGCAGCAACGGTAGTCAGGGTCACTCAGCTTGGTGGAGGAATTCGTGCTCAGGGTCCGTGCAGCTCGTCACCATCCTCAACTCCCACCATCTCTCCATCTATAAGTGGCATCATCGCTCACCAGTACAATGTCGGCAACCTCACCGATAGCACCGGGCGGGTCCTCACAGCCGATCTTCGCCTCGGTCTCCGGCTCAACATCCAAAACGCAGCTCTACTCGCTCGCCTCGCGCGTGCCGCTCATCAAGTCCCCCTCCATCTCGCTTCCTAAACCCGTCAGGCTTCCACAAGACCTACATCCGCTACCAGCAGATATCTCTGCCTACTTTGTCTACCCTTTCAGCCTCGAGTCCTACGTGTTGGATCCCAACACGCCGTCTTCGTCCACCATCGACCAGCTGCTTGCGAAACACCAGCAGTATTTGGAGAATCGGGAAAGGGAGAAGGAGAACAAGCACAAGGAGATGCTCATGAAGATGGCCCCTGGATGGTCGGGCGACGTGCTACTGCCGAAGGCGAGTGGAGGAGCGGCTAGGGAAAGTGCACCAGTTGCGACAGAGGCGAGAGACCAGGCAGCGAAGCCGCACCAGACGGAGGAGCAGGTGGAAAGGACGCCCTTGGACGAGCTCGCCGATCATCTGGCGCAGCTTGATGCGCTCAACACCACGGGTGCGCCATCAGGTGGGCAGTCCAGCCAGCTGCCATAGCGCCGACTCACTGGACCCCACACGTTTGCAGCCTATTTGTTTTTCTGGTGTCAGCGCTATCGCTACACCGCCTTTGTACCACCAATATACCCATCCAAATCTCTTGATTACTGGCCATATACTCACTCTCGATGCAAAGCTGCTTCTGCTGCAGCACATATGAACGAGCATGCGCTACCGTATGAGCGGCAAAAAGTATGCAAAAAGGAAACGACGCCTACAGGATTTGAACCTATGCTCCCAGAGGGAATGGCATATTTTGTTGTTGAGTAGAAGTACTCTAGAATGCGAAATTCTAGTGCCACGCGATAACCACTCCGCCAAAGCGCCCTTAGATGAATGCCAAAGGACTTTGCAGGTTATATATACCCTCGCACTCTTCCTCCAGCCGGAAGGCCCGATTCGGCTTCGTCCACAGCTTGTTTCTTGCACACAGTACACACCTAGACGGTGCAATCTTGAGTCAAGACAAACGTCTACTGTATTGCATCTGTATCTACTTCTGCTTCTCGAGCAGCTGCAGTAGCAAGTCTTCTATCCGTTTGCCTCTCGCTTCCATCTCCTGTACTCTATGTGCGATGTCCCTCAGTTCTCCATCCAGGCCATCCTTACTCAATCTATCACCGTCTCCGGTACTGCCTTCACCTTCACCTATAACAGCTAGACCTGACCCACTTGCTCCGGCTTCCTGGTTCGAGTCGGATCGTCGGAGTGCCTTTCTGGACGGGCGAGTCGGGGTGGGCGGCTGCGACTGGTCATTCGAGTCCAACAGCCGCGAGCGAGACGGACTGTTGATGCTGTCTGTCCGACGAGACGACGAAGATCTTCGCAGACCGTGCTGCTGCTCCGGTTCACTTGAGTCAAAGCCCCGATTGAACAGTTTGGCCAGTGGGGAGGTGAGCGAGCCAAGACCACGCGGCTCCGGCCCGCGTCGCAGGAGCTGAACGGACCGGTTGACAGCAGGATCGCGGGTTCGGCGCGAGGTGGTACTGTTGGCGACCGAGGACTGGGTGGTGGATCGAGGCATGGCATCGTGTGATGTTGCACCATCGACAACTTGATGATGTTCTTGGTACACCTGCTGTGAAGCGGGCGCAGAGCTCGCTTTCGGGGCTCCATCCTGAGCCGGCGCGCCAACCACAGCTGTCGCTTTCTTCGCCCGAGCACCGTGGCCGTCGCCGTCCTCAGCCTCTGCATCTGCCTCGTCTCCCGAGTGGTCATCTTGCACCTGCCACTCGTCCTTATCCTGTGGCGCCTCGTAGTCGAACGCTGCTTCGATCACGTCGGCACTTGCACCGTCCAGACCCGTGGTGAAGAATGAGAAGCGGTTGAGCAAGCTCTTGCCCTTCTCGGCAGTCAAGCTGATGCCATGCCCGAACACGTTGAGCTCGGCAAAGTGGATAAAGAGCAGCACGTGGAAGCTGGTCAGCCTGATGAGAAATACGTTGATCTTGTGCAGCCACCTCGGCGATACAACGAAGCTTAGTGGCATGACGATGGCCACCGCAAGCAGGTTGAGCGGCGGTTGGTATGAGAAGATGGCGTCGGTCGTAATGCCAGACATGGTCTTGCATGCGAACTGGAACATCGCCTCCTCGTTGGCGTTCATGGCGACCACCTGGAACGTGTTGCTCAACAGGGAGATGAGCACCGTAAGCAAGAGAGTATTGCTTAACACGGTATAGATGATCATCAACGGTGGACCGAAAGTGAGGGAGAAGCTTGCTGCTTCGTCGAAACCCAGGTAGGAACTGCCGAACCACACCTTGAGCATGAGCCAGAGCACCGCATTTAATGTCCAGCGGTCCTCGGACGCCAGAGAATAGAAAGCGTACGCGAAACCCGAGAAACAGATCATGGCCAGGACCGTGAAGTAGGCGAAGTCCGAAAACATCGCCTTGAGGCTGAGCATGATGACGTTGTCCTGGATGATCGAGGTCGCCACTCGGGGACACAGCAGAACAGCACCCAGTGCCAAACAGTCGAAGCTGAGATCGCTCCGTTGCAGTGAGCCGGTTTGCAACGCAGAAACGCGTAGGCCGAACCAGAAGAATGCAATGATGCAGAAGGTGCCGTCGATGAGGTTGTTGAGCGAGCCCATGTATTGAGACAAGCCGTGTTCCTGCAGCTGGGCCAGCTCATCGACGGCAAAGCCAAAGAGCCAGATTGTGAAGAGCGTCTCTTGGACAGTCCACGTTGGGCTGCCCTTCTGTGCTAATGCGGCAACGTAGAGCACTAGGATGACTACGAACGTGACGAACTCGAGCTTGCTTCGGATCGACGGCACGCGAAGCCGCAGATGGTTGAGCAAGGGTGCTTTGGTAGGATCGTAGATACTGAGAGGACGCTTCTTGTAGCTGTCGTTGAGGATGGCGTGCGATGCTTGCATGGGAGACAAGACGACCTTGCCGTTCCAGATGCCATCGATGCAGCGCTGACAGAGCGGAGTGGAGATGAAGCGTTTGGAGGAGGAAGCAATGGCGAGGTCGAGCGTGTTGGAGTACTGCTTTGCAGAGAGGCCATGCTTAATGATCTCTTCCAGGTCGATGTGCGACGAGGAAAGATGCAATTCCTGAAGCTCGCTGTACGTCGCGCCTGCCAGTGGGTGAAAGCTGGCCGTGAGCGAGGTGACTAGCTCAAGGCCGTCATTGGAGAAGGTGCGGAGCAGCTTCATCGCCAACAGCTCGCAGAGGGCGGCACGCGTTGTGTTGATCGACTGAAAAGCAAGATCACGCGTGGCCTCCCTTTGGAAATAGATGCGGTTCAGCATCAAACAGTAAAGGATGGCGATCGAGCGGAAGTTGCTGTACTTGATCGATAGTGGTCGAACCAGAGAGAAATTGAGATCGACCGAGTTGAGCTCATCCCAGCTGAGATGCGTGTCGATGGTCTTTCGAAGGTCGGACCGGATCTCGTGAATGAGGTGGAACACATCTTGGCGCTCAACAACCTTGATGAGGTTGACTCCGTCTTCGCCCTCGGATTCGAGGAGGCGATCCAGCTCCTGTGCGTATGCTTCGGTCGGCCGCTTCGAGTGGCTGCTCTGGCGGCTGTGTGTCGGACTAGGTGCTGGCCTCAGTGTGACATTATTGGATGGCCCAACGCCGAGATGCTGCTCTGTTGAGCTGAATGAGAAAGAGGATGAATCGGCGCGAGGCGATGGTGCCTCTAGGGCCAGTGAAGGCGGGATGTGGTCATTGGGACCCGGTTGGTCGGGTAGATTACGAAGCGAGACATGCCGTTTGTGCTGCCTCTGATTGTTGCCTTGGAGTGAGTTGGCGGAAGCCCTTTGCGAGACTGCTTTCGACATGTTGTGAGGCTGCCTTCTTTCTGGGAGGTCGAGGTCGCCCTGGGCTGGTGTCGATGCTGATGGCAAGTATGAGGCCACTCACTTCATCTCCAGGTAGACGGGTTGTGGCGGTGACGGAAGAGGCTGTCGTGAGCGTTCTAGGGGTGGTGGTGCAGTGTCAAGAGGACCAAGCGCCTTCGAGGTGTGTGCTGTTTGAGGCCAGCGGCCACGCATATCCCTTTGGCTGTCACACTGTGCCTGTGTGTTGAGTTTGGCGGTGTTGGTTGTTTCTCTCAGTTGTTTCCCTAAAATCACAGATTTCCCTCCACTCAGCCCGGCTGTGTTGGTGTCGTTCGGCTGCGCCAAAATCTGGCCGACTTCCGAGTGGGACGCGCGACGTCAAGTTGGTGCACGCACATCTTGGCGTCACACCATTGTACTCGGATCGTCTTCACTTTCGGCTCAACGCGCAAGAGAGCATTCGTACCACTGCAGATTACGGACCATGTTTCATTGGTAGACGAGACTCGATCATATCCTCTCCATCCACTCTCGGACTACACCTTCTGTGTCGCGCGTAGGTCTCGGATCGCGTTTCCAGGTCGTGATCTTCAAGACCCCGTTCACTCGTCTCGTCACGACTGTGCCACCGCCTACTCAAGAGTCCTCGCATTCCGTCTCGTCGACCCTTCGAGCACATCCTTCACACAGCCATGTCGTCAAGACTCTACTTGCGGCTGCCTAATTTGCCGTCCTTCCACCATGCCATCACCTCCTTCCTCGGCTTCATGGACCTCAAAGTAGGCGCATCGATCCTCACGCTTTTCGCCATCTTCAACAAGACAGCAGGTGTCTACGGTATCCTCGCCGTCTTCCAAGGCGGCACCTTCTCACAAGTGGCTCTGTATCTCTACTCGATAGCGACCATCATCGTGTTCCTCTGGGGACTTAAAGGCATTTCAGATGAAGACGCGCACCGCGTGCTCACCTATGCGCACCTCTTCTCGCTCGATCACATGATCTCGACCTTCTGGACGCTGCTGTTCACCTTCAACTGGTTCTACTTTACACCGCACGATGGTCGTCCTACCACCAACCAGTCGTCGCATCAGACCGGACTTATGGATCTCATCGAAAGCATCGAGTCGCAGTACAGGACACCGGAACAGATGCTCAAGCTCCATCACGAGAAGCTCACACCGGAACAGCGTGTAGCGAGTGCGGAACGAATCTGGAAGGAGGAGAAGGGCTTTTCGGCGGTCGTGTTGGGTCTTGGCTGGCTTGTCAAGATCTACTTTGCATTGGTACTGTATTCGTACGCGCTGCACCTTCGTCATGGCTCGTATCGCTCCTTGCCCCTGTCCAAGGCGTCAGCAAGCTCGGGTGCCGGACCGCGGACAGGAGGTGCTGGGCGAGGCGAGTACCGCTACCATCCGGTGGTCAACGACGACGAGTTGGAGAACTGGAGCGACGACGGCGAAGCGGAAGGCGATGCTGGCAGATCGAAACAGAACGGCGGCGTTGCTGCCAATGGCAGCGGCTCAATACCAGCAGCCACGGCGTCATCAGGTAACAATGGGGGAGCTAGAGCCGTCTTTGATCGTCTGGCAACGTGAGAGGCGAACACAGATCTGCACATCGTCTCGTTCAGTCCGACACGAGGACTTCTGCTCCTTGCTCATGTCGGCATTCGAACAATACGAAACCTGGAATCTAGGAATGTCTCCGAGCAAAGATGAGTGTGACACAGCGGTGCGAGCCATGAGGTGTCTCAAGAAAGGGGCATCGACTCCTTGCCGACCCAGCGGGCACATGCTCAGGATCGTCGGCGCAGGTCAAGACTTGGCGATGAGAGCCATCGGGCTGAGTAGCGCCTACTTGTATCGGTGATACGGCTGGCCAGAATTGTTAGACTTACGATGTCGGCCGAAGCTTGCTCTAGTCACGTGTCAAATTTGACGTGCGCTTTGGGTCTTAGGAAGACACTGCAAATTCGCCGGAGTGACCGGAACAGCTAATTCAGAGGCAGCATACGGCGACCTGCAAACGTCTCCGATTGAGATTCTCAGATAGAGGCTCTGCAAGCAGGTAGTTCTGAGCGCTCGAGGCAAAAACGGAGGCAGCACAGCGCGATGCTCGAGGGTTGAGAAGATGGGAGCGGCTTCGGTGCGAGTTCGAGATCCCACTGCGGTGGTCCAGTTGGCTGTCGAGTGTGTCGTCGTTGTTCACCTGCGAATCATCTCGTTCACACCACCAACCACCCCTCGTCACCAACACATATTCGTCAAGATGGTCTCCTCATCGCGTCGCGTTTCGCGCAAGGCTCACTTCGATGCCCCCGCCCACATCCGAAGAAAGATTCTGTCGGCTTCCCTCAACAAGGAGCTCCGCGCTGAGCACGGCGTAAGTATGCCACTACATTGAAAAGCAATTATCGACGTACGGTCAACGCCACATACGCATTCCAGCACTTCATCAGCTCAGCATCGCAGTACTCAACATACACAGACGTGATCACCATTGGCAGCTAGGATGGGAGACAATGGAGGAACTCTTCAATCGTCTAAGACCAGACCGCACATGCAACAACCAACAACGACTCAGTCAATATGTATGGACCGAAAGGAAGAGGCAAGGGACCATTGGGAGCAGACTACCCATTCTCGGCGGATCCTTCGCAGCGGCGGGTGACGGTACAAATGCTAGGACGTCCTATCAACACCGGCATCGTAACGTGGGAATGTGGATGCCAGCATCCGTTGCCGTCATCTTCGTTGGCTATGCGGCCGGTCGGAGTCATGTATCGCAGTCAACGGCTGGAGTCGATTATTCCCAGGTCCCAGCCGGTACATGGTTCATCGTGGATAAGGACTCTGCAGCGTTAGGACAACTCGCAGGGTAGCGGCGTATCACTAGGCGGAAGAGGAAGAGGTCGCGCCCGAGGGCTGTCCAAAAGATGCACCTCCGCTTCGCTTGTCAGGCACGGTCGACGCACTGTCCAGCAACCGGTTCACCGCGACCACTCCAGCAGGAATCACTCAGTCCGATCAACAGCCTCCGACCTGCGCATCATCCCGCCAGGAGGGATGGAGTGCTCTAATTGCAGCACACGACACGGCCAAACCTCTTCGACAGCTACGTCCGCATACTTGCACACATTTGCAGCTACACGACCGCGACGTCGATGATTGCTTTCAGTTCACATTCTCCTAATGAATCTTCTGCTGACCGCTCTTCATCCTGTTACCACTTCCTTTATCCTTACAGATCCGATCGCTCCCCGTCCGCAAGGATGACGAGGTCCTGATCGTCCGTGGTTCGTCCAAGGGCGCTGAGGGCAAGGTCACCCAGGTGTACCGCAAGAAGTGGGTGATCAACATCGAGCGCATTCACCGCGAGAAGACCAACGGTGCCACCGTCCCCCTCGGCATCCACCCTTCCAACGTTGTGATCACCAGCCTCAAGCTGGACGAGGACCGCAAGAAGATCATCTCGCGCAAGGCTGGCTCCAAGAAGGAGACTGCCGAGACCAAGGACAACTAAGCGACTGTTGACATCTGATGTCAAGTCGCTCTGTTTCTCTTAGTTCTCGTCGGTTTGTTTCTTGTTCCACTTGTCGCGGCATCATTCTTTCACGCAATCTACCCTCACCTAACGTTGCTGTCGCCCATCAGCAGCGTGCAAAACGACCCTTCGTCGGCGAGATTTCCTGTACAATTCCCAGCATCTTTCTTCTCTTCGACCCGAGGAGGGTCATCTTCAGGATTCGGTATCCCACATTCGGCCAAGGGGAGGAGAATGCGGTTGTAGTGGTGGCTGCTCCAGCTGCATTCTTCTGCTCTACGAGTGTTCTTCTCGGGCGCCGGTCCTGTTTTCGATTACCTTCATGCATGGCAGAGAAGCCCTCTGTTCTTGTATTTACATCCAAGCCATATCGTACAACAGCGTGCGATTCACACACCCAAAATATACATCAGTGTCTCTATCTCGGCGTTTGACTGTGTGAAGTGTCTGACCTGGCGTCTTGTCCAGTATCGTCACACGTGATCAGTATCAGTGGAAGAACGAGCTGTTGATAGCAAGTCTGTCAATCCGTTAAAGTGTTCCTTTTCTTGACCTCAATTTTGGCTCTCATTTCATTTTCGGCTGTTGTAGGAGATTTGCTTTGGACTATGAGGTGTCTCCATCTTAGCAGCAATGAAGTGATGAGAATTCGGCCATGTCAAGGTGGAGCAACAACCAGCCGACATGCCTAGCGATGCATGACGTCCGACGGGAAGAATTGGCCGATCAGCTGGAGCTCATACCGAGGAGGGGAGAGCAAGCTCGTCATTCAGGGTCAGCAGACCGTGCCGATTCTAGAAGAGCGCCAGAAAGGGCGTGGCCCAACGTGCTCCGGCATGACCCCCTCTGACGCCGACAGTGCTTCTGGTCATTGGAGGGGAGCTCCTGTCAAGAGCATGTGCATTGTCCAGGCGGTGCTGCTGTGGACTGGTGCTGATCGGCGGACGGCCAAGTTAAGCTCGTGAGGAGGCCATTGATCAAGTCGAGGCTCGCGATGGCACCATCCGCAGCTCTTCTTGCAAAGACACTCGAAAAGTGCCTTACCACTCCAAAAACACAGCTAAAATTGAGTCGAGAAACAAAATCAAGGCACAGAGCTCGCCTGTCTAGCTGCCAAGAAAGAGAGCGGTGGGGTGTACCCGAATTCTAGACGTGGCAGCTGAGCACCCCTTTGATGCTCCTTCGTCGATACTTCTGCGCTAAGACCTGCTCAGCCAACTTGTCACACCTTTGTCAGTAGTTGGAGCTGGGTGAAGTGCATGTGTATAGCTCATCGAACGACACGAGCTAGCCTGCAAGAACCAAGCTTCTCCAGTGGCAGAGGCCAGAGCGAGTAGGACAAGGCGCAGAGCTGAGCTCTTTTCGGTTCGGAGTTTGGCCCTTCTTATGGTGATGCGATTCGAGTCGAACCGAGGCTCATTTCTAGCTGTGACCACACACGCACGCAAACCTCCTCGTCCATCACCACATCGCCTCCTTCGTCTTCGACTTCGTCTTCAACCCCATCGCCGCATCATCCAACCCCTTTCTGCGCAACGGACGCCATTCCCTCTTGCGCACTTGCCCATCCCAAGCCTCCACTCCTCCGCTCTCGCTTCACAGCTGCAGACCCTGAAACGATCGTCCAGGAGCATTACGCCGCAGCATAGGAGACCTTCGCCAGCCAGCCACCCTCGGCTCTCTGCTTTGACGTCTGCATACCCCGGATAACGCCATACTTTCGTGATCGCATCGCCTCGACGCATTCCTCCGTACACTCTCGACAGCCGCCTCGCTTCCACTGTAGACACGACCTGTTCTGCAAGCCTACGCTTTTGCAGCGCTGCTCGCATCGACAACTCCCGGCCGCTGTTCCGCCTGGCTGTGCTTGCCGCAACGTGCTCGGCTGTGCTTCATCCGAGTCAAGACACTAGCGAACCCTGGGATCCATTGGCCATGCACTCGCATCTCCACTTTGGCTGCTGAGCTTCAATTCCGTTCTATCGCTCATCGGGCTCTGCCAGTTCTAGACTCTGCTCAGCCCGAACGCGCTCAGCCACGCAGATCAACATGACCGCTAGCTTGAACAGCCAAGCACCCTCCAACGGCTTGTCCGCATCCTCTTCCGCGAACCATCCAGGCCACCACCATCACCAATACCAACACCACTCGTCCCATTTCTCGGATCACACCCAGCGTCAGCATTCACCATCTTCAGGGAGCTCTGCGCATGCTTCTTCGTCAAGGCATACCCTCGACCTAGCACATCTTCCTCCCGCATCCAAGCAGCAGAGGTCAGACACATCAACAGCACTCTCCTCAGCGTCGCTCTCTTCAGCCACCAGGCGTGGTCCGTCGGCCGGCTCGCTTCCATCCTCACCAGCCTCGGCGGCGCCAATCGACGACGACGACGACCTGGATCTACAGTCCCAGTCAGCGCAATTCCACTTGCACAACTCACAGGAAGGCTTGCATCTCGCCAGTCACATCGACCATCCCAACACCTCGGCGATGGCCACTCTGACTGTCAATACACCTCCCGCCGTTCTTCAATCTGACCCAATGCTGCAAGTGCGCTCCACCAACAGTCCCCTTCACAAGCCGATCGCATCCTTCCACCAGCACCATCGCACTCCTTCGCCACCTCCGCCGCCCGCACCGTATACCCAGCCTCCAGTCACGTCAGATCTATCCAACGTTACTGCCGGCGACGGCTGGTCTATCGTCCCAAAGTGCGCAAGAGTCAACCCCGCAGCTTCGCCCGCGGCTACTGTGCCTGCCAGCGAGTCTACGGCATCGACTGCTCAGCAGCCAACCACAGCAGACACTGTCGGTCTCGGTCAGAGCGCCTATGCGCATGCAGCCAACGATGCGTCCAATCGTCGATGTGGACCTGCCGACTTGGCCTCGAGCTACGATGTGCCATTCGGGGAGAGAGCGTCGCCCGCCATCATCTCGCTCGCTCAGCGTAACGCGAGGTCCCTGAGCCGTAACGGCACCAATCCACCCAGCCCGTTGGCATTGTCACCTGCCATGGCAACTCAAGCGCTCAACCCGTCAGGTGCGCATCGAGGCGGTCTTCGCGGATCCGATGAGGACGTCGAAGTCATCGAGAAAGACGTCGCCATGGACAACACCGACCACAGCTGCGCTTCCACCGGCGCAACCCCGCTCGTGCCTCCAGCCACCCGCAAGCTTTGTGTACGACATCAGCGCATGGCTGATGAGGGCACCACTGCCCGTCTACAGAAGGTAAGTTCCGTGTCCTGCCCTTGTCTCGTTCCAATCCCCCTCCTTCTCTCTTTCGTCGCCTTGTCCCTTGCTTGCCGTCTCATCAGAGGGCATACATGGCGACGGGCTTGATGCAGATCCGGCGGCTTCGAGGTACCTTTTGCCTTCTCGCGGGTACTCGATGCCGTCTAGCGACCGTTGGTGGGTTTTCCCTCCGACGGCCGCTGATCGCGGATCATGCTATATCGAAACACTCTGTTTGAAGCCTCGATCTGCCTTATAGGTCGTGCGCTATAAGTGATGTGGTACATTTTGTCATTCCGCTTTCGTGTTCTCGAAACATGACCTTTGTCTCGGTGGCGTCGACGTTGCGACAAGAGCTGCGTTACTGACTGTCGACGTATCTTGCATCCTCTGCCGATCAATCACCGAACTGCGATCGTAGTCAATCGAAAGCCTTCCTCTGGCCGATCAGACGGCCGTCAACACGGTCTGGTCGCTCTTCTCTTCCTCATCGCACTCGAGGAGAGCTCTCATCCTGCAAGGCATTCTCACCATGTGCTGCTTCAGCCAGCTGTCGCTATTGTCCTCCGAGCTGGCGTTGGCGATCCGCATCGACCCATTCTCGCTGTTCCCACGAGAGGTCTCGCTCAAGGTGCTCGGTCACCTCGATGCCATGAGTCTCGGCAGAGCAGCACAGGTCAGTCGATCGTGGAAGCAGCTCGCCGACGATGATCTGCTCTGGCGCAACATGTGCGAGCAGCACATCGAGCGCAAGTGCGAAAAGTGCGGATGGGGTCTTCCCCTGCTCAGCGAGCGTCGACGTCGTGTGCCTGGCCCTGCCGTGCAGCTCGGCACACCCGAGTCGCGCGACCTCAGCTCCGACGGCTCTGGAAGCACGCCTGGCTCGCTCAAGCGAACCATCACTGCCGCTGCCAACGCTGCTGCTCTCGAGAAGCAGTCGCGTTCGCGAGCCTCGAGTCCCACGCCTTCCAGTGGTCGCAACCATTCGCGTTCGGTCTCGGGCCACCGTGATCTGCGCATGGACACCATCTCCGAGCTGCGTGACCGCGACGCACCGCCTTCCAAGAAACAGCGCAGCGGCCTCAACGGCGAAGCAACCGCCTGCAGCACTTCCTCCGGCAGTGTTCCCAAGACGCGCCCGTGGAAGTCGGTCTACTGTGAACGACTGGCTATCGAGCGCAATTGGCGCCGCGGCAGATACACGTCGCGTACCCTCACGGGCCATACGGACGGTATCATGTGTCTCCAGTTCAACGAGAATCTGGCTCACCCTGCTTTCCCAGTCGTCATCACGGGCAGCTACGATCGCACCGCACGCATCTGGAACCTCGAGACGGGCGAGATGCTGCGCGTGCTCGAGGGCCACACCCGAGGCGTGCGCTGTCTTCAGTTCGACGAAGCCAAGCTCATCACCGGCTCCATGGACCGAACCCTCAAGATCTGGAACTGGAGGACGGGGGCGCTGATGCGCACGCTCGAGGGTCACACGGAAGGCATTGTCTGTCTTCACTTCAACGAGGACACGCTCGCCAGTGGCAGTGCCGATAGCAACATTAAGATCTGGAACTTCCGCACCGGCGAGTGCTACACGCTGCGAGGGCACCGAGACTGGGTCAACGCAGTGACGCTCTGGACGGGACCCGCGGCCAAGAAGCGCCAGCAGCGTTTGCGTGAGGCGTTGCGGGACGGTCGCCCTGCGACCTCCATCAAGGAAGAGGACCCTACTGCAGCGGGCACGTTCCTGTTCTCGGCGTCGGACGACGGTTCAATTCGGCTGTGGGACCTGGGTCTGCGCGACTGCCTGCTGACTTTCGAGGGTCATGTTGGGCAGGTGCAGAGTCTCAAGCTGGTCATGATGGACGACGAGGCGGTGCGAAAGCTTGTTGGTGGGGCGGCTGGCGGGGCCGATGGTGAAGCCTCTCATCAGCAGCAGCGCCAGGCTGGCTCTCATCGTGCAGCGTCCCGTGCCAATGGCGAAGATGAGCCGGTTGCCGCACCCCAGGATGGCGACCAGGACATGCTCTCTGTGGAAGATCAAGAGTCGTACTTCCTCGGTGATGCGAGCCTGTCGCCTTCCCGACGCCAGTCTGGAGCAGGCCTAGCTTCGTCTCCTCCGGCCGAAGCAGCGACGAGCAGCAGCGGTGTCACTCGGGTCGGCGCTGCACGTCGCTCGTCCAACAACACCACCGACATTCCCGAGCGATTCTACCACGCTGGGTCAGCCCCCACCTCAACCATCCCTGCCTCCCGCCGTTCCGCGTCCACCTCCACCTCCGCCACTCGGGAGCAACGCCGTCGACGAATCGACAAGCACCTCCTCCGGGTGCAAGAGCGTCTCTGCTCCGCTGGCCTTGTCGACCCACTCCCTCTCGACGCCGAGATGGGCGATTTGGACCCGACGATCCTCCCTCACCGTCCCACCCGCCCCGACTCGCCTTCGCGGAAGGAACACCGCAAGCCGCGTCCCGTGCTGATCAGCGGCTCGCTCGACAACACGCTCAAGATCTGGGACGTCCGCACCGGCCGCTGCATCCGCACGCTCTTCGGCCACGTCGAAGGCGTCTGGTCGCTCGACGTGGACAAGCTTCGCATCGCCAGCGCGAGCCACGATCGAACGATCAAGATCTGGGATCGCGACACGGGCTACTGCCAGAACACGCTGGTGGGGCATAAAGGTGCGGTGACGTGCGTGAGTCTCAGTGACGACAAGATTGTCAGTGGGTCGGATGATGGTGATATTAAGGTATGGAGCTTTGCTGCTGGTGCGCAGGGGGCGGCCGGGGTGGCTGCGGGGACGGGGCCAGGGACCAGTAAGCTCGCCCAAGTCAGTGGTGTAGGGGAGATGGAGTTGGGTGGGCCGGCGCCGTCGGCATAGGTTCGCCAGTAGATGCCCCTTCACGCACAAGAATGTTTTCTCGGTTTCCGTTTCGCATGCATGCATTTTGACCCTTTCTCATGTCGCAAGAGGTGTGCCGTTTGTGTGTCGACTCAGAGCTGTGATCTCTTTGTGCCATTATGAGGACCGTAATCGTGCGTTGGGGCTGAGAGATACAAGCATTGTTCGACGGATACATCCACTCGATGGTTGCTCTAAGCATCCTCCTGGGCGTCAACAATAGCCGCACTGGCACTAACCTCATCCGCGACCTCTGCTGCGGCGGGCAGCGTCTCCTCCGTCTCCACCTCATCAACCGCCTCAGTGGTGCCATTGGTACCGTTGACACCATTCTCCACCACGTCACCATAGACGCTCGAACCGGGTTCGACCGTCGCCGCGTCATCAACAATAACCGCCTCCTCCTCGCCATTCGTCTTCCTATACTCCTCCAACGCACTCAGATCCTCTTCCCCGCGCATCTCCCTCCTCTCCCCCTCGCCCTCCTCCCTCCGCTTAAATCGCAAATTTCCCTCGTAAAACTGTAGCAGCTTCAACGGGCATCGGTGGTGCACAACGTTGGCCTCGAATGCCAACCGATCGCCGCGGTTGAACAGCACGAACACGCGGAGCTTGTCGTTGGACGTCTTTTCCACGGCTTCGATGCGTCGGACGATAGGGTCCCAATCCGGAATCCTCGCGTATCGCTTGCGCAGCGTCTCGATTTGGAGTACGTGTTGGTGTTGCGCGATCAGACTTTCGCGGTCCTCCTCGCTCAACGTGGGGTCGTTGCGCAATCGTTGGATGGTGGCATCCTCGATATCGACAAACGAATCCCTTGGAGTTGGCGACCGAGATGGTGCCAACCGCTTCGCCTTCTTGACCTCCACCATCGCACTCTTCTTCACCTTCACCTCTGGACTCCCTCCGACATGGGAGTGACGCTTCCCCTTCTTGACCCCCATCTTTTTGACGGACTTTTTGGGCACTTTCGCCCAGTACTCCTTGATCATCTCCTGCGCCCCTCCCATATCAGATTCGAACACCCAACTGTTCTCGCTCTCGGGATAACCTTTCCATTTGACGTAGTAGGAGAATTGACCGTCGGTGGTGATGTCCGAGTGCGAAACGATGTGCTCGATCTCGTACTCGTCCTCCGGAGCGTCCGAGTCCGAGTCGAGCGCTGCGGAGATCGCGGCTGCTGTGGAGGGAGAGGGTGCGGATGCGGGGGGCATGTCGATGTCGTCCGAGGACGAGGCGGAGGGGCCGGCGATGGCGGAGCTCATGTTGAATTAGATGGAAGATGGAGCAAGGAGGATACGAGCGTGGGCGAGGTAGGTGGCGGCCAGACGGAAGATGGGTTGATGCGTGAATCTAGAGTGGTAGATCGAGATGAAGCAGAATGTGTAGTCAAGGCGTATGCGTGTCTAGGTCGGATGTGTGAGAGGCAGGTGGTGATGATGGGCAGGTAGATGGATGCAGAAGGACAAGATGAACGAAATGTCGACGAACCCGCTTCGACTTGCCTCTTTGTTCAACTGGGCGCACAGACGGGAACTTGCAGCGCGTCGCTGGCTCTCTGCGCTGCGCTGCTGCGTGTAGCACCCCTTGCATTTTTTCTCAAGAGTCGCGTAAAGAGAGAGAGACGCGGGAGATTCTGGCGCTTCTCTCATTCCGCACCTGTCTCAGGCCAACACCAAAGCCTTCTGAACCCTGTCAGCCTGAAACGTGGATCATCAGCACCAAATCTATCTATTCGCATGTCAATGCCTACTCCTCCGACAAGTGGTCAAAACTGATCCAATGCGCAACGATCTTAGCCATGTCCTCCGAGTGCTTCAAACAAAACGCATGAGGCATCCCGATCCTGCAATGCGTGCTCGTCGCTCTTGCTCTCCCGTAGTGATATCCCATACCCCTTTGACTCACTTGCTGGTCATCCCCGTTGATGGCGGGCTCGTCCTCGCTATCGCTGCTCGACTCGTTCACCTGTGCCTCGATGACAATTTCGCCGTTAGGTTTGCGGATCGCCTTGGCGTGGCGCAGGTCCGGGATGCTGCCTGGGGACGAACGGTATTCCGAAACGCTGAAGCTGCGTGTTCGGGTGTGAGATTTGGTGCCAGTGAGTTTGGGGCGTGTGTTGGAGGTGTCCAGTCCGAGCCCGGGTGGGAGGTGAACACGGTGCAGATTGAGCGAGTTCTCCACCTGCGATCGGATCCAAGATGGTGCCCAGCCATCACTGTCCTCACTTGCCCAGTAGGACCTCACCCTCCCCTCGCCGTCGTTCGTAAAGCTGGCAACCGCATCGATGGTGGACGATTCGAGCTGTTGCACCGTCCCAAACTCCTCCTTTGCCATGCGCAATGCGTTTCTCACCGCGCCTCTTGTCGTCAACAACTCCGCCGTGGCTAACGCTGCAGCGGCCGGTTGACCCGTCACAAGCCTCACCAACCACACGACCACCACAACAGGTAGCAGCGCCAACATCCACAACACCGGTGCGAGCACCCACCCCACCAGGGGATACATCAGCACCCCGACCCGCCTCGCATTGCTCGTGCGCCCAATCCACGCCAACGTCGGAAACAGCAGATGCAACGCCTCCACGCCGTCCGGTCTTGCCTTCAACACCTCGCTCGCCACCCACGCGCCAATGCTGTGTCCCGCCACCACCACCTTCGTCTGTCGGCTCTCGCCGTTGTATTGGCGATTGATAGCGTCGACGATCGAGACCTTATGCCGGACTTGATCGCGGAGCGTGCAGCCGTACCCCTTGCGCGCCTGGGTGGTGTTGGTGAGGTTGTCCCCCCAAATGGCGTTTGTTCCGACGAGAGGGAGAGGCGCATGCCCGCGATGCGAAACGGACAGGATCTCGATCCCGGTCGATTTGAGCAAGGGAGAGGTGTAGATGGAGTGGAGGAAGTCGATGTAGTACGAAGAGAGACCGGGGTTGCCTGGGATGAAGAGGAGGACGACTCGTGGGGGTGTAGACGTCGAGGAGGGCCACCAGAGCGCTTGAGCGCCCGCAAAGGACGTCGTGATGGGCAGCGAGAGCGAGGCTGCGATCGAGGGGGCCGGTCGCATCTTGGGCGGAGATTGTGCTCACCAGTTGAGGTGATGGCGCTGGTGTGAGGTTCCTGAACGACGAGATCTATAGAGAGGCTCTTCGAAGGTCGACTTGCGGGCTGGTATAAAGCTTGATGGCGAGCGGAGTGCAAATGATGGAACAGCATGAAGAGCAAGGTGAAAGCTACCGCTTCTTCTCCTTCTCGGGCAAATTGTTCCGGCACGCTCTCACAGGACCGTGCGCGCGCTTAGCAACTTTTAAATTTCGTAAACGTGGAGAAGAAATCGGCGCCAAGGCTATGCTGCCGAGAATCCCTGCCAAGGCATGTCCTTTTACGTCGGTGGTTCAGCTCAGCCATGTTCGACGTCAGGGACAACGTCACAGTCGATGCACGAATGGGTCTGCAAAGGAACGCGAGGGCGTTGCGTTGCCCGGGAGATCAGATGTGATTACGAAGAGAAAGTACGATGTGCGAAACGACAGTGACGGAGGGTGACGTTGAGAGGAAACTTACACCTTGCCTTCCTTACGACTCGGGCCTTTGAACAGCTTGCCAAAGACCGACTCGCGCTTGCTTTTGCCCGCCGGCGCGCTTGCCTCAGGATCCACCTTGCTGTGCGAACGGTCCGAGGTGCGTCGAAGCGCGATTTGGCGCGTTGCTGGGTCGGTCAAAGCGTCCTTGTCTTCTGCGGCACGCCGAGAGGTGAAAGTTGCTGTGCTCGTGGAAGAGACCGACCTCTGCTGAGGTGAAGATCGGGGTGTGGTGTTCAAGGTGCTGCCGCTCGCTTGGCTGGGTGAGTGATCATCGCTCTGCGGGGTCAGGACCGGTGACTTGTCGTCCGAGGTGCGTTCCACCGCAGCTGCCTTGTCCGACCCCGCAGAACCGGGACTGAGCTTGAGATCGGAAGGCTCTTCGGTGCTCTCCGTGCGCTTCATCGGCATGACCATTGGCGATGCTGCTTCTCCAATTGGAGCAAGCGGAGCATGAACACCACTGGTCAAGTATGCGTCGTCTTCGGTCCCAGTCCCGCTGTGACCGTCCGCATCGCCAAACGAGAGAGACTTGCGATGAGACAGCGAAGTATCCGCTGAGCGATTGCGTCGCCTGGCGCCACCGATTTGCGAGCCCGCTTCCTTGTCTGACGAAGCGTCGAAGCTGCTGAATCTGCGCAGCAGAGAGAGATCGTTGTCTTCTGTAGCGAGCACATGTTGTCCATCTATCGACACCAGCTTCGTGGATCGGACGGAACCGTGCGGTGATGGCAGCGAGACTACGCCGGTAAAGTTGCGAAAGGGATCCAGCTTATCGAGATTCGGCGTGGTCGTCCGGCTGCTGATGGTGTCAAAGTCCCACGAAAGGTAGTTGTGCGTCGTGTTGGTGGATGCAAGTCGTCGTCGCTCCTGGCGATCAGCGAGGGGAGGCAGTCCCGCGAGCACCGCCGAGATGAGATGCTTCTGCCCTTTCGCCTGCTTGAAGAAGCCATGCGAAAGCAGCTTGTCTGCCGTTGGCCGCTTCTCTGGGTTCTTCTGGAGACACTGACGCACAAAGTCGTCCATGAGCTTCGTGTATTTGTGTGCACCGCCCGTGCGATCGAGCTGTGGCGGCTCGTCCTGCATGGTGCGCATCAAGACTTTGACGGGGTTCAGCTTCGAGTTTGGAGCGCGGCCCTGTGCTAGCTCGAGCGCGGTGATGCCAAAGCTCCAGATATCGGCCTTGGTGCCGTAGTGCTTGCGCTCGATCACCTCGGGTGCCATCCAGCAAGGGGTCCCCACAAAGCTCTTGCGCTTGCCCTCGTTGGCGACGGTGCCGGATGACTTGTCCGTGTCGCCGACAAAGACGCCGACGCCAAAGTCGCCAAGCAGCACCGTGCCATCATCGTCCACCAGGATATTGGCAGCTTTGAGATCACGATGGAGCCAGCCATTGATGTGCAGGTAATTCAGACCTTCGAGGGCTTGCTTGAGCACTGTAGCAATGACGGTCTCGTCAAAACCTTCGGGATGAGCAAAACGCATGATGTCGAGCATGGAGCCACTGTTCATCAGGCGAGTAGCAATGTGGAGCTTGGCACCGTGAACCCAGCAACCACGCACTCGGAGAATATTGGGGTGTTTGGACAGTGACATGAGCTGTGTCTCCCGGCGTAGCTCTTCCGTGTCCCGGCCGTAGGCTTCGAGATCGATGACTTTGATAGCGCACGCTTTGTCAAGCGGCTTGAAAACGCCTTGGTGCACCACCGAGGAGGCTCCAAAGCCTGTTAGAAAGGAAGAAAGGAGGCAAAGAAGATGGTGTGAACAGACTGGATCCAGGGTCACAAGTGTGACCACGCCAGTACCTACCAATCACATCTCCGACAATGTAGTCGTCACCATTGGCCGAGTACATGGGCTTTCGAACATAACGACAGACGAGTTGAGCAGTCAGCGCGCGCAGCCCTGCTACGGAAGGGAAGACAATCCCGCAAAGGCACGCCATCGCTGCGGCGTCTCCCAAAGTCAGAGCTCTACCAAGAGAGGCGAAAGGAATGGCCGACAGCGATGGAGGCAGGGACACACGAGGAAGTACTCACCCAATCATCGTAAACGGAGCCAATATGCATGGCGGCGCGCATTTTGGCCATTCTACTGATGGCAGCATCCTTGTCCTTTGGGCTATCGCGCGATGTGCTGTTTCGAGGGGTCAAGGCAGGCGAAGCGCTGTGAGTCGAAGTGGGGGCCGATGTGGGGGCCGATGCGGAAGCGCTGCTGCTGCTACCAGCGGCCGATGCGGCTGAAGCGTGGCTCGCAGAACCACTGATCTTGCGCAGAGTTTCGAGCGCCATGGCGGTAGCTTTTGACAGGTCTTGACTAGCTCGGAAGCAGCCTGAGCGCAGAGCGCAGCAAGTTAACGCAGTGCTTCTCCTTTTAGCACTGGTACCGCGTGATCCAGCGGCTGCGCGGGAGACCGATTGATGAAGGAGTGGCTTGGTCCTGCTCGAAAGTCCGGGGTACCTCCGCGCTGGTAAGTCGAGCTCGAGTTTGAGACTAGGCGGACGCCAGGCCAGGCCCAGGTTGAACAATGAGGCTCAAGCTCGTTGCGTGATTGGCGTGTGAAATGGAGTCGCTGACTGCGCTCGTGCGGGGATTCCGAAACCTTGATGGTGCGTAAAAGGCAATCGATGTTCCGATCGGAGTAGTGATCCGTGAGAACGCCTATAGCTGGCACTCGATCCCTCCGAAGAGAACAGAGGTCAACGTTCAGATGAGAAAGCGCGAAGCTGGTTGAGACAGTGGGCTTAACAGGGACCGGTTTTGAGGACGACGATTGAGGTGGAGGACAAGAAGGAGCTTGCGGTTGGTACGGACATGATAGTACGGCGACAAGGAAGCTGACCGGAGTGCCCGTGCCGAAAGGAAGTGTCAAGCGAATGCTTGATCAGAGGATGAGAGGCAGCATTGTTATCTGTATGCGCAGCTGCAGCGTGCCAAGCCCAGCCACAGAGCACGGGATCATCACCTAAAAAAAAGCAACACGCAGCTCAGTCGAGCCGGACCCTGAATTTTGGATTTTTGTTGTCCGCGGGATCTTTGAGCGTGGACATGTGGCTGGACTTGTAGCCGCAAGGCTGGCAATCGACAGCTGTGTAATAACTTGATTGATGAACGTCACTCCGACACACACGAGCCGGGTGGGATCGCTGTCTAAACGGCGGATCAGCCTTCATCCGCGACCTCGATGGAAGGGCCAAGGGGGGAACGAGGGCGATTTAGCTCGAGCATAGCTAACTTACAGGGGCCGTGGGGAGAAAAAGACTGCATGACCCCTGCAGTTGTTGTCGAATGTGACATTTGCCTAGGTACTTCTTGCGTCAGAAGCGAGGCGAGGCGTTGACAGCTGATCACGGAGGCGTGCGAAAGAACGTGTCGATGGATTCGCTGTCCACAGAGGCTGCTCCCCTGCGTCAGCCAGCTCTCAGTACTGAGTTAGCCGAAGTGCCCACCAGAAAGCCGGGAAAAGCAGCAGCCTACGATTACGCGAGGTGCAAAGGGGACTTGGTGTTTAGCGTGTCTGACGCGGAGGGGGCAGGATGCCTCACTCTGTATCACAGCAGAGAGAGAACAACGGTCTTGGACGATCTCGACCAGATTGCGAGAACACGACTGGCTCATTGTGTTTGCTCTCAAGCCACGATAAACAAGAGAGCGCCCTGATGGCTGCTAAAGAGCCGCGGCAATTGATTCGCCCACTGGTGGGAGCAAGGCTTGATGACAGGTTGACAGCGGACGGATGTCGTTCGCCTCCTCGTCATACAGCATATGAGCTAAGGGCATCATGACCCACTTAAAGCATGGCACTTCTGCAGCTCGAGTCGCCGATACCTTTCTGTGGCGCTTGACGAGCACTGGCGCGGCTGATCCGGTTTGCTGATGTGGTTTCTCACGGTCTCAAATCAGCAACGACGATTCAGTTCGGGCTCATCGCCACACCATTCATGAGATGACTTCGAGGCGGAGACCCCGCGTTGGTTGCTGGACCTGGACCGACACGCTTCGCGTTTCTGGAGAGAAGAAAGGCGGGGGGTCAGGGAGTTCCCGAAGCCTACACATTAGAAACACGGCGCTCGCGTGTCGGCTAAGCTGCCGACGGTGTGTGTGGCAGCCCAAAAAAGAACGCGTCAAATGGCCGACAAGCCAAAGAGGAAAAGCCGAAAGTGGTCCCACACCGCCGGGCTTGGTCTCTTGCTCTCTCATGCAGACTCCTCTGTGAGCTGCAGCCTGTTACGCCCAAAAAGAACGCCTGTTCTGGACCTTCGCTTAGCTCGGTGACTGCAGCAGCCAAGTCAAAAAAAGCGGCAACGGCCCGTCCCTGCTTCATCTCTCTCTGGTCGCTTAGACTCGACACAACTCCACTTTCCCTTTCTCTTCAAAGTGACACTCAACCACATCGCGATCGACCAAAAGCTCAGCTCGCCGTCTCATCGCCACCACACACATCAGGCTCACTTACCTGTCTTCCACTCTTCCGCTCGCACAGTCAACCCCATCAACTTCCGCAACACTCGCACTGTATTCGTCGCAGCAACTACCGTGTGTCGACCGTCACCACTCCAGAATCTTCATCGATCACGCGCTGATCTCGTCGATAGCAACGCCGCACGACTGCACGCGACCCGAGCATGGCTAGCACGTCGCACTAGGCATCAATCGCCTTCTGAGGCACTATCGCCAGCGTCACAATGCTGCGCAACGCCGTCAGCCGCACCACTCTCAAGGCCGTCGGCCAGGGTGGTCTCGGTGGCTCCTCCAGCCACGCGGAAGGAATGCATCCCAACCTCGGCCTGCACAACGCCGCCGCTACGGGCAACATCGGCCTCGTCAAGTTCGCTCTCGAGAATGGTCAATCCGCCAACAGCAATCTCAACGGCATTCTGCCATTGCATGCTGCTTGTTCCGGTGGCAGCGAACAGAGCGTGCGCATGCTCATCTTCCACGGCGCCGACGTCAACGCCCCTCGACTCAAGGCGAAGGGTTCAAATGGTGGTCCCGGAGCAGAAGGCTCCACTCCGCTCCACTTCGCTGCCGCCAATGGTCATCTCGAGATTGTACGCATGCTCCTCGAAGCAGGGGCGCGGCCAGCTGCCGCTGACAAAGACGGCGTGACCTCGGAAGCGCTCGCGACAAGCGCCGGAAACACCGAGTGTGCCAATCTCATTCGCTCTTGGATCTCTGCCTACGGCTCCAATGGTCTCGCGGGCATGGTCGAATCACGCGAGACCGTGAGCGGCGACGTTACCCTTGGCCCCGCAGGATACATTCGCTATGCTGCCTCAGGTCCCAGCACTTCTCCCGGCACATCAAGAGGCTCTCAGCCCGCAGCGACTTCGTCCAGCACCCACAACATGTCCCGCTCGACAACACCTCAGCTTTCCACTTCCACTTCCGCATCCAGATCGTCCGCTACGCACTCCTCCTCCCTGCTAACCGCCAATTCGATTTCGGACCCGCACCAGAGCTCCTCAAGCCTCAAGTCACCTCAGCCCGTCGCTTCGCCGGCTCCTCTCTCTGCCACCGCTACCCCGACGTCTCCAAATCCAAGTACACTTCCCACCGGCTACTCGCAGTACGATTACGCTGCCTCAATATCCAGCGCTGTCAGATCTCCTTCCGGTCCCTCGCCAGCAGTGGCCTCCGGAAGCGTTGCGGCTGCTTCTGCAGCAGGAGGGAGTGTACGGGAATCCAAGAGAAGACCTTCGATCCCTTCGATCCTCGGGAAAGCAGCCCATCCAGCTGCATCATTGCGAGCAGCGCTGGGTACAGGCTCGTCGTCGCAGGCGACCGGAAGCGTATCGCAGTCCTCCTCGAGTCGATACCTTGACCACTCGTACGACGCAACAACCTCGAGTCCTGGAAAGAAGCATAGCAAGCTTGGCGGCAAACGCAGCCTCACCAATATCCTCAAGAAAGCCACAGGCTCCAACGCGAGCACCACTCCTTCCTTGGCCACCAAACCTCCCATGCCTTCTTCGTCGAGCTCCTACTTTGGTGACGTGTCCGCTGCGAGCAGTAACAGCATGCTCAGCGGTGGCGCTATCAACATGGACGCGCTCGCAAAGCCTGGACGTGCCTCTGGCCGCTCCTCGGATTACAGCCGACCGCCCGTAGCTTTGCGGCGCAGCACGGCCGGAAACAGCTTGAGCGAAGGACAGGAAGTGCCAAAGAGCCCGAACGCGGCAAGAACCGCTCTGCCAGCTTCTAGTTTAGAAGCTGTTGCCTTGGATCAGCAGCGAAAACTTCGCACCGCCTCTTCGTCATCGTCTCTCTCCACGCCGCGGGATCAGTTCCTCGCCGATAGCCAGATCCGTCGAGCGCGTGCTGGATCCAACGAACAGATCTCAACCCATCACCATCCTCCGCCACGCGCAAATGCTTCTCTCGATTTGCTGCGTCCGACCGGTCACTTGGGTGTCACCAACGTCAGTCCGCGAACAAGCGCAGACAAAACGAGGGCAGCAGCTGGTCAGGACAGCCGCATCGACGCGATGAAGCGCGCAGCTGGCCAATCTTCGACCTCAGGGCCATCACCATCCGCCCAACAAGCTGGCAATGCTCTGGCGATGCCTCACCTTGGCGGCAGGGACAGATCAGTGAGCGGCTCGAGCTCTCAAAGCGCTGGCACCACCGATAATGAACGGAGTCAGGCACACTCCCATATGGATGTCATCGCCGCCGAAGGCGACTTGCAGGAGTTTCTTGACCACCCAGTCTCTAGCGCTGGCAATCAAAGACAAGAGAGCGACGAGCACCACGACTCACATCACCTCCCCGCTGGCTTGCGTACCATGACGGCACTCCGACAGCAGCAGACCACCAGAGACGCAGGAGATGCGTTGACATCGTCGGCAGACGCTGCGGCTCTCAGCGCCTCAGGCGCGAGGAACGACGAAAACACGAGGGCTAGCAGTGTCCAATTCAATCGCACAACGCGTGATCGATCCGGCAGTCACACATCTGCCGTCAGCTCAGGCTCTCAATCAGGAAGTAGTTCACGCGGCCTCGATGCGATTCAACGACACTCGCCTGGCCTCTCAACGAATTACCAGGCTCTCTCCGTTGCCGAAGAGAACGGAATGTCGTTATTTATTGGGCGCGCCTCGGGCGCTGGCAGCTCGTCTACGTCGCTGGGTCGTGCGGGTCGTTCTGCCTCGGTTGCCAGCGTGGCCAGCCAGGCGTCGTCTTCTTCGCTTCGCTCCAACTACCTGAGTGCTGCCGAGCAAGCACAGGCGATTCTCAATCACGAGACTCCTTACGCTAGTGACGGTCCAGACGGCACAAGTACATCGTTGGCAGCGCAGCTCGCTGCCTACGGAGAAGCGCTCGCCCAGGAGAGACGGCGAGCGGGGGATGCGCGAAGTGGACCCTCGCCCAGCCTGAGTACGAGAGGCAGCAATGCAGCTCTGCGGTCCAAGCTGCCCAGTGTCACCGAAGATCAGTCGCCTTCCCGCCCAACGAGTCATGGCACGCGCAGCGCTTCCATTAGTGATGCTCGCACCCCCAACTACCCCGCAACTGCAGCGCAGTCTTACAATCGACGTGTGTCGCGCAGACCGCATAGCAGCGAGGGTCGCCAGCCGCAAGAAGGTATTAGACGCGGCACTTTCAGTCCAGTCAGCACCACGGTCAGTCCTCCACCTCTGCCAGCAACGGACATATCCAGGCTAGGCCAGAACAGAATGACTGGGAACGACGACAATAAGCAAGGCGCATCACGGATCGCTTCGCCTGATGCGGCCAATATGTCTGGGCTTGCATCACCTCCGCAAGCATTCATTGTGCAGACTCCTCAAACGCCCGCTACCAGGTCCGTAGCCCCGCCCCAGCAAGTTACGCCAGGTCGTGCTGAAGCCGGAGTCAGAGCCATTGACCGCAGCGGAGGAGCTGCGCCATCGGTGCCGGCCAAGGGTCAGCCCCGACGTCGCCACGAGCCTGTCGTGTTCCATTCTGCGGCCGGTCTGCCGTTTGTTGTGGCCACCCAGAGCGACGGTACAACATCGGCAGCCGTCGATGTGGACGACGACGACGACGATGATCCCAAGACACCCGTGCTAGGTGCAAACAAGGCGCTTTCTGGCAAGTTCACTAGCTCGCCACGCAGTCTGCATCAACACAGCCCTTCTCTGCCGATGGAGCTCGCCTCGTACGATGCAGCTCGACACGAAGCATTGCCCGAGCCTGCATTGGCTGACCGCAACAGTGCGAGCGCTACCGCAAGTCTGCCCCTGCCTCTGCCACCGCCGCGAAAGGAGTCCATCAACGCACCGTTGACGGGCGAGCATCTTGCCCGCAGTGACTCGCGCCCACGCAATGACGAACGCATGCTCAGCCCGGACCCGGCCACGTGGTCCGCCTGGCGAGCTGAGGATGACGCTCCTGTACGTGACGACGATACCAGCCGCGACAGAGCGATGGGCACCGCCTCTTTGAGTCGTGGGGAAGGTTTGAACAGGCCCAGCATCAATATGCTACGCACCGCAACTTCCTCGTCCACACACTCTCAAACGCCAAGCCACACGTCACTGAGTGGCACCGAGGATTACGGTCACGGACAGGCAAACTGGTCGACCGATGATGCAGCAGACGAGCAGCCCACAAACACCTCGACGACAACAAGCAGTGGCAGCACTGGCAAGCGCGGGTTGGTACGCAATCTTCTGAACAAGGCCAAAGGCTCTTCCTGATTTTTTACTCCTCGATAGCAGCAGCAATGTCTATGCACTCGTTCCACGTCGCACTCATCACTCACCAACAACGTCAATACCACAGCATCGTCCTCATCTGCTTGTCGAAGGGGCAACTGTGTGAGCTAAGAATAGAATCACGAGTCTCGAGTAGCGTGTCACGCCAAGTCGCACGTTTATCGCGTCGAGAAGAATGTCAAGCACGGGCCAGTGTATCGCGACCTAAGCGAGTCTGCAGAATTAAGCTTTCGCTTCATATGGCTTTGCTGTGGGGTCCGTCAATGCTCTCGTCAGTAACTTATCGAAACATTACGAGGGATCGTTCTTGCTCCCATCCATCCATCTCATCGACAGATCAAGATGAGCGGCGAAGCACCTAGACGAAGCGCGAGGAACGCTGGCAAGCCTGCCCCGTCCGCGCCTGCCCCTGCGCCCGCTGCGGCCAAGCGCAAATCGGCCGGCGCCCCGAGCGGTGCTGCTGCTGAGAAGAAGGCCAAGCCGGCCGCATCCAAGCCCGCTGCTGTCGGCCAGCTCAAGGTCGGCGACGCGCTACCTTCGTTCAAGCTCAAGCTGCAGGACGGCAAAGAGATCGACACTGCCACGCTGAAGAACGCAGTGCTCTTCTCGTAAGTCTCGCCCCGTCCTCCCTGTTGATGCTTCTCCCCCTCTGACATCTTTGCGTTCTTTCTGGACTTCACAGCTACCCGCGCGCCAACACATCCGGCTGCACAACACAGGCCAAGCTGTACCGCGACAACCACGCCTCCTTCACCTCATCCTCCTACACCGTCTACGGTCTCTCCAACGACTCACCCACCTCGCTCTCGTCCTGGAAGGACAAGCAGAAGTTTCCCTACGATCTCATCTCGGACCCGCAGCGCAAGCTCATCAAGGCCCTCACGGGCAGTGACGACAAGACGAGACGCAGCCACTTTGTCGTCGACAAGCAGGGCAAGCTGGCGTTTGTCGAGCTCAGCGTCAAGCCGGTCGAGAGCTGGGAGTCCGCGTTGGAGTTTGTTCAGAAGAAGTGATTTGATTAATGTTATCGAATCTTGACAGCATGACCTTCTTTGATGGACATGAGTCGGGTTGGGAGCGTAGTGCCAAATTGGAGTGCAAGGAAGGCGTGCAGCCGAGTGTCCTCTTCGAGATCGCCTTTGCTATCAGCGCGAGAGCCTATCGCATCGGATGTTTGGTCGTCCGCATCCCACTCCTCTGGCGGCTCTTCTTCGTGCTTCTTCCCGGTATGTGGTTCTGCTGCCACCTCGCTCATCGCCAAGAGAAGGTCAGTGTTGAGCAGCAGCAGCTCTACCAAGAACCTCTCCCTCCCACCTTCACCTTGCACCCCAGTCCCATCGATCATACCCTTGACACGCGCCGAAATGGGCAGATACATGTAGCTCTTCCGCGCCACCGCCCACGCTGCACTCCGCAACGCCGGAACCGTTTGAAGCAGCACCAGCCTCTGCCATCCATCCATCTGGTATCCTTCCTTGCCCATCACGAGCCGCGAGAAGCGGAACGGGTCGACGTCGCGGAGCGCCTCGTAGAGCGTATCGCACATGCTGAGATGCGGATCGAGCTCTGACCCGTACAGGCTCGATAGTGTCGCTCGCAAGCTTCTATATTCCCTGAGACCGCGATGGAGAGGTTCCATCACCGAGCCGGACTCTGAGTCGTATTGCCCGAGTCTCGTCGCTCGACCAGAGAGACAGAGCGTTTGCAGCATGTACAGTGAGACGACCCGCACGCGCCTGTTTTCCGTCGTGTGTTCCAGGTCAAGATGCTTGGCGAGCCGTATGACGTCCTCCGACCCCCTCTCTTCAGTTGGTCCAGAAGGGTACAGCTCGAGCACCAACCTCGGCAAGGTCGCAGCCAACTGCGTCGCATCTCCGCACAGCACGGCCAGATACGCCGACAGCTCGTACACCTCGACCGCGAACCCGTCCGTCCTTTTACTCGCCACGAGCGCCTCTCGAAGCTTCCGTACTAGCAGCAAAACCTGTTGCAGCTCCTCCTCCCCGGCGCTCACGGCCGTCTTGGCGGGTGAAGGCAGGTACCGTGCCGAAGAGAGCACGCTCAAAGCGGCGCCTGTTGCATTGGACAGAAGCGGCAGTGCTTTCTCGTTGAGCCGCGTGGAAATGTAGTCGCGGAACTCTTGCTGCACTTCAGAAGATGTGAGGTCCATACTGCCCTGCGAGGAGAGCTCCGTGGAGAGAGAGGAGGTGGAGTCGAGACCGCGAGAGGGTGAGGCGAGGAGAGCGAGCCGGTCAAGCGACTTGCCGCCTAGCGGACGCGAGGCGTCCCGCACTTGAAGACCTTCGCTCATGCTGCTGCTCGCTTTGCGGCCTGATTGTGGAGACAGTGTGTGCGGAGACGATTGAAGATGTATTGATGGCGCGGTGGGTCTGATCGATGTCCGGGAGAGCGTGTCTGCCAGATAGGAGACAGATGTGTCGTCTGACGGAGCAGAGCGTGATGGTGGGGTGGCCCATCTTGATGCGCCAGATCCATGATTCGGGCGCAGATCATTACTTCTTGGCTCCGATGCTCTGCTGAAGGCGCTACCACTGGATGAAGACGGCTCGTTCGGCCGCGACCGCCACGACGAGGAAGATGCAGAACCGCCAGCGTTGCTCGAGCCGTTGGTAGCCCATCGACTTTGCTGAGAGCTGTTGCTCTGCGACGACTGCTGGGCGGCTTTTGATTGAGCCGCCCTTGAGCTTGACCATCTAGATTCTTCTGCCATGGCTACTCCTCGTCTCTGAGGTGATGATCAGTGTCGAGAGTGAAGGTCAGGTCGAGCAGGGCCAGTCCGAGAACAGAACCTCCACAGTCGGCTTTCGGCTGATTGCGCACGACCAACACCTGCGCTGGACCCTGAAATTCCCAACTCAGCGTCACTCTTCCTTCTCAACCTTCTTCTCATCCTACCGCAATCGTTTCGAGCAAGAGTCGATCAGCATGCCGATGGTCACACCGGCATTGCGGCGGGCACAAGCCGCTCCGTCCTCATCCAGCACCAACATCGCCGCCGCCTCATCATCAACAGCCACGCTGGGCTCGCAAGACCTGCCTCCCATCCCACGCATCCCGTTTGACAGAGCTACACTCTCACGTATCACCGCACCAGTCAAGAAGATTGTCACCGAAGACGACGTTGAGCGATGGAAGCAGTCCGAAGCGTATTCTGTCTACCTCTTGTTCCTGCAGCGCGTCTGCGAAGCGAGCGTAGGAAAACCAACTCGGCTACCCGTCTCATCTCCCGCCGATGACGGTGCACCGCTTCACAAGCTCATTGCGCTTCTACACCAGCTCGACTCTTGGACAGACGAGATCGAGCCGCAAAGCCGACCGCAACGATTTGGTAACCTAGCCTTCCGGGATTGGGGTGCCCGTCTCGAGAACCGCATCGATCAGATTCACGCCGACCTGCTACCGTCACACATACAGCCGTTTACGGTCGAACTCAAGGCGTATCTGTTCGACTCGTTCGGCAGCTTTACGCGCATCGACTATGGCAGTGGACACGAGTTGGCTTTCTTCGCCTGGCTAGGGTTTTTGTATCGCCTCGGATTCTTCTCTTCCTCTCCTGCAGGGGAGGAAGGAACGGTAGCGGATGTGGAAGTGGAAGAAAGTCTAGGACTGGAAGTCTTCCCGCTGTACCTGCATGTGGTGTGGCGGCTGCAGGATCGATATGGTCTCGAGCCAGCGGGGTCACACGGCGTATGGGGGCTCGACGATTTCCAGTTCCTACCCTACGTGATTGGTGCTGCGCAACTGCGCACTCAGTCCACCTTGCGACCCGCCCAAGCCGTCACCGCCTCCTCGCACAGCAGCATCCTGAAAGACCAGCTAACAGGGCAAAAAGACCCCGCGGCTCTCATCTCTACTTCACTCATCCTCCCATCCACCCTCCTCACTCCACCCGACGGACAAGTGACAGTGCCCAACCTCTACCTCACCTCTCTTCTTCGCATTCAAACGCTCAAACGCGGTCCGTTTCACGAACACTCGCCTCTCCTGCACGATATCGCCACCACCGTACCCAACTGGGTCAAAGTGTATGGGGGGATGGTCAAGATGTACCGCGCCGAGTGTTTGAGTAAGAAGGTGGTGGTGCAGCATTTTGGCTTTGGGGGTGTGGGGTGGGTTTGGTCTGACGCACCGGTGATGGCCACGACGAGTGTGGGACCAGCAGGGGGAATGGGAATGGCATTGGGTGGGGGAAGGGGCAACATGGGTAGTATGGGCGTGCCCACTGCCAGAGTCACGGGTGCTGGAATGGGCGCGGTGAGGAGTGGGGCGGGGCACGGGTTGGGTCAGGCACTGGGGCTGGGGCCGAGAGTCGGGCAAGGGAGGGCCGGGATGGGGGCGACGCAACGACCGGCCCAGACGATTGTGCCTCCCCTGCAAAGGCCTGCGCCGCCATCCGCACCGACGACGGCGGCTACGAGTAAGCCTCCTGCACAGACGAAAGAAGAGAGCTCATCGTCATGAAATCGAGCAGCTTTCCGCCTCAGTAGATCTGGTGACATATGGCGTGGTTGAGATGTGATGAAGATGACTGCTATAATACAATCCACGCATTGTGCAACGGAAGGAAGTCCGAAAGATCAGGCACCGCGACGCAAAGTGACCTTCATCGCCGACCTCGACGACGACGGTGGCAGCCCAGCTTCCACCGGCGGACTTGCGCCGCGCCTCGCTGGTTCGGGACTGGCGCTTTCCGTGTACTGTCGCAGACGTTCTGCGCGATCGCCCGTTGAGGATGCGGGCGGCGGTGGTTGTGGAGAGTGGTGACGCGAATCGTACGATGGCGCGTAGGCGCGTGCCTGTGTGTGAGGATGCGACCTGGCTGCGGGAGGCGGTGGCGGCGGGTAGTCATCGTATGCCGAGCCGTAGGACGCTCTTGTTGGTGCAGCAGCTTGCGGTTGACGGTATGCACTGCTTCCACCGCCAACAGCATAACCCTGATACTCTCCGGCTCCCCTGACTGGCCCACTCGACGAAGCACCCCCACGGTTGGATCCCTGAGCAGCATACGGATCCTCCCTCTCGTAGGGCGGATAAGAGGCGACACCCGGCGTCGCGCGCGACTCGGCATCCAACCGCTCGTACAGGATCGCGCGCTCAAGACGCATGCGTTGGATGTTGCGCTTGATGCCGAGCGTCTTGAGATGAAGCTTGTCGTTCTCCACCTCGATCTCGCGCACCTTCTTCTTGAGCTCCTTGTACTTGAGACGGTATTTGGCCGCGTCGCCCTGGATGGCGACGGTGGACGAGTAGGCTTTGGACTTGGTCTTGACCGGCTGCGTTGCGGGCGTTGGTGCTGACATTGTTGCTGTCGCGCGACTCGATGCGTGTTATAGCAAGATGATGATGGTCTGTCAGGATGAATTCGCGCGTCTTCGATGAATGCGGTGACGACTCGAAAGATGGCGCGCGCCGATGGCTGAGCAATGGGAGCGTGTGACGGTTCGAGGATTCGATGTGATATGCGAGAATAGGAATGAATGGTCGGTGCGGCTTCGGAAGCTTGGGCAGTCACGTGCGAGAGAAGAAAAGGTGGAATATGAGCCATTTCGGAGAAGGTGTTGGAGTGAGAAGAGCGCAGCAGCGCAGCAGCGCAGCCCACCAAAGCTCAAAAAGTGACTCGCAAAAACTGAGCGCTCCCTTTGACCTTCTTGACTCGACTCCATCATCCTAGACACTGACGATACAAAGTAGAGTTAGCGCATCTCTCTTCTGCGTCATCGCATCACACCACCCAACATGTCTTCGTCAGCACCCCAGCCGGTGTCTTCGTCGGCAGAGCCACGAGACCCGGTATCCAACCTCACCGAGGCCGCCCAGAATGTCGACCTCAACGCACAACCAGAGCAGAAGCAGAAGCAACAAAAGCAGCAACAGCAGCAGCAGCAGCAGCCAAAGGGCGAGAAGAAGCCAAAAGCCAAGAAGGACGCTGCCGATGGCGCATCCAAGGCCCCTCTCGAGTTCTCTCCCAAGCCCGCCTACTTCGACCACCGCATCGCCATGTTCGAGAAGCTCAAGGCAGAGCAGGATGCCGAGTTCGCAGCAAAGCCTCGTCAACCCATCACTGTCACCATGCCCGACGGATCCACGCGCCAGGGCACCTCGTACGAGACCTCACCCCTGGACATTGCTAAGGAGATCTCCAAGTCGTTGTCGGAGCGAATCGTCATCTCCAAGGTGGACGAGACTCTTTGGGATCTCGAGCGTCCATTGGAGGGCGACTGCAAGCTCGAGCTGTTCGACTTCGAATCACCCGAGGGCAAGCGCGTCTTCTGGCACTCGTCGGCACACGTCCTTGGCGAGGCCTGTGAGAAGCACTACGGCTGCCACTTGTGCATCGGCCCTCCCACCGAAGACGGCTTCTTCTACGAGATGGCCATGGGCGACTCGGGCGACCGCATGATCACCCAGACCGACTTCTCTGCGCTCGAGACCCTCGTCAAAAATGCCACCAAGGAGAAGCAAAAGTTCGAGCGTCTCGTCGTCTCCAAGCAGCAGCTCCTCGAGATGTTCAACTACAACAAGTACAAGCAGCACATCATCCAGTCCAAGATCCCCGACGGCACCTCCACCACCGTCTACCGTTGCGGTCCTATGATCGATCTCTGCGTTGGTCCTCATATACCCCACACCGGCCGCATCAAGGCCATGACCGTCCTCAAGAACTCGGCGTCCTACTTCCTCGGCGACCAGAACAACGACTCGCTCCAGCGTCTCTATGGTATCTCGTTCCCGGACGCAAAGCAAATGTCCGAGTACAAGCAATTCCTTCTTGAGGCTGCAAAGCGCGACCACCGCAAGATCGGCAAGGAGCAGGAGCTCTTCATGTTCCACGAGCTGTCGCCCGGTTCGTGCTTCTGGTTGCCCCACGGCGCGCGCATCTACAACACGCTGCAGGAGTTCATCAAGTCTGAGTACCGTCAGCGTGGCTTCGACGAGGTTATCACTCCCAACATGTACAACTCGAAGCTCTGGCAGACCTCGGGTCACTGGCAGAACTACAAGGATGACATGTTCGCCCTCGGCGTCGACAAGGAGCAGTTCGCCCTCAAGCCTATGAACTGCCCGGGTCACTGTCTCATGTTTGCCGCGCGCGACCGATCGTACAAGGAGCTTCCGCTTCGACTGGCCGACTTTGGTGTGCTCCACCGAAATGAGGCCTCGGGTGCGCTCAGTGGTCTCACGCGTGTCCGACGATTTTGTCAGGACGACGCGCACATCTTCTGCATGTCGAGCCAGATCGAGCAGGAGATGGCCAACTGCTTTGACTTCCTGCAGCGCGTCTACAGCCTGTTCGGCTTCGACTTCAAGCTGAAACTCTCCACGCGACCGGAGAAGTTCCTTGGCGAGATCGAAACCTGGAATGCGGCCGAAGCGCGACTCGCCGCGGCGCTGGACAAGTTCGTGCCCGGCAAGTGGGAGCTCAACGCCGGCGACGGAGCGTTCTACGGCCCCAAGATCGATATTACCATCTCGGATGCCATGCGCCGTCAGTTCCAGTGTGCCACCATTCAACTCGACTTCCAGCTGCCGCAGCAGTTCAAGCTCGAGTACCGCACCGCCGTGTCCCAAGGCGGTGAGACGCAAGCCGAGCGACCTGTCATGATCCACCGTGCGATCGTCGGCTCGCTCGAGCGCTTCACGGCCATCCTCACGGAGCACTTTGCCGGCAAGTGGCCGTTCTGGCTCAGCCCGCGTCAGGTCCTCGTCGTTCCCGTCACCAACACCGTCTTCGATTACGCCAAGTCCGTTCAGCAGAGGCTGTGGGATGAAGGGTTCTATGCGGACGTGGATCTGACCGACAACACGCTGCCCAAGAAGGTGAGGAACGGCGAGATCAACCAGTACAACTTTGTGTTTGTGGTGGGTCACGAGGAGATGGAGACCAAGAGTGTCAATATCAGAAACAGAGACGATGCGAACCAGAAGGGTAAGGCGGAGACGATGGATCTCGAGAAGACGGTTGAGGCGCTTAGGAGATTGAAGGGCGAGAAACGGCTGGAGAACAGGTTGGTGTAGAAGTCATTACGCGTTCACCTTCCTTTGCACTCACACACAATCTCATTATTCATGAAGCTCAGACTGTGCGGTCGATTCGTGAGGTATCGATGAGGTATCATTGAGAGACAGAGACCAGCTATACACTTATTTACAACCGACATTCGTCCTCCGACCGGCACGGTCCGAACTAGAACAGCAGTCCACCGAGCAGCATACCACCAGCCAAGCCACCCAGGATAGGCATTCCTGCACCGCCGCCATACGGCCTGCTGTAAGGACCCATGGGTCTGCTGTACGGCCCATAAGCGCCGTAAGGGCCGTTCATAGTCTGGTACGGGCCGTAGCCGAGTGTAGCGCCGTATCCATACGCGCCGGGTGGGGGAGGCTGTGCGAAGATCTCTCGTCCCTGCTTGTCCCTGCCCACCAGCTGTGGCTGACCGGTCTGCGTGGCGACCTGAAGCGCTCTCCTGATGGCCTGGTGCTGTTCGAATGCGCGCTGTTCGGCCTCCCTCTGCGCCTGCCTCTTTGCCTCTCGCTCGCTGTGCGTTGTGTTGGTCAGCTTGTCCTTGAGCGAGCGGCCGAACTTCTTCATGCCCTTGGGCTGGGCACCCGCACTCGCACCCGCCCCAGTGGCGGCGGTGGAGGGATGACGGTGATCATCCTCATCATCGGTATCCGCATGAACCATGTGTTCGCGCTCGATGCGCTCCCTCTCCTGCTTCACTTCCGTAGGATGCTCGCGCTGATACTGCTCATCGTCGAAGGGGTGGACCCAGATGGAGCGTGGCGGCTTGGCCTGCGTGTCGACAAAGAAGTTGTGTTGCGTGGTCGGGTCGAATTGACGGATCCAACCCTTGGGTAGGGGTCGCAGCATGTCCTCCATCGACTTGCGCGCCGTTTGCTCGTCCTGCTTGGGGACGCCCAGATGGCTACCGGTGGTGGAGGAGGTGGCGGCAGCAGGGCGAGACGAGCCGCTGGCCTGCTCGTAGGAGGGAGGTGCTTCTGTGGGCTGTGATGGGTTCGACATTGTGCTTTCGCTATCGGGTTAGAATGGGGATGGTGGTGGTGGTGGTGCGGAGGGAAAGGTGTGTAGCGCCACCGTAAAGTCTCATATGACTCTGACCCAGCGTGGATGGCCGACGCTCCGATGAGCCAAGAGCATCTCAAGGGTCCCCAGCTGCTGCGCGCGGATGGCTGAAGCCGGAGAAGTGGAGGCTTTAGCCACCAAAGCTGTGCCTCTGCGTCACCGACCGCAGCGGCATCTCGATTTCCCAAGCACAGCCTCTTGGCAAGGTCCATTTTTCTGCGAATATCATTGATTGTTACACCTCATCTTCACTCATCCCAAGCGTCGAAAAGTCGACGAATATCCGAAGACACGGCAAAGAAGGGTCGAGCTCGGTGGCTAAACGATGGACGCCGCAATTAGCCGGGTTCGATACCGAAGAAGCATACGCTCATCAATTCATGACGTTTGCAAGGCTTCGATCCGCGAAACTTTCTTCCTTTCGAGCTCTGTGCTGACTGATTAGGACGCAGAAGGCGAGAATTTGCCGTCCGGACTTGATCCGAGGGGTGTCGGACGCTCTCCGAAGCAGCAAGCCTTGGTGACAACCCGTGAGGATAAAGTGACAAACGGCGTGAGAAGGTTCGCTCTCCCTCTGCTCGTCACAAGACTCTCACGCCTACCAAAATTGATTCGTAGTCGACGTTAGCCTTGGAAGCAACCGCCGGCAGCCGCTTTGTCTCTCATTTAGTACAAAGGTAAGTTGGAATCGGCATCCATGCCGAAATCGTGTCAGTTAGACGCTCGCTATCGGAAGGGATTGCGCCGACGCTGCGCGGTCCAGAAAAAAATATTGGCCGTCCGCCTCGGTTGCTGGCTGAGCTGACACGCTCAGACCCTGAAGTGTTGGCCTCTCAAAGAAGCTGCGTCTCCTCTTCACCTTGAACCTCGATCATCATCCCTTCTGTCGTCTTGACCGTCACGCACTGCTTAGCCCATCCTCTCTGCCTCGATCCCGTGCTGACCACGTTTAGCTCAAACCGGCTGCCTGCTGCTTCACCTCGATTATTTACCGCGTAACAGACTCGAGACTGCAGGAACTACATCGCTCGAGGCCAACATCGCTTACGTCGCCCCGTCGTCTCTCAGCAAACTTCATCAGCTCAGCATCTAATCCCTTTTACAACCACTTGACTCCGCCGTCGAGCGCGAAAGCAAAATGACGACCGATCAAGCAGCCGAGAAGGAGCTCCAGTCCTCCTTGCTCCGCATCTCGATCATTTGCGCATCCTCCATTCAATCGCTGCGCGAACCGGTCCAGCCAACGATTCTCCCGGCAGACGATGACCAGGCCTCCTCGTCTTCAGTGCCACCAACGGCCGACAAGCTGTCGACGCAGATCGTCTCGGATCTCACACAGCTGCTCACACTCGTTCAAAAGCATTCCAACAACCTCGCTGTAGCACTCAAGCCCAGCGCCAAAGCATCGTCGGCGGCGAAAGCAACCGCAAATGGCAGTTCTAATGATGTCGTTTCTCCGGTCTCTGGGCTGGATGCAAAGTCACTCGAGGCGGCTCAGGCACAAATCGTCTCTTTGGGCTCGGATCTCCTTCCCAAGATCGTCTTCCTCGCAAAGAAAGCGTGGAAGGACCGTGAAGTCTTCCAGAAGCGACCTCAAGCAAATCAGAACGACCCAGCTCAGATCGAGGAAAGGCGCAAACTCGAAAAGCTGGCAAAGGAGATGGGCGGTCAGATCATGTCGGCAGACCAGCTCGGCCTGCCACCTTCCGAACGAGACGATCTCGAAAAGAAGCTCGAATACTCGCTTGGCAACTCTTTCGCCCGTGAGGTCCGCTCGGCCGTGGAAGATGTCATTGGCTCCATAGCCGATCTCTTCCACTCGCTACTCGACGACCGGGCAAAAAAGGCGCTCGAAAATGCATCGCAGGCTCGCGATCGTGCCGACGGCGTCATTGCCGGCGTCAGCAAGAAACTCGAATCGCTCTCCGTCAACGGCAACGACAGCCCGGCAGAGCTCCGCAAGCGCACCCTCGCAGCCAACAATCTCGTCTGGGAGACGTGCGCAAAATACATTGGCGAGAGGAACGCCGACGGAACACCACGCACCCTCACCTCCATCGCCCCCAACGGCGTCCGCACCAAGGTCCACGTCAAAGGTCTCAGCAGGTCCAACCTGGAAGCATGCAAGCGCAGCTGGAGCAACCGCGTCGAGCTCATGCGCGATGGTCTGCAAGAGCTCAAGGAGGGCATCGAGGCGGATCAGTCGCAGACCGGTGCCGCAGTCGACGCCGGAGAGGCCGACGAGTTCTCCTTCCCCGATGCCACGCCTCTGTCGCCCGAGCAGAAGGACCGTCTCCGCCAGCTCTCGAACCTGGTCAAGATGGGCAACCTAACACACGAGAACATCCTCAAGGAGATCGCCAAGTCCGACCCAGCCAAGAGCGGTATCGATCTGGACGAAGTCGAGGAGCTTGGCAAACAGCTCGAAGAGGCGCAAGACGAGCTGGTCGCTGCTTGCCTCTACGGCGAAGCGGATGCTGGTCTCGAGGTCAAGATGTTTGACCACGACGCTGAAGAGGACGAGGACACGGATGCGAATGAGGCAGCTGGCGACGATGCCGATGCGGACTTGACCGAGGAGCAGGCCATTGAGAAGGCAGTCCTCCGCACGTTCGAGCAGTACGTTCAGGCCGTCGTCACTCTTTCGGCCTACGTGACTGACCGGGACGAGCTTGTGGAGCAGATCAACATCGCAAGCGCCACCGACGAGGAGGGCGCCTTTGCTAACGTGTTTGCCGCCAAGTTCAATCAGCTGTCCAAGGTGCTGTCTGAGGCAAGCTCCGGCATCGCTGTTCGTGGCGCCGCGTCGTCTTCTAGCGCGAACGGGGCTCAATCAGCCCCGAGCGTACAGCACAAATCCGTTGTTCAGGCTAATGAAGACTTCAAGACCGAGGTCTTCGTTCAAGAACTTCAGTCGATCGCCGACAAGCTCGGCTCCAACGCCAAGGTCACCGACCGAGCCATCGCCGAACAGCTGGACAAAGCTGATCCCTTGCGCCAGATGCGGGCGGGCTACATTTTGCCCACATTCAAGGACGTCTGCAGCTCCGACTACCCATCGACATCAGCCGAGACAGCACCCGACGCAGAGTCGCTCTACATGTGCGGTAACTCGCTGGGTCCGCTCTCGCGTCTGGGCAAGCAGTATCTGGAGCAGGAGATCGAGGCATGGGGCCGCAAGGCGGTGCTTGGTCACTTTGAGCATCCTTACGGCACACCGTGGACGCAGATGGAGGGACGTGTCGGAGAACTTTGTGCCAACATGGTCGGTGCAAAGAAGTCTGAAGTGGTGGTGATGGGCACGTTGACGGGCAACTTGCACTCGCTCATGGCTACGTTCTACCGTCCTGCCACCAAGCCTTTCGGCATCGACTTTACCGGTGACGTTGAGGCGGGCAAGAAGGACGGCAGGAAGACCAAGCACAAGATCATCTTCGAACAGAAAGCATTCCCGTCGGACCAGTACGCCCTGGCTTCGGTCATCGAGCTCAACGGCTTCGATCCGAAGACCTCAATGGTTCCTCTGGTGCCCAAGGAGGGCAGCAAGACGCTCGAGACGGCCGACATCCTGGCGACGATCGAGAAGTGCGGCAAGGAGGGCGAGACGGCCATGGTACTCATCGGCGGCATCCAGTACTTCACAGGTCAGCTATTCGAGCTCGAGAAGCTCGCAGCCAAAGCACACGAGTACGACATCCTGTTCGGTGTCGATCTTGCCCACGCTTTCGCCAATGTCCCTCTGGCACTCCACGACTGGGGCATCGACTTTGCGTGCTGGTGCACGTACAAGTACGGCTCTTCGGGTCCAGGCGGCATCGCCGGTCTGTTCGTGCACGACAAATGGCACCACGCCAACCTCACGAGACAAGCAGGATGGTGGGGACACGAGAAGGAGACGCGTTTCTCGATGCCGGATCAGTTCGTGCCCACCCGCGGTGCGGAGGGATGGCAGACGTCGAACCCTTCGATGCTCGACATGGCCTCGCTCAAGGGTTCGCTCGAGACGCTGCTCAAAGCGACCGAGTTCGGCGAGCGCAACGCCCGCGACGAGGGTCTGACCGGCGAAGGCAAGCACGGCAAAGGCACCATCATGCCCATTCTGCGGAGCAAGAGCCTGCGTCTCACCGCCTACCTCGAGACGCTCCTCCTCAGCCCAGGCTTCTTCCCGGACGGCTTCGACATCCGCATCGTCACCCCGCGCGACCCTCTACAGCGAGGCAGCCAGCTATGCATCCAAATTCCGGATCCACCTGCGACCGAGAAGCCCAAGGAGGAGCAGAAGCAGGAACAGCAGCAGGCCAGTGGGAAGGACGTCCCGCCGCCGATCGATGGCAAACGTCTCATTGCGAGGGCGCACAAGAGGGCCGAGAAGCAGCGCGGTCTCGTGGCGGATATTAGGCATCCGGATATGCTTAGGCTCGCTCCGCTGGCCCAGTTCTCGACGTACACGGATGTCTGGAGGACCGCAGACGTGCTCAGGCAGAGTCTGCTGGATGAGGTCGAGGCGAACAAGGCTTCATAGGTCCCTGTAGCAATTGCAATTCAGGGCTAGCGGTTCACATCTGACGTCGATGCATGTTCTCCATGCTCTTGTGTGAGTGAGCTAATGTGTCCCATGGTACGTTGGGATGAGGCAACCTGACTGGAAAGTCGACGCGAACGTGGCGGTCGCGGCGGAACGTGGAGATAAGGCGATTCACGTGGTGGAGGCAGCGCCTGTTCGAGATCGGCCATCTTGCTCGCTCGTGCCGCTCTCTTGTTTTCGGCCTTTTTCAAGGCTAGGCGCCGGCGGATCTGAGCGTTCGCAATCTTACGAGTTCCGGACCCTTGAAACGCATCCATGCTACTTGACAAGCGACCACATCCATCAGCCTAATCGCGCAGCCCCACACACACATACACGGTCGTGTCTTGCTTGATCTCGCCAACATGGCATCGATACCCGCCCCCGCCTCCAACGGCACCGGCACGACCTCCAAACCGCGAGCATCCGCAACGGCCTCCTCGTTGCCCTCGTCGGGCAAGAAGCGCAAAGATGCGGTCCCCACCTTCGGCATCATGTGGCCCATCATGCGTTCGATCGGCGACGTCTCGCTTCCTCTCTTCTTCTCCTCCCTCCAGATCTCATCCCCGCACGTCGTCCCATCGTCCAACACGCCCGTCATCGTCTGCTCCAACCACAGCAACACCATCCTCGACGTAGCCATCCTCGCCTCGCACTATCCCGAGCGACGTCCACTCCACTTCTGGGCAAAAGCAGGCTTCTTCACCAACGCCTTTTCGCGCTTCATCCTCACCTCATCCGGAAACATCAAAGTCGATCGACGCAACAAGAACAACCAGTCTCTCTTCGAGGGCACGTTCGAAGCGATGAAAGCGGGTGGAGCGATCGCGCTCTTCCCCGAAGGAGGCAGTTATACCATCCCCAAACTGGCCAAGCTCAAGATGGGCGCGGCGTGGGCGGCGTTAGAATACTCGCGGTACCTGCAGCTTCAAGAAGGAGAGGCGAAAACAGCGGTCAAGATTCTGCCCACCGCCGTGGTGTTTGATGACAAGAGCGTGTTTCGGTCTCGGGCGGTGTTGAAGTTCGGCGAGCCGATTTCGTTGGATCGGTACATCGGCGAGTTTTTATCTGCGCCGAGCCCGGAGGAGTTTGCGAGCAAGAATGTTGCGGCGAGGGTGAGCGGGATCCAGGTTGAGGATGGAACGGTGCCTGCTACACCGGAGAGCATGACGAGGACCAATACAAGTCAAGGTGGTGAGGCGTATGCCAGTCCGGCGCATCGAGCAGTGGCCCGTCTTACAGCGGATCTCGAGAAAGCCCTGCAGGAACTCACATTCAACGCGCCGGACTGGGAGACGTTCCAATCCGTCCGTCTGGCCCGCGAACTCATCTTTGAGCTCCATTCCGATAAAGAGGTGCGAGAAGACATGACGCAGTACGTCGAACTCTCCCGAGCACTCATGACGCTCCTCACGCTCCACTCCCGCAAGAGCGTCGCGGCACGACGCGCCCTGTTCACCTACTCGAGCATGCTCAACCTGTGCGATGTGGACAACCTCACCCTCGCTCGCACCATCCCGCTCTCCTCCTCAAGAGCTTTCTGGAGCCCGCTCAAATCGTTCCTCCTCCGACTGCCCATTTATGCGCCTATCTACTCGCTGACGCTCATTCCGACGTATCTACTGCCCAATGCGCTGGCGCACCACTACGCGGGGAGGGAAGAAGAATCGCTCTCGTCGGTCAAGACGCTGTTCGGGTGGCTGTTTACGACGATGCTCTACTCGACGCTGGTGGTCAGGACGATGGCGTGGGCGCGTTGGTCCCCGCCTGGACTGTTGGTGGGGTTGGCGGGGGTTTGGTGGTTGCACGATCTGAATCGGAGCTGCATCGATGGGGCGTATGGGTTGGTGAAGCGGGTTAGATTCGGGTGGAGGGTGTGGCGCGCCGGCGTCTCTCCCAGCTCTGTCGCGCCCGTGAAGGCGGAGGAGCACAAGGGGAGGAGTTTGTTCTTCTACGGCACATTGGTGCATCCCAAGATCCTATCGAGGGTCATCGGGAACGACGGGTCGCACCTCAAGGTGCAGAATGCCGTGTTGGACGGTGCGCGGTTGTACCATGTCAAAAACGCGGAGTACCCGGGTCTGCTCAAGGAGCCATCCACCTCTTCCTCGGTCAAAGCAGTCAAAGGCACCCTGGTTTCCGGTCTAACCCTGTCCGACGTGCAGCGACTGGACGCCTTCGAAGGGGACGAATACACACGGTCCCTCGTCTCCGTTCTACCCGACCCCGCCGCGCCGATCGAGACCAACGCGACCCGCATCGCCAACGCCGGCAACGCGCCGTTGCACGCCATCCTCGCGGGTCTCACACCGAATCGCATCGCCGAGCTCGTCTCATCCGAGGGAAGCAAGGTCGACGCCGAGGTGTACACCTGGTCCGCAGGCCGCGACAAGTTGGAGGATAAAGTATGGGAGTTCGATGCGTTTGCCAGAACACACGCGCACAACTGGGTAGGGGAAGGACCGGTGGAGCACGAACACGAGTATCAGCTAGTCGACCGGGTCGTGGATCGATTGGCCGCTGAAACTACCGCCACGATCATCAATCCCACCCCGCCGGAGGAGGAGGGCGATGCGTGGGTGGATGCGTATGTTAAGACACTCATCGAGGGTGATGGGAGAGAGGATGTGGGCAAGGTGTGTAGGATGTTGTTGGAGAAACCGAGCATTCAGTGGTTTGTCGATCGGACGTTTGCCAAAGGACAGAGGCCGAGGAAGGGAGATAGGAATATGCTGCGTGCGCTGTTCCGCGCGAGGGCCGGGGCGAAGCTGGCGTTGCAGGAGCTCATCTCAGCGGTGGAAGAAGGGGACGGCGAGGTGCGCGAAGCACTAGAGCTGCTGGTCGAGGCAAAGCGTCGAGCTCTCGCAAAGGTGGGTGCCCATCTCACCGTGGACAGCGGTTGGCCATTCACCCCGACCCAGCTAGAGACGTTTGCTGGTGTCGAACGCGAGTCCAAGAAGACTATTTAGCAGAAGGTGCAAATACATCATCATCGAAAGCATAAGAGTCCCGTTCGTGGGTCAACACGATCCCGATAGCCTCGCCACCAGTCGTGTGCGTCCTTGGGCCTTTTGTTCGCCACCTTTAAGGATCGGACTGCCAACACCTCGGCGTGGGTCTTGACGAGCACCGCGTCGAGTGGCGCGCAGTAGATAGCTGAACCAACGGGTGTCGAAGGTGCGAGCAGCACAGCGGCTAGGTTGCGATCGGCGCTGCGAAGCTCCTCCATCGGAATTGCGGAGGTGTTCGAGAGATGAACGGCGACCGGGTGGAAATTGAGGTTGGGGTGGGTGGGTGAGTCGGGCGGATGAAGCGTGGTACTTAGCGGATAGAGGTATGCGAACCCTCGTTCTCTCGCCACGACATCTGCTGCCGACCATGCGTCCCATCGGATGACGCTGTTTTGGAGTTTGAGCTTGGGTGCGTATGTCCGCTCGTCTTCGGGTTGGACCCAGCTGTTGGCCCAATGGTTCGGCAGATCGTGGAGCGTGCGGATGAGCAGGTCGGCCGCTCGGGTTGCCATCTCAGGTTCCACCTCCAAGAATCCTCCCTGTTCCACCGGTGTTGGAGGAAAAGCAAAGGATTCCTGACTGACAATCCGGCCCGTATCGAACTTGCCCTTTTCGAGCGTCTGGATGGTCACCCCCGACCGAGTCAGCCGCCTTGCTAGCGCCCACTGGATCGGCGCCGCTCCTCTCAACTGCGGCAACAGCGACGGATGAATGTTGATCCTCTGCCATGGGTTCGGGAACGCATCTAGCAGTTCATCAGGTATCAAATGCCCGAATGAGCATGTGAGCAGTATCGCTTGTGGGTTGTCATGCAGATGGCTGGGCGGGGTATAGTCGACCATGCCGCCGGAAGGCACATCCTGATGCGCCAGCCCTTGGGAGAGAGCGACCTGCTTGACGGGAGACACCTTCATTCGACTTGCGCCCCATTTTTGGGCAACATCTGGAGGCGTCAGCACGTGCAGCGACGAGCAGAGAGTCGAGCGATGGGAAAGAAGGGCCGAGAGAGAGGTCGAGGCGAACGAGTCGGTGCCGCAAAAGAGGATGTCGTAGGGCGCAGTGGGCACTGTCGAACTGAAGCCACGCCGTGCAGAGCAGCAGACTCGACAGCTGCGACTGCGACGCACCAGCTGAGTGAGCGTCGTTAGAATCATCGTGGATGTGACATGTCAGGTGCGCTGCGGGTGGAGCCGACGAAGGTCGGTGGTGGACGAGACGCTTCCCACGAAGACCGTGGGAAGGAGTTAAGGGTCCAATTCATAATCGGCAAGAAGGCCGGGAAGAAATTCCAAGGCCAGAAGAGACCAACACTTTTCTTCCGCGGGGCTCGGTTGCCCTTTGACGGAGCGCTTTGGGCGTGTCTTGTGGGGCACGCGTGTGGTTCGACATTCCCTTGCAGGTCATACAAAGGCCCAAGAAGAAGGCCTGAGGATCTTCACGAACTATCATCAAGATTTTGAGTCATTCCATCGTGGAGCCTGTCACACGCTCCCCACCGCTAATCAGCGCTAGGGCGAGCAATCGGCGCGGCCCAAGAACCTAGCTCACCGTTCGGTTGAACCGGAGCCCTCTCGAACAACGCTCTCGCATCTGTCATCATCATCACGGACAAGGCTGGGCGTCACACTCGCCTTCACGATGTCACATACGGAAGGAAGCGAAGGCTCGACTCAGCCCCATCTCTTGGCTCGACCTGGCAGCGCCAACCCACCATTCCTTCGCGACGCCTCATCACACCCGTCCTCTCGCACAGTCAACTCTTCATCCCGCCTCTCCCAATACACGGACGCTGCAACCCGACGCTCCTCCTTTCAAAGCGCCCAGGCTAGCGTCTACCAGGACACGGATACATCCCTCGCCTTCGAAAGCGCCAATGAGAGCGCGGGCGAGTTGGACTTGGATAGCGACCTCGAGGTGCGTCGTGCGCCGTCTCGCAGTAGCACGGTCCGATCTCGCACCGCTTCGCCATTTCACCCGTCGATTCGGGATAGCGGAAATGGCGATGAGATGGAGACGACTGCCGACGCTCCCGGTGCGTCATCGGGGGACACCGTCGGTAGTGGTCTCACCCGTCGCATATCAAGACAATCGGTCGAGCGTCCGATGTCTTCGCTCTCCCGACGCAGCAGTGCCAGCGGCAACGAGGATGTGCAGCATCGTCTCCGTGACGCTGCCACCGCCGCTGCCAGCCGAAGCTCCATGTCGGCTCGTCGTCATTCCACCGACGAGCTGACGAGTGGACTCCATCGGGCATCTACCCCGCATGTCGACGACGATGCTGCGGCGAGGTCTCGACCGGGCAGCTCGCTTGCTCTACGCCAGGACGGAGGATCTTTCATCAAACGGGACGGTGCCAGGGATCGCAGTTCGATCTTGCCCCCTGCTGGATTCTTCGCACCCAAGAAGCCATCGGCACGCAACTCGACTAGCGATCTACTGTCGACTTCTCGTCCTGGTGGTCGTAGTACCACGCCTCTTTCGTTTTACGCAAATGGTCAGTCTGGGGCTGTCGACGGCGCTGACGCTCACGGTGCGAACGGTGAAGTGCTCAGGTACCGCAGCACCTCTCCGACGGGACACGAGGCTCAGGCGCGCGCACCAAGCCCCTGGGGTCTGCCAGCTGCGGAACGTCCACGCTCCCCTCCGGTCCAAGAGGAAGTACTCTATTCTGACAACGGAAATTCTCGCAGATTCAGCCAGGCTGCTGACGGTACGGCCCCGCTCCATCCTCTCGATGCCAACGACGGCTTCCCGACACCCTCATTGCACACTACGCCTCAAATTGGGTTGCGGATGATGGCGAGCACCGACCCGCTCCTGCCCTCACGCACGCTTTCGAACGTCGCGACCACCACCGCTGATGCCAGTCACGCCGGGCTCGGGCTCGACGCTGAACCCCCGACGCCCAAATCCAAGCAGCGCATCGAAGAACACCGTGCTTCCCAACCCAGCAAAACTTCTCTGTCAACATCCAAAATCGATCATCCAACCCCAACTGCGACGAGGAAATCCGCCAAGCCGCCGCGCAATTACACCACCCACAAAGGCGACAACCACTTCCTCCTCTCCGGCCTGCTCATGACCTCCGGCGACAACCCTCTCCCCTTCATCCTCTCCTTCGCCCTCCTCCTTGCGCTCGGCGGTCTGTTCCTTGGCTTCGAATCTCGCTGGCTGTCGACCAACATCTCCGCCGCCCTACCCGCGGTCTTCGGCTACATCTATCTCCAATCCATCGTCCAGATGCTCGTCACTGCCTTCCGAGACCCCGGAGTCATCCCTCGGAATCTCGACCCCGATCCGCCGTGCACTCTGAACTCAACACCCTTCACCCCTGGACGACACGCCCTTGCAGATCCGGAAGACCCTTTGGCCGTACCGGTTCAACGAACACTGCGCATCCGCGGGCGGGAGGTCACATCCAAATGGTGCGAGACGTGCGGCACCTATCGTCCACCCCGTTCCTCCCATTGTCGGGTGTGCGACAACTGTGTCGAGAACATCGATCATCATTGTACGTACCTCAACACGTGTGTTGGTCGACGCAACTATGTGTCTTTTATGGCCTTCCTCGCCTTCTCCATTTTGGCGGCGCTGTGGGTGGTGGGATGTACGGCGGCACGGTTGACCATTACGAGTCGCGCCGAGGGGGGATTTCGGGAGGCACTGCGAAAAAGTCCGGTTTCAGGGGTCCTCTTCCTGCTCTGCATAGGTGTAACAGGCCCACTTGGCGTGTTGTTTATCTACCATATCAGGTTGATCCTGCGCAACAGGAGTACGGTGGAGCAGATCCGTATAAATACAGCACGCGAGTATGGGCAGCATAAGGACGTAGAGTTGGGCGAGCACGGGGATGATCTTTCGGTGTTTGGCGAGGATTCTAGGAAAGGTGCGGGAGTGGTGAGGGCGCTGTTTGAACGGTTTGGAGTGTTGAAGCCAAAAGGAAAAGATCCGAACCCGTTTGCGAGCAGGAGGGTTAGGACGAACGTGAGGAACGCACTGGGGTGGAGGAGTGTGCAGTTGGATAGCTGGCTCGATCGGAGAGGACGGAGAGGGGTGGAGGTCAGGGAGAGACATCCCAGGTCGAGCAAAGCGGGTGGCGGAGGGAGGGATCGGAAGGAGTAGCGGTCACCGCACATCACTGTCATATTCAGGAAGAATCGCACTCCTCACTGGGCCCTCTCAGGACTGTCACATTCTATCGAGAGAAGCGTTTGTCTATGATGCGTCTGCTATTGCGATGCGGACCTGTCTAGTCCTTCTTCAAGAAAGGCACGAGCTTCTTCAACCGCGGTGCAGCCTGCTCGATCTGGTCATCTTTACAGAAGCTGAACCGGACGTAATTCTTCCCGACCTCTGCACCGCCCTTGTCCGAGTAGAATGCCGTCGCTGGGATCACCACTACATCGCAGACCTTGGCGATGAACCACGCCTTGAGATAGTCTTCCTCCTTCTGCAAAATCCCTTGTGGCACGTCGTTCTCCTTCACCCAACCATCGGGGATCTGGATCTTGCTCGCGTCGGCCATAACAAAGTATCCACCATGCGGCACGGTGTAATCCAGCCCAATCGCATCCAATGCATCCACGAGCAGCTGCCGTCGTTGCGCATACTGATCGATCTGCGTTTCGAAAAACTTCTCCTTCGTGGCAGCCTCGAGGCCTATCGCGGCGCCCTCCTGGGCAGACGAGTTGACGGCGAACGTGATTCGGGTGTGCACCGCGCGCGCGGGTCCAACGAGGTGATTCGGACCGATGAGCCAGCCCACTCGCCAACCTGTGCAGGCAAACGACTTGCCGGCAGAGCCGACGGTGAGCGTTCGATCCCACATGCCGGTGAACGATGCAATCCGTGTGTGGGTGTGTCCGTCAAAGGTGAGACAGTCGTACACTTCGTCGGCTACTACGAGGATGTCGTGCTTCACGCACAGGCGGGCGATCTCTCCGAGTTCGGTGGGGGAGAACACCTTGCCGACGGGATTGTGTGGCGTGTTGAGGATGAGCGCTTTGGTGGACGATTGCGAGAGGACGGATTCCAGATGGGTCATGTCCAGCGTCCAATCGTTCGAATCGTGCTTTCCACCGCCCGAGGGAGGTAGGAGGGGCACGTAAAGCGGCTTGCCGCCGTGGAACAGAATTTCGGCGTTGTACTGATCGAAGAATGGCTCGATGCATACGACTCCGTCGCCATCGTTGATGAATGCACCCATGACGCTGTATATCCCGCCATTGGCGCCGGAAGTGATCTGCACTTCGGTTTCGATGTTGAGCTTTCGCCCACTTGCCTGTCTCTGCTCGCCCACTTTTCCCTCTCCCTCCGCCTCCGCCTCACCAGAGGGTAGGCGGAATTCGGGAGAGTAAAACTCGCTGATCGCCTCGCGCAAACGAGGTCGACCCTTGGGATGCGAGTAGTGATGCAGGTCGACACGCGATGCCATCTCCTTGGTGAGCGTATCGAGGATGTACGAGGGAGGTTGCCAGTTCATGAACCCCTGACCGAGGTTGATGGCAGTGGGAAAGACGACCGGGTTGAAGAGCGTCCATACGTCGAGGCCGGCGTTGAGCTCGGCGTGGATCCGGTCTGCGCGTTGGGTCGCCCATCGTGTGGGCTTGGCTGAAGAGGACATGATGGTGCGCGAAGAGAGGATGCGTGGAGGGAGGAAGGAGGTGGATCGGCTGAGGAGTCGCCTCATATGCAGGGTGCGCTGCAAGATTTGCAAGGAAGTCGATCGTCGATCGAGGTCGGCAGAGCTTCGTGTGAGGGCGAATCGACCGTCGATGGAGCCAGGTAGGGGTTACGTATGACTGATGCGATCGTCGATCGACCCGAAGGATGACTGTGGGTGATGTGGTGAAGGATGGAGGAGCAAGGAACCGTCAGAGATCCACGGACGCTGTCCGTGCGTGCGTTGGAGTCACTTGCGGTGACTAGCTCGGCGTGTTGCGTTTCAACCGGATCACCCGCTTACGCTTTCCTTCTTGGAGCAAGCGGGTACGCTCGAAACGCATTGTCAGGCCATCTGGATCTCACAGTAGCTGCATTTTATAGACTGGACCCTGGCGGATCGCACCTGCATGAAGCAAATTAAATTTCATCATCGACTTGCATCTGACGTGCTTTCATCGCGACCAATCAGCAGCGAGCCATTCTAGCCCACCCCGCACTCCGCTCACGTCGAACACAGCGCTCTTTGCGCCATCGAACTCGACCATGCCGTCCTCCTCTATCTTGGCCTAACTTTATCCAACGGCCATCGGCTAATTATGTCTCTTGTCGGCACATTCTTCCTATCAAATCCACCGAGATTCCGGCGATCTGGTCCACGTTGCTGTCTCAAAGTCAGAAGACAAGATCACGCTGAAAGAAAAAAAAGTGTACCGGTCAACTTTGGTCAACGTCGTTCCCGCTCCCTTTGCTCGCTTCCAAGATGAACAATGTAGAAGTATTCGCCATCCGCCCATTGTTCGATCAGATGGGTCGCATGACCTCCCCGCATCGGAGCGCATACGAATGACAAACGTGAAAGCGCGATGCCGTCCAGCGCCAAGGTATGGCGGCCATCGGAATGGCAGGAGGACCAGTCGGGAGTCGGCAAGCCAAGAGGGTCGCCACGCGAAGAGCGCTCGGCTCTGTGACAATTGTCCGCAAAGATGAAACACCGCCAACCCACTTTCTAGGGCAGCGGAGAAGCAAATCCCACTTGAGCAGTGCGGTCCGTGATTCTGTGATTGTCCAATTCTGCCGGTCAACGCGGCTCCCGCTCGTCACACCATACTTTGCATCTTGCCACCATCGTTTGACGTTCAAGCAAACACATGGACCCACGCTCCCACTGCATGCTGTTCGAGCGCACTCGTTGAATGTCTGACAAGCTTTCCTATCGATCCGTCCTATCGTGCTGCGTCCGCGCTGAGCGACTCAAGCGAACCGAACTGCATGGTCTTCCTAGTGTGACTCGCGTGGCACGATGCTCGGCTGTCTTGCTAGGAACGTTTCGAGCAAGCTGAATCTGCCTCTCGCTTCTGGCGCTGATACTTAAGCATTCGGTTCCAGCCGAATTCGGATTCCTCCCTCCCCCCTTCCTTTACTACCATCACCTCTCTTTCACCCTCCCTCCCCGCCTTTCCCCTCATCATGTCGAGTCCTTCCGCTGCTCCCAAGGCGGTCGTCGATGACGCCGGCAGCGCCGACAACAAGTCGCTCAACAGCTCCGAGCAGGTTCCTGTCGTCTCCAACCAGCCGGCTCACGAAAGCAAGGCCAAGGAGACCTTCCTCGAAGTCATCGGCCTGCGTGACCCCAAGCCTGAGGCTCGTGTGGCCTGGGATGGTCGTAACCGCAGCTGGTTCCGCTCCACTTTCTTCCAAATTACGGTTTTGGGCGGCTGTTCATTTCTCGCGCCCGGAATTTGGGGCGCGATGGCAGCACTCGGCGCCGGTGGTTCCCAGGACCCCAGCACCGTAAACGCCGCCAACTCTCTCACTTTCGCTCTCATGGTCGTCACCTCTCTCTTCACTAGCTCCCTCATCAACGCAACGTCCGTCAAGGTGGCGCTCGCGCTGGGAACAATGGGGTATGCTCCATACGCCGCCGGTCTCTACCTCAACAGCGTCAACGGTACCCAGTGGCTCATCATCCTCGGCGCCGCCCTCTGCGGTATCTCGGCCGGTACCTTCTGGTCCGTTGAGGGTGCCATCGCCCTCGGCTACCCCGAGAGGTTGAAGCAGGCCCGCTACATCTCGTACTGGCTCATGTGGCGTGTCCTCGGCCAGCTGCTGGGTGGCATCATCAACCTCGCCCTCAACTACAATGATGCTGAGCGCGGTTCGATCTCGACCAACACCTACCTCGTCTTCGTCGTGCTTCAGTGCTGCGGTCCTTTCGTTGCCATGCTTCTGTCGCCCCCGCACAAGGTGCAGAGGACCGACAAGACGCCTGTCTACCTGCACATCGAGTCGTCCACCCGCCGCGAGCTCAAGCTGATGTGGAAGACCATCACCAAGCCCCAGGTCCTCCTGCTGCTGCCGATCATCTGGCAGTCGACCTGGTCTGAGGCACTCATCGGCACCTACGCGGTGAACTACTTTACCGTCCGTTCGCGTGCCCTCGGCTCCCTGCTCTCTGCCGTCACGGCGAGTCTGTCGAACTACGCGCTCGGTTTCTTCCTCGACTGGAAAAAGCCCACTGTCAACTCGCGTGCCAAGTCGTCCTTCATCGCTGTCTACGCCCTCCAAGCCGCGTGGTGGGCGTGGGCCATCTACATCATGCACGAGTACCACGTCACCGAACCCAAGCCCACCTTTGACTGGACCACCCCCGGCTACGGTCGCGGCTTCGGCGTCTACATCTTCCTCCAGATCGGCTTCAACGTCATGTACGAGCTCAACTACTGGATCATCGGCAACATCAGCGAGGACCCTGCGGAGATCATTCGTCTTGCCAGTATCGTCCGCGGTGTCGAGAGCGCCGGTCAGTGCGTGTCGTACGGTATCAACAGTACGACGCTCCGACTGGATGCTGTTGCCGGCATCAACACGGCACAGTGGGCCCTGTCGATCTTGCCCGCTTGGCTCGTCGTCAAGAAGATCGGTATCCTGGACGATGGCACCAAGATCCACGAGGCCAGGACGTACGCCGCCGAGGAGGACAGGAAGGGCCTCAAGGATGCTGGCCTCAAGACTGCCGAGTACGATCTCAAGGGCGATCTTTAGGTGCGAACAAAGACACGGGTATACTTTTGACGATATGTCACGCTTGTAATGCTTCTTCTCGAAATGAACGGTTGCAAGGTTCTACCATCATTGTAGTGTGCCGTGAGAAGAGTCGGGGACTTGGCTGACTCTCTCTCAGGTTGTCGACAGCTCCGCTCTCGGTCACAGACTGCAATTGCTAAGGACGCAAGGCCTGCACGTCTGACGAGTGACCGGGACGGACGATGGACGCCGGTTCGGTTGTGGATCGTTGCGCTTGCGACTGCGGGTACTTGCCTTGTAAGCCTACCGTAGCTAGTGATCGGCTTCATCGTTTGTTCGTTCCGTGTCAATGACGAGCAAGCCGCCAAGTCTTGCCTCGTTTCAGCCTCATCACCGCAGCCAACACACCTGGCGTTGACATCTATCGCCATTTTTGGGGCCTAACAATACAAGTGTGACACGGGGCTTATGGATTAACAGCGTCGCGCAGATGCCAGAGCATCATCTCACCGAACAGTGCACCGCAGGGCAGTTGACTCGGCGCGAGCGGATCCAAAGCATGTTGATCCTGACCCATCATGACCTCTGCGAAGCCCAGTCCTACCACACCATTCGGCATCCTGGCACTTCTCGCTCGCTCTCCCTTGACCACGTCATCCCCATGCACCTCGAGCGCTGACCTCTGCGCACCGTTGATCTGGGCGATGCGATTGGCGTGGTACAACGGATGATTCTTCCTCCTCTCCCCCTCGATGCCCAAAAACGCTTCCACCGTCGAGGCTTCTGAGGCGAGTGGGTAGGCTGTGTTGCGCCACACAATGCGGGGTTTCCTCCACGCGCCCGAAACGGAATTGAGCATGTCCACCATTCTCGATCTCCACCACATGATCCTCTCCTCGCTGAGATTCTCCAACAACCCGACGCCGGTGTCGATGTCGTGGTGTGCCCAGCGCGCCAAATCCCACAGACCGCTGTTGAAGAAGACCAGATCCGGCTCTGCCTTCCCCCGTGGCAACGGTAGTGCTGGCGAAGTGCTCTTGGAGCTAGCCATAGCCTTGAGGTACGGCACGAAGAGGTCTGTGACGCGATCCTCGAACAGACCCGGTGCATTGTAGAGCGCCTCGCCGCGCCAAGTATCGCTCGTATCCGCGCCATACGAGTAGACGGACGTGACGAGGAAATCGTACTCCGGCACGTAGCAGTAGTGTGCCAACGGCGCATTGTTTTTGACTGGCGTAAACCCATGTTTAGCCGGAACCATATTGAGACTGTTCCCCCACGGATGACTCTTATCCACCGGCTGGGCTTTGTGCCCTGTAAGGGAACAGAAGTGGGACACGAGCGCCTGATCCACCCGTTGATCTCCGATGAGGAGCACGGTTCGGTTGGAGAGGAAGCTGTTGAGCTCCTCAACGCTAGCCCCGCGGGCAGGGGTGTGTTCGTGATGCGGTGCGATCTTCGATGGGTCCTCCTGCTGGATGTTGAGGGTGGAGATTAGCGATGCGAGGTAGGTAGATGAGGTGCAGGAAGGATCGAACGTTCGCCAGGCAGGGAGGTCGTTGGTGCCAATGGAGTAGTCGACCCACCCAGGCAGGCTGAAGGGATCGCATCGCCCGGAAGGCGTGGTCGACCGTCGTTGTCCATTCGATGGAGCGAGACCGCGCGATGAGGATGCAGGCGCAAGAGAGCATAGCAGGGAAAAGACGATGAAGGCGCCCGAAAAGTAGGTGAGCAACCGACCGATGGTTTGCACGCGCGTCTCGGCGCCGAGGGGAATCATCTTCTTCTTGCCCGTCAGAGGTCGGACGTTGGACGGCATGCTTGCGTCGAGCGTCCTCTCCGTCTCGGAAGGATGGGTCCTTATATGTCGGGACGGTTGGGACTAGAAGGCTGTGCGCGCTGATGAAGTCTTGGCACTTCGGGATAGGAGTAGGGTGCTCAGCGGCCGCGCGGTTCTGGTGTTTGTCCAACGACGGCCTCCGGTCGATGTCAGGAGGTTTCGCGCAGGACTCGGACCGTGAGATCTGTGGAACACCTTCGATGGGTCCGGCGGCGCGGTGCTTGAATCACTTTGCAATCTCGCAGCCCGCCTGAAGGGAGCGAAGAAACAACACCACGTGGTCGAGGCTCCAGAGCAGTGGAGCCGTGGAAGATGAGCGGAACGATCGTTCGATGCGTACGTTCGAAGAACGCCAGTGGACCGATATATGACCGAGAAGGAGAGGAGAGGAGAACGGCTCGGCGCGAGGTGAGAGGGGCGATGGTGGAAAGCGAGATGGAAGAAGGGTTGGCCGGGGTCCAGTGTGTACCTCGATGCGGACACAAGCGCAGGAGGGCACTGTGTCGATCTTGCTTTTCACCGTGCGTTCCACCTTCGTGCCGTGCGCTTGCCGGTTTCATGCAGCGCAGAAGCGCGGGGTCCGAAAGTCTTCGTGAAGGCGTGTGCGCAGGAAGAAAATGGCGCATCGGGACGGCAGATCAGCGATCGTTTCCCGCTGTCAGCTATTGTTAGACCCTGTTGGTGACAGCTCGAGGCGACAAATTCGAAAAAATGTAGCTTCGGCCGAGGTTCAATTTGTGTCACCTGACCTTCGATGGCTCAGAGTCGAGTCGAAATCCTGGAATTCGAGTCGAAAGCGGATAGGCTGGGCGTCTGGGGTGTCACCAACAATTCGAGGTTGCAGACCGGCACAATTGCGATCTTGGTCGAACGGTGAGAGCCAAGGTCGCCATCTGCAGTTGCTTTCTGGACGAGAGCGCTGGTGAGGCCCGTGTCTAACATTCAACTTGAGAGAAAGCGAGCTCAGCGGCCAAAGAAGCTTGGTCGCCATCTTGAGATCTTCCTTACCGTCACCCTACGTCTCCGTACACACATCCCCTCAAGGTTAGTAGACCGACAAGCCCAAGCAGGGTACGAATGTCAGACAGATCGACGACGACAAGGAGCAGCACGAGCACATTCCAGGCAATTCGACGACACCACTTTGCATCGACACTCGATATACATATAGACTTGTGCTCTTGCATCTCAGCCTTGCATCACCGCCTACAAACACCGCCATCTAGCATCGTTCAGGCCATCGCACTTCTCTATACGTACGCATCGCGTTGTCTTCAGATCGACACACATTTGAGACACACATCGACGGGGAGGTTAGACACACTTTCCCCAACGAAGAGGAATCGGATTGCATTTGTGCATGCTCGACATCACACCGTCAGACACTCGGCAATCCAGCAAGCTCGTGCCCGCCCCGCTCTCATTCTGTCTCGACTCGTCCCACACACGCATTGCTCTACCGACATAGTAGACTGACATTCGACCATCCGTCTCGACAACTTTACACAGATCCAAGATGTTGCAAATTTACAAGGAGCTTGACGTCGCCGTCCCCGCCGACGTTTCCGTCAGCGTCTCGTCGCGCGTCTTCACCGTCAAGGGTCCCCGTGGTGAACTCACTAAGGTTAGCATCGAACGACATCGCCCACTTGGCTCGACAGCAGATTCTCGCAACAGCAGCAGCAGCAGTGATGGTGGAAGGAGCAGGATTGCACGCATGGATATCCTAGAGGAAGATTCGCGATCAGCAGTGGTTGCTCACACAGGAAGTTCAGGCAGGTTCGAGGGATAAAGGGAAGCCAACGCAATGGTCAGAAGCACGGAAGACATCACAGGGAGGATGCTAGGCTTAATTCAACAGCAGGGCAGCAGAAGCCGTTACAGTGCGCAGAAGGACATAGGCACCAACTGCAAGCGGGACGGTTGGTGGCAGATGCCATATGCATTCATCCCATCGATGCTCGACCGTACCGGCAAGCAGCATGGAAGCGCAAGCATGGATGCGGAAGAGTCTTGGAGATGGAGAGATCACCAATTGGCACAAATGGAAACGGATCTTCCGCCATTCATTGGAACTGCTGCTCAAGGAGACACGCTGCAGAGTTCGAGCTGGCGTCACTGCACTCTCAACTGCACAGACATACTTACGCTTTTCTACTCCCATGCATTCCACTCTCAACAGTCGCTCAAGCACATGAACCTTGATGCCCGTATCATCAAGAGCCCCACTGGCCAGAAGGTCAAGTTCGTCGTGTGGCACGCTGGGCGCAAGCACGCTGCGTGCCTGCGAACTGCCGGTGCCACGGTCGCCAACATGTTCAAGGGTGTCACCAAGGGCTTCCAGTACAAGATGCGTGCGGTCTACGCCCATTTCCCCATCAACATCATCATTGCCGGTGACAAGAAGTCGGCCGAGATCCGCAACTTCCTGGGCGAGAAGCGCGTGCGCAACATTGTCATGCTCGAGGGTGTGACGATTCAGGAGGACAAGGCGCAGAAGGACCAGGTGCTGGTCGAGGGCAACGACATTGACCTCGTCTCGCAGTCGGCTGCTCTTCTCCACGGCGCCACGCTCGTGCGCAACAAGGATATCCGAAAGTTCTTGGACGGCATCTACTGCACCGGCAAGGACACCGTTGTCAAGGCCGAGGCTTAAACAATCGTTGTGTTCCTTTCGTCATGTCTTCCCCTTTCCCATCCCTGCATTTACACTCTTACTTTTAGCTCGTCGGATCGTTTGATTCGGCTCCATCACCTTGTGTAGCTCACATACACACACACCCTGCAAAAATATCACGCTCTCACATGGAGCAGCTTCGAACTCATAGAGCCTCACTGCGTGTGCGATTGCCCCTCTTTGAGCCGAGGACTCTGAACCTCTCCTCTCGTGGTGGTCAGCCATGTGAACACGAAAATGTGTTTTGGTCAAGTGAATGTTATTGTCTACAAAGATGAGTCGGCGCAAAGGATGAGATGGAGCAAGCCCAAGATACAGCAAAGTGTGTCGCAGTCAAGGGGAAAGGTGTGGGTATCGGATGACGCCAAGTATTGTTGGCGCTGTCTGTGACTGCAGCCGCTTCAGAGCATGCGGTGGATGCTGTGGTCGGTCAGAGTGGCCAACGACTTTGCATCGAGGGGCTTGGACTCGTCGCCTCTCCTTGCCAGCAAGTCCTTCCACCACGGGAAGAGGAACTTCTGGACGATCAGCTTGAACCAAGGCGTAAACGCTGCTGGGTCCAACTCGGTCATGAGCGCCTTCAGCTCTTCTGGTGAGACCCACTTTGTGTCGCAGACCTCGTTCATGTTGGGCTCCAGCGTGACTTTGGCGGTGATGAAGAGGATGTAGTCGATCTCGTGCTCACCCCACATGTTCTCGGCGTCGCCGTTGGGTGCCAAGTAGTGGATTCTCGTCAGATACTGGAACTGATCCAACGGCACCTGTTCCGCCGGAATACCCAACTCGTGATCGAGCTTGCGTTGCGCTGCCCGGCGCACGCCGATCTGCTCCGCCTCCTCGAGCTCGCCCTTGATCGCCAACGGATGCGAGCAGCACGTGTTGGTCCACATGTTGGGGAACGTAATCTTCTCGGGTGCCCGTCGTTGCAGCAACAGTTTGCCCGATGAAGGGTCGAAGAGGAAGACAGAAAAGGCACGATGCAAAAGACCCTTGTTGATGTTGGTCATGAGATGGCACTCTTTCTTGCTGCCGTCGCGGAGGTACTTGTCGTCGTTGTCGAGCACGATGCATCGCTCCTCCATGAGACGGATCTGCTCCTCGTCGTAGCCCGTCAGCGGCGCCGAGTCGAGCGTGACGGTGGACGAGGTGGGCTGCGAAGCCGTCTCGGTAGCGGTTGTAGTTGTCGACATGTTGTAATGATGCTATGGTGCGAAGTGTGAATGGCGGTGATCAACAAGTGAAGATGATGATGAGGAAGAAAGTCGTTTGGCCATCTCAAAATTCGATTCATGGGAAGGTCTGGGCGGAGAGAGAGCAACACGAGGCACGCGGATCAGGCCACCACGGCTTTGGCCGCTCGTGGCTGAATCGGGGAAGCAGTGCCGATCTGAATTCAAAGTTGGCAAGAGTTTGAAGTCGAGCCACAAGCTCAATTTGAATGAAGCATTTCATTTTCTCAAGTGACAAAGGGCAGGGTCGAGGTCGAGCTTGACAAGGTTGTGCTTTTCTTCCAAATTTGCTTTCCCAGCTGCTGAACCACACATCGAGCTCACCATCTAGCACCTGCTGTCCTCACCATCAACTGCACCGCTCATCAGCACTCACCAGCAGCAGCAGCATCACACAATGGCCACTGAATCCGCAAGCGCATCCCAGTGGGTCTCGCCGTCATCGCGACCCGAACACATCGAGCAGCTCATCTCGGGCGTCGACCGATACAACCCGCAGAACCTCGATGTCCTGCACGACTACCTCGCTCAACAACTCGACGATGGATCGTATGACCTCCTTGCCAACCTCGCCGTTCTCAAGCTGTAAGTATCGCGCACCTGCACAGTCTCTACAGCCCTTGGACACGCCGCACCACACGAATTACCCGGCACAGGTCAATTCGCAGTCTCTGTATTAAGCGCATTCAGCAATCGTCACAGTCACCAGCAGCCAGACACCCGGAATGAATAACACCAGCAGTACGGCATTAGGGGGACGAACACAATCGGAGGGATGGACCGACGGCTTTCAAAGGATGATCCCATATTACCAAAATGCATTGCGACTGGCTCTCTGGGAGTGAAGCCCCGGATTGTCGATGACGTGCATCTATATTAGCTCTATCTGATCCGTACGGCGAGCTTCAATCGACAAGCTGCGAGGGAGGATGGTGTCAGACTCAGTCCGACGTGCGGATGTGCTTCGTGCCAAGGGCGACCAAGGGCAGGATCTCAGGCGCTTAGCGCAGACAGACCCAACTGACTTTCTTCTCTCATACTGCCATCATGCTCCTCTCGCTCTTCGCATCAATAGCTACCAGTTCAACCCTTCGGATTTCAACTACGTTGTCGTGATCAACATCCTCCTCAAGGCGCTCGTTGCCGCTCCCTTGCCCGACTTCAACCTGTGCATCTCTCTGCTCGGCGAGGCGCCATTGCCCACGATCCCTGTCAAGGCCGAGAAGGAGGCGACCACCGCCGGCGATGACGGCGCATCTCTCGCCGGAGACGACGAGGACGACGTTGTCGAGCAACCCAAGGACGTTCCATCCGCGGGTCACCTGACCGACGCTCTGATCGTCCGTCTCTCTCACCTCAGCACTCTGCTCTTCCAAGCGCGATTCCGTGAGTTCTGGTCGACCCTGGCGAGCGAAGACTACTCGGACGTGCGCGAATACGCCGCCAAGATCAACGAGTTTGAGAACGCGGCACGACGGGTGGCGCTCAACTCGGTCAAGGGCTCGTTCACCTCGATCAGCGAGAAGCGCATCGCCAGCTACCTCAACCTGTCCGGAGCGGAGCTGGAGGAGTTCATCAACGCTCAGCCAGGGTGGAAGCTGACCAACGGCACTGTCAGCGTTCCGGCCAACCCGGATAACGAGATCAAGGCCACAGTGATCAGGGAGGAGATCACGCTCGACCAGATGCACAAGTTCTTGTCCCAGGCTCAGGCACCGATTCTCCGCGCATAGAGAGGATGACGGTCGCTGCACCTTCCGACAACCTTGCTGGCCTCGAAGGGTCACTACTTGCGCGCGCGAAGAGTTGCACCGAAGTAGACTGCCTACCTTGGTGCAGCCAAAAAGTGCACCGTGACCTGCTTGCCCACTTTCTGTACCATATCATAAGCATCGGTTCCGGCGCAACACTCAGCATCTTGCAGACATGACGAATGACCATGAAGCACGGCCACGCAATTGATCTTGAGCATCCTCTCTGGTGTCTGTGATCGCCGGCACTCGCTGTGCCATCACGGCGCCAACTTCATTGCTGCGTCAATCTGAGTAGCCGCGGTGTCGGCACACATCTCGACTGCTAGGGAGCAAGGCCAGGAGTGAGCAATCCCTACCGAAGCCGATCTGAGCATGCTAGATCGCCCGATGGCAGCTTTTCTCGAAGAATAGAACGCGACTTACAGAACACGGTGGTGGTTGTTCATGGGTTCCTGGCTTTCCTGCGAGACCCTGAGAGCGGAAACCGTGACTCTGAGCGTAACCTGATCCGAGCAGGGACGAGCTTGAGCCTTGCGACCTCACTCGATACACCCAAACCCGACGTACATCATGCCACTCTTGCTTTGCCATCGGCTGATTGACCTTAAGAAGTCATGTGCCTTTTCTTTAACAATCTAGAGTGCAGGTCCACGAAGCCTCCCTCCGCCACATTGCTCGAGTCTAGTCCTCGCCAAGTCAGAGCAAAGGCTCACACCTTAAGCAGGAAGCCAGACGCCTCTGAGCGTTGAGCTTAAATAGAGTTGGCCTGACTCGATGGAAGGAGCACGCTCAAGCTCTTCTTGCCCGAACTCGACGAGACGCGCTTCGTGTATTTGCGGCACGTTAAACGCGACGGACAAATGAGGCTTTTTGTTTCTAGTGCTCAAGGGCGGCACTAGAACAGAGGACCCCTTCTCAATAAAGTCGCGGAGCTGGTCAGGTACCTTTGCTCACAATAAAAGCCACGAGTTTGAGAGCAGGGCCCTCAGAGAGTGGTCTGAAGCCCAACCTGGATTTTCCCTCCGCTGTCAAACGAATCTGACTCGTCAAGTGCCTGATCCTCGTCTATCTTTACCGGCCATCACTTGTTCAGAGGCAGCTGCTCTCCTCTGCTCGAGTGCCCGTCTTGGGTGGTGCACCAGGATGGCACCCTTGCATCCCACTCTGCCCTTCCGCATTCTGTCTCAGACTGTCAAGCACCTCTTTACACGAACGCCCCCCTCGGCGCGCGCCCATCACCTTCTCCTTGTCTCTGTGTCTCTTTCCTGCCATCGTCCTCTCCTGCCACGCCTCTAGCATCGTCCGTGCATCCCTGATCGTCGTCCTCCGTGCTTCGCGCGACATGGAATGACCAGGTCTCGGCCACTTTTCCCCCCAGTTTTTGACCCCGCCCGTCCACGCACCCACTTCCGACTTCCTTTCCCCCTCGTCCTCTCTCGTGCGGACCTCTTCCCGCTACTACCATCATCCCCAACCGTCTCTTTTGCATTCGTCTATCCCATCTTCTATCCGGTCCCTCGCATTTGTCTCTCTATCTCTTCGCAAGCAACCCATTCATTCGCGTTCTTTCCGCCTTTGCATTCTTCGACACCTGTCAACGGAAACGCAACCTCCACCATCTCAGTCTCGCATCCAACTTATTTTTATTATCTCTCCCTTGCACCCAAGGGTCCTCCGCATCCCGACAATTCCGCCTGCCTCGTACTACATACAATCCACCTCGCAGCAGCCACATCAAGCCCGCCTCCGCTTGCAGACTCTCTCACGGTCATCATCGTCGTCAGGAACTAGCTAGAAACAGCGCTGTTGACTGGCCCGAGCGTTCAGGTTGAAGGCTACCCTGTCATCGTCTCGCACCTCGTACTAGATCAATAGACACTGCTACTGCATCTAGATCGCCGTGTATCTGCTCGACGCTGCTTCCATCAGATTTCTGGCAACCCAGTCGACATCTGACGGCACTGTCGTTCATCCCGCTCGAGTCTCAAATCGAGGCTTCCGGACCTTTCGTCGATCTTGATCTGTAAACGTCAAGTCGAAGGAGCACGTATCACTCCACCTCGCTTTGGACCTTCCGGTCACGCTCGCTTCGCACTTGGTAGCCTCGCTACCGGCCATCTTCCTCGGTTCAAGTTTTGCGTCGCATTCTCGGCATCGATTGCTCCATCTCACTGCTAAGACGCAGACTATGCCAGACGGCTCTCAGGTCCTGCAGCGCTCCCCCGACGTCAACCAACACCTTCACTCCACAGCAGCTGCTTCTCTGCGCATGGACCATAATCAAAGTTCAAGGCCCCCTCCGCCTCCAGGTATCTTCGCTCCCATATCACCTTCCAGAGCTGCCGCTGCCGTCGGTCCACCTGGCCTTTCACGCAGTCAGAACGCACCACCTACATCCTTCGCTTTCCATTCGTCGCCACCGTTGGCGCCTGCAAATCAAGCAGCGCTCGTGGCACCTAGACCCATGCAGCCCTATCCACGACTCACGTCACCTCAGCCATCCGGCGAGGCGGCCATGGCAGGGGGCAGCTCATCAGGCGCTCGCTCGCCATCTCCAACGAAGCGGTCTTTCAACTTTCCTATGGGCGACCCCAGCGAAAGGTGGAATTCCATCGGTCAAGTATCCAGCAATGCGAATCGAGGCCCCACCATCACATCACAACGTAAACCATCTTTGCATTCTGGCCTCTCGGCATCCAACGCCACCGCAGAACCATTCCTCGGCTACAACGGGCTCTTCTCACCCAACGGCACGTCCACCTTTGCGCCGTCGGAATCGCAGAAGAGCGCCAATGCGGCTTCTCTCTCCAGCTCGGACCCAATGAATGTCGCTTTCCCATCTGGATCCAGCGTCGACTCGAGAGGAGGATTCGCGTTGTCGTCGAGCCAGGAGCAGGACCTCGGCTCGCACCGATACGGCTTGTCACCAGGTCATTACGCAGCTGGCGGACGCGACGAGCTCTCATCCCATATTGGCGGCAACCCTCGCAGTGTTGGGCAGGATGATTACAACCCTCGTTCGCCGTTCGGACCCGGGCCTGGTCAAGGGATGCTTGGAATGCCCAACCCCGGCAATCTCAGCCCACGAAGCATGATGCAATTACAGCACCAACACATGCAAATGCAGTCCCAACTGCATCACCAGCAACAGCAGCAGCAGCAATCCTCACATCAGCCTCTTCACGGGCCTCCGCAGCAGCAGCTCGGCCTGCAAGGCAGCATCGCCAACAGTGCCGGTCTGGCCCCGCAAGGAGGCCCCGCCGAGGAAATCACCACGGTCTTCATCGTCGGCTTCCCCGACGACATGTCGGAGCGAGAATTTGCCAACATGTTCCTCTTTGCCAAAGGCTTCGAAGCGTCGACACTCAAGATCCCAGCTGGTCTCGGCACCATTGGGCCCAACGGACGCCTGTCGGACGGCGCCGGTCCTCTGTCGGCAGGCCCTGGCGGACCGTACCAAGCTGTCAATATGCCAGGATCTGGTGTATTCGACCTCGGCGGCAATGCAGGATCCAGCTGGGAGGAGCAGAACTTGCCGTTGGGTCTCGGGCGTCCAGGCACAAACGATGCATTCTCGTCGCTCAACATGCCCGGCATGCCCAACAGCATGTCGGCTGCTGCTGCTGCTGGCAAGATCAAGCAGATCATCGGATTTGCCAAGTTCCGCACACGTGCCGAGGCTCTCGAGGCACGAGACGCTCTCAACGGTCGCAAGGTCGACGCCGAGAAGGGCTGCATTCTCAAGACCGAGATGGCCAAGAAGAATCTACACACCAAGCAGCGTCCTGTTCTGGCTACGCCCGGGTTCGCAGAGGGTGTCCCTGGGTCGATGCCGCCACCGGCCAGCGCACCGGGCTCTGGACTGAGTGGTGCTGCTCCTGGCCAAGCACCTCTGCCGCCGTACGCACTAGGTGGTCCGTTCTCTGGCCCTTCAGGTGCCCCATCCGGTGGTCAAGGTGGTCCATTCGGAACCTTCGGTAAAGGTCCCGGCGCTTTCGAGCCATTTGGCGGCCCGAACTCCATCCAGGGTGACCTCTTGTCCCCTCATGAGGCGTTCGGTGGCCCCGACTTCTTCGGTCAGGGAGGAGCTGCCGCTTTGCGTTCTCCTATCGGCGCACCTGCAACACTGACCGCTCAACAGCCTCAGCAGCAACAGCAGCAAGGCTCAATCGGCGCCGACAAATGGGGCGGGTCTCTTGGTCCGATCGACTTTTATGGGCGCGAGAGTGGCGCCGGACCCATGCCGCCTTCATCCAGGGGTTTGCAGGGCGGGATCGGTCAAGGCCTGAATGCGCCGGGCGGATCTCGATCTGACTGGCCTGCTATCGGATCGCCACCACCAGGGCTGTACGGTCCCATCGCGGGCGCAGCGGCGTCACGACCTGGCATCCAGAGACAAACCTCGCGGGGTAACGAGTCGACCCCTGCACCCGGCTTCGCGACAGCTACCGGAAGCGCAAGCAAGCCAGAGGAAAGCCTCAAGGCCGATCCCAACCGTTTCAGTCCCACGTCGTCCTCGGCAGGTCCAGAGGCCGCTGCCGCCGCAGCAGCGACAAGCGACGCCCAGAAGCCATCCATCGCCACCCGCTTCGGCTCGATCAAGATCGGCTCGCCTGCAGATGACGAAGATGCCAAGCCGCCACAACAGGAGCCGAGTCCCGACCTACCTAGCCCCACTGGCGGTCGCAATGTCGTCGGCGATAATCATCCTCCCGTCAACACGCTCTTCGTCGGCAATCTGCCCAGCAATGCATCCAGTGCGGTCCTCTCGCAGATCGAAGACCAGCTCAGAGCAGTGTTTGGCAGCTGTCGAGGCTTTCGTCAGTTCTCCTTCCGCCTCAAGTCAAACGGTCCCATGTGCTTTGTCGAGTTCGAGGACGTTCACACTGCATCGAAGGCCATGTCGGAGCTCAACGGACATTCGTTGGGCGGTGCGATCAAGAACGGCGGCATCCGTCTCAGCTTCAGCAAGAACCCGCTGTTCCGGATGCAATCGAACTCGGCCATGAACAGCGCGATGAACGGTGTTGTCGTTACCGGCGGCGGCGGCAGCGGTGCCAGCTCGGGGACCACGTCGTCGCCCGAAGGTGCGTCGGTACCTCCGCTGAGCTTGGGCTCAGCGAGCGAGAGCTTCGCAGCGGCTGCGGCGCGTCGTTGATTCCGAAAACCGAAATTTTTGGCCGCAAACAGGGTCCAACTGCAGGGCTCGAATTCGACGCTTCTTTCTTCTTGACCAGCATCATCGCCATTCGTCGCGCAGTCTTTGCGCCCAACCGGCCACCATGCCAGACTCGGCCGATCCGTTCGATTTCGACATTGACTCCGCCAACAATGTCGAAGAGACCGCCTACGAGGAAGGCTACCAGCAAGGCTTCGACCACGGCGCGCTGCACGGCACCTTTGAAGGACGCGAACTCGGTCGCGATAAAGGCTTTGAGCTGTGGGAAGAGGTGGCGTTCTACCAAGGCATGGCCGAGGTGTGGCGGGAATGCCTCGAGCAAGCCGACGCCGCGAGGCACACTTCGCGCAAGCAAACGAAGCAGATTCAGCACCTAGCGGGTTTGGAGAAGCTCATCTCGTTCTTCCCCATGACCAATACTTCGTCGGATCCATCGCTTGATCTCGGTCAGCCGACGACCGACGAGACTGTCGCTGTCGACGCTGATGACACAGATGACGCCGAGGTGGCGGAAGACGGCCACGACGATGAGCTGGCCAAGCTCGACATGTTGACTCTGCTCGAGAAGGTTCGTGCCAAGTACCGCTTGACCTGCTCGGTGTTGGGGATACCGTCCCAGCGCACGACCACGCTCGCCGAGATTGCAGACGCTTCGCATGACGGTGAGGCGTCACCTAGCTCCAAGACGGACGCTAAGACGGTGCTCGTCGCAGGCAAGCTCGTCGATCCATCTCAACTCAAGTACTAGGTCTCTTACTCCGACCCACTCGCTTTCATATCTTATACCCCTGCCGCCACAGCGGCCTTTCTCAGACCCAGACTGTTCAGCATCCCGGCGCAGTTCATCTTTCATGCTGTAGCGACGCGAACATGATTCGCCTCTATCGGGTCTCCCCTCAGTCACGTCATCCCCATTCTCGTATACCCTCCATCATTCAGCACGAACATCGCTTCATCGTCTTTTGCTTCCTGTAGGAACTCTTCATTCACCGCCGATCTCGGCTCGGTCACTGTTGACATCATCTCGTCGCTCGTCATCTGTACTATGATCCGGTTTCTCGTTCTTGCGGGGTTCAACTATTAGAGATGTGGCACGAAATGGAACAGTGTATTGCAACTCGAGCTGCGTGCTTGTCTGTGTCCGTATGGCGGGGGATGTGATCGTAAGACTGGGCTGTGCTTGAGAGCAATGATGGTCTCGGCCGACAGCGGATGAGCTGGGTTCGTCGTGCGGACATCCGACTGGTTGATCACGACCACTCTGACGGTCGTCGGGGGGGGCAGCGACAATCGCGGTGGCCATCATCCGCAGCCAGTCGAGTCGATTTTTCCTGGCCACAATTTCCCCAATCCCTTTTTCTCCTCAAGAGACGTACAAATTGACGATGGCAGCAGTCAGCTCGGTCGACCGCAAGAAGCTCGCGCTGTGTCGATTGCGCATCGCACTCCATCCTCTACGACGAGGTCGTCTTGGTGAGACCAACACGGGGCCGGAGAGATGCTGTTTTTGACCGCTGATCGAAGACGGCCGCCGGACGCGGGGTCGGTTCTCCAAGGTTTGACCCGCTAAAAGCGATTTTGGCGGGGTGGCTGCCAGCAAACCGGGCCGAAAACCCCACGACGGCGGGGGGACCCTTTTTGGCCCGCGCCTTGCCTTCCTCGCCGGAGAGCTCATAATAGCCGGGGACGCGCAAAACCCACACACACGTCTGTTTGCTTAGGATCAAACACCAACCGCCTTCGCTTTTCTCCTTCTACCATCACACCATGTCGTTTTCAGCACTGCGCAGTGTGGCGCGCGCCACATCAACGCCTCTTCTGCGTCGCATCTCGTCGGCTCGCACCTACGCGACGCTGTACAACACGGACATCGCGGGCCTTACCGAGGACCAGATGGAACTTCGCGAGGCCGTATCCACCTTTGTCGCCGCCGAACTGCCTCCTTCGAAAGCCGCGCAGATCGACCGCGACAATGCCTCGCCCAAGGACATCTGGACGAAGCTCGGCGATATGGGTCTTCTGGGCATCACGGTGCCCGAAGAATACGGTGGACTCGGCAAGGGTTATCTCGACCATACGATTGTCATGGAGGAGCTCTCGCGTGCATCCGGCTCGGTAGCACTCAGTTACGGTGCCCATTCCAACCTCTGTGTCAACCAGCTCAATCGTCATGGTACCAAAGCTCAAAAGGACAAGTACCTCCCGGACCTCATCAGTGGCCAAAAAGTCGGGTCCTTGGCCATGTCCGAACCCGAGGCCGGGAGTGATGTGGTATCAATGACGACGACCGCGGTGAAAAAGGGTGATCACTACGTTCTCAATGGTGGCAAGATGTGGATCACCAACGCCCCCATTTCCTCTACCTTCATCGTCTACGCCAAAACCGAACCAAAGGCCGGCTCCAAGGGGATTACCGCCTTCATCCTGGAAAAAGGCATGCCGGGGTTCACGCAGCTGCCCAAACTCGACAAGGTCGGCATGCGTGGTTCCGACACGTGCGAGATTCATTTTGACAACGTCGAAGTTCCGGAAACCAACATTCTGGGCAAGCTCAACAAGGGCGCATCCGTCCTGATGAGCGGATTGGATCTCGAACGTCTGGTTCTCTCCGGTGGCCCTCTGGGTTTGATGCAAGCCGCCTTCGATTATGCTGTACCGTACGCCCACGAGAGGAAGCAGTTCGGTACGCGAATCGCAGAATTTCAGCTGATTCAGGGTAAGATCGCCGATATGTACACCAAACTCAACGCCGCTAGGAGCTACGTCTACGCTGTGGGTCGCGCATGCGATGCCGGCAAAATCAGCAGACGCGATTGCGCCGGTGTGATTCTCTACTCCAGCGACAGGTGCGTAGAGGTCACAACGGAGGCCATGCAGATGTTGGGCGGCAACGGGTACATGAGGGAGTACGATGTTAACAGGTTCTGGAGAGACGCTAGACTGTACACCGTCGGTGCCGGCACACAGGAGATTAGGAGGATGTTGATTGGTAGGATGTTCAATGAGGAGTTTTCCAAGTAGACCCGTCGGCAATATCACACTTCGTTTCATGTCGAAAGGCTTGACGCTGCTGCATGTGATGTGACCTTGGCAGAGAGAGGTGAAACTCAGATTGGATTTCGCGGACAGAAGAACAAAACTCATGACACGCGCTCAGTTCGAGCCACCGGGCGTGTTCCTCCCGCTGCTGAGCAGCGCCATGAGGTTGGCCCCGCCCATGGCGTGGGATCCCACATTGACTTGCTGCTGTCCCTGCTGCTGTTGCTGAGGCGCATGCTGCTGGCCGGGGGACACGGCTCCTCCGGGCCCCTGCTGCATGGCGTAGTAAGGGAATTGCGCGGCGGGAGACTGAGACCTCCCCTCGGCACCGTTGCTGCCGGGCGTACCGGGCATGTCGTACGGCGATCGAGGCGGCATCGGCATTCCGCCGGGAGGGAAGCCTTGCCCGGCCAGCACCTGCTGTTGGATGTGCGGCGGCATGCTCATCAGCTGCTGGTAGAGCTGGGGTGGCATACCGGGCGGAGGCGGACGACCACCGGGGAAGGGCGCGAAGCCAGGTGGGAAGGCGCCGTTGGGGCCGCGAGGACCACCGGGGACACCCATGGGCGGTGGAGGCATCTGGCCCATCCCAGGTGGCATGGGGCCGCGGGCGAGACCGAGACTCGCAGCGATGTGAGGCGGCATCTGCTGGAAACCGGGACCACCCATGGGAGGACGACCCATCATGCGCGGGTCCATGCCAGGCGGCGGCGGTCGGCCAGGCATCGCACCCGGGAAGCCGCCGAAGCCACCCATACCAGGCGCTGAGCCAGGCGAGCCAACGCCACCAGGCCCACCGGGGCTCGTCGGAGAACCCACTCGGCCAAGATCGTTGCCGTAGGGACCTCGACCACCGCCGATGGACGGAGATTCGGAGCGCTGCTGTTGCTGCTGGTACTGCGGGTACTGCTCGTGCTGCTGTTGCTCCTGTTGGTGATGTTGCTGTTGGCCATGGCCAGCCGAGGCGCTCGATTCTCGCTGGTGGTAAGGCAGAGGAGAGCGGGCGTCCATGCCGTGACCTTGAGCTTCGCTCGATGAAGCACCCGGAGAGAGCATACTTCGAGGTCGCTCATTGACGCCATCTTCAGCGCTGCCACCGTTTCCACGGCCCTGACCGCGCAGAAGCTCCTGGAGACGATCGCCTGATTCGGAATCGGGACCTTTGCCCTGAGTAGGCGTACCTGTGCCGCTTCCTCCACCGCCTTGCAGCATGGCCATGAGCTTCTGCATGCTCTGCTGGTCCGCATCCGAGACGTTTTTGCCTGAAGCGTCCTTCTGGGTGCCGTCGCCCTTGTCACGAACCGATGTCTTGCTGAAAAGCTCCGAGATGTTGATGGACGAAGACGAGGCATTGGGAGGTGGCGACTGAGACGCTTGCAAGTTGGATGCGTCCTTGTTCTCCGAGCTGCTTCCGCCCATGGCCTCGAGCATCTTCTGCTGAGCGGCGAGCGCGGCAGCTTGGGGATCACGAGGAGGCGCGCCTCCCTTGTCGAAGAAGCGCGCAAATCGACTGGAACGGACAGGAAGACCAGGGGGACCCGAGCCTTCTGCTCCGTGACTGTTGGAGATGCTGTCGTACAGAGAGGCTCCCGACGAAGATCGTTGGTTGGCTGCAGCGATCATTTCTTGACGGATAGCATCGAGCTCAGACTGCTGCGAGCCACCTTCACCGCCGAGATGGTAGTCGCCCGACGCATCGCGGTCCAGCCCGTACGATGCGCCACGAGCGCCCTCGTAAGCGCCAGTGTTGTCGGCGGGCTCCTCTTCGCCTCTTGCGAGCCTCTCGCGACGTTCTCGCTCCTTCATCTGTGCCTTGAAAGCCTGGATACTGTCGACCGCGCCTGCCATGTCGTCGCCGTGGGAGCCATCGAGACCGTCAGCGTCCTTGCGTCGGCTGCCAAACTGGCCGAAGGGAGCACGGTTGTCCACTGGCAAGGGTTCCGAGTCGTCCTCAAGCCAAGCAGGGTTGTCGTCGGCATCGCCAGCCCAGGGTGCACCACCTGCACGCTGAGCGCCGCGTCGCTCGTTGGGTCTTAGACGATCCGAGCCGATGCTCGAGAAGGGACCAGCACGCTCGCGGTCACCGGGCCTTCGCCAGTCGGCAGCCTGGTCAGCTCCACCTCCACGTCGGGTGCGGGGAGACTCGATGATCTCTCCCTCCTCTCGGCTTTCATCGGCGTCCAGACCTCGTTCGCCGCGACGTCTCTCGCGGGCTGGGTCGCGTCTCCTATCGTCTGGAAGCATTTCTCGCATCCTATCCTTGCCGTAGGAGGTGGATCGCTCGCCCATGCCAGAGCGGCGACCGTCGCCGAAGCCGTCCGGGTGACCGTCTCGCGGAGGACCTCCTCGACCTCCCATATTGCCCGCAGGCTTGAAAGTGCCACTTGCCGAGATTTGGCCGAAGGGGTTCTTGCCGGCGGGAGCAACTCGTCGACTGCTCACTTCACCAAGGCGGAGGCCTTCTGCGCGCTCGCGGTCCTCGTTCCTCCTGCCTCCAAAGCGAGCGCCTGCGCCTTCCCGTCGCTGACCGAAGCCGCCCAGGGCGCCACCAACGATGCCACCGTTGTTGACGCCATCTTCGCCTTCAGCTGCTGCGTATTGGGTTTGTTCTTCCGCGTGGCCTCTTCGTGGAGTGTCGCGGGAATTGTAGTAGGTGGACTTTTGATGGTAGGGCTCCCATTCTCCATACCAGTCGCGGAGGGGGGCCATGTCGATGGGTTTCGCTACCAGCAAGGAAGAGCTGTAAGCTAGCAGCGCTCCCCTGCTGTACAGCCGAGGGCAGCCGGCTGGACGCTCATACTGGCTCGCAGGTTGTGCCCGGGTGTGATGGGCAACGGGCGACTTGGTGGGTGCTTGCGAGCCGTTTGCACCAAAGGGGTTGGGAGGCAAAGCTGCTGCTGGCGGTGCTGCTGCGCCGAGACCAGGCGGTGGTCCGGCTGGCATGATGGAGCGGTGGTGTTAGAACAGCGAAGAAGGCCGACTGGGTTTGACCGGTTCCCAGTGCCTGTTCCAAAATATATGTCTGTGATAAGAGACTAGCGTGCGACCGAAGAGGTGTTCGAGTCACGACAAGGTCGGCGTAGGCGGAGATGTTGAGCAAGCGATATTTCCAGATTGTGAAAAAGCGTGCGATGCTTGCTTCTGAGATGTCAAGACGTAGAGGGCCTAGGTGGGTTTGAGAGGTTCAAGAGTCTGACCTGCGATTGACTGAAATGACCGGTGTTTGGATGAAATGTTGGTGGGAGTGAGCGTCGCGAGCAAATGCGCGTGTGCTCGTCTTGTAAGGAAGGAGCGACCGCAAGCGAAGGTGTGTGCCAAGACGGCTGTGTGTGATGGAGCGTCTCAAAGCTGAATGGTGTTGGTTGTGGTGGTGATAGAATGAGCGTCTGAGCGTGACTGTGATTGGACGGCCAACGACTGACGCTGTCCTGTTCTGTATCTTTTTCGTACGGACCTCAGACGACCTTCCGGATGCAATTCCTCTTGTGACAGAGGGAAAGGTAAAAAAGGCAACTGCAGCCCCACTCTCTGTTTTCTCAGCCTTTTTGTTCTGAATTTCAACTTCGGGTGGCCTTTGCGCTGCCTCAAGTTCAAGGACCCTTCGATCAACCTCAGTTCAGGTCATTCCACTCGCTCATGATCGATGCTCAACAACATGGCCTTGACGAGCATTCAGAAAGAGACACACATGGGAGAGCAAGGTTGTGTTGACATGTCGGAAGAGGTGATACTAGGATGTCCGATAGGTGATCAGGACGACTGCTCAAGCCATGCCAGTCTCCTTCCAAGGGTACTCGAACGCAGGGTCATCCTTTCGACGCCAGAGCTTCTTCTTCTTGCCAGCCGTGTCCTGTGCCCACACCTCGACACAGTGCTTCTTGCGAAATTGTCGGATGAAGCGAGGGTCCCACAGCTCGGAAGAGATGCCCAAGTCCTTGCAGCAACGCATCAGCGCATTCGACTTGGCGCCCTCCGACGCTGTTGGCACACCAGAAGGCTTGAAGAATTCCTGCTCGCCTCTCGCTGTGGCCACAAAGCGACCTTGGCAGATGAGCACCCACTCGCGGCTGACGATACCTTGTCCGACGTTGGTCTCGCTACGAGGCGCCATGCCCCATCCGCCGGGTCCAAAAGCCTTGTTGAGGATGCGACGGTACTTGATCTCGGGAAGGTAGATGAGACCGTCGGGCTTGATCTCGACGTCGGTTTCGTTGACCGGAGCCATCAGCACGTCGATCGCGTCTTTGCTGAAGGAGCGCTCCCCGAGTCCGGCGAAGCTAGTGCCCCACTCCTCAGAAATGCTGCTGTTGGATGGTGTCGATGTCGAAGCAGACGAGGTGCCATTGCCCGACGATCCGTTCAAGAGTCCAGGGGCGGCTACACTGGGGCTCACTTCGGGATGCGCTGGCTGCTCAGCGGGTCGACTCGAGTGCACGGCTGGATCATTCGAGTTGCCCGAAGCCGTGTATGGCTCCTGTGGTTCGTCTGCGTTCTCCAACTGCTCGCGCATAGACTCGGGCAGCGGGTGCAAATCCTTGAGGCTTGTTCGTGCCGCGGGCTGCTGCTGCTGCTTGGAGAAGCCTCGAGCACGCGAGCTGAAGGCGACCGACATTGAGCTGAAGCTGCGAGAGGACGAAGGATTTTTGCTGGATGATGCGTTCTTTGCCAGTCCTGGCGCAGCCTTCTTGATGCTGACTTCGGGCTCAGCAGGCTGGGAGGCGGGTCGACTCGAGTGGACAGCTGGGTCGTTCGAGTTGCCGGAAGCCGTGTATGGGTCTTTGGGTGTATCAGCTTCTTCGAGCTGCTCCTTCATTTCCTTGGGGAGCGGATGCAAGTCCTTGAGACCCGTTCGTGCAACTGGCTCTTGCTCTTGCTTGCCAGCCTTGCGATTGCCCGAGTTGAGCACAGGGGCGGATGCGGCGCAGAAGCTTCGCGCAGGAGCGCTGATCGAGCTCTGTCGCAGCACGCTGCGTGCGGTTGAAGCCAGCATTGCTCTCATCTTGCAGATCGATGATGTCCAAGGCTTGTTGTGAAGATGGATGGCAGTGATGGGAGAAAGCACAAGAATGGACTGTGCTCAGTCAGGACTTCCAGCTCAGCCTTGCGCATGACGCTCTGAGATTGTGGAGGCATCGCAGCAATTTTCTCGCGCGGTAGGAAGCTTCTCCAAAGGACACACGTCCAAGATCCAAAGTCGACGCGGTGCGCAGGAAGCTTTGGATTCTACACCATCGATTCGACAACGGGCCCTGAACGTCCTTCAAAGCTGTTCATCGCCTGCCTCGCGGCGAACATCTTCATCCTACCAGCGTATCCCATCATGTCGGATCAAGAGTCTTCCAGCAACACAGCAGCGGCTGTCGCGGCAGCGAGCCCTACATCAGCTGGAGAAGATGCAGTCACAGCTCCAGCTTCCTTGGCCAAAGACAATCTCGAAGATGCCTTGTTTGGCGACGATGACGAAGAGGACGAGCCAGTCCGCGCCGTTCAACGAGGCAATGGCCGACAGAAGGACGAAGATCAGCCAGCTACTGCAGACATTGGCGACGACGATGAAGACGACGAGGACGAGGGCATCCGCCGCAAGGTGCGCCGACCTAGACAACGTGTTGACTCCGCCTCGGTCTCTCCCGGTCCTACCGGATCCAACGGCCTCACCGCGCCTCCACCGCTAGACCCCTCCTCTCCCGTCCGTGGCGGCGACGCTCGCTCCGACAGGTCCTCCCGCAGCGGAAGCCCATACGGTCGCGAAGGATCCCAAGAGATGGATGAGGACGCTCGACGACAGCTCGAATACAAAGAAGACGAAGAAGAAGATCTGCCAGCCGACGACAACATCGAAGTCGCCCATCTCGCCCTTCCACAGCTCCCCGTTCGTAGGACCAAAGAGCACTGGCTGGCGAGGATACCTCATTTCCTGCGCTACGTCACCACTCCTTTCGACCCTAGCACCTGGGATGAAGAGCAGGAAGAGACGATGCTGCTCGACGAAGGCTTCAACGCGGGATTCGGCAACGACGTTGGTGCTGCGAGTCTGCTTCGTACTTCGAATACCATTCGATGGAGGTACACTGATCAGGTGGACGAGGACGGAGCCAAGGTGCCGGAGTCCAACGCCAGGATCGTGCGATGGAGCGACGGCACCATGTCCCTCCAAGTGGGCAGCGAGCTCTTCGACATCACGCAGCAGACCGAGAAGGGACGAGTCTCCACAACGAACACGGGCACCAACACGCCTCAGCTCAACTCCAACTCCCAGTCCACCGGTCCGTCCACGTCGCTGCTCAAGCAAGCGACGCAGAGCATGCCTATGGGCTCTTCCGGCTCGTCGAACCGCCCCGCCCAGTCGCTCTCCTACCTTGTCGTGCCGCACGAGCGCGAGCAAGTGATGGAAGCTCAAGGCCCCATTGCCGGCTCTCTCGCCTTCACACCCGCCGACACGCAGTCGGAGACGCATCGTCGCATCGCCAAAGCCTTGCGTTTCCAGAAGACGGCGCGTGTCGTCGCTTCCAACGCACGCGAGGGCGCGCTCGATCCCGAAGTCGAGAAGGCTCGCATCGAAAAAGAGCTCAAGGACGCCGAGAAGAAGCGCATTCGCGAACGCGAAAAGGCCGATCGCAAGAGTGGAAAGCTGGACGATGACATGTATGACGTCGATGCACGCAGGAGAAGCCGCTATGCGGGCGGGAGGAAGATGGGTGCCGGTCCGCGAAACACCGACTACTACAGCGACGAGAGCGATCTCGGTGGTGCTGCCGACGAGGTGGGCGGCAGGAGCGCGAGCAAGAGAGGCGCAGCATCCCAGAGGTACGCTGAGGAGGACGATGATGGTTTCATCGTTGATGACGAAGGTGACGATGATGAGGATGAGGACGGCGGCCGTCGTGGTGGCGCTGATGGCGGACGAAGGAAGAAGAAGCGCTCGTCTGAGGATGAAGACGCCATGGAGGTGGACACTGAGCCGGATGAGATGGAGTTGGCCGAGGCTAAGATCGAGGAGGCGGAGAGGGCTAGGAAAAAGGCTGCGGCAGGTGAAGGCAAAGAGAAGCGCAGACCTGAGCCGGCCTTCTCTTCGGACGAGGAGGATGAGCAGGACGCAGAGGGCGAAGATGACGCTGCCCAGGGATCAAGCCAGACCATCGCAAAGAAGAAGCGCATCATTGAAAGCGATGAAGAGTGATCCACACGTAGCTGCCCACACATTTGCTACAAACACACAAACATTAACTCTGGAACCACCCCGCCGTCAAGGCGCACTTGTCGCTTAACTCCCTTCGTCTGTCTAGCGAGAAAAGAACGTGTCGAACGATTGCTTGTGTCGTGAGGCACACTGATAGTCTGTTTCAACTCTTCAGGCAGTATTCGCAACTGGCAACTCATGCGAGGCGGCCAACGCTCTCAAGCAGCTCTCGAGAGCGCCCACAAGGAATAGAAGGAGACGGACGGTTATACGGGCTCACAAAGGCCAAGATGTGGTCCGAGAAATCATGTATTATGTGCAAGGGTAACACGAAGGGGGTTGAAGTGTGTGGGTGTGTGCTGAGAGTGTGATGTAGAAAGCGCAGAGCAGTCTGAGCGATGAAGCTCAGGACCATCCTAGCGCAAGACCTGCATACGTTCCTCCTGACCCTTGGCTGCGCTCCGTTCCCGTGGATACGACGAGGTCACAGCCCAGAAAGAAGAATGAGAGGTCCCATTTTGATATTTTGGTGTGTGTTCGAGATGACGTCGATGTCAAATCACGGAGTGAGGATGTGTTGCGACGTTGAACGGGAATGCGAGAAGAATGCGAGACGAGAAGAGCGGCCGAGGACATGGAACTGGGAAGTTGACATGTTTAGGCAGCAACCTTCTTGCCGGGAGCGCCAGTCTGGAAACCGTTCTTGGCGCGGCGGCCGACGTTCTTGAGGTAGCGCATGCGGCCGGTACCGGTGGTCTTTCTGCGCTTGGCCTTCTGGCCCCACTCGTAAGAGCGGATCTTAGCGGAGGGGTAGCCGCACGAGGCGCAGACCTTCTTCTGCAGGTGGAACGAGCGAGCGTTGCATCGTCGGCAGACGGTGTGCGTCTTGGAGCTGTTGAGTGGAAGTGATGTCGAAGAGGACAGGAATATGGTGAGCGCGCTGTTGCGGGTGTCTGAGAGCGAGACGAGAAGCCTCATACTGCATAGGGCGCGAATGCCTTTCTGCTTCCCACGTCTGCCGAGGTATGCTACTCCGAGAGATCTGCCTGCTCCGCCGCAATCCTGTATCCGTCCGAGGCTGCCTGTCTGTTGCCTGTCGTGGTCCAACATCTGTGATCATGAACGATGCCAGGACCGAGTCTGAATGATGCGGACCTGCAGGTTGAATCGTCCCTCCTTGTCTTGTTCTAAGGGTGGTCTCGACCACCAGTTGGTCCGTCTGTTGCGCCGTCCACTGCGCTGCCCCTTTCGGTCCCAACCTCTGCCGTCTCTTAGACGTGTCCCAGCGATGATCTCTGCTTGTGTTCATCCTGTTGATGCTTCCCTGGCTTCGATATGCAGTATGTAGTGGTGCCTTCTCGCTGGTGGGAACATGATACTTACTGTCGCTTACCGAAAGAGGTGGTACCCTTCGTCATCTTTTGGTTGGTCGGAAATTAGGTGATGCAATCAAGGTCGAGGGTCAGAGACTGTCGTGAAGGTCTCGAAGTGTAGTGCCGCTGATATCTGAGGACAATCCGACGAATGCGATCGAAGAGGTTGGTGATGAAAGTAGAAGTGCTGAGCGGACGAATGGCCCTCCAGCCTTCCAAGATTTTTAGGTTGCCTGAAACGCGCGGAGATCGCTCCTTGCCTCATTGAATTGCTGAGGTTGTGAGATGGACTGGCGGGTCTAGGAGAGCCTTTAAGGCTGATGCGGTTGATCGGTGGTTCTATGTACCGTTGCCTGACACGGTCGCTGTGTCAGGTCACTTTGCTGATGATTGCTGATGCTTTCACGGATCTGAGGCTGATAGGTCCTGTTCCAACGCAGTCTCGGATTGTCCAAAGATAGTCGGCGATGATGTCGGTGTCGAGCTTACCTTTGCTAGAGTATGTCTTGAGAGTTACTGGTGGGAGTAGGGAAGAGGCGATGGCGACGAGAAGCTTCAACACAGACGTTGCCGACTCGCAGCCGCTCTTGCACGCTGTTCAGCCTGCGCTTCTCAGAGACTGCGCTGAGCTGCCGCTGTTCGACCTTCATGCTTCCTGGCCTGTCTCTGGCTCCAGACTGGCTCAACGCTTGGCGGCCTTCTCTGAGGCTTCCGCCTGTCCGCAGCAAAAATCAGTGAAAATCAGTCACGTGCGAAAAACTCCCACGCTCGATTTTCCTGAAATTTAACTTCTCACCGTCTGCAATACCTTGAGTGCCGGATCTGATCTCGAGAATTGCCGCTGTCAGCGAACGCGAATTATGTTGGTTCAGATGTTAGTTTGTCAAGCCGCCTCTAACGAGACTTTGCGAATTCGTGATGGCTGCATGCGAAGACTGTAGACTCGCTAGATGGCAGCCCACACACCTTCCTTCTCTTCAAGTCAACCCTCGACCTCACCGCATATATATCACATAGCGTAAGTAGTTCAACATCAGCAAACAGCACGCCCGGTATCGACTAGGAAGCAGGATCAGTGCAACGATGGTCAGGATGGAGACAAGTGGCGGCGCAGCATGCAAATGACAGGGGTGTCTCTTGACGGAACACGTCACATCGTATCAGCAGCAGAAGGATTATCCGGCAGCTTTGGTGTCAAGGACGATTGCATCCTATCCTGGCTGCGCACTCTCAGCAGGAATGAATCGGCAATGATAGACAGCAGGGTGACCCTGACGCAAGCAGGAGGATCTTCGCAGTTCAGGTGTCAATCCGCGATCATGGGTGGACCGACGAATCTGCATGACAAGCGACAAGCAGGACACAGACGGCTGGAAACTTTGATGTGCATTTCCAACAAGAAGAGAACTGCATACCGACCTTGTTCCATTCTCTTTGCATCCTGCTTCCCGCCTTCGACACCCTCCCTCGTGCTCTACAGGGATCTTGCCTGCGAAAGTTAAGCATCACGCGTGATACTTACTGGAGGCCTTTCTTTCAACCCCACACCATCCCCCACCACCCATCCACCTTTCTCTTTCACCACCGACAGAATCATGGCACCCAAGGCTAAGAAGTCGTCCCAGGACAACATCAACACCAAGCTCCAGCTTGTTATCAAGTCTGGTAAGGTCGCCCTCGGCCTTAAGAGCGCTCTTAAGAACATGCGCTCTGGCAAGGCTAAGCTGGTGCTCATCTCGGCCAACACGCCCCCTCTGCGCAAGTCCGAGATCGAGTACTACGCCATGCTTTCCAAGACTGCCGTCCACCACTACCAGGGCACCAACGTTGCCCTCGGTACTGCTGCCGGTAAGCTCTTCCGCGTCGGGTAAGTTTACATTCTCCTCAATGGCATAGTGCTGCGTGTCTCGCTCCGTCGACGACGTGCTGACCATCCTTCCACTATTCACATCTGCATTCTTCCAATAGTGTCATGACCATCCTTGACGCTGGTGACTCGGACCTGCTCTCCACCGTTGCTGCCTAAAGTGGCCTCGCATGCGCTTGACGGACTACCACTCTCTCATTCGGCATTGGTCTCTGTCTACGTTCAGCCCATGACCGAGCAGCTCGGCATGGCATTTGTACATTCATTACCACACGACGGATCTCACTGTCACCCCCCAAAATTGCAACCTCTGCATAACGATATCTTGCTTCGAAGCTGTTTGCCGGCTTATGGTGTGTGAAACGTTCGAGGAAACATCGCAGGTTGGGAAAGGTATCGCCGGGAAAGGGAATCACGAGACAGCAAGGTAGCGGAATAGCATAGGAAGGCCTATATACGAGATCGAGGGTTAAGCACCGTTCGCCCCACTTTCTGGTGGCTGATATGGTGGCAATGTATCGACACTTGGCCGCAGTGATGTCTGCTGCCGAGGCGATGTGGATGCCATGGGTTGATTCGGCGTAAGCGTCGTCTCCTTGGCGGGTTTAGGAGGTGCCTTTCTGCGAGGTTGAGCGCCGCCCATCCTGGCGATTCCGGAGACCCCGGCGCTCTGGTCGACGTAGGCAGCGGGTGAAGATGTATTGGTGCCCATAGTGACGTGCCTCTGGCGTGAGCTGGAGCGATACTGCCAGAGCGTTGCGTCGTCAAGGGAGGTAGGGATGTGGTCGTGATGCCGTTAAGCACGGTTATGCAAGCAACCCTTGAGTGGGATGCTTTGCGCTCGCCGGCGGGTGGAGATTTTTTTCGTCGTCAAATATGTCAGATCGCATCTGGAATGGTGAGTCGCTCCGGGCTTTGGACTGGCCATCGTCCAGATCGGCCCAACTAAATCGTGCTTGGTTTGAGATGCAACGAGAATCGTCTAGGCGGTAGTCGGACATCGAGTTGGCAAGCCATCGTCATGATTCGCTGTTGGCGATGCCGGCTCGGCATGAACAAAGCTTGGACGGAGGCTAAGATCGTCGCGGCAGCATGGCCAAACACACGGTCGATCATTCGTCTGATCTTCGTGAAGATGCACAGCATATCCCGTATTGGCCGGCATGAGATCTCCGTAACCAGGAACGAAGCGGCGGGGTGTACTGTAACCCCGGTTCTGTCGGTCGCAGCACCGCCTTTCAACGCGCAGAAGTTTGTCGCAAAACCGGGGTGATGACGCTCAAGAAGGCAAAAATCACCGCTTGACCGAGAGAGCAACACACGACTCACGCACCGAAATTAAGCTGCAGGGTCGCTCTTTCCAAGTCGGCCATGACGATGACGACGAACAATGCTCCGCAGCTGCAAGTTCGAGAAAGCTGCAATGTGCCCCTGCCTAGACACCGCTTCCGAAGAGTCCCGGTTCCCTGGACCAGGCAGAGCGTTTACATTCCCCGCAGACGGATTCTGTTGGCCAACTAAGCTGTAAGATGGCGGGAGTCGAAAGGGCGGCAGTCTCCAACTCGATCAAAGTTCAAGGTCCGTGAGCAGCAGGCTGAACCCGAAGAATGCGGGCTGAGCACGGTGCACGTATAATCAAACGCGACCTTGGGCGTAGTCACAGTGAGGCCATAGGCACAGGAGCCGAGCAGGCTGACAGGAGAAACACACACGGACCCCGCCTCTTGGCAGAGAGGGGTGACGGAAAAAATCAAAAAGAAATACCTGAGAATTGGCCCGAGCCGGAATGGGAAAACGGTCAACGCGACCAGCAAGCACAAGGCGCCGACAACGAGTCTCGTCTCTTGCGGCCTCAATTCACAAACTCAAATTGTGACTGAGGAGATGACAGCCAAGCAACCAAGCAGGCGGGCTCAGCGTGCATCTTGCAGCTCAGAGGCCCAAGCCACCCGGCCAGTCAGTCACGACTCGAGCCCACAGCCAACAAACACAGTCACAGTCACATCCAATCTCATCTGCACCTCCTGGCTCGGACTCCACCTTCATCCTTTCTCGTCGTCACCCCTCCCTACCTCTCCCACCCGTCCCTACACATCTACTTTGGAAACAGGTGCCAACCCTAACGAGACCACTGTCGCAACGATCGTACAGCTTCTCGAGCTACACTGTCATCTCCATCCCTCGATCTAGCTTGGGTATCTCATCTCGCTCCTCGAATCTCGAGGCCTCGGAGTCTCGTCCATCTACGACAGCAAGCCAGCTCTCACTGGCTCCAAATCGTCTTTCCCTGGATCTCTTTTCTCTCGATCCACCTCCGCTGTCTCTAGCACAGGTTCTCTAGCTCCATACGCGTCATCGTTGCTGCTGGCAAGCAAGTTCATTGCAACCCTTCCAACCCACCAATAATCACTTGCTGTGTCAGTGAATCCCACTCGGCGTTCGAATCCAAGCGCAGTCGACCGCAGCACCCACAGAACCCTCCTTTTGTCTCTCAGCTACCAGCCGCTCAGTCAAACATACCGTTCACAGCACTTCTGCTGCATCCAGCACCATCCTTTTCGCCATAAACATCCAGCTGAACGCAACCACACAGCTCGATCCACCGCCGTCACCATGTTCAAGTCATTCGGCAAGATGATGGGCGGATCGTCCCGGAAGGGCAAATCCAAGCTCCAAGACGGCGACGACAGTGCCGAAGTACCAAGCGGCCTCTCCGGCTCCGACTCGTCCAACCTCGTTCGCGCAAAGAGCAAAGAATCGCTCTCCACCTTCGAGAACGGCTCTGGCAACGGTGCCAACAACGGCTCCTCCCTCCCCGCCAAAATCGAGAAGCGAGGCGGCGTAAGCAGGCACGAGTCGCCCTTACCCTCTCCGTCCCCCTCGTCACGCAACGTGATCGCAGACGGCAACAGCGAGGTCGGAAGCCCGGCTGTTCCCCGGTCAGCAAATGCGTCCGAAGCTGCAGGCTCCTACACTGGCAACGACGCTGGCACATCGGCCCCCACAGCTGCCACTATTCTCTCCAATCCACTCGCATCCGGTGGCGCAGGCTTCCCTGGCTCCGCCGGCAAAGGCCCGCAAGCCGCTGCAGGTGCCGGCGACCAGGTGCGCACCTTTGACATCGACGACATGATCTCGCGTCTCCTCGAAGCCGGCTACTCGGGCAAGATCCCAAAACCAGCGCTGAAAAACGCCGAGATCACGGCCGTATGCCAAGCCGCACGCGAGATCTTCCTCTCGCAACCTACGCTGATCGAGCTCAGTCCACCCGTCAAGATTGTCGGCGACACGCACGGCCAGTACCACGACCTGCTGCGGTTGTTCGAGATGTGCGGCTTCCCGCCCTCGGCCAATTACCTCTTCCTCGGCGACTACGTCGATCGCGGCAAGCAGTCGCTCGAAACCATCCTGCTGCTTCTTTGCTACAAGATCAAGTATCCCGAAAACTTCTTCCTGCTGCGGGGCAATCACGAGTGTGCCAACGTCACCCGAGTCTATGGCTTCTACGACGAGTGCAAGCGTCGCGTCAACATCAAGATCTGGAAGACGTTCATTGACGTGTTCAACACGCTACCCATTGCGGCGGTTGTTGCATCGAAGATCTTCTGCGTGCACGGTGGGTTGTCGCCGTCGTTGTCGAACATGGATGACATTCGACGGATTGAGCGACCGACGGACGTCCCCGACTATGGACTTCTCAACGACCTGCTCTGGTCCGATCCGTCCGACACCGCGTTGGATTGGGAGGACAACGAGCGCGGTGTATCCTACTGTTTCGGTAAAGCCGTCATTCAGCAGTTCCTCGCGCAGTACGATTTCGACCTCATCTGCCGCGCCCACATGGTTGTCGAAGACGGCTACGAGTTCTGGAACGAACGTACGCTGGTGACCATCTTTTCGGCGCCCAACTACTGTGGGGAGTTTGACAACTTTGGGGCGGTGATGAGCGTCAGCGAGGATCTGCTGTGTGCGTTCGAGTTGCTCAAGCCCCTGGACGGCGCGGCGCTCAAGAAGGAGATGGCAAAGAACAAGAGGAGGAGTCTCAGCCAGCATCAGAGCCCCCCTGCGAGAGGCGGGTCCCAACAGTCGTTCTAGGAGGAAAGTTAGGCTAGACCCACGGAACACTTTTCGGTCGAAAACACATCTCTCTCACTCGCCTAGCAGGTTTTTAATGTTATTCACGATCCATTTGAAACGGTTTCATCCCCGGTTTCTTCGTCCAAGCAGGTGGCCTTCTTTAGCAGAGTCAGCTCAACGGCGGTCTCTGATCAGCTCTGCTGTATGGATGTGTATGAACTCTGTTAATCTCGGATGTCAATACCGAGAGTTGAGGGTAAGAGAGAGATCGTGTACCTGGCGAAGATGTGATGCTATTTCTTTCTAAACGGCCGCAGCCTCGCCCTCGTCGTCCGTATTGGGCTGGCTAACCGGCGTCTCCGCCTCCCCTTCCTTTCCTTCCTCGCCACCTTCCTCAGTGGGAACCGTCAGCAGATGGCCCATCCTCTCGACCTTGGTCCTCAAATACTTCTCCAACTCGGGACCTTTGGTGATACTCGCGCCGATCATAGTCGTTCCGGACCTCCTGAGCACGTGGTCGATGTACGAATCGTCCGAGTCGTCCCCACTGTCCTCGTCGTCGGATTCGGGTCGGTCGTGTGGCTGCAACATGTCCTCACCCTGATGCCTGAGACCTGCGCTCGTCGGATCGTCGTCCGACTCCGTTCCTGCTTGGGAGATCACACTCCCCTCCAGTCCATTCGCGCTAATTTGCCGCAACAGACTCGCCCGCGCGCCCATCTTGACAGGCCGACTTGCAGTCGTGCGCTTCTTCCCCTTCTTCCGTCGAAGACGCTTGCCGAACTTCCACACGCGCGGTACCATCCCTACCCTCTCCACCACACGCACACCCTCCGCTTCCAGAGCCTCCATCTTCTCCGGGTTGTTCGTGAGCAATCGACACTCGTCCACACCGAGATCCCTCAGGATCGCAGAGGCGATGTCGTACTTGCGGGCATCGGGCAGATGACCGAGCAGGATGTTGGCCGAGACGGTGTCGTGACCCATATCCTGCAGGTTGTACGCCATGAGCTTATCGAGCAATCCGATACCACGTCCCTCTTGGCGGAGGTAGACGATGACTCCCCTGCCCAGCTTTTGCGGTTGGGCAGAGGGCCGGGAGACGTACGCTTCCGAGATGAGCCGGATGGCTTCATCCAACTGCTCGCCGCAGTCGCAGCGCTGACTACCGATTGTCTCGCCCGTAAAGCACTCGCTGTGAATACGCACTAACGGCGCAATCTCGTCGTCAGCCGACTTTCCACCCGCCTGCCCATGTCGCGCCAACGGTCGAGAAGCAACCTGAAAACTCGGCCCCAACCTCCCCACGTAGGCACCACGAACAATACGCTCCATATCCGTCTCGCTCGGCCCCCACACCTCGTCCAGACTCTTACTCCGCAACGCCTGCTCCTGATACACCGCATCGCTCTCCTTAACCGGCCGTCCATCGGGACCCATGGTGGTGGATCCCTCGTCGTTCTGATACGGATCGATCACCAGCGCAAGATGCTCCTTCGTATCATGCGTGTTTTTGTAGAGGTGGCAGAAGACTTCGCCGTGCGGAGTGGGGACGCGGGTACGGGCGTAGCAGCGGACGCGAACGGGAGGGGGGCGGACGATGGACGAGATGCTAGCTCGACCGGCGGGCGTACCCACCTGCGGGGGCATGTAGGAGAGCGTCTCGGCGGCGGGGGTGAGAGGGATGTGCGTGGGCGCGGAGACGGCGGTGAGGGCGGCTTTGCGCTCGTCGAGGGCAGCGGCGATCTTGTCAGCGGGTAAGGAGGGGGGGACGAGGACGGTCTTGGAGGCTTGGTTGCCCGGCTGGTTGAGGAGCGAGGGTTGGAGGGGCTCGTCGCTCGCGCGGATGGTGGATGCCTGGGGCTGGGTCTGGCTCTTGGCAGTCACGTCTGGAGAAGAAGCCTGGCGAGTAGCTCCGGCTTGCGCTTGTGCACGCTTCTGCTCGAGGTCCTTTTGTTGCTGCAAACGAACGCTACGGGGGGCTTGTCGGCTGGCGTAGTAGGCTCGCTCCTCGTCTGTCACCTCGGGGACTGGCTCGATCTCGATGGCTGAGGAAGAAGCAGCGTTGCGACTGGGAATGACGTCGTCGAAATCGTCAAAATCGCAGTTGGCGTACGAGCCGCTTGCTGCTGAAGGTCGTCGAGAGCGGGGCTGCTGGGCACGGGAGGATGTGCCGGCCGACGTCGATCCTTTCGCATCAGCGGCAGACGCAGCTGCAGCCGCGGCCTTTCTCTGACTGGCAGGCATCTGCTGAGAGTTCGAGGTGTGAGCATGGCTGCCAAACGAGTGGTGAAAGTGGTGTCGAGTGACATGAGGACCCGAGCTGAGACTGGCAGCCAAGACCATGGGATCGATGGGAGGCCTGCGAAGAGCGTTGAGCGTTGAAAGGGGCCTCAGCTTGGACGAGGAGGAGGCAGAGGACGAAGCATAGCTGGGCTGATGCGGGAAGGAGGTCGACATGGACGTGAGGGCATCCAGCAGCTCGAGATCGCCTTGGGTGACGGCGGAGTGGGAGTTGGCGGCCTGCATCATATCTGCACGTTAGGGAAGAGCAGCAGCAGCAGCAGCGGCAACGATGGCGTGCATACCCAGCTTTTCTTTCAACGAGCTTAAAGCGAGCGCCTGTCTAGATATCTTGACGACGAAAGGAGCGATGATGGGATTGAGAAGGGAAAGTGTCAGGCAATGAGGGCAAAGCCAAAAGCTAAAAGCCGCGGTCGGATATTGCGCTGGACTCAAGCCGGTGTGATATCCCACGAGAATATTCCTCTGGGCAGAGCGGGGGAGGAAATGAGTGAGACAGCCTGGCGGCTGAATGTGATTCGTCAAGACCAACCGAGCCTGTCTATCACACACACTCTCACTCGACTCGGATCCTGCAATGCAACGCGCATACATGCAATGATCTCTTGCAAGCCAGGGCATATCGGCGAGATACCCAGGCCAACGAACACGCGAAATGAGCTCTCAAAGGATGATTGGAGGACGCCGCGGTCATCTGCCGAGCTAGAATGGCTGAGCCAAGGCAGCTAGCTGACTCAAGTCGAGCTCAGACGACCCTGATGCTTCAGCCCGCCAACCTGATGATTTTTAAAGAGTGTTAGACCCGCTTCGCCTGAGCTGAATTTGTAGCAAAAAGCCAGGTTCGGTAGGATTGAAATCGAGGAAAGGGCGGACTGCGCTCAGCTGCTGAATTCTCTTGCTCAGCAGTAGCGGTGGGCGCCTGTGCTGTGCTGAGGTGTGTGTGTGGGTTGAATAGGTGTTGGTCTCCCAGTTTTTTCAGTTTCAACTCACAGAGCTGCTTCTCGATTCAGCTTCAACTCGCCCGTCACTCCACTCCCACCACCTCAGCTTTTCCCATCGATCACCACCCTCATCACCCTTCTTCACTACCCGCTCTTGTTCTCAACTCGGGCTCATACAGCATCGCAAACCTAGCACATCGGCCTCATTCCGACCTGCTCGCCTGCTACCTCACCATTTCAACCTCGCCCCCTCTCCCATTCGGATATAGCCACCATGTCGGGCCGTGACATGTCGCGTCGACAAGACAACTACAAGGCAAAGGGTGTTTTCAAGCAGGATGAGCTCCGAAGAAGACGCGAGGAGGCTCAGGTCGAGATTCGTCGTCAGAAGCGTGAAGAGTCCATGGCAAAGCGTAGGAATCTCAACGTTGGCGATGACACTGACGGCGCAGACTCGGACGACGATGACACCGCATCCGCTGCCATCGACGCTCAACTCGCCGATGAGCTCCCAAAGATGATCGACGATGCTATGAGCGACAACCTCGACCGCCAACTCGACGCTACCACCAAGTTCCGCAAGCTGCTTTCCAAGGAGAAGAACCCGCCCATCGAGCGCGTCATCGCCGCTGGTGTCGTTCCTCGCTTTGTCGAATTCCTTCGAAGCCCTCACAGCATGATTCAGTTCGAGGCTGCCTGGGCACTCACCAACATCGCCTCCGGTACTTCTGATCACACCCAGGTTGTCATCAACCAGGGTGCCGTGCCTGTCTTCATCGAGCTGCTCTCTTCGCCCGTGCTCGACGTACGCGAGCAGGCCGTCTGGGCTCTCGGTAACATTGCTGGTGACAGCCCCAAGTGCCGTGACTACGTCCTTCAGGCCGGTGCCATGCGTCCTTTGATTGCCCTCCTTAGCGAAAACCACAAGCAGAGCATGCTCCGCAACGCAACCTGGACGCTCAGCAACTTCTGCCGTGGCAAGAACCCGCAGCCGGACTGGGCCATGGTTTCGCCCGCTCTCAGCGTCCTCACCAAGCTCGTCTACTCGATGGACGACGAGGTCCTTATCGACGCCTGCTGGGCCATCTCGTACCTCTCGGATGGTGCTAACGAGAAGATTCAGGGCGTCATCGAGTCTGGTGTCTGCCGCCGCCTCGTAGACCTGCTCACCCACCCTTCCACGGCCGTTCAGACCCCTGCGCTCCGCTCCGTCGGTAACATCGTCACCGGTGACGACTACCAGACTCAGGTCGTCATCTCGTCTGGTGCGCTCCCACCTCTGCTCTCGCTCCTCTCTTCGCCTAAGGAGGGCATCCGCAAGGAGGCCTGCTGGACCATCTCCAACGTCACCGCCGGCTCCTCGCAGCAGATCCAGGCCGTCATCGATGCCAACATCATCCCTCCTCTCATCGACATTCTCCAGCACGCCGACTTCAAGACCAAGAAGGAAGCCTGCTGGGCCATCAGCAATGCCACCAGCGGTGGTCTCTCCGAACCCCAGCAGATCCGCTACCTCGTCTCGCAAGGCTGCATCAAGCCTCTCTGCGACCTTCTGCGCAGCATGGACAACAAGATCATCCAGGTCGCCCTTGACGGTCTTGAGAACATTCTGAAGGTCGGCGAGATGGATCGCGAGTCTGCCGGTGGTGACGCTCCCAACCAGTATGCACTCCACATCGAGGAGTGCGGTGGCATGGTCTCGATCCACAACCTGCAGCACCACGAGAACCTCGACATCTACAAGAAGTGCTTCTACATCATGGACAAGTACTTCCCCGATGACGAGGCGCAGGACACGGGTCTGGGCGCTACTCAGGTTGACGAGACTGGTGCTTTCGCCTTCCAGTCCGACCTCAACGCTCCTCAGGGCGGCTTCAACTTTGCTCCTGCGCAGAATGGTATGCAGCAGTAGATTCGTACTCTAGCACGATGAGCTCCAACGTCGCCGCTCAGACACGCCACGGTGTCCAACATGATACCAGATCCCTCAGCTCACATGGCGCAGCCACCCAGGGCAGGATCCATCCCCAAAAAGGTAAGTTTGCAGGTCGCGCACGCCGCAAATGCATGTCGCGCGATCCTCGGTCCAAACCACATGACTCTCTTCGCTCCAACATCGATGCGCACAAGGTCGTATCTCCTACCCTCCATTCCCCCACCTACACAATACAATGTACTCCAACCCTCCATGCATGTCATCTCTTGTCCTCCTTTTCCCATCTTGCAATGTCTTGTTCGTCGTCGTCCTTTTCGTGATGCGGTGGCTGGTGCGAGTCGGGTCGGTGTGTATGCCGCTAGCCAGTGCAAAGTCTGAGTGGGTCGGTGTGTGAGATGTGTGAGCTTGAAGGGGAGGGAGCATCGGCGGGAGGGAGGAGCGGGAGTCGGGCAGCCTCCACTGCGCAAAGCTCTCGAATCCAGGGTCCACTCTTTGTTCTTCCACAACTCCCCCTCATCAACGCTGCTTGCAACCCTGGGCCGCATCCTCAACGCCTATCTCACTGCGGGTCTTTCCGATTGATCGACCAGAGCTGCAATTACATCTCTCAGCGCGTCAATCTAGGCGGATCTGACTGCTGCTCAGCACCTGCGCATCCCGTCCACCAGTGTACCATCACCACCCCGCGCCACCCCTCTCCCCACTCGCTCACGAATCATGTCCAAATCGGTCTCGTCGCGCTTCGTCTCGGCCTCGGACCCCAACTCCACCGTCACCTCAACCGAAGAGTACGACCCTCGCTCGCTGTACGACAAGCTCGCCTCCCAAAAGCAGGCCAAGGACGAGGCGCTCGATGAAAAGTACAAGCTGGCCAACCAGTTCAGGGGCATTGATGAGGGCGAGAGCGAGTTTCTGGTTCAGGTGGCGGGTGAAAGGAGAGAGGAAGAGAGGGAGAGGCTGAGGAGGGAAAGGGAGGAGATGGAGGGGTTCAGAGCTGCTAGAGCTGCGGACGGTGGGAAAGGCGTCAAGCGCGCTGTGGAGGAGACCAAGGGGTTGGTTGGCGAAAAGCCGGATACAGCAACAACAACAGGTCTGGCAAAGAAGGCCGAGGAGAAGAGCGAGAGCAAAGAGGGAGCGATCGTTACTGGTGCGGTGAAGAAGAAGAGGAAGGCCGGTGCGTCCGCGTTGGGCATCGTCAGGAAGAAGCCGGCAACCCAGGTCGACGAAAGCTCGAAAGCTGCAGCTGCAACACCAAGATCGAGCGCACCCAGCACCGAGGCCAAGAAAACATGATCAGCATGGCACGCATTCGTCAGTCTCAGCATGATCGCAATGATACCCACAACACAGCCTCGTGCAAGCAAAGTGAGTTTTCGTGTATGATGCGAAGAGTTTTCGTGTATGATGCGAAGAGTTTTCGTGTATGATGCGAAGACTACAAGTACAACGGCGAAGACGTGACAACATACCAGAGGGAAAGAGTCTTGGTCGTTTATGGTGAGGAGCTCTCGTCGTATATGCGTTGGCAGCTCTAGACTCTTCCGTGGTCATTCAGCTTGTCGAAGGATGGAGGGTTTGCGGACGCAAGTGCGGGGAGGGGAATGAGGACCGCGGGAGGGGTCGGTTCAGATGCTTTTGGCGAGAGACACGCTGAGAGTGACGGGCGAGGATGTCGCTCCGCCGTATCGTTCGAATCGCTTGCTTGGTATTTCGATTACGTCCGCCAGGCGCGGGGTCATAGGTATGTCAGGCATCTGGCCATCAGCATGCGGGTCAGTGTCAGCTTCGGGCCCACCTTCGACCATGCTGTGAGCGATATAGGCCCTCTGCGCAGGGGGATCGGATTGAGGCTCGGGTCCGAGTGGCGCTTGATGTTGCGTCGAAAAGGGCGGGAAGAGCGGGAAAGAGGTTGGCAGCTGATTCCGCTCTGGGTGAGGGATACCGTGAACAGCGGCGGATGTGACAGCAGGGTGAGCTGGAAGATGGCCTGAAGTGGGCGCATGCGCTGTATCCTGGCCCGAAAGATTGGATGAAGGGACCAATCCAGGACCTTGATGCTCCTGCGGGCACGGCGTCGAGGCGGATGTCGAAAGACAAGGATTCTGCGGGGGACGTGTCGACGTGGCTCGATTGGTCGGCAAGGGCGTCTCGATGGACGACATGGCCGAGATTGGGCCGAATGGAACGGTGCTACCTTGCAGACAGACGTGCGCATCGTGCTGTTGGGACTGAGGCTCCAATCGGTACGCCCGAGGCCGGAAAACGGGAAGGTGCGGCTGAAGGGGATGCTGAAGGACCGGCAAGTCATGCAGAGCTTGCGCATGCATAGGCGGATGCATCAAGTGAGGCCAGAAAGTCCCACTCCTAGTAGCAAGGGCTTCTTGTTCCGTCAGAGCGAGGGCCGGATTTTTGGTCAACAGAGCCGAATCGGAAGGAGCTCGAGTATGTGTTTGTGTCTTGTCTGTCGTACGAGGAACACCATGTCCGTGATGAGACAGATCAGACCGGGCCGAGTTTGGTGGCGAAATCAGGTCGGGAGCCGCGGTGACGTGGGGTTGATGGAAAGGATAGACGGTATTCAGACAACCTCGATCGCTCGCACCAGAAAGGCTCTGCGAACGTGAACCCTGGAAGCTGGCATCGAAAAGCTTCGGCTCCCTGAAACGGCCTTTGTGCTCCGTATCATGCTGAAGTCTCTGCTCGGCCGGGCTGATACCTTGAGCTTGCGAGACGAAAAGCCCGTCGAGTGCTCGCGTTGGTGGATCAGCGCATACCGTACTCCGTGCATGCGACGGATGACCATGTTTCATCGCAGCGACCGGGTTGTAGAGGTCGAAATTCGTCTGAGGGGCCAAGCTGCTATGCTGCATTTGCTCGGAGGAGGCGCGCACAAGGGGCGAATGTGTGGATAACGGCTCGTGAGGTCGCGAAAATTGGCTTGAGTTGTTCGAAAGAACAGTCTGGTGATGATTTGGTCCCGTCAGGCACGAGGATTGTGCAGGTCTGGTCGTTGTGACGCCGGGAATATGAATCGGTGGACCGCCGAGGCGCTGCGACCTATGAATGCTGAGCTCGCTCCGCAACGTGATTGCGTGCGGTGGCAAAATGCCATGACGCAATAGCAAGGCCTCCATGGCCATGTTGCGCTCGGTCAGTTCAGCGATGGTCTCTCTGAGGATCTTTTCTCGCTCTTTCCGCCTTTCGCGAAACAGTCGACTAGCTCGAGCGTTCGGAGTGTTCGAAGTCGCGTCGATAGGTGTCGAATTCGACTTCTCGTCTGGGGGAGGGACGTCCTGATGGGGCAAGATCTGGTCCCGTCCCTCTTCCTTCGCCTCGTGATCGATGATGCTCGGTTCACAGTCTCCGCTGTTTTCGCTCGATAGAGTCTGAGACGAAATCGAGTTCTCTTGCTGCGGCGGGCATGCCGTTTTGATATGATCGTAGATGGCTTGAAGATCCACCTGATGGTCACTTGGCCAGGTGCCGGCATGTCGGCGATGCCGTTCGTGAAAGATGTTGACCGTCATATGATTCAGTACACTACTTGAAGAAGCCGGAGTCTGGAAGGGCCTTGGCCCGTTTTGTCGGTGAAGCGACGAGCAAGATGCTGCAAGTGATCCTCTGCTCAAATTGGCTCAGCGCGACCTTGTATCCTCGTATCGGTGGAGGGTCGTTTCGGAGGCTGATGACAGAGGGCAGCAGAATCGGCTCTGTGAGGACTGGGAAATGTCGGATACTTGGAGGCGATGCGGCTGCCCGAACAGGAGATAGCAGCCTTATATAGATCGCTTCTACGCCTCCGCTATGGAACCGTCCAAGCGTGAACATTTCAGTTCGTGCAAGGCAAGAGCTGCGACGCATCTGACCTATCGAAGCTGACACTGGGGGAGACCGGAGAGGAACGCGGCTGCGCTGTGCAACCCTGTACCTTCCGCCGCTGTCTATGTCAAGAAAGCCTGCCTTGACGAACACAAGCGCTGTTACGTACACGGGAAGCCTGGCGCAAGACGACTGTGGCGACGCGAGATGCTTTGACTGCTCTCCTTCGTGAGTTCTGCATAGCCGTGACTCTAAGGCTGCGTCGTACGGTCTTTTCGATTGGACTCGAGCTGCCTGAACCCGCTGAGTAGAGAAGTTCGCTGGCGAGTTCGGGAAGCGAGGATGGGGCCAGTTGACTGGTTCACTTTGTGGCAAACTTTGAAGGCCGTCGTACAAGAGGATATGGGGTGCCAAGAACTCAGCCGATAATGGAACTTGATGCATGAGAGTTTGGAGGGTTTGGAGACTGATTGGAAGAAGAGAGAGGGCAAAGGGAAAAGCAATCAGACCCGACCGCTCCCTGACCAAGCTCGCGGAAGGGGTCGGGTTTCGGAATGTGTCGAGACGGCGCACCGACAGCGGAACAAGGTCAAGGAAAGGGCATAAGAGGCTCTCGTGGATAGGCGGCGAAACCAAAGCGTTGATCTGTCAAGCAGAAGCGCTGACGAGGGTTGTCCACTCAGCAATAGATGCAAGTTTCTCTTACCGCCGCCCTACCCGTCTCCGAGCGGTGAGGGCAGCGACCACCTTGGTCGACCGTCGCTGTGCCACGTCACCCGGTTTCGGGACTTGAAGGAGACCCGCTAGACAAGTAATGCTTTCCAGGTCGTCACAGAGTCAGTAGGTGCCGCGTGACGACGAGTCGTTTTGCGCTACGCCAATTTGCGCTGCTCGAAACTCGTCCACCGCTACGCCCAGTCTTCTGCGATGCTGACGCCCTGATGCTTGGCTCTCTTGTCACATCTTCCCATTGCGGAGGACTTCTCTCGTCAATCTTGAGATTTGTCCATGGTCTCGACTTGACAAACTGTGCACACCTCTCCGTTGTGGTCGAAGTCGGATCGCTTTGCTCAGCCCAGTGACCAAGCCGAACGCTGAGCTTCCTACCGCGGAATTGGATTGAACCGCATTCTGCGTCGACGGGAAGCAAGCACAAAGATCGGAGGCGATGTGCTCACGAGAAGCGGGAAGCAAGGACCATGCAACAGTGTGGAAGCAATGCGCGCAGAAGCACCAAATTTGCTGCACCCTCTCTTAACGTGAATCAGCCAGATTCAGTCGTTCGACCTATCAGCTTCGAAATGGCTATGCATCCTTGATGCGGGCCATGTGACTTCGAGAGTTTAACTCCGAGCGTACTTCCGAGTCAAGGAGGGCTGCAAAACAGATCTTTATAGCGATTCGAAGCTGTCCCAGCCGACTGCTCGGGAGAGGAGCCCATCATGCATCGTCGCCTTTAGCAGAAAACCAAGAGAGGTGTTAGACCCTTTGTCAAGTGGAAGACTTCTTGATTTTTCGCACGACTTGGACAGAAGGCTTCTGGCAACTTCTTCTCAGATTCCACTCCACCTCTGCGCCGTTTAGAGTTGGTGGTTCGCACTTCTTGAAGGCTGATCCGTGCTGCACTCGGTTTCTTCATGATCTTTCACCAACAACTCGCAACAGCATCGGTCGCACAGAACAGCAATACACGCTGATCGGCTGATAACATGTCGACCTGGAACAAGCACTACCACTGGAAGACCAAGGGCTGCACGCCCTGGGCCAAGAACCACATCACCGAGGCCACCGTCGGCAAACAGGTTACGGTGGGCAAGAGCGGTCATGTCAAGGTGGACCGTCTTTCGTCCTTCGAGGGCGACGTCGAGCTCGGCAACCGAAAGGGCAAGCTCATCACCATCTACGACTGCGCCATCGCATACGCCTGGTCTGGATCGTCGGATGATGGCACCGAGGCGAGCGGCACCATCACTTTCCCAGAAGTGAGCCACGAGATCGAAGACGAAGGCGACGAGTACCGATTCGAGACGGAAATGTCGACCAAGTCGTCAGCAGAGACCAACCAGCTCTACGATGCCGTGCGCAAGGAGCTGGCACCTTCACTTCGTCCCGTCTTCCACGCTTTCCGCCAGACCCTCATCGACGCCCACGCCAAAGACCTGGGCCACGATAGCCCCGCTTCCACTCCCGGCGCCGCGACTCCCACCACCACCTCGACTTCGACATCTACGACTCCGGCTGCTGCTGCGCCTGCATCTGCAACTGGCGCTGCACCAAAGCCATCGAAAGGCAGCGTGTCGACGAGCTCGAGCGACGTGCGCGTATCCAGCGAACTCGCCATCAGCATCTCGGATCTGTGGGACCTCCTCACCAACCCATCACGCATCCCGATGTGGACGCGAGCACCAGCGCAATTTGAAGCGAAAGCGGATGCTGACTTCGCTCTCTTCGGCGGCAACGTGACTGGAAAGGTGATCAGCGTCGATGCGCCAAAGCAGCTCATCCAGAAGTGGCGCACACCGCAGTTTCCCCAAGGACACTACGGCACGCTCGCTGTCAATCTGACGGAAGGCGGCGACTCGACCAAGCTGGAGCTGGTGCTCAGCGGTGCTCCCTCTGGTGACGAGGAGGTCGTCGAGAAGAACCTGGAGACGTACTACATTCGCGGTCTCAAGTCGATGGGTCTTGGCACTATCCTGTGAGCTCGTGATGTAGCTCATACATCGAGATCATACATGTTCATCAGGCAGGTAGCAACAATACGTACATTCTAACCTTCAACAACATCGATGCTGCATGGTCCTTGCATGTGTCACAGAGCGACCACGGCCCCACACTTCGCCAAGAAGGTCCCACTATGTCAATCAAATTGTTAAAATGTTACGCCCGAAATCCTGAACATGAGTCGAGAAAATTCGAGCGGATCCGAGGTCGCCTACCAAACGGCAGCTTCCTGATTGGGCAGCAGGCCAGGCAAGCGAAATTCGACTGGAAAATTGGCAGGTGCGCAGCGTGTATCTTTCTGCTGCCAACTGATTTCAAACCAAAGATGGTCGTCTCGCGCGCTGAGAGTCAGAAAGACTGGCTGAGCTGCCTCGAATTCTCACCTTCCGACTGAGCTGGAAGACCTGTCTGCCTCACTCTCTCTGCGATTAGCCAACTTGGAGCTCGCGGACCATCGCCAAAATCGGGTTTGGCGCGCTTCACTTTCCTTCATCGCCATCATCGTCGCCAACTCTTCCTTCCCTCTTCGCCACTCCCTCCGTCACTTAAACACGCCTGACAGCCACATCAGGCGAGTCGCTCCCTCACCTGTGGCCCTCTCTCTTTCTTCACCGCCGACCGCACCTCGCGACTGCCGAGCCAGCTCCCACCCGCACCGACTCACACTGGCATATCAACTTCGATCCTTCCGATCAGCAACTCTTTTACCCACACACACATCGACCTCACAATGCTGCGCTCTCTCGCTGCTTCTACCTCCGCGGTGCGTCTCGCTCCTCGCGGCGGCGTTGCTGCTCGACTTCCAGCCACGTCTGCCTCGTTCGCTACCTCGGCTTCGCGTCGTCAGGCTACTCCTGCCCCCGCTCCTCCCAAGATGGTCAAGCTCACCATCAACGGCAAAGAGATCGAGGTCGAGCAGGGTACCGCCCTGATTCAGGCTTGCGAGAAAGCGGGTGCTCAGATCCCCCGATTCTGCTACCACGAGCGTCTCATGGTGGCCGGTAACTGCCGAATGTGCCTCGTCGAGTCCAAGGGTGCGCCCAAGCCACTCGCTTCGTGCGCCTTCCCTGCCATGCCCGGACAGCAGATCTTCACCGACACTCCCCTCGTCGCCAAGGCTCGTGAGGGTGTCATGGAGTTCCTCCTCGCCAACCACCCCTTGGATTGCCCCATTTGCGATTGGGGTGGAGAGTGTGATCTTCAGGACCAGTCGATGCGATACGGTTCGGACAGATCGCGTTTCCACGAGATCACGGGCAAGCGAGCTGTCGAGGACAAGAACATGGGACCCCTCGTCAAGACCGTCATGACCCGTTGCATTCAGTGCACCCGTTGCGTCCGATACGCCAACGACGTCGCCGGTGTCCAGGACATGGGAACCACCGGCCGTGGCAATGACCTCCAGATCGGCACCTACATCGAGAAGACCATGAACTCGGAAATGTCTGGCAACATCATCGACCTGTGCCCCGTCGGTGCCCTCACTTCGAAGCCGTACGCCTTCCACGCCCGTCCTTGGGAGCTCAAGAAGACCGAGTCCGTCGATGTTCTTGACGCTGTTGGATCGAACATCCGTGTCGACTCGCGCGGTGTCCAGGTGATGCGCATCCTGCCCCGCACCAATGACGACGTCAACGAGGAGTGGATCAACGACAAGACTCGATTCGCCAACGATGGCCTCAAGTACCAGCGTCTCACCACGCCTCTGATCAAGCAGGGTGACCGCTTCGTGCCCGCCTCGTGGCCCGAGGCCCTTGCCACCATTGCCGAGGGTCTCTCCTCGTCTGGTGCCAAGGGTGACGAGATCAAGGCTGTGGCCGGCTCGCTCGCCGATGTCGAGTCGATGGTCGTGCTCAAGGATCTCGTGAACAAGCTCGGCTCGGACAACCTCGCCACCGACCAGGTCAACGGTGACCAGCCTCCCATCTACGGCTCCGACTTCCGATCCAACTACACCTTTAACACCACCATTCCCGGCATTGAGGAGGCGGATGTTCTCCTGCTTGTTGGCACCAACCCTCGTCACGAGGCCGCCATTGTCAACACGCGCATTCGCAAGGCGTACCTGCACCGTGAGCTCGATGTGGGTCTGATCGGCGAGAAGGTGGACCTCACCTACGAATATGACCACGTCGGCACCGATGGCCAGGCTGTCAAGGACCTTCTCTCGGGCAAGGGCGCATTCGCCAAGAAGTTCAAGGAGGCCAAGAAGCCTATGATTGTGGTGGGAAGCGCTGTTGCCGAGCACCCCGACGGCAAGGCCATTCTGGGCAACCTGGCTGAGCTGGTCAAGGCCAACAAGGGCAAGCTGCTCAACGGCGACTGGAACGGGTACAATGTTCTGCAGCGACAGGCATCGCGCACGGGTGCGCTCGACATTGGCTTCACTCCTTCGCCTGCTGCTGCCAAGACGACGCCCAAGTTCATCTACTTGCTCAACGCTGACGACATCACGCCCGAGACCATCCCGCGCGACGCATTCGTGGTGTACCAGGGTCACCACGGTGATGTTGGTGCGCAGTTCGCCGACGTCTGCTTGCCCGGATCTGCATACACCGAGAAGGCGACCACATACGTTAACACCGAGGGCCGAACACAAGTGACGCGAGCGGCGGTGCCACCACCGGGAGCAGCGCGCGAGGACTGGAAGATTGTTCGTGCGCTGTCCGAGGTGATGGGAGCGACGGTGCCATACAACGATATCCTGGATGTGCGCGACCGCATGTTCGAGATCTCGCCTACATTGGTACGACACGAGGTGGCCGAGCCATCGACAACGTCGGCGCCGTTGGCAGTCGAGGAACTTGCCAAGCTGGCCAAGTCGTCCATCTCGGGTACGCCTCTGTTGAGACCGATTGAGAACTTCTACCAGACGGATCCGATCTCGCGCGCATCACCAACGATGGCCAAGTGCACAGCTGCGTTCGTCGAGGGTCAGCCCATGGACAAGGTGGACGGCAAGGCGACATTGGCTGCCTTCAACTGAGTTGTCATCAGCGCATGACTCGTCCTTGTTCTAGACACACGCAACCTTGTCGAGTAATCAAGACCTAGTTCTTACTTCAGTTCCAGCATTGACCATCTTGCTTTGCGTCGGTGCTCATTGCTGATGTGTAGCCATCGCGTGCTGCCCACGTTGCGATCATCAGGGGCAACAGGAGTGACGGGACGTATGAGAGTCTTGCACTGAGGACATTGTTTGGCTTGCCGAAGGTGATTCGTGATTGTTTTGTGCGTCGTTGTATGCCCGATGACCGAATTGTGTTGCAGGCGAGCGGAGAAGCAGCTGCCTGCCAATTTTTCCCACTTTTCCTCGAAAAACACACGTTAAAATCCGAGTGTCCGGAACACTGGCGAGGTGAAGCATCATCGACAAGACTGGCAGCCGAGCTGGGCGTGACGATCAAGAGGATGCATCATCGAGTCCTTTGTTCGGTCGCGATAAGAGCAAACTCAGCATCACACTAGAACAGCCACAGGGTAGGCCAAGTCGGCAAGGGCAAAGCAAAATGAAGGCCGCGCCGAGGGACAAGGTCGGTCGATTGTCATAAGAACGCCATGTCATGGGATGGCCGGAGCCTCAATTCCGGGCCTAGTCTTTGATAGAAAAGGCACTGCAGCTCAGTCTCACCAAGCAGCCAAGAAGAGGAGAGGCTCGAGTCTGGACTCAGACAAACTAACTTTGGCCGATGTGATCTATATCCAGAGGTCCTAGCTTCAGGGTTCTGTATCGAGAGAGTCACTTTTCCTTTCTTTCACATCACCTTTTGCTACTAGCACACCGCCTCGGCTAACTTGGTCCTGTGTGCTCAAGGCGCTGCCCAACATTCGCGGGGGAAGACTTCCTGCGAGTCTAAACGCTTCGCCCTGGAGGGTCCCTTTCCTGCTCCTGCGAAAAGTCTTTGCCGCTACTCCTCACTCCTACTACACTTGCCACGACATCAGTTTGCTCCTATACCACGCTTCCTCCCGCCAGTCAACACGCCAAACCCGATTGAAGCAAGCATCTCGCCGAGCAAACCGCGCAACCGTCAAATCCTGGCAGAGATAAGACTCACTGTTCACCACCTTGCGCCCATGCTTCATTCGATGATCATCACTTGATCGTCGCAACGACCACACTTGTCGCCCATTGCTCGTCAGTCTCGATTTATTGCGCTTCCATCAAGTCGCCGCCGTCAGGCCAGAGCAACGTTGCCGAGTGCCTTTCAACTCCGGCGTCACAGTCGCTGTCCCAGCACAATCAGAGGATCCAGCTGGCCGTTGGGCACTCCGAAATGAGGCCTCCTCAGCGCCGGATCCCGTCGTCGATCCGTGTTCGACGCTCCGACACGGACCCTTCGCGCAATAGCTACTACTCCTCCGCCGATACCTATGCCAGACGTACAGACGAAACCAACGCCGACGCACAGTCAACCACTACGAATCTCCCAGCGCCGTCACGTACCGGACAGTCCTCAGCTAACGACTACTTCACGCTTCGAGAACCACGCAGAGGCCCAGGGTTGTCTCCCGGTGATAGGCTCGGTACGCCAGGGGGAGAAGGCGTCACACCCAGCAGCGAGGGGCATTGGCATACTCCCGCTGGCCGTCTAGATAAGGAAGAAGACGATGACGAGACACTTCGCCTTGAGATGGAAGCAGCCAGACGAGCCATATATGATCAAGAACGCCGGGAGCAGCGTCAAGGCCACCGCGACCGCAGATCAGTCCGTGTTCCCCCTGGTGACTATCCACCCATTCGTTTGAACGATGAAGCGTTACAGCCATCGGTCCCACCACGCTCCACCAGCCGCAGACCAGGGGCTGTCGAGGGACTTGCCATGCGACACCATCGTCAACGCAGGGAAGATCGCCGAAGAGCTCGACAGGATCGCCGCGGCTCGGTGTCCACGTCCTCGTCGCGATCCTCTTCCACAGCTTCTCGAGGGGACAGTGCTGCCGACGACCACCGTCCTGCAGCAAGAGGCAACGACGGCACGTCGATGTATCCGCTGTCGCATCCTCGCAATCTGTCCGATGTGCAGGAAGAACGCTCGAGTCAATTGGCCATACCTCAGACCCAAATCCTGCCAGAAGACCAAGAGACGGAAGCAACGTCCAGGACCCGTGGCAATGCGACCACAGATGACGGCCTGATGGCCGCGTCTCGTCGTCTTTACGATCAATTGCTCCGACGCAAATCAGACAGCGGCCTGGCCGACAACAACAACCAAGGACAAGAATCGCAAAGACGAGCGCGACGAGCAGACGACGACGACCGCGACGACTACCATTCCACCCCCTCCTCTGAAGCCAGCGGGATGCACGAGGATGAAGTGGTCGATTACCTCGACGTCGTGGATCCCGAGGTGGCCACCGTCACCGCTCTACAGAACGTGGGCAACTCGATCTTCTTCCCACCGATCCCCATGCTTTACAACCGACGGCCCACCATCAGTCTACCGGCAGCTGTTACTCGACAGAGGTCGCCATCAGCACGCAACACCCCACGTGACGAGCGAAGGCTGGACGACATTGAAATGGGCTTGAGGCCCGGAGACACCGAGTCCGGCGACGGGGACACCTCGCGGTTTAGCAGCGTGCGTCGCGTCGCATCCCTCGTACCTGGTCGCAAGAAGAAGCAGGTCCCGCCCACCACAGAGGAGGAGCGACGCAAGCACATCAAAGAGTGGGCCGAGATGGACGAAGAAGAACGCAACGAGCTCGACGAACACGTTCGCCTCCTTCTCACTAAGAAGGCCAAGTTCAAGCGCGGTGCTCGCGGCTTTTGGCGCTACGTCAAGACTCCGCAAGGATTCATCATCACCACGTACGCCTTCTTGATCACGTTCTGGGGTACCGCCATCATGCTTTTCATTCTCAAGTGGATCAATGTGGGCAATCCGGACAGGCAACGCTACTGGATCGAGATCTGCGATCAGATCCTGTGCGCTCTGTTCGCCGCCGTCGGTCTGGGCTTCGCGCCCTTCAGAGCGGTGGACACGTACAGGATGGTGCAGATTGCGCACTACCACTTCTTGACATACAAGCGGAGGAGACAGCTGCAACTGCCCGAGTTGAAGGACAAGAACGAGCTGCCCAGGGCTGCGCCAAGGTTGAGCGTCGCACAGATGACCAACACGATGATGATCAAGACCAAGTTGAGGAGGAGTCCCGGGCCTGAAATGGCGGACGAAGGCACTACGGAGGGTGGACTCGATGAGACACGGGCTGCCGGACAGGTTGGACCGGCGAGTGCCGATTCGTCTTCGGAGCTGCTAGAAGCAGTACAATCGAGGCGCAGTGCGGACGAGGTGGAAAAGCTGAAGGAGAAGCGCAGCAAGAAGCATGCTTGGTTGCACCGCAAGAAGCACACCGACGAAGAAAAGGCGGACGGCGACTCTTCGAAGCGGGATTCGGCAGGGACCAGCTCATCAGCTGGCGGTGGGTCCGAGCCGGGACCCATCGAAGGGCCGCGCAAGACGTACGCGAATAAGGATGGCGTCATCCCCCTCGGTCAGCTCAAACGCAACCCCTCGATCGCATCCGAACTGCCGCGCGATGCGGAGGAAGAGGTAGTGCTGAGTCCCAAACAGCAGGCTAACCTGGAATACCAACAGCGCAAGTTCCACGAGTCACACACATTCTACCGCTACCGCGAGACGGTCACCCACCGCCCATTCGAGCTGTCTCTGATGATGGCCATTGTCATCCTGCTCGACGGTCACTCGTGCCTCCAAGCCTCGCTCGGCGGCACCACGTGGGGCATCTACTACAAGAACCGACCCACCAGCGTCACGGCAACCATCATCACCTTCAGTCTGAGCTGCAACGCCGTCGCCGGCATCCTCATCTGGCTCGGCGGCAACAGAACTAAGAAGAAGGAAGAGGTGGAAAGGCTGTTGGGGATCGCATTGGAAGAAGAGGCGTTGCGCAAGATCCGGAAGAAGGAGCGCAGGAAGAGGCGAGCCGAGGAGGAGGGAGAGGTCATGAATGAGCTGGAGAGGGTGAATAGTAGGGGCAGGGATGGGAGGTTTATCGTAGGCAGAGTGAGTACAGAGGTGAAGCGGTCGAGTCCCGCGTTGGAGCGCATTCAGGAAAATTAGACGACTAGCAATGGATCTTATACATCACACACGAAGAAGAGCCGCTCAGCGAGAGATCCCATGATCGCTGGTCGACTGCAGCTGTGATTCTCATGAAGTCCCCAAAGTTGCCGCTTGAGAGGGCTATGTGATCGAAGTTCGAACGTCGTTGTGCTTGGAGCAGAGGCTACAGGTATAGCGAAGGCCCGATCCGATCTTTGAATCGGGTGGTCAACGCGTCTGCGCGAAGCTCACGCCTTGGCTGTCAAGAAGAATCAAATCAACCGCGTAAATGAGTCTGTAGTCGTTAGCTTTCACCCATGACCTGCACCTTCTTTCCTCCTGACATGCGCACAGTGGCCGATGCAGCAGCTCATACTCGCCGCATGCTAGGTAGGAAGAAAGCTATGGTGTCGAACGATGAGCCCCTCCCTGTGCAGCAACAACAACGCTTTGAGCGCGACCAACCTCTCAAAGTGGAGCTGAAAGATCTGAAAGTGACGGTTGGGAATTTTGGACAAAGAAACAAACAGATTTACGCTGAGAGAGCGCGCTGCTGCTGCTACGCCAACGCGCTTTGCTTTGAGCTTGTCAATTAATGGACACCGTCCAACCTCAACCACTCGATGTAGCTATGGGACTTTGATGACGACGACAGGTAAAGGTGGCATCCTCAGCGTTCATGTGAGACGCTTACAAGTAGTTCTAGTTCTATGAACCGCAATGCGTGCGAGTTGAGATGATGGCTTCGGGTCGATGAGCGAAGAGGAGGACGAGGAGGAGCAGGAAGAAAGTCCCTGAGCTGCAGCTGTGGGCGAGTCGGTCTGATGCAGTAGCAGCGGCGACCCTCTCGCCCTGGAATTTCCTCCTGTCCTCCTCGACTGGCAAAGGTCAGTGTGTGCGTCCTCCTCACCCTCGGTGACGATATTCACAGTGGGTCCCGCGCTCCGATCTGGGCCTCGTTGCTCTCTCCCTCTTACCACATTCACCTCGGCGTGATCCTCTGCTTCCCTTTGACTCCATCACTATCCTTCCTCACTCCTTCGGTCTACCTTGCCGTGCTGCACTGCTGCAACTTCGACAACGCGCTCATTCCTTGCATCGGCCTCTTTCATCAAGTGCTTCGGAACCCCACACACGCGACTCAGCTTTCCTCCTCGCCAAGCTCGTCTTGCTGCTCGGTCTCTTCCTCTGCTTACACGCCGGCGACACGACCTGCCCACGTCTACGCGACACCACTGCACTCTCATCAAGGCCACAGGGTCCTCGCGCATCCCCGTGCCCAATAGCCTGAGCGCGTCAACGGACTCTCATCCATTCCGAACGCATGCTGCAAACCCAGCGACACAATCTCGATCCCCGGTCCATCTCCACATTGACCCTCGCACGAGTCTTTGAGTCATTCCCACTTCCTCCAACTCGCTGCTGAGCGGATACGTCAGCCATGCCACTCGTCAAGCGAAAGCCCGTCGAACTCTACCCGCCGCCCGAGGCCACCGGCTTCGAAGACCCCGATGTCTTCTACCTAGCCGCTACGGGTGAGGTCTTTGCCGACTTTGAGACGTATTCGAATCGTCTCAGCTTCTACCAACAAAAGGTGTTCCAATGCGAGCTCACCGGCAAGATCAACCTCACCTACTTCGAAGCGCTCAAGAGCGAACGCAAGGAAGCCATTGCCCTGCACAAGATCTTTCCGGAGCAGCTCAAAGGTCCCGTCCTCAAGTCGGCTCAGTTCCAGATCACAGGTCGTATCGACGAACTCGTTGACCGCGTCTATGATCGCTTCAAAAATCGCTTCTTTCCCGGAGAGACCGTCTTCTTTGATCTCAAGGGCGAAAAGTACTATGCCCGCCTCAGCAAAGCCGATGCTCCCGTCAAGGCTGCTGCAGTTCCGAACGGGGACAATGCCGACATGGAAGTGAAGCCAGAGCCAAATGGAGACGCTGCCTCTTCCGCCTCTTCACCACGCCAATCCCCTTCACCGACTCCGATCCACACTATCGGCACCAACTTGACACTCGAGCTGGAGCAGGCCAACCAGCTGGATGATCCAACTCAGTACGTCTACACTGTCGATCTCATCGATGACGAGGATGAGCCCACAGGAGGCACGCACATCACTTCGTCCGACAAGCTCAGCCGAGATCGACTAGCATTCTCCAAGACCATCTTGCGCAAGTACCTTCGCGATTGTATCATCCGCGCAGCCAACATCGGTGCAGAGTGGAGGGTCAAGGAGTGGTTGGCCCTCAAGTATGGCATCCCATTGGAGCCCACGGATGAGATCACAAGACTGAATGAGGAGCTCAAGGATGCCAAGCTCTCGAAGCGAAAGAAGTACCTGCTCCTCACCGACGGTGAAGACTCTTCCGCATCCACCAGCAAAAAGGCCCGATCTGACGGCAAGAAGCTCAGTGCCACTGCCCAGCGAAAAGCCGACGAGGCGGAGAAAGCCGCGATCGAGAAGGCGAGGGAGGAAGAGAGGCTGCGCAAGAAGAACATCAAGTATCCGATCGAGGATCTTGAACTCGATCCTATCACAAAGCGGGAGCTCATGTTCAAGATGGTTGGCGAGCTCGAACGACGAAAGGAACGACCTCTTCCTGCTCGCGGTGATTTGGCGCTGACAATGCCCAAGGAATTATTCGAGACCTTCCTTGGCACCTACTTCTTCCTCATATCCAAGGGCAAGCCGCTTCTCCTTTCACCTTTCACGATGGACGACTATGAGCAGGCGCTCCAGCACAGATTCTCAGATCCGACTTGCACACTCATCAACGAGATTCATCGTACTCTGATCAACCTCATCGTCCGCGACGGCGGCTCCAGTCTGGTCACCAACACTCCTGCCCTGGTTGCCAGCCTCGACGCAAACTCGTCCCTACTTCTGGACGGTGCCAAGGTTGAAGCTGCAGACGAGACCAACAGCGACGCCGATTCCGATGTGGACGAACTCGAGCCGAGCCAGAACGGCGTCCACGTCAACGGCAACGGTGCCTCCAGCAGCAACAACAACCACTCAGAGGAAGCCGAAGCCATCGCCAGCCTTCTCGAGGCCGCACGTGCGCTGAGTTCAGGGTGGGAGAAGCTTGTCATTCGTCCCGACAATCGCCGCGAGCGATGGGAGAACAGCCTGGTCGGTCTTATCGCCGCTCGCGGAACGCCAGATCTGCTCCCTCGCATGATCGGAATCTTATCACACCTGACTGCAGTTGAGCACGCTGAGGGGTACATCGACGGCAAGTTCGAAGCCGAGCTCTACGAGTCCCCTACGCAGCGGTACCCGCTCTTGGAGCTGGCCGACAAGCTGCAGATCATCGACTTCCTGTGCGTGCTCGCCGTGGAGAGCAAGTCGATCAAGGCGTTCTACGAAGAGTGCGAGGCGCAGCTGACGGAGCTGAGGAAGGAAAGGATCGAGGTGAGCCGAGCCAAGAAGGACCTGGCGGCACAATGGGACGAGTTCGAAGGCAACAACAAGGACGAGGAGAAGGATGGCGAGGAGGGCGGCGAAGCGGAAGAAGGCGAAGGCGAGGAGGGAGAAGAAATCGATGAGGAGGCGGAAGACGACGACGAAGAAGAGGAGGAAGAGGACGAGCTGGCCTCTGACTCGGACACCCGGTCGACCCGCGAAGACTCGTCCTTCTCTGACAGCGGTCGCGGTGGCGCACGTGGTGGCGGCTCGCGACAAGAGATCCTCCGTCAGAAGGCCATGGAGAAGCAGGCGCAAGAAGCCGCACGCCGAGTCGAAGAAGCCAAGGCACGCGAAGCGCACAAAGCCAAGCTCGCCGAGAACAAGGTCCTCACCGCGCAACGTCGAAAGCTTGAGGACGAGGATACCAAGCTGGCACGTCGCGACGAGACGATCGAGCGCGACTACCGCCGCCTCATCCTCGCCTCGCGCATGACGCCGCTCGGCCGCGATCGCTTTGGCGACAAGTACTGGTGGTTCGACGGGGTTGGCTCCAGCAGCGTGCTCACTGCCTCGGACAAGCCGACCTACCAAACGGGTCGACTCTTCGTCCAAGGCGCAACCCAGTCCGAAACCCTGCTGCTGATCCCAGACCCACCCGTGCCGGCACCCAAACCCTCCCCCTACGCACACCTCTTCCACCAACCCGTCACGCTGGACCTCATCACGTCTCGCAAAGAGTCCGAGCTGACCCCTTCGGGGACCTTAGCCGAGTCGGAATGGGCAGTGTACAGCGACCCGAACGAGATCGAGCAGCTGTTTGCCTGGCTCCGACCCAAGGGGCATCGCGAACACGCCCTCAAGCGCGAACTCACCAAGTTCAAGGGGTACATCGAAAACGGGATGCGCAAGCGACAGGCGGACCTCACGGCGCATCTCAAGGATAATTTCTCAGACGCGGTCCGACGCAGCGCGAGGTCTTCCAAAGATCCTACACTCAACGCCAGGCTGGGATATATGACCTGGAAGAACGCCCTGGACAAGGGCAAGTAGCTCTCACCCACCATAGGAACCGTGTTACACTAGAGCGCTGCCACACTTGATGCGAATCCACGCATATCATTGCCGATCTACAACCCTCGGCTGTCATCTGCGGTTATCTCTGAAAACATCGATCTTCGATCTCCTCATCTCTCTCCTCTCTCTCGTCTTATCCTGCCCACCGACCTTCCCCCACCCTTTCAACGGGATGACCATGACGGTACAATTATCCTGCGCGCCCAACTCTTCCGCAAAGCTCAGCACGCTTTGCGCCGCTTGACTGGGATGTTTGGCGCCCCTACACAGATCGACGACCTCCTGATCGCTCATGACGCCACCCACACCATCGCTGAACCCAATGACAAAGCCGTAATCCTCCCCCCTGATCACCTGCGTCCAGATCTCAGGTTCGACCGTGATCCCCACCTTTTTGAACCTCGAGTCTCCGAACGCCCTCGTGTTCGCTAGGGCACCCATCCACCTCGCCTCGCCGAAGGAATCGGTGATCATGCCAGCGCCCATCTTGCGCAGCCGTTCGGATTCGGAGCGGTCGTCCGGGTGATGGTACGATGTGAGCGGGATAGCTTTGCCGTCCGAGGCGGAGCAGAGGAGCATTCGTGTGTCGCCGACGTGGGCGACGTGGAGGGCGAGGTGGGTGGCCGAGTAGAAGGGGGTGCTGGGCAGGTCGAGCGAGTGGAGGAGGGCGACGGAGGCGGTGCTGCCGCCAACGTCGAGGGTTGGGTTGGACTGGATTTGACGGTCGGCAACGAGCCAGGCGAGGGTGAGGCGTTCGCTGATCGAAAGAGGAGTGGTGGTGAGCGTGTCAGGCGGTGGGATGCGCGTGATGAGCTCGTCCCAGCCTGCGTCTGCGCTACCGGTGGGGGCGGCGGTGGAGGAAGAGGACTTGGTGAGAGCATCTGCACTGCCGCCGATCTTGACCGCCCCATCCTGTCGGGTCGGCTGGAGGAGGGTCTTGCTCGAAGGCTGTTGCTCGCCCTCCTTTGATCCGGATTGACCCTCCTTGCTCGACTCCGCCTTCTTCTCCGGCGTCAACGCTGCCAACGGCACCCGTCTCCCCATCGCCCCCGCCCTCACCGGCTTCAACCTCTCCTTCCTCACCCACCTCTCCAGCACCCCACCCATGAACCGCCGAAAATACCCGCCCAACTCTCTCGTCCACTGCACCGTATCCGTCACCATATCCGGCTCGACGCTCTCGAACGTCTTATGCAGCTGATCCCTCAGAAAACTGCTCACCTGTTGACCACCATGCCCATCGAAGCAGCCGAACCAGACGACTTGACCTGCGACCTCCTCGCCGCCTGCCTTGGTGGGGTCCCATTCGAGCGCTGCTTGCCGCACCTCTGGGGTCGATGCGAAGGATGGGGAGGATTGCAAGCGCAGATAGTCGGCACGTAGGTCGGAGGTGGGGATGTGCAAGCAGGAGACGGAGGCTGTGTCTTCCTGGTACGCCCGGGTGCCACGGGAGGTGGAGAGGCCAAAAACGCCGTTGCGGGTGGACTTGAGCTGGATGCGTGCTGAGCCGGTGGGGGAGTGCGTGCGGATGAAGGTTTGTTGCGAACGACGCTGACAGGAGAAGCAGTCTTGGGCTCTTTGCTTGCCCTTGCCGCGTGGTGTAGAGACGAGCAACGAGGGTTGGATGCAGGTTGTTGAGAAGGACGCACGAGGAGCGCGTGTGGTGGATGCTCCCGCCGAGAGGGCCGCCCGCGAGGGTCCAGCGACCGCACCGCCCGCCGTCCTGATCATCCTTTGTTTTGCTGCTGAGGCCGTGATCAGTGATGATGGTGCGAGATGAAGCAACCTACACCAGCTCGAAAAGTGGATGAGGAAAGGGTCCTCTGCTCGTGTCGGCTAGGCGACCTGCTGCAGGGTAAAGTGTGCTGACCCGCCGTCTACAACGTCATGAACGAATTTCGCAAAAGTTTCTCGACCTGGCACGGCGGGGGTGTTGGCTCGAGCCCGAAAGACATCCGCGGCTTCACTCGCCATATCGGACACACCAACAGCCCGATTCGCGAGATTCGCCTCCACCCACGTTGACGGTTGACAGGCGGCCTCACGAAGAAACGGCGCTGCTTTTTTTGGTAAGCAAAAAGAACGGAGTGGGCGTTTTGACACTTGCTCACCTTGCAGCTCGAAGCCAATCGTTCGACCATTCACCATCATCACCTCGAACAGGGTCACACGACGATCGTACAACATGCTCGTCAAGGCGTCAACCTCCGCCGTGGTGGCTGCTACACGGAATGGCGTGTTGCTCCCCCCCACGTCGGCTGCTGCACTTGCCGCCACTCGAACCTTCACCTCTACCCCTCATACGCCCGCCAAGCAGCCTCCGAAACCTGCTCCACTGCTACACACCTCCCAACTGTCCCCCTCCGCACCGGCACCCGCATCCAAACCCTACAGTCCCGTCACCGTCACCCTCGTGAAAACCCTCGCCAAACTCATGGGCTACAACTCGCTAACATCAACCTCGATCCGCGTCACCTCCGATCTGTACGACCGGTGTGCCGCGCGCGCCCACGCCGAACGCCATTTCTGGTACACCGACTGCGCGCTTCCGGAAACCTACCAGTCCTGGTTCCAGATCACCAACCTTCACGTCTACCTCCTTCTCGCACGATTTCGAGCGTTCGAGAAGCCGGCGTACAAGACGTATGCTCAGGAACTCATCAATCACTTTTTCATCGATGCTGAGTCTCGCATGCGGGATCGGTTTGGTGTGCAGACGTCCAGGTTGGTCAAAGGGTACATGCGCGATATGCACATGCAGCAGCGCGGGAGTGTTGTCGGGTACGACGAGGGGTTGGTGGGTGGAGATGAGCGGTTGGCCCAAGCCGTGTGGCGGAATTTGTGGGGTGCGGGGTGGGGCACCGTTGCGGGCGTGAAGCGCAAACTTGTTGGTGTGGACAAAATCATGAAGGGTGAAGTGGAAGATCCGGAGGGCCAACCGGAGCTGGCTCGGGATGCAGCGACGTTAGACCCGAGGGTGGGGAACAAGAACGCGAGCCCGTACGCCAGGGCTGCATCAGCCAGTTTGGCGGCGGAAAGGGCCAATGCGGAGGGATCGACCTTGCCTCCAGTGGCGGAGAACCCGAATGCCATGCCGAGCGCGGGGAACGTGCTACCAGCAGTGGATCCATTTGCTGCCGCTCATCCGGAGTTGGGGTTCCCCCATCACCTGCATCGCATCGTGACGTTCATCCGAGCCGAATCGCATAGATTGGCGAATCTGTCGGATAGGGAGATCATGCTGGGTAGAGTGGAGCCGGCGTCGGGTGCGACGGTCGAGGAGGGCAAGATGGAGAGTGTTGCCGAGTTCCGTCGCATCTAGACTTGCTGCAAGCAATCGAGTGATTCATGTCTACTGTCGCCTGCGTGTGAAGTGCTCTACGATTTTGGTCAGTGTCAAGAGGCGCTGGCGTGACTCTATCGAAGCTGAGAAGCTTGGGCTGGGCGAGAGATACTACTCTGGCGCAGACGGGTCGAAGACTCAAATCGGATCTCTTTTTGGACAAAGTGGCTCGTTGGAACATCAATCCTTTTCGTCTCGCGAAGTGAGCATGGTGCTGGTGTACATCTTGATCAACGTCTCTCGCGCATCCTCCACCCCACCGCGCCCACCAGCAGCGCAAAGAACCCGACGACAAAGCCTAGTGCCAACACGAGCAGGTCTCTGTAAAACGCATCCGGCTTGAACGCAAACAGGTTGCCACTAAAGACACTGACGCTGGCGCTGATGGACACGCCGCCGACCTGGTCGATCAGCTGCAGTCCCTCCAGTTCGTGGCTCGCCACCGCCTCCAGAGCGTACTTCATGGGGCAGACCCACTGCAACCACCGAAAGACGCCACGAAGGTCGTTGAGGTTGAGCAGAAACCCACCGAATCCGATGTTGAACAGGATAAACACTCCGGCAAAGAGGATGCTGATGGAGAGATCCTCGATGAGAGCGGCGAGGAGCATGTTGTACAACGCCATGGCCAGATGGAAGAGGATGGCGATGAGGATGAACTCGAAAAAGTAGTCGGCTCTCGACTGCATGCCTACCATCCAATACATGATGGTGCTCAACAGCAGCGCCGGGATGACGCGCAGCAGCAAAGCGTCGTATGCGACGTAGCTGACAAGCCAAGCGGTGGGACCGTAGAGAGAGTTGGCGCGCTCGCGCATCATGAGCGACCGCGACTTGGTCAGCGCCGTCGCCGCCGACAAGGCCGAGAAGCTCAGCAGGATGAAGAGGAAGTACATCGATCCGACGCGGTTCTGAAAGCCGGCAATGGTGAGTGAGACCTGGTAGAAGCAACCACCGACGATCAAGCCGATAATGGCCGAGCCGAGGATGTGCGCGAGAGCGCCAGCAGGGTCCCGACGAGCAGTGATGAAGTTGCGCCGACTCAGCACGGTGAGCTGCGTCATGAAGGTGGACATGGAGGACCCACCTACTGTCTTCTCCCAGGCTGGTCCTGCGGCAATCGCTGGGTTCTCGGCAGGGAGCCCATTCGAGCCCTCGCCACTGGGCGATCCGACGGTGGACAGATTGCTCCTCTTCTCATGCAGCTTCTCGCCACCGCTGTTGCAGCTAGAGCCATCGGTATGAGATGCAATCTTAAGCAGGTGATCAGCAACATTGTGACCGCGCGGACACTGCTCACCCTGCCTCTCGCACCAGGCCAGCGAGTCGGCCGGCGGTCCATGGTAGATGACCGACCACTGCGACATGAGCAGCACCTGGTCGAAGGTGTAGAAGATCTCGGACGACGGTTGGTGTACCGTGACGATGACTGTTGTGCTTCCGAGCTGCGAGCCTGCGGCCAGCTCGCGGAAGGCAGAGATGACGCGGGAGGCGGAGAAGGCGTCCAGACCGGAGAGCGGTTCGTCGGCGATGAGCAGGCGTGGGCGAGAGACAAGTGCACAGCCAATGGACACCCTGCGTCGCTCACCTCCTGAGAGACCACGACGGCTTGCATCGCCGATGCGCTTGTTGGCGACGCGCTCGAGACCGAGCTGGTGGATGACCGTGTCGACGATCTCGCGCTTCTCGGCGCGCAGGACGTTGTCAGGCAGGGAAAGGTCCGCTGCCATTTGTAGCGCCTCGCGCACAGTAGAGAAGGCAGGCAGAGCGTCTTCTTGGTCGATGAAGTCGATCGTGCGTCGCGATGGGTGGCCCGTCTCGGGAGCGAGAGAAGCTTCGATGGAGCGAATGGTGCCCGAGATGCGTCCGATCTTGTGTCGCCCGGCCAGAATTTCGACCAGACTGGTCTTACCGGCGCCGGAGGGACCAAGGACAGCCACCATGCAGCCAGGCTGAATGCTTCCTGAGCTGTTGCGTACCACTGACAGATCATGGTGGTCCAAGGCGGGCGAGTCGAGATGCGCAACGGCTCCTTCGTGCGAGGAAGAAGAGGGAAGTGCTTCGTCGAGATCATCGTTGTCCACCTTCTTGTTGCGCCTGCCAAAGCGCTTCTTGAGCGGGACAGTGTAGTTGAGGTGCTCCCATTGCAGGCCGACAGGTCCCTGCCCAGCACACTTGGGAAGGCGACGTGCCTTCCTCTGCTGCCAAAAGCCAAAGAGCAGCAAGGCAAGGAGAGCAGCGACAGCTACGCCGAGGATGACGAGACCAGCGATGACGGCTTTGCTGAGCGATGAGCCACTCCCTTGGGCATCGCCATCGCCAGCGCCAGTAGCGTAGAACTCGTCCAGATCCGACTGCGTGATGCACGATCCGAATTGACAGTTGTCGAGTGGGAGACCCCCTTCGCCGAGGAAGTTGTTGAGCAGCTCCCCGCGAAAGGCGCAATGCGACGTGGCAGTGGCGTTGTTAGGGTCAACGTAGTCGCACGGCATGGTGAGCGTACCATTGAGCTTGTTGATGACAGGCGAGAGATCGAGCGAGCCAGCTCCGCACATAGCGGTGCCAGGGATGCAGTAGCACTGAAGCGAGGTGCACGTCCACAGACTGCTACCGAGCACAGGATCACCCTGCGGACTGAGTGTCGATGACGAGTTTTTGGCGGAACAGCCAGCAGCTTGGCAGTAGAACTGCTCTACACCATTGAGCCAGACCTGCGAGAGGGCCGTGTTGCTCTCTTGAGGCCAGCTGGCGAGACCAGTCTCGGAGAACGAGTCGGGCTTGTAGGTCTTGGAGAGGGTCATGCGCATCTCGCCTGGATAGACGCCATTGACGGTGAGCTGGTTGACGTTGCAGTCGATGTAGGTGGTGTGGACGGCTGAGGGCTGCTTGTGGCAGACGAGCGTCTCATTCTGGCCAAAGAGCGCGTTGGGGGTGTTGAGACCAAGCGATGACTTGCGCGCTTGGCAGGAGCCAGCTGACTGGCAGACATTGCAGTTGACGCCTCCAAAGCCAGCGTCGCATGACGAGCACTGCCTGTCGGAGGTGGGCTTGGGCACGCGAGCGTCTGGGGCGACGAAGGTGGAATTGCAGGTTGCAGCGTTGCAAGCTGTGCCGTTGGCGGAGGTGAGGCCGGGCGGGCAGCTCTGGTACATGGAGAGAGCGCTGACGGACATCTTGGCTGCAACGAGGATGTGGATCAGGTCTCTTCGTGTACCTTTGTGTCTATAGCTCTGAGAAGAAGCCGGCGGGCAGCGTCGGCAGGGAGTCTGTGCTAAGTCTGGGAAAGGTGCTCGAGCCGCGTGCTAGATTGATGTGTACTTCTAGGATCGCGAGGATTTCATCCTGAAATGTGATTGTTGATCGCAAAGACGGGAAAGAAGCTAGCTCAAAGCCTCAGCGAACGGGGTTGTGACGATGATGAGCTGGATGGCGGGACCGGTGGGGGCGGAGAGTGAGGGTTGCCAAAGAAGCTTGCGTTGCCGATAGTGGCGACCGAATTTCTAATGAAAGCACAGTAATTGACGTTCGTCGTATAGTGAAGCGAGCCAAGGACAACTGAGCTGATCTGGGAGTGATGTGTAGGGAGGAGAATTCAATGAATGATCAAAGGAAGGAGGGAGGGAGGACATCAAAGTGGGTGGCGCGTGATGGCCTGCAAATGCTGCAGCAGAGAGAGAGAGCGGCGGCATGGCGCCTGTTTGCAACGAAGCGAGCGTCTGCGGGGAAGGCGACACGGGAAGCAGGCACAGCTTCGGTGAAAAAAGCGCGGCACAATTTCCGGGAAATCAGTTGAGACCTTCTCGTGCATATTCAAGGGTCCAGCAACGTTCCTCTGACTGCCCGCATCTTGGTCGTCTGATGTGAACGACACCTATGCACGAGTCGTCAGGGCAGACTTGGCAGGATGGTCGACGAATTGAGATGTCCTTTGCCATCATACAGGGGCTTGTGTGGCATTCGAGGTGACTTTTGGTGGGAAAAGGAGGTCACGTAGCCCTAGGAAGGGTGCCCGCTCTTCCTACCACGGCACATAGGCTATGGAAACGGCCGTAGACAGCGACTTTGCTCCTAGTAGCGCCTCGCGGCCAGATCATCAACAATGCATGGCTCTTTCTGATGATTGCGACGACGGATGGCGACGTCTCGGTTCCTCCGACGGTCTGGTCCGTAGTGATGGGACCAACCGGTCCAAAAGGTGTGGTCTTCAGAGACGTGGGAAAAAAAGAGGCAAGAAAAGGCGGCCGGAAAAAAACTTAAGGGCGAAAAAATCGTTTGTGCCTGAGTGAGCCAGTTTGCAGCGCATTTTGAGCGTTAAATTTCTGATCATCTCGCTTAGGAAGAGACGAGATCTAAACTCAATCGCAGAGCAGCGCTGAATGGCGGCTAGTAAACAGACACGTTGCTGCCGCATTTCTCGCTTCTCGCTTCTCGCCTCATTTCTCGGGCCCTCGACGCGATCACAGGTCAGGACTCAGAACTCCCTCAGCGACCCACTTTTCATCAGCCGTCTGTGTGCAAGGGTTAGGAAAAGGTGAGAAGCGTGCGTTTGCAGCCCGTCCAAAGGCCTGACGACGACCCAATGGAGCGGAGTCGATCACACCTTTTCAACTTTAACTAATGATTCAAACCGCGATCTCATCGACGCAAACAAGAAGATGCATGCGCGAAGGGGTCGTGATGAGCGGAGGATGTGTGAGGGGGCATTCTTGTCTACACGAGCGTCACTGACGTGCAAGATGCACAAGCGCTTGCAAAATCCAATTGTCTTGTCTTGTTGCTCACCACCCCGCTTCTTTACGGCCGATCACCCACACGCTGCCGTTCAACGTGATTGTCTTGAGTAGTGAGAACAATAGAGAAGCTGCTTCCTCCGCTCCGTGCCATGTCGCCATTTGAACCTCAAACCATGCTTGCTGCTGTAAGCAGTTCGAATCCTTCATTCTCCCGCACGCCTGTTGAGGATTGAGTGGGAGGGCGATCGGGCGCTTATGTGGGGACAGGTTTGCCAAGCCACAAACACGACTCAATATTTCCGACAGGCGCGTTGGCGCATCCCCCACCATGTCAATGGCAGGAAATGACAACCAACCCGAAGACGCTGCTGGCTCGTGCGGGGTTGCTCAAGACCCTACTGATCATGATCTCGCTCAAGAGAAGGATCGAACAAGCCATTTAGACGATGTTGATCGAGTCTGTTCAGGCACGACCCACGAAACCAAGACATTTCGCGATCCCTCTCTTAAATCTGAGACCGCGTCCATTCTTCTCACACCACCGTCAGCAATTGGATCTCCAGCTGTTCGAGCTTCGAATACACGGCGACGCCATTGGCATGCTTCGAATGAATTGGCCCCGACATGGAGCCGTGAGCACCGTCAAGACGACAAGCGTGTTCCCCGCTCAGAGAGGCTTCAAGCGACCATCGGGGCTGCAGGTCAATGCACACTCACAATGCAGCGCCCATGTCGAGTCGGCGGAGCGGGGAGTTGAAATGAAGTCGACAAGAGGGTTTAGAGCTTTGGTTTCGACTCTCGTCCCTCCGCTAGCTCCACAAGAGGCTTTCAAGACAACCGTCGCCGATGCTCCCGTCGCTGCCAACATCGTTCTACAATTCGCCTTGCTCTCTTGATCATCGACTCAAAGACCAGATGGCCTGTCTTGCTGGAGAGCTGGCTCCTGTCCGTCTTGCTCTCAGTGCTGTCACTTAGCAACACAGAGAGCGACCTTCGGGAAGGACCAGATTCGAAAAGGGAAAAAATAATATGTCATCCGAATGGAGAGCACAAGAGAGAGAGAGAAAATCAAGGCAGCAGCGCCAGTCTAAAATCGCGCCTCGAATTTGAACTCGACACGCTCTCGCTCTCCCGCCTTTCGAGGTGACTGGTGACGTGCCTATCGGGTGTGCATGGGAAAAATTAGAGTAAAATTTGGAAGCGACCCTGTCTAAAGTGCAGCAGCCAGGCCAGCAGCTCTTGACCTGTCTGTCTCTGCTCTGGTTCTGGACCGCACTTCATACACACAGTTGCATCGAGCTGTCCTTGTCTGCCGCCGCCGCCGCATGAAGCCTGGCCTGCCTGCCTGCCTGCTTGCTTGCCTGCCGCTCTCTGCCTGCGAAATGCTGACCCTGTTCCACAAAAGAACGCCCCGCCCGTGTCTCTGTGTCGCTGGTGCCTCTGCTGCCTCTACGCCTCTGTCCCCTCCGCTCGATCGTCTGATTCCTTCCGCCCTTCCCTTCCTTTGCCGCTCGTCGCCATCGCCATCCTCCTTCATCCACCACATTCACAGCGATCACAGCAGCCGTCGTCGTCGTCGTCTTCGTCGTGGCAGCTATCTGTGGATCGTATCGTTCGCCCACAGCAGCCCCCATCGTCCCTTCGTCTGCGTTCGGCAGTGGCTATCGTCCTTACCATCGTTCCCATCCCCTCCTTCGCGCATCTCGATTCAGCTAGCCTTCTCGTCCTTACCAGCTCCCTTATCGCAACCTACACGCCACTATCTGGCCTTCTTGCCGCTGCTGTTCATCCGTCAACCCTACATCCGCGTCCTCCTTCGCGTTTCATCATCGCTCGATCTGCGTCAGCGTGCTCTCTAGTCAGCTTCGTGCCACCATATACCCATTCGGTCACACAACTCCTCCTTCATCATCCGTGTCACGTACACATCGCGCTCGCCTTATCCACCTTGCGCCCTCCATTTTCTGCATAGATACCACCACATTGTCATTCGCCCTCTCATCACTTTGGCTAGTTCCATGTCAGGCGCTCATCGTCAGGCCTTTCCCATCTGATCGCTGTCCGACCAGCTCGTCTCGCTCCGCATGGTCCTCAGTCTCATCCAAGCTACACAGTAGACCCTAGCGCCAACCCACCTCACGCGACGCTCGATTAGATCACGTTTCCAGCCACACGCGGCCCGCATCATCTCCAGGCATCCCGTCCTGACCCTGCGGTCGTGATTGCCACCATGTCGGGCTTCGATCCGTCGCACAATGGTGCCTTCTTCAACTTTAGCAACCTCACACCCCAACAGCTCAACATGCTTCGCCAGCAGAGCCAAATGCAGCAGGCCGTGCAGATGCCCCAGCAACAGCAACAACCTCAAACACAGCAGCCTCAGCCTCCACCCAACGCCCAGCAGCAGATGCAGCAGCGCAACCCCATGATGCCTCAGCTCGGTCTGCCCGCTGGTTTCAACCAGCAGCAGCTCCAAGCTTTCATGGCGCAGCAGCAGTCCCAGCTCGCCAATGGCATGATGGCCAACAACCAGAATCCGCTCATGCAGATGATGCGACCCCAGTCCATGGTTCAGCCGCCTCAGCAGCAGCAGCAGCAGCAGCAACCTCAGATGCAGGCACAACAGCCGCAGCAGCAGCAACCTCCGCAACTCCAAAACCAGATGGCTCATCAGCAGGCTTCCACTTCGCAGCCTGCTCATCTTCAGCAGCAGCAGCAGCCTCAACAAGCCGCCAACATGGGCGCTGCGCCGCAGATGGGTGGTGCCGGAGCGCCGACTCCGACATTTGCACAGCTCTCGCATGCCATCGAGCAGGCCAAGAAGGGCAATCTCACTCAAGAGCAGATGATTCAGGTATGTTTCCAGCGTGCCATCAAGGCTTTCAAGGGCCAATCGCATGCATTGCGCTGCAGCGTCTGAAATTCGACTGACGTCCTCCTCTTTTCTTGCTCCTTTTCTTGCGCTCCTTTTCCCTCGCACACCAGTTGCGGCAACTCATCTCACGGCAGCAAGCCATGCAGGCGCAGCAACAGGCCGCTCCCAACCAAAACACCGGCGCTCGTCCGTTGCAATCCGGGCAGGCAAACATGAACATGGGCTTGCCCAACGGCCAAAATTTTGCCAATGCCATGCAGAGAACGCCCCAGATGCAAGCGCAGGCGCAGATGATGGCAGGTCTCCAGCAGATTCGTCCGGGCAATAACCAGTCTACGCCGACTATGGGTGCTCAAGGCTTCCTGCAGCCTACCATGCCAGCTCAGCAGAACCAGCAGCAGTCGCAACAACAAGCGCAGCAGTCAAACCAGGCGCAATCCTCGCCTCAGATCTCATTGCAAGGTCCACCACAGATGAACCAGCAGCAGATGGCACGACCACAGCAGATCCCTGGGTTACAGCAGCAGCAAAACACGTCGCAACAGCAGCAGATGATGGGCCAGCAGCCAGCTCAGCCTGGTCAGCAGAGACCGCCTGCCGGCCGACCAGATCCCACGCCTGGCCCGAGCAACCAGCAGAACCCGCTCAACTTTCTCCGTCTGTTGCACCAGCGCGTCACTGACATCGAGAGCAAGCTCACCTCGGACCTCAGCGCTGAAGAACGCCAAGCCGTCCAGCAGCAGCATGCTGAGGCAAAGCGTCTTCAGCAGGCGTTACTGCAGCGTCTCAATGTCCAAAATGCTTCGCAGTTTGCCGCTCTCATGCAACAAAGCCAGCAAGCCGCTGGTCAGATGCCCAACAACAACGGCCAACAGCAACAAGCGCAGCAGCAACCTATCCAGCCGCCACAACCTTCGCCGCAGCAACAACAGCAGCAGCAGGGCGTCGGTGTCATGGGCAATGCTGTTCAGGCTTCTCCGATCATCCGCCCACCAACACGGCCTGGGTCGGCTCGACCGCCGCAAGGTCAGTTCGGAAGTCCCATGCTGAATCAGCCCGGTGTTCAGCCTCAAAATGCACAGCAAGCGCCGCCGCAACAGCAACCTCAAGTGCGTCCGTCGCCTCAGATGGGCGCGATGAACATTGCAGGGCAGGCGGGCGGCATGTCCGGCTTGCAAGGCGTGCCATCGCTGCGTCCCGAGCAGTTCAACAAGGCCCTCGTGGATCTCATGAAGAAGCGTGGCACCCCCATCACCTCTTTGCCCAAAGTTGGCGGGCGAGATCTCGATCTGTACCGTTTCTACCAGATCGTGCAGGCGCACGGCGGCAGTGAAGGTGCGCATCAGAAGAACGCTTGGCCTGCCATTGCCATGTCTCTGGAGCTGGCGCCACTGGGCTCGCCTCAGACGCAGACGCTCGGACAGGCGCTGGCGGTCGAGTACCGGAACTACCTTGCGCCATTTGAGGAGACCTGGCAGCGAGCCATGCAGCACCAGTACCAGATGTCGATGGCGACCGCCGGTCTCAACCAGACTCAGAACACCGCTCAGGCCAATGCGCAAGCCCCATCCTTCCGACCGCCATCGACGCCACAGATGCAGTCGCAGCAGGCTAACCAGCAATCCACACACATGCAGGGACCGCAAGCTTCGATGATGCCTCCCAGCCAGTCGCAGCAGCAGCAGCAGCAGCCACAGCAGATGCAGACGCAGAATGCACCGCAAGGCGTCGGTCTTCAGCAACCCTCGCTGGCAGGCTTCAACCCGCCTCCACCGCCGATCCTCAGCGCCGAGAACCTCGCCAAGGTGGGCATGACGCAAGAGCAATTCAATAAGGTCTTCTACGGCCAGCAGCTCAATGCTTGGCGACAGGAACAGATCCAGAACCAGCAGCGACAAATGAGCCAAGGCTTCCAGACGAACCAATCTGGTCCTGGTCCGAACGGGTTGCAACAGCCACCGCAAGCGCAGCAACTACAGCAGCAGCAACTGTCGCAAGGACCGATGCAACAGCAGCAGCAGCAGGGTCAGACAGGCTGGCCAAACCAACAGCGACCCATCCTGCCGCAAACCTCGGGAGCTCAGCCCTCTCAGACGCAGACTGCCGGCTTTGGTGCCAACATGCCAGGACAGCCGCTCAATGCGCAGCAGATGCAGAACCCGGGTCAGATGGGGATCAACGTCCAGAATCAGCAGGCGGGTCCACCTCAGCAGCCGCAGTCTCAGCAGTCGCAGATGCCGAATCCGAACCAGTCACAGCAACAGTCCAACGCCCCGATCATCACAGGATCGAACGCGCCAGGAGCACAGCAGGGACAGATGGCCGGACGCCCTTCCAACATGTCGCAGGCTCGCTTCATCGCTGTCAGCCCCGAGCAGCTCGAGCAAGCGCGCGCGGCCATGCAGAAGATCGACCAGGAGCTGGCCACACAGAGGCCTCGTCTGCCCATCATCCAGAACATTGCCGACGACGAGAGGGACCAGATCCTGGATCAAGTGCAGAAGCTTGCTCCGATTCAAGCGACGGTCACCGCCCTCTTGCCTGCATTTTATGCGATGAACGGCAACCTGGAACCCGCCAAGCGTCTCAAGATCATGGCGTTCATGTACAAGGATCAGTACGACCTGCTGGCCAAGAAGCAGTGCATCCTCCGCTTGGCCGATCTGGACAAGCTCAAGATGCAGATGAGCCGGTGCATCAGCTTTGTGCGCTCGAGCAACCCAGAGCTGGCACAGCGCATTGTCACTTCGCTCGGCGAGCAGAACCGCGCCGCTCAGCAGAATGGCGTCGCTCCCTCGGCAGCAGGAAGCGGCGCTTCGGCAGTGGCAGCACCGATCGCAACACAGGCAGCTCCCGTCCGAACACCTGCAGCAGCTTCAGCAGCGCCCACCGAGGCAGCTTCTGTCGAAGCTGCAGCTGGTGTCAACGCAGACGGTACTTTCGATGCTGCGGCCGCCATGCACGGCATCAAGCGCGGTCTGCGACCCGAGAATCTCAAGCTGCCACCCAACAAACGCGCGAAGAACGTGCCCGGCGCCGGCAAGGCAATGAGCCCATCATCGGCCGCCAACGAGTCGCCCAGAGTGGCACCCTCGCCTGCTCAAGCTGAAGACCCGGCAACCCCTGCTGGCTCGACGCCCGCTGGCAAGGGCGGCAAGAAGAACGAAAAGGCGACCAAAGCGGGCAAGACGACTGCTAAGAAAGGCAAGGGTGCCGCCGGCACTCCCACCTCGTCTGCTGCTGAGCCTGACAAGCGCTTCAAGACGAGTGCCGACATCATGGCCGAAGTCAAACGCGAGATGGCCGAAGCCGAACGCAAGCGTCGCGAGGAAGGCTCTGCCGGAGCCGGTGCTGGTGATGCAGCTAGCGCTGCTGCCAAGTTGGACTTGATCAACGTCAAGGCCGAACAAGAGGCGGACGAGAAGCGAAGGAAGGATCAGGAGCTGGCAGGCCGTGATCCCGCTGGGCTGGTTGAGTCGACATGGCAGGAGCTGCTCGCAACGGGCAACACCAACAACGGGACGCAGGGCCCCAATGGCTTCGGTGGAGACAACTCGTTGCTGGGTGCCCCCAGCGCAGGCTCATCTGCGCAGAACGGGTCGGATCCCAAGGCGCTTCAGTCGCTCATGTCTATGCTCGGCCAAGACTCGATGATGTCGGGGTTGCCCTCGAACGGCATCAACGTTCCTTCACGAGGTCTCATGACCGGCGCAGGCAGTGGCGGCTCAAGCTTCCTGGACGGTGCTCTGGACTCGCTGCCCTCTGCGGATGCCGACACGGGTCTGGACATTGACCTGTTCGATTTCATCGAGGCGTCGGCTGCGGGTCCGGATGCCTTCAACGACGACATCGACCTGAGCGGCGTGTTCGGATCCTCGGCAGTCAATGCATCGACGCAGGAGAGCGAGCCACCAGTGGAGACCCCGGAACTGGTCGCGAGCGCCAAGCTTCCCGGAGGCAGCTCGAACGCATCTTCCGCCTCGAACTCGACGTCGAACTCGCTTCGATCCAAACTACCCACCGCACTGGGAGCGAGCGGGCTGGATTTTGGCTCTGCCGGACCGTCGAGCACGAGTCCGGCAGAAATGAGTAGCTGCGACGAGATTGATCTGGAAAAGAGTCCCTTCGTTCATCGGATGCGACTCGACCGCATTGGCCTGACCATGGCGCCTGCTGTAACGGGACCGGAGGCTGCCGCCAAGACGACGTCGGCGGCGGCGGAAAGTGGGAGCCAGAGCACGCTCAAAGCTGCGGAGGAGACGGCGATCAACCAGGTTGAGCTCGGACCTGGCTCGCAAAGCCTGGTGGCGGCCTCGGGCGACGAATGGTGGGAGATGGACCATTTCGCCAGCATGGGCTCCGGTGGCTACGGATCCGACCCGAACGCGGATCAGCCATGGGCGGTGCTCAGCTGAACGTTGCTTTCGAAACCGAGCTCGTACTCCCCACATTTGGACAATTCGACCAAAAGTACACAACTAGGCGTACACCGATGAGCTCAAATAGAGCCCATCCCTCGAAGGCAGCAGCGTCTTGCTCTCCGCTTGCGCTGTTGTGTCGACCAACAATGATATCCGGGCTTCTTCGTGGTCGGCCCCTCTTGTTTCTTGATAACGGCATTGCTATCCTTCTTCTCATTCGGTCCCTTTGCACATTTACTGTATTTCGTCATGCTCGGCATTCCTCCTTTCATGTCATGATTGTTTCGCTACTACCAAGATTCTCGACGAATGGTGCCTCTGAGAACGTCAAAACCGAGCGGCCTAAGGCTCAGCAGGTGCATTTCGAGTGAATCGGCGGAAGCGCAGCCGCGTCGAGCCGCATCTGCACGTCTGGTCCGCAAAGCGAGTAGGTCTCAGCACCAGTGCGGTCCTGCTCGGCTGACAAGGCATCTGGGCCTGGGCTGCAAAACCAAGCAAGCAAGGGGATGCAGACGCAGACGCTTAGAGTCAACTAGCCATCGATGAGATGTAGACAGAAGCGCAGCTGCGAGAAGGGTCTGGTCAACCCAAGTCACGGATCCCGACAGAGTCTTACGACTGTTGCTGCTGCCTAGACTTCTATTGCAAGATGTTCGACATCAGGCCTGCTCAATGTTGGTGCTGCGAGGGCCCGCCAAGGAAGGATGTCATTTGTTTGCCATATGGAAGCGAGATTCGAAGAACAAGGCCCATGCGAATCGGTCGGTTGAGAAAAAGCCTTGACGCGCTTCGATTCCGGAGTCAGCTTGTTCTTGGCAGGGTCCGTTGCTGCTTTGAATCTGAGCCAACATGAATTCTCTGTGCCGATCGACTCTTCCCGGTTTCTGTGCCTAAGCGAAGTGCGCTAAGCTGGGCCTCAGTTTTCATTCCCTCTGCTCTGATTGGAAGCCACGGCTCTCGCCCCCTGCTCGTCCCGAAAAAATGAACGGAGAATCGGAATGTCAAAAAATGCACAATCGCGCATGCTCTCGTCTACACTGCGCAACGCCAGTGGGTACGTGAGGCCATGTGCCCACGCTCAACTTCCACAGGCTAGAGAGCGCAGCGCGCCTTGACCCTCCACCTCGTTGCTTGACTCCGACGGTGCATGCGCACGAGCAAGCAAGCGGCTGTGAATCGGTTCCTCTCTCGTAATATCACCTGTGATAGTCAAAGAGCACCATCGAACAATCGGCTCAGCTTCCGACCAGCTCTTGTCTCTCCATCACTCATCTCGGACGCGATCGCATTCCTCTTCTTCTTCTCCTCCACCACTTCTATTCAGGACCACCTTGATACCCTCATCCAGGACCGAGTCGCTGCAAATCAGCCGGACCTGCTCACCTCCTGTAGACAATCCCACAAACATCCCGGATACCCTTTCTCTCCCCGCAAAAGCACAAAGTATCACCCAGAATGACGACGCTCAATGTCAAGACGGGGCCTATGCTCCGCTATGACAATGTCGACCTCGGCCAGGGCGTCTGGCATGGTTACGCCATGATCGTCACCGAGGATGCTACTAGTGACTATCAGATCACCCCCACCCTCCAGTATCGTTGGGAAAATGCCGCCAACGCCTCTGCTGCAGCCGACGGCACTGCCGCTATCACTGATGAGAACTCGCACAAGCAGGCCGAGGCCATCAAGCTTTACCAGTACAAAGGTGTCGACGGCCCTTCCACCTTTTGGCGCTTCAAGATCGAGGTCCCCGTGGCCGACCACGAGCAGGCGGTCCACTACTCAATTGATGGCGAGGCGCATCCCGACTCCACCTCCGAAGCCATCAAAGGCATGACTGGTCACACCTTCTTTATTCCCGCCAAGTCCCAGAACTTCCGATGGGCCGGCCACAGTTGCAACGGTTTCAGCGCTGGCGTCGACGAGTCCGAGTTCAACGGTCCCAACCCGCTCTGGGATGACATGCTCAAGTTCCACGCCAAGAAGCCCTACCATGCCGTCGTCGGCGGTGGTGACCAGATCTACTGCGACAAGCTGGTTCGCGAGCCCGAGATGCAGGAGTGGAGCAACCAGAAGGATTCCAAGAAGCGCATGGCCATGCCCCTCACCGACGAGATCCGCACCTGCATCGACCGCTACATGTTCAACCACTACTGCGAGTGGTTCGGCGGCGGGTCTTTCGCAAAGACCATCGCTCAAATCCCGATGATCAACATGCTCGACGACCACGACCTCATTGACGGCTTCGGCACCTACACCGACGAGCTCATGCGCGCCGCCGTCTTCAACCACGTCGGCAACCGTGGCTACTTCTTCTTCCTCCTCTTCCAGCTCTTCATCAACGACGACGTCGACGGTGTTAGCGAGCAGCAGCATCCTGATCGCAGCATCATCTTTGGCGGCGAGGGCGTCTACATTCCCGTCCGCAACCACAGTCTCCTCGCCTACCTGGGTCCCAAGCAGTGGATGCTGCTGGTCGACTGCCGATCCGAACGCAAGCTCGATCAGATCTGCAGCAAGAACACCTACCAGCGTCTCTTTGACGCCGTCCGTCAGTTGCCGGACGGTGTCGAGCACCTCATCGTCCTGCTCGGTGTACCGCTCGCCTACCCACGCATGGTCTTCCTCGAGCGCACGCTGTCCAGCTCGCTGAACCCGCTCATCATGCTCGCCAAGGGTCTCTCGCCCGGCTTCACCAACAACTTCAACGGCGAAGTGGAGCTCCTCGACGACTTGGGCGACCACTGGTGTGCGGGCCCGCACAAGCATGAGCGCAATTGGCTCGTCGAACGTGTCCAGGAGCTGTCGCTCGAAAAACGTCTCCGCGTCTCGTACATCAGCGGTGATGTGCACGCCGGTGGTGTCGGTGTCTTCTACGGCTACCACCAGCACGACCCTAGCTTGGACCCCAAGTACTCGCTCGCCGTCATCACGAGTGCCATTGTCAACACGCCTCCCCCTCCGGCGGTCATTGCGATGCTCAACAAGCTCGCGAGCAAGAAGCACCGCAGCCTGTTCTACACGGGCACCAAGGAAAGCATGGTCCCGCTCTTCGAAGTGGATCTGGAGGAGAAGAAGCAGAAGGACAAGTACATTATCGGTGCGCGCAACTGGTGTTCTGTCGAGTACCAGGAAGGGGGTGAGCTGGAGTTTGATCTGCGGGTGGAGAAGGTGAGGGGTGGAGGAGAGACCAAGGGGTATGCGGTCAAGGCTCCTGCGCCTAAATGGGATGTCGCCAAGCACCACCACCACCTGCTCCACTCCAAGGACTTTGATAAGAACATCGGGACGCTCCGGGGTCAGAGTGGCAAGGTGTAAGCCGTAGAGGATGTGGAAATGTGTATACCCGCGATTTCGTTCACATGTGTAATCGAATGCTAGGTTTTCTCAACACGGTGTGACTCAAGCAAGATGGCTCAGCATGATGTGACAGACTCGGGATGTGATGCTCAGCAGGTGATGTGACAAGACCAGAAATTGTGAATGTGATTCCTTTCCCACGCTCATGCGACCTGCCCACCTTCCATCTGCATGCTCATCACGCGCATCAGCTCCTCCTTTCGATTCTCCTCGAGACTATAGCTATCCGCGGTCTCCCTTGCAATCTCCAGTGCCCTTTCGGCAGCAGACCGCCGGCCGTTGCTAGCAGCGAGCTCCAACTCCCCATCGCGCAATTCGACCTTCAACGCGCGCAAACTGGCCCGTTTGGCACCCAGGACGTAGTTCGCAATGAAAGTAGAGCGTTGCGTTTCGAGCGCTAGCAGTTCGCTGTCGAGATCCGGGGTGAGGTGGGTGGCCGAGCTGAAGCGCGGAGTGGTTGTGCTGGGCGCGAGGGTGGAGGGTGAGGCGAGGGCGGTGGTGTTGCCGGGGGGAAGGAGGGTGGTTGGTGTAGGTGGCGCTTGGGATGAGGAGGTGCGCGAGAGACGCGTCGCGGTATGCGGGCCGGGCGTCGAGGGCGATTCGTGCGGTGAAGAACCGGGATGAGCGCGATACCCGTCGTCTTCGGCGGGAGGATAGTCGTACGGGTTGGTGTCTCGACGAGAGCGGTTGAACGGGTGACCGCCGCGGTACGGCCCGGTCGGAGGGGCGCCATCGCGGGCAGAGCGCGGGAAACGAGCGGTGGATGGGGACATGTAGCTATTGCCCTCGCGGTCAGAGGTCGGGGTGAAGGGTCCGCTTGAGGTCGAGGCGTCGCGGCCACGGAATGCGGACGAGGGGTAAGCAGGTGGGGCGCCTCGCGAAGCGCGTGGGCCTGTAGGCGGGGTGGATGCGAAGGCGGGGTCGCGTGCTGGGCCGCGTGGTGTGCCTTGTGGCGAGAGAGGGCGATCGATCGGTGCGTCACGGTATCGCAGTGCTGAAGGTCCGTCTGGTGCGTCAAGGTGTGAAGCTGGGCCTGCCGGTGGTGGCGGCGATCGTCGAACGGCATAACCGGCGGCTGCATCCACACGATCGGCTGGGACACCAGCCAGATCGCGCTCACTCTCTTCCGGATGAGCCACGGCCGTCCTCCCCCACCCTCCTCTCTGCTCATACCTGGCATCCGCACCTGGTGGACTCCTCGACCTCGGCCTCCTCCCCATCTCGGCATGCCTCCTTTCATACGCATCAGCCTCCCTTTCTCTCCCGCCCCATCCATCCGCCGCCCCATATGCTCCCACTCCACCACTCCGCTCCCAATCCCTCTGCCTTTCCCTCTCCCTCTCGGCCATCCTCTGCTGAAACCTCTCCTCCTCCTTGGCTTCCCACGCCTCTCTCTCGCGTTCCAGCTCCATCCTCTCCTGGTCGGTTCTCGGCGGCGGTCGTCTTGAATAGTCCCATGGTCTCGGCGGCGGGATGGTCTTGTGCACCCTTCTAGGCCGTTCAGGGTAGCCCCGTGGCTCAGGGTAGTAGGAAGAAGCGTACGGGTCGCGCGCATCGTAGGCGGCACGGCTGTCGTAGTGGTCGTCGCGTGGATGACGCGGAGCGTAACGCCGATCGTCCCGATACGAGGAAGAACGGCCACCGCGGAATGCACTGCCTTGGTACCTGTCCGACATGTTGGCGTGAAGGAGGTGATGGTGGAAGAAGCGTGGAAGGATGGCAAGAAAGAGTTGGACAGAAGTTTTGGGATTTCCTCGGATTTCGGTGAAACATTTATTGCGCGGGTGTTAAGCTCACTCCTTACAGCGAGTGCAAGAAGGGTCGAGTCGATACGCATGCTCGTGACGCCAGTATGTAGCGGCGATGACCGAGTGGGTGTCGTTGGCGCGATGTCTTGATGTGATCCCAAAGACGAAGATCGCAATCGCCACAGGAATCGTTTCGTCGAGGTTGGGTCCCACCGCCTCAGCGTAACAGCGTACGCCTTGTTGCTTCGAAGCGAGCTGTGCGTATCAAGATATAGTACTCTCATTCCGACGTTGAGCTCTTCAGGTGCTACGATGGCCGCGTTTGGGGGCGCCGGCTACTGCTTGGTGTACTTGCGATGGTCGTGGGACCGGAAGGAGTCGAGCTCGACCTTCTCGACCGTGGTTGAAGCAAACAAGCGTCCAAGCCGCAGGCGCCACTTTGGTCTTCATGATCTCATCTCCACGGGATCCGACCAACGAGAAAGGGCATCCTCTGCTTGATGAACCGAGCTCTGAGATGATCTGACAGACAGCAGTCCTGTCTGGACCTGATGAAGCATAAATACAGCGCAGCCTGATGCGTCCGCTCTCCCGATCTCTCCAACCCCCAACCTGTCGTCATCATGAGGGCTTTAGACACGATCCTCTTTGCCGTAGCACTCACTCTCGGCTGGCTCGGAGTCATAGTGCAATGTCTTCCAGCCTCTGACTCCTCTTCGCCTTCCAAGTCTCCGCCATCGACTTCTCCCGAATCGAGCTCCCAGACGCTGACCGAAGAGCCCGGGACTCCTCCTAGCGAGCATGGTCTGGGCGAGATCGGCAATCAGATCGTGCCCGCTCAGCCACTCGCGCAAGATGTTGTTCCTCAGGTAACCCAAGGATCTCAACAGACTGAGCGCCATTTTCAAGCTCAGCCTGTTCAGTTCAGCCCAGATTGGCGGCCGAGCGACGTACTAGCAGCGCCTCCGCTCTTCCAGTCGGAGTACGCATTCTGGCAAGCTCTACCCAAGACTCGAGGCGAGAGCAGCGGGTCGCGCGCTCCAATCGATCCGTTTGAGGCGACGATAGCAAGTGCCAAACCTTTCGCGCTTCCCCCTCACGGCGAGCTACGATCGAATCCCGCTCGTTTCGTGTACCCGCAGCATGACGCTATTCTGAGCGGACGCCCACTGACCCCAACCGAGTGGCAAGAGGTGCAGAGGACACAGACGCCAATTACAAACCTTCATCCGCCGCTCTATAATGTTCCGATCCGCTCTTCTGGGTGGCCTACTTATGGTCCCGTCCGACTCCCGGTTCAAGCGGGGGCAACCGGGCAGCCAATCGTCGCAGTTGACGCCTCAGCTGGGTCGTCTGGCGCTCAAGCACCGCAGCAGCCCAACCTGAACCCGACCAATGCGGGTCCCTCTGTGACACGGAAGCGAGGAAAGTCGCGTGCGGTCGACCCGATCTCCGTTCAAGCAGCGTCTCCAGTCGCCTCGGACCACGGCTTAGTCCTTGCGGACCCCAACTACGTCCCACCCTTCCAGCCTGGATCGACACCCATCCAACACAAGATCTCCCGCTTCCGCTTCCCGAACCGAACGCCTCTTCTCCGACCCCCATCCGCGGGCCGGGCCAGCTTCACCAACATCGTCGACCGAGGCGGCGGCTACGTGCGCTACGCCGTCGACCCTGAACTCGCCACGTCCATCTCAACCCCGCTGCTCTCCGGTCAACGCCTCATCGCCACCAAGGACATGTGGAGAAGACTCGGAATGCGCGTCGTCTTTGCCAAGGACAACAGAATCGCGTACGCCCTCGCAGACCCAAAAACGCTCAAACAGGCGTTTCCCACCATGGCCGACGAGGACAAGATCAAGTTGAGCGAGGATAGAGCCGCGCTCATCGAGATCGAGAAGGACGGAACGGGCAATTTTTTTAGATTGTTCGGCGTGCTCGATCCCAAGGTGCTCGGACGGGTTTGATGAGGTTGATGTGGGAGAGGTTTAGGCTCGATGAAACAAGAGTTCAGTGCGACGTTCGAAGAGGTGCGCCTCGGTCGAAACGTTATGAAACACTGCAAAGTGTGCGACAAGGTTAGATTCGCAGAGAGTTACAGGAGGCTCGGCGGAGAAGCGAAGGTCGGTTGGTGTGATGATGATTGTTGGTCGCTTGCGAGTGGTGGCATCTCTGACAGCCAACAACGATTTCGGTCGATATGAGCCTTGTCAATGAGGTACCGTGCGATGCTCCCACCCAGAATTCTGCACATCATCTCGAGTCTGTTGTTGAGATTGGCAAAGCAAAGCTCAGAGTGTAGCTGCTGCCGGTCCGAGCCAAGCTCTACGATGAGCTGAGCGCGCTCGCCGTCGCCCGTATTGAATCAATGCGGAAGACCGTTAGGGAGAAGACTCTTCGTTAACGCTCAGGATCATATGGACGAGTCGTGATGAGCGGGTCCGCATTGGGCTACGGAATCCGGCTATAGAAGCGACATCGGACCGGAGCAAGACAATCTTGAGTGCGAGCCGGAGCTTGCGGCTCATCAGACGTAGAATACTTCTGTACCCACCAACATAGTTTCCGGCTGAGGCGGTGTAATTCGGTCCAAGGTCGCCGTCGTCAGGTGCTACGGAGCTCATCTCGCTGTTCAACAAGCTCGAAAGTCATTCGACAAGCCCCTATTCTATGCGTTCGCTGCTGCAAGGAAGCTTGGCAGAATGCTGCAGTGAGGATCAGCTGATTGTGGAATGAGACCGACGGGATGGTCAAATGAGGTGCTTCGTTGGTGGGTGAAGTTACGCCGACGGTGCATTGATCCCCCTTCTCATATGCTGTCGATCTCAGATGGGCACTTGTAGCTGCAACGTCCCTGACTAGCGATGTGGTGCAGCTACACAAGCGAAGAGCATAGCCTCAAACAGCAGCACCAAACATGAGAGCATAAATAGAGGAGACTTGACGGCTCGTCCGGCTTGATCAGGCTCATCGAACGCATCTGCCTCGTCGATCATCAGTCCTCTTCCGCGCACTTGCCAGCCCTCTATCTACGCTCACGGCGCTCTACTTAGGCAAAAGACGAGCGCGAAAGCAGACTCCTAACGGTCAATTTCCGCAGCCATGGGTATCAAAATTCGACCGACCTTTCTAGTGACCCTCGCCGCCATCCTGGCATGCTTCACCACCACCTCTTTGGCCTACAACAAACCTACCGGCCCCTTTGCCACCCACTACGAAGATTGCTGCCGCCCAGCCTTCAGCTACGACCATCCCAAAGCTGGCTTCTACAACGCCGTCGACACGTGTGAAAAAGATGGCGTGACCCTCATCCCGCCCTCTGCCCAGCTCTCGGGTCGCAACGGCTGTGATGGTGGCAACCAATTCGTATGCTCCTGCATCCAGTCTTGGGTCGACACTGTCGACCCCACGCTCGCCTACGGCTATGGCGCGTACAACATCCACGATCCAGACGGTACGATCGAAAACACCTGCTGGCTGGTCGAGTTCCTCCCGCAAGACCCGAACGGCAAAACGATGCAGGTGCGCAAGATGATTCTGCAGAACATCAACACAAGCCAGGGCATCCCGAAGGGGAGCTGGGACATGGCACTGGCCGGTGGCGGCGTAGGAGACTTCAACAAGGGGTGCGTCAACCAGTGGGGCACCGATTGGGGCAAGCGCTACGGCGGCGTTGCGAACGAGAAGGACTGCTGCGCTATGCCGGAGGGCCTGCGCAGCTCGTGTCTGTTCCGGTTCCGATTCTTGGGCGAAAACCCGGGTCTTGCTGGGACACCAAAGAGGGTGAGATGCACCACAGGCCTGATCGATAGGAGCGGTGCGCAGAGGAAGGATGATGCGAGTGTTCAGCCGTATGAGGGCAAGACGGACAAGACGGGGCATCCGGCTCCCGACCGATACCAGAGGAACAGGAGCGTTTGTCAGAATGTGGATCCGCTCGGCATCGTCAGTGCCGTGTGCGGGGGCGGTAAGGATGGCGGTGGTCGCCTGCCAAAAGGCTACGGGATGACGAGGCAGGACTCGCATGGTGGCTCCGTGCCTGATGTGCCGGGCTCCTCGACCTCGAATGGGGCTGGAGCTGGAGATGAAGGATATGGTTCTGCTCCCGACGGCGGCAGTGGTGCTGAGCCTGATGTTTCAGGCACCGCCACCATGCCTGGAGAAGGTGCTGAGGGCTATGGTGCGCCGCCCGACAGCGGCGCTGCGCCTGGCGAGCCAGGCTCTTCGACCATGCCCGGCGCTGGCGCCGGTGCAGACGGATCTGGATCAGCTCCTGATGTCGGCGGCGGGGCTGAGCCTTATGTGCCTGAGCCTTATGTTCCAGGGTCTTTCAAAACGCCGGGAAGAGGGGCTGAAGGGTACGGACCGGCACCTGACATCAAGAGTGGGGCCAGTACTGGACCATCCAGCGGACAACAGGACAGCAATGCCGGAGCTGAACCTGGTCACAGCCTGCTGGGACTTCTCGGCCGTCATCATCAAGGCAGCAGCCGCGCTCACAAGAATCTGCTTCATAGTAAGCGATAGAGGAGAGCTGCGGATGATCTCTTTACGGCAGGTGCTTGACGACAGCTGGCTTTCACACACCGCGCTAGTCCGCTACATGCCTTCTCGTTGTCTTTTCGCTGTATTCCACGTGCTATGTCAAGTCTCTTGCCTTCTCGCTGTTCACATGGCTGATCAAGTTGATGCTGGTGCCAAAGGCTCGAGCTCGAGTAGAAAGGAAAAAGAGTCTTGCTCATCCCGCTCGAAGCTCGTCAATGTCATCACTCGAGAACCCGCAGGCCTGGCCCTCTTTGACAGGTTTGGCGACCCGCAGGCAACGTGATTGATTGCAACCCAAGGCCAACTCGGCTAACGAGCTTCGATGCGCTCAGACCACGCCGAATTTGCATTTCGGAAGCCGAACGGAACAATTGGCTGTGCCTGCAGAGGCCCCCTTCCTGCCGGCATTTCTCACGCTCAGCGCAGTCAGGAGCACCGCATGCTGAGCCTGCCGATAGGCTGGCTATCTGCTCTTCCGATGCTCTTGCATCCACCCAGTCTGCGAACCGTGCCTGCCTTCATCTCCACCATCATCGTCGTACCTTTTCACACCTCGCGTCCCCCTTCCGCAGCCGCGATCACAAGCGTGCTCGATCGTCAGCAGCTCGATCTGCTCAGTGACAATCGACGAACATCCGGCCTCGCTGATCGCTGTTCGATGCATCGACCTTGACCGCTCAACATGGCGTCCTTTCTCAGACACAAGGATCACGCTGCCCCTTCAGCCGCTGCTGTCGCGCCAGGAGAGCCCACAGAGGCGCAGATCAATGCCGCTCAAGCTCAGGATGCAGCCGAACATGCCGCTGTCAATGCCAAGTTGCGGCAGAACGAGGCAGCTGGCGCTCGAGTGCTCGAATTTGACGAGAATGCCACTCCTGCAGAGAAGGCCGCTCAAGCTGCCAAGGCAACGGATCGCATCAAGCCAAAGACAGCAGCAGCCGCACAGCAGGGCTCTGGTATTGCAAGCGACATCGGCGGCAAGAAGGTCGATCCTACGCTCAGCATGAAGGATGTAGACAAGCTCAACGAGCAGGAGAAGAACGCACCAGGCTCGCTTCCTGCCGGTCAGCCTAGTGTTAATCTGCCGCCTGGCACCGTGGCTGGATGGGCCGCTGCTGCCCTTGCTGCCAAGGGTCTTCCGCTCGATCGATCCATCAACCCCGACGAAGAAGTTCAGCGTGACTTGATCAGTACCTTTGTCGGCGAAAGCTATCTCGGCTACTTCTGGTGGGATGCCTCCGTCATCGTATTGGCCGTACTCTTCACCTACTTCGCCACTCGTCTGGGCGGAGGTATAGCCTCTATCCTGATCATCGGCGCCTTCTGCTCCACCTACTACAACACCAGCATGCGTCGAACCCGTCAGCGCGCACGGGACGACATCACTCGCGAGTTGGCCAAGAAGAAGATGGTCTCAGAGCACGAATCCGCCGACTGGATCAACCATTTCCTCTCGCGCTTCTGGCTCATCTACGAGCCCGTTCTGTCTGCGACCATCATTGGCACCGTCGACCAGATCCTGGTGCAGAACTGCCCAGGCTTCCTCGATTCGATCCGCATGACTACCTTCACGCTCGGCACCAAAGCACCTCGAATCGACTCGGTCCGTACCTTCCCAAACACGGACGAGGATATCGTCATGATGGACTGGAAGTTCAACTTCACGCCCAGCGATGTGCTCGATCTCACCGTCAAGCAGGCCAGCCAGAAGATCAACCCAAAGATCGTCCTCACCGTTCGAATTGGAAAGGGCTTCGTTGGCGCTGGCCTTCCGATCTTGCTCGAGGACATCAACTTTGTCGGTCACCTCCGCCTGCGCATGAAGCTCATGAGCAACTTCCCTCACGTGCAGCTCGTCGACATCTCGTTCATGGAGCCCCCCAAGATTGATTACGTGCTCAAGCCAATCGGAGGCAACACGTTCGGCTTTGACATCGGCAACATTCCTGGTCTTTCCGACTTCATCCAGGGACAGATCCATGCCAATCTCGGACCGATGATGTACAACCCCAATCTCTTCACCATCAATCTCGAGCAGATGATGTCCGGGACACCGCTCGACACTGCTATCGGAGTTCTTCAAGTCAACATCTGGTCAGCGCGCAACCTCAAGGGAGTCAAGCTGGGCGGCGGTACGCCTGATCCATATGTCACGCTCTCTATCGACAATCGCGAGGTGCTGGCAAAGACCTCGACCAAGAGAGGCACCTCCAACCCGCAGTACAAGGAGACCAAGTTTGTGCTGCTCAACAACCTCAACGGCATGCTCACCATGGCTGTCATGGACTTCAACGAGCATCGTCCCGATTCCACTTTGGGCCAGGCTGCTTTCGACCTCAAGGAGCTCATGGACGGCTCTGAGCAGGAGAACTTGAGCACACCCATCATTCTCGACGCCAAGGAGCGAGGCGAGGTGCAATACTCGCTTTCCTACTATCCTGTCGTCAAACCCGAGACTGGCGAGGACGGTCAGCTCAAGCCCCTGCCTGAAACCCGATCAGGAGTGGTGCGCTTTACCTTGCATCAAGCCAAGGAGCTCGACAAGCGTTCTGGCTTCAGCGGTGAGCTGTGTCCAAAGGGACGCATCAAGCTCAATGGCCAGCAGGTCAAGGACACCATCGTCATCAAGCGCACCACCAACCCCATTTTCGAGCTGCCCACCGAGTTTCTCGTCACTGATCGCAAGAAGGCTGTCATTACCGTCGAGATTCTCGATGACCGCGATCTGCGTGCCGACCCTGTTGTAGCGTACGTCAGCATCCGCCTCGACGATCTGCTCGCAGCCAAAGAGAAGCAGCAGGATTGGTTCCCGCTCAAGAACTCGAAGAATGGTCGAGTGCGCATGTCAGCGCAATGGAAGCCAGTACAGATGTCCGGCAGTATGAACGGCAGCAGCGGCTACACGCCCGCTATCGGCGCTGTCAAGTTCTGGATCAAGCGTGCGACCGACGTCAAGAACGTCGAAGGCATGACCGGTGGCAAGTCGGATCCGTATGTGCAGCTGCGTGCTCGAGGACAAGCCGTCGACGGTACCACGATCGTCAACAACAATCTCAACCCAGAGTGGAACGAGATCCTCTACGCTCCCGTCCACTCATTGCGTGAAAAGATCACGATCGAGGTCATGGACTACCAGAACACGGGCAAGGACCGCTCTCTCGGCAACGTCGAGGTCGATGTGGCTCAGCTCGCAAAAGATTCGGCTGGCTTGGACCCACGCCTCAGGTACAGCGGCACCGGCAAGCATGCTCACAAGGACAAGATCCACCTTGGACGCGGCATCTACAAGGGACAGATCGAGTTTGACTGCGAGTTCCTCCCGGCCGTCAGCATCAAGGGCGCCGAGTTCGATGAACGCGAGAACGAGGCGGCGGCGAAGAGCGGTGCCATCATCGAGAAGGCGGAAGAAGAGTCCGGAGCCGACACTGCAGTCAATGGTACGCAGAAGGCCAACGGCGCGAGCGAGGTCAAGGCAGCCGTCAAGGGGGCCGCCAAAGGTCACGTCAAGGACAAGAACTCGATCGCTTCGCTCAAGAGTGTCAAGGATGCCGGTGCCAGCGCTCCGCCTTCTGCCGTGGAAAAGGTCGAAGAAGGCGTCACGATGTCCAAGCAACAGCTGCTCAACGAGCAGTCCGGTATCATTGTCTTCAACATCTTGCAAGGCAAGCTTCCGACTAACAAGAAGAATGCTCGCCTCGAGGTGCTCTTCGACGATGGCTACTGGCCAGCTTACACCACCGAGAAGGCTCGCACCGCTCAGCACACATGGGACGAGGTAGGCGAGTCGGTCGTCAAGGAGCTCGACTGGTCCAAGTTCCATCTCAAGCTGACTACGGGCGATGGTGACGATGACGTCTTTGCCGAGTTCTCGGGCAACACCAAGGATGTCCTCGAAAAAGCGCTCAACTCGCAGTACGAGTTCCGCCTGCAAAACGCCGCCGGTGCGCAGGTGGCAAGCGTGGTTCTAGAGTGCAGGTACATCCCCATCAACCTGCACCTTGAGCCCGTCGAGAGCGTCAACAACCAGGGCTTCCTCCGTGTCGACTTGGTGCACGCTCGCAACCTTCGAGCTGCGGACCGCGGCAATCGTTCGGACCCCTACTTTGCATTCGTGCTCAACGGCGAGCGCATGGCCAAGTCCAAGGTGATCAAGAAGACGCTCAACCCGGACTACAACGAGAACCTGGGCGAGTTCAAGGTACCTTCGCGAGTAGCTGCTGATGCCGTGTTTGAGGCGTACGACTGGGACCAAGTCGGAACGCCAGACAAGCTCGGAAAGGCGCAGGTGGACCTGTCGGTGCTCGAGCCCTTCGAGCCTTTCGAAAAGACCTACCCGCTGACGGGAAGCGGCTCGGCCGACAACTCGGAGGTGACACTGCGTTTTGTGTTCAAGCCCGACTTTGTCGCCAATCGCGAACGAAAGGGTACGAGTATCAGTAGAACCTTCACTTCTGGAGTTGCAGGCGTAGGACGCGTTGGAGTCGGTGGCGCGTTGGCCGTCGGCACCGGTGTCGGCAAAGCCGGTCTCGGCGTGGGCAAAGCCGGCTTCGGTGTTGGAAAGGGTGTCGTCGGTGTGGCAGGTAAAGGTGTCGGTGGTGTCGTCGGTGTAGCCGGCAAGGGTGTTGGAGGCGTCACCAAGGGCGTGGGCAGCATCATCCGTCCAGGCAACCGCAAGGTCTCAGCAGCCGAGATCGCCGCAGGCGAAGAAGCACTGCTCGACCCAACCACGGGCGAACTCGTCAGCCCCTACGGTCCGGACGGCCTCCCCGCCATTCCTTCCGGCACAGGCCTCCCCGCCGGTTACAACATTCCTGCACCGGCCAATCAAGAGGGCTCAACAACGGCAGACGCAAGCTTCGACCACGACGCAAGGTCCTTCGCCGAGTCCCAGGGCACACCCAGCAAGCGCAAGTCCAAGCTGCACAATCCTTTCAAGCGACATCACAAGGACGGTTGAGTGGGCTTTGTATGGTAATTTTGGCTCAAGGATGTTGATACCAGGTCGTGTTTCACTCTTCGTAGGGTGGTGCAAACATTCGTTTCGAGGAAACGTTCAATAATGTGTGCAGCTCTCGACATGAATGCGACTCTGAAGCGTCAAGACGATCGGGGATGCCATCTTTGATCGTGTGAGTGTGAGCATGCTTTGGCTCATCTTGGTGCTCGACGCCCTCTGCTTGCGTCGCAGTCGAGGGGTGCGCGATCTCGCCACGCAACGAGCTACAGTCGCGTCCAAAATGTTCCACATAATTTTGAGAACTGCCGCAGGCACTTTATCAGAGGTATGCACTTCAACCACATCTTATTGGAACGAACACCATACTAAGGTCAAAGTTGGCATAGCATTTTTCTGAAAGCTGGTACTTGTAGTTGCTGTCCGTCACTATGGATCAAGACAAGCGTCATTAGCATACAAAGAACGCTCATTTTACTGTAGGATGCTGAAGATGTGAGAAAAAACTGGAGTCCAAATTCGCTCTTTTCATTTGCAGAGCGCAGTGATGTAAAAATCCATGCTCTTCCACTTGATCGAGTACTGTACTAATACAAAAGTTGTCAGATCAACCTGAAAACTTGTTGGCAGGTTCATCTTATGTAGATCTACAACTCTTTCACCAAGAGTATGCTGGTTAAGACCGTAGCAAGTGGCATGAACGTTCCTAATGTTGAGGTCCATTTTTGGTCCAGTTTTGCTCGCGCATGAACCTGCATGAAGGCACTTCAGCAGTCAAATTCGCATTTTTTGACATCTCTCACAGAAACCCATCTCTTGTTTGCGATAAAAATGCTAGATTTTATCTGATAACTGGACAGCGTTGATACAGGGCATACGTACGACTTTCTCACCAACAGATTTGAGGCTGTAGTCTTGAGAAGAGAGCTATACTGGCTGGGAAGAGCGATTGTCATTTCCACAAATCTACACTGGTGAAGTGCCTAATTTCCGCGCGTGGTGGATGTGGAACATTTTGGACGCGACTGTACAGAGCAGGACGCTCGTTGGGAGTGCACACAGTCATGTCAATGCTTGAGGGTTAATGGTCATTCGTTTTGCATTAGATTAGATGACAGGGTCTTGAACGGGTTTGTTGCCCATCGATCCGGGCCCGCCACGGACGTCGAACTCTGTTTCCGCAGAACAAGCATGGTGAGGTCAGCAATCAAGTATATCAAAAGCATGGTTGGTGAGAAGCGTACCTTTGGGATCCTTGGTAGGAACAGACTCGCGTCCGGCAGCACCGGGAATCTGCGGTTCGCCCTGCTGGGCGCGCTGCTCGTTGGCCTTCTGCCTCTCGGCATCGCTCGAGAATTGCTGGCTCTGGGCGGGGTCGTTGAAAGTCTTCTCCATGTTGGCTGAGTTGTGCTGTGATGAAACGGGTTGGGGTGGGAGAAGGAAGCGACAGGTGAGGGGATCGTTTATATACGTTTGACCGCGGCGCAGCAGACCGGTTTGCCAGTTTGCTCGTATCAATCAGCACACGAGCCACAGCAGCGAGACAGCGTCCTGACATCAACCCGCCTGGGTCGGAAGAACTGCAGCGCGCTTTGACGTCAGGCCCCCGTTCACGCGACCAACCGTTCGGATCTCAACCACAGAGCCGAATGGCCAAGCCACTGCGAACCCGAGCTCGCCGCAGAGCCATGCGGGCTCACTCAGCCTCGAGGGCGCAAGTTGACAGGACAGAGTGCGGCTTCCCAGGCACATGCAGCGCTGATTCATCGCCGCTTCCTGCCGCGTGCCGTGGTTCATCCGAAAAATTCCCAAGCTGTTAAGACTGTGGGAGCTTGAAAGGTGACAGGGGGTGACATAATCAGGGTCGAACTTCGCCTCGAATTTTTCTGGAAGGCAACTTTTTTTGGCGTTCGAGTGGAGAAAATTCGGCGCAGCAGGGTAGCTGAACTTCCACCCTTGCGCTCCATCCTACCTCATCCACCAACGTTTTGGATCAGCATACACACACGATGCCGGCCACACCAAAGTCGACGCCTAAGAAGGCAGCCAACGGTACACCTGCTGCCTCGCCATCCACCGCCTCACCGAGCCGCATGACGCGTGCTCAGGCCAAGGCTACCGGTGGCATCCGCACCCCGTCACCGCTCAAAAAGGGTGGGTCCATCTCTACGCCCTCGAAGTCCTCCAAAAAGGCTCCTATCACCCCTACAACTGCGGAGGACTCTCCATCGAAGAGCAAGAAGACCAAAACGCCCGCCACTACACCGACCAAGGCGAGCCCCAAAACGGCCAAGTCCTCGCCAACAAAGGACGCTTCGCCAGCCAAGGTGCCTGCAAGCCACGCAAAGTTGACCCGCAAACCCACGTCCGCGCTGGCGACTGCGGAGCCGATCGTTGCTGAATACTCGGAGGAAGAGGTCGAAGAGGAGGAAGAGGAGGACGAGGAGGAGTCGGATCTCGAGGATGGTCAGGACGTTTCCGAGAAGGGCATGCAGCGGCTGATGGCTGCGCTAGGAGACGACGGATTGGATGAGGTGGATATGGCTGCTCTGGATGAGTTGGCTGGCGATGAAGACGAGGAGGAGGATGACGATGAAGAGGATGACGACGAAGAGCTCGAGGATGACGAGGAGCTAGAGGCGTTAGAAGCTGTGTCCGACGAGGAGGAAGACGAAGACGAAGAGCTGGTAGCTGCGGACGATGACATCCCACGCGTCATCCCCAATGCCAACGGCGACACTCTCGCCGCGTCCATTGCACGAAGCGGTCTCGTCCCCGACGCAGACTCCGACGAAGACGAAGAGGAAGACCCCGAAGCCGAAGAGGAGGATGACGAAGAAGCCATCCCCTACGAAGACCTCCCCGACGACATCCAGCTCTCGGAAGCCGCTCAAGCCTCGCGCACCCAACGCATCAAGATCAACAACGAATCCGCCCTCCGTCGCATCTACTCCTCAATCCGTCTCGACTCGCCCGAATCCTCCTCCAAGCTACCCTGGATCGAGACGATGCGCATCACCTACCCTTCTTCGCACACCTTGTCGGATGTGGAGAACGACCTGGAGCGCGAGCTCTCCTTCTACAAGCAAGCTCTGCACGCTGCGGTGGAGGGACGCAAGCTCGTCGAGTCGGCGGGGATGCCCTTCAGCCGACCGACGGATTACTTTGCCGAGATGGTCAAGACGGATGAGCACATGGAGCGAATCCGTCAAAAACTGCTCGACGAATCTGCGGCGATCAAGGCGAGCGAAGCGGCCAAAAAGCAGCGCGAGCTCAAGAAGTTTGGCAAAAAGGTGCAGGTCGAGAAACTGCAAGAACGGGTGCGAAACAAGAAGGAGATGGCGGAACGAATTCAGGGGCTCAAACGCAAGCATGGTGCGCTGGACGATGCCGAGGATGGAGACGACTTCGATGTTCGATTGGAAGAGGCCATTGGTGGCCCGGAGAAGAAGGGCAAGCAGTTCTTGGGCAAACCTCGTGCACCCACCAACAAGGCCAAGATGCCGAGAACCGCAAGGGATGCAAAGTATGGTCATGGAGGCAAGAAGAAGTATTCCAAGAGCAACACTGCCGAGTCGACCAACGATTTCCGCGTTGGCCCCACCAAGGGCGCCAGGGGTAGCAAGGTCAAGGTTACCTCGGGCAAGGCTGGGTTCAGGCCCAAGCAGAAGAGCGGCGCCGCGAAGAGACCCGGCAAGGCAAGACGCGCTGGCGGTCACTAAGTTTCTCTGCTGTTTCCCTTTCACTTCGAATTCCATTTGCAATTCTCACGTCATGTCATACACACTTGCAGCCTGAGCACCGTAGAAGAGTCGGGATCAAGAAGTTGCATTGTTCAAAAGAGAGCGAGAGAAGAGAGCGCCGAATCTATGCGAAAAAGTGTGTGTGGGAAGTACAAATGCGAGAGAGGATTCTAGATGGAGCAGTGCGAGTCATAGTCCGGGACCGTCTGGTCGAGGTGGGGTCGTGAGAAAATCGTTAGGAATGCTAGAAAGACGGTGAAAGGGAGTGAGTGTTGTTCAAGCGCGAACGGCGCTCTTGTTGATCGCGGCGCCGCCGAAGAGTTTCTTCTTAGTTTTGGGCTTGCCCATCTGCGGAGAGCCCGGTTCGTCGATCGAGTCGGCCAGCGAGGCTCTGCGCAGGGCAGCTGCCGCGGCGGAGATCTCTCTCTGGTCGCCGACATCAGTGGCTTTGGAGTTCCTCCTCGACGCGTTGTGTGGCGAAAGCACGGGCTGCACATGGCTTCCACCCGCTGCGCCACTGAGAGGGATCGCCAGATCCTGACACGTGGGCGGGGCCAGCTCGGCACAAGCGACGTGCGTCTTGTAGGGACAGTCATCGCAGTCCATGAACGGCTTCCAGCCCATGCGCTTGCCGCACACCCAGCACTTTGCGAGCGCGTTGCTGAGCATGACGGCGGGCGGCACGAGGGAAGGGTAGCTGCTGACGTGCTGGTGCTGATGCGCACTTCCGCTCGCCATGGCTTGTGCTGCAGCGACGACGTTGTTGGGTCGACGGGTGCCGTTCTTGACCAATGTGAAGCGATGGTGGATGGGAACGGGCTCGATCTGACCCGAGTTGACCGAGGCGATTGTGGCAAGGGCCATCGACGTGTCCGGTCGGTGGGTGCGGGCGGTCATGTATGATTGCATCGAGGCTTCTGTCGAACCTCTTCGTGCGGCTGCGAGCGCCATCGCGGGATCGGCCGAGCCTCGTCGAGCGGCTGCAAGCAAGGTGGATGCATCGTTCGATCCTCTTCGAGTGGGCGAGAGCATGGCTGCTGACTCGGACCCTCTTCGAATGGCGGACAGATCGGCGGAACCGCGACGAGCCGGGATGAGCAGCGGCGAATCGCCCTGACGCAGCGTCCTGATGGAGAGGGTAGAAGGTCGCTCGTCGAGCATGGCCAATGGGGCATGCCTTGCCGTCATCTTGGAGGAACGCACCACCGACGTGCTGTAGTCGCTTTCGGCGTAGTCGGCATTGTCGAGCAAGCCAGCCTCGGACTCCTGGCGCATCCTGTCTGCAGCAGCGCCTGGCGAAGCGAGCCAGCTTCGATTGATGCTGGGAAGAGCCTCGGCGGCGTCATCACTCCACCAAGGGTTGCCGTGGCCCGCAACTTTGAGCGTGCTGGAACCCTTGATGGCACCCGGCGCCGCGGCATGGTCCGGCTCGACACCAATCTTTTCGAGTGCTGCGAGCGCCTCTTCGATCTCGTCGCCGCTGTCGTCCGAGCCTGCACGCGATGTGGTGCCATTGAGCTTGAGAGCGCCGTTGAAGCTGGGCAGTCTTGGCGCAGCAGCACGCTTGAGCTTGGTGCCCATGATGGACTGGATGGTGGCGCCTCGGACACTGCCGATGGCATAACGGTTCTCTGCCTCTTCGCGCATCAGCACTTCCCGCTCGATCTCGGCCAGTCTAGAGACCACCTGGCGCATGTCGGGACGGTACCTTGGGTCTTCCTCCACGCAGTCAAGAGCAAGCTGGATGAAGGAGTCTGGGCAGCCTTCTGATGCCATCTCGCGCACCTCGTCCGCATCCAAGCCGAAGGTGGGCATGACACGCTTGAATGTGTAGGAATCGACCAGATGGCGAGAGGCGATCTCGGCAAAGATGACACCAAGCGAAAAGACATCTGAGGGCAGACCGAAGTCGACACCGAGGAGGATCTCCGGCGACATGTAGCCGTCTGTGCCGCAGTAGCTGATTCGTCGCATCTCGTCTTCGTTGCGTGCCGCAATGCGTGCAAAGCCGAAGTCGCAGACCTTGATGCGCTCGTTTGCGGTGATGAGGAGGTTCTCGCCCTTGAGATCGCGGTGCATGCAGTTGCGTGCATGGAGATAGGCGAGAGCACGTGAGATGTCCATAGCAAAGCTCATACGCAAACGCCACGGGAAGGGCTTGTTGTGATCTGCGAGGTAGGAGCGAACGTTGCTGCCGACGAATTCCGAGATGATGTAGATCCTGCCATCGAGGCCTGGGCTCTTGGTGAGGCCGATGTACTGGACGATGTTGGGGTGACGAGCTTCCTTCATGAGAACGCACTCGCGTTCAAAGTACTTCTCGACATCATACGTGTTGTTTGGAAGGACCTCCTTGATGGCGACTTCGGTGCCCAAGTATTCTCCCTTGAAAACGACACCAAAACTTCCGCCGCCGATCCTGACCCAATCACCACCGTTGGGCCCGGAGAGGTCGGCAAAGTTGATTACGTCGAATCGATCCATTGTTGCGAAAGTTCTGTGGGGTCGTAGTTGAGCTCCTTGCGTTGGCTTGGTGCCCGGTGGGTGCGCAAATCAGGGGGTGGTGATCGTGTTATCGAGCAGATCGAGTTTCGTACTTGTTCGTTATCGAGGCTGACCAGACGTTGCGGAAGGAGAGATAGCGAAGGAGGATGGTGGTAGGTCGTCGAGGAGAGAGAACGAGTGGGCCTTTGGGGTGGCAGCCAGCGTCGTGTAGGTGCGGGGACGAGAAGAGAAGGCTTAGCCAGGTAGAAGGCGGTGATGGCCAAGCTATATATTGAAGCGGAGACCAAGGGCAATGTCGTCAGAAGCCGAAGGAGCCGGTGTGCCGGTAGCGAGTCGAGCGCGTGGAGTTGCAAGCGAGTTGCGCGCAAGAACGAGGAGACTGGATGCGGAGTGAAGAGAAGCGCTTCTAAATGGCGGGTCTGTGTCGGGGATTGGGATAAGGTTTGAAGTGGAAAGGAGGGAGATGAACGAGGATGGATGCAATGTGGCGCCAGATGAGGCAAGAGACCGAGGAGTGTCAAGGATGATGGCGGATGAGAGTTGACCGAGAGAAGCAATGCGCAGATCAATGCAGGCGGCGGCAGAGGGAGATGCGAATGCAAGTAAGCGCTGGAGCAGGGTCCAGTATTTTATGCAGAGGCAGGCGGAGTGTAAGCGTGAGAAGGCGAGGATGAGGATGATGGAGTTGAGAAGAGAGGTGAAACGGATGCGGATGATGCTCAGAAGGGCAGCAAGAAGACACGGGAGGATGACGGTGTTGGAGGTAGAGAGATGCTCAAAGTAGCAGGCGGAGAAGGAAATGTTTGGATGAGGAGGAGGAGGCCAAGTCAAGGCGGTTCGAGGTGAGTTAAGTAACAGGCGCTGTGCTGCTCAGGGGCCAGATGCTCAGTCCAGAGCGCTCTCTGTCCAAAAGGGCAAGAAGCACACAGCCAGCCAGGCACAGGTGAATTCGGACCCTTGCGGAATTTTGGCAGAGAAGTGCGAGCGGACTGCGAAACCTTTTAAATTGAGACTTTTTAAGCCCGAAGCGGTCGAGTTGAGTTGAGTGGGTTGATAAACTCTCTTGCGCATCATCCCTTTGCGTCCAACAGGCCTAGCCCTGAGCGATTCAGAGTGGCACTTGACTCACTCGCTTGTATGCTGAGCTGCACAAAGAAGGCCATGTACCAGCCAACAAACAATATACGGAAGCTGAGCTAGCCAATGCATCGACGGCTATACGATTTTTCCAGTTCGGTCTTTGAGACCATCATTTCGCAGACAAGCTCATACGCAGATTGCTGACGAGGCCTCGATCGATCGGACCCGCCCTGAGTCGATGAGGCACTGTGTAGCTGAGCAAGGAAGAAGCGTGCCGCCTACCGAACACGGCGGGAGCGCCGACCAATCCAAGAACCGTGCTGAGTCGACCGCACATGTTTCTACTAGCCCACGGCGATGGGCGTTGCTGCCCACGGACGCCATGCTTCATCGAAGCTTGTCAGTGCAGTGTCAGTCTCATCAAAGCACCAGGGTACGGCGACTTTCGTCAGTGGCTGCGTGGAATCAATAAGAAGGTGCCAGAAGTCTATTTAGAGCCCGAAGCCACGTCATGGTGAGCTTTATTTCATCGCTGATGACCATCAGCAGGAGGGTTGACAGCGATGAGGCAGACGACATTGTCCGATCGATGTCCAAGGCAGGGGCTTAGGGTACGGATAGTGAAAGCCGAAGGGGGAGGGATGGACGAGGTGCAAGAGTGAATCCTTTTCGACGTCACTCAGGGGTCGGAAAGGGTTCACATTTGAAACACCAACACATGCTCCTCTTCTTTGCTTCGGCTCGAGAAACCAACACACGCCTGCAGTCTTTGACACGTTGGCACATTCCTCTGCTCAAGTGCCCAATTCTGAAACTGGCCTCCACACCAACGCAGTGTGTCCACGCCAGCAGCAGGCATGTTTGCTTTGCGACAGCTCTCAGTCGATTGCATACAAACTTGCTTCGGCATGTCCGAGACAGGATGTAATCCTCGATACTCATCCTACCTTCCAGCAACATCGAGCGCTCTCTGCGCATGTATCGGTCAAGATACCGGGCACTTGCCGCAACACATCCACCCGCTTACGGATCCATCAATAAAATAAAAATATATAAATTCCAATTTCGGCAGCGCGTGCCAGAAACGCGTGTCCAACGAGGTCTGCGTAGAAGTTGAGTTTGACGCACATCTTGCAGCCCCAAGGTCCCGTTAAGCTCTAGCTGGCTCGACTGTTCTCTCATGGTGTAGCTGAAGGCAGCTAGGTATGGTGGATCGAAAGCTTGGATGTCTCTCAGCTCGGTGCTTGTACTGGAGAGAGGACAAGACGAAGAGCAGGAATCATCGGGATGGTTGCGAGGTTGAAGGAAGGCATCTGTGCAGCGTGTCGCTTGTGAACATCGAAAGAGCATCTGCAGCCAACCCCTATTTCGGTGTCAGCCGTGGTGGGTTTGGCTCATCACCTCTCCTCAAGGCTCATCCTCTCGGCTCACCCGACCACGGCCTCTCCGCTGCTTCGTCATCTGTTCTCACGCCATCCGAGCGTCTCATCACAATTGTCTGCCGCTCATTGGTTTCAGCGCAATCAAAGGAGACCGAGATTGGGCAGACGCATCACCTTGGTCGGATCAAGTTGCCGAACAATCAGCCTCGACGACGCCACACAGGGAGGAGAGGAGTTCAAACTTCCCCTGAAGGTCACAGCACCCTTTGTGACGGCCAATCCTACAGGCCGAGAGAAGAGCTGCTCAGCCTCGCCCGTGTGAGGATTGAGGCCCGCTCCCCTTTTCGCTCTCAGACCTTCGGTCCAGGGTCCTCCTTCTCGACATCTTGTCTTGTCGGTTCCTTTGCACGCTCCCATCATCTCAGACTCTCTCCTATCGTACCGTCCCGCTTTCAGGAAAGCTCTGCTCGCATAGCACCCACCACCTTGCAACAGGCGTGCAGCCTCCGCATCGACTTCATATTGGCACATTCCTACTTCGAGCTCGCATCGACGGGCGACCTCATCTCACACCTCTATCCTTAATCTTCAACAATGTACTCGTCACAAAAGCCTTCACGGCAATCTCGGAGCTCGTCACCATCACCATCACATCGAAGGAGCCCCGCACTCCTAGCATGGCTGATCCCGCTCGTCAACGTCGTTTCAGGTCAGACGACCACCACTTCGATCCCAACAAGATGGGGTCAGGCATCAGCTCTCGTCGGATCTCTCCTCGTGGTTCAGGGCGGCAAAACGCAGGGCACATCGGGCGGAGGCTACACCTACAGCTCAGCACCCAGCGATGCGCAGATGTACACGCTCGACTTGTCGTCTGCTTTTCCACTCTCTTCACCACCGTGGCAAGCTGTGACAATAGAGCAAGAAAGTGCTATCGCACCAGCTGTCTCTTTCCACACCATTTCGCCTCTCAACAGCACTTCTCTTCTGCTTTTCGGTGGTGACGGCAGTCCCGTGGTTCCAGTTCAAACAGGCAACGACTCTGCCTACATCGTTCACCTTGGCGGCACCACTTCGAATCGCACAGCTGCCTATCAACAAGTTCCCACCTCTTGGAATCAGCCAATGCGACGAGAATGGCACACCAGCGAATCAAACGGTCAAGGCTCCGTCTGGATTGTCGGAGGTGAAAGAGCAGACGGCTCCGGCACCATCCTCGATCAACAATGGACCATCGACACTACAGCCGCTTCGCCTTCATTCCAACTTGTGCCCTCCTCTCCCCCGGGGAGTCTCGCTGGCTCCACCTCAACCATGCTCAGCGATGGCACTATCCTCATGCTTGGCGGCATGGATGCTTCGGGCCAGCTGCAATCTCTTCAGGATCTCTACGCCTTTTCCTCCAAGTCAGGGACATGGTCGCACACGAGCACTCAGAGCGCAGCCAATGGCACACTGCAGGCTCGTCAGGCGGCCTATCCTGCACCTCGTCGCGACCACATCGCCGTCAGCCTGCCCGACCAGCGAGTCTTCATCCAGGGAGGCGCCAGCGCGGATCTCTCCACTGTGTACAGTGATGCCTGGATCCTAGATTGGAGCGTCAATCCACCCGTCTGGACGCAAGTAGATTCGGCAGACGGTCCCGGAGCCCGGTACGGACACTCGGCCGTCGCATACGGTAGAGAAGTACTCATCTCTTTCGGCTGGCAGGGAGGTAACGCTGCACCATCAGGACTCCACGTTTTTGACGCATCCAATCTCACAGCATCCACATTCAACAAGGGAAGCTGGTCGGGCGGAAGCTGGTCTGCAACCTCATACACTCCGGACACGCAAATGTCTTCGCCGGCTTCGACGCCAGCGCAAGGCTCAGGAACGTCGAGCGGTTCCTCCTCGTCTGGGGCGAATGGGTCTAGCTCCAGCTCGGGTGTTGGTACATCATCATCTAGCGGCTCCAACGGCTCCAGCTCTGGCAGCGACAATAGCGGAGGCAGCAGCAACAGCAACTCAGGTTCAGGCAGCTTCCCAGCAGGGAACGTCACGCCGACTGACGGCGGATCGGCCAACACTGACAGCCACAGCGACGACTCGAGCGGCGGGGCAAAGGCAGGCGCAGCCGTAGGAGCCATCATCGGTGCTGGTCTCGTCGTTGGTGCAGGCTATGCAGTCTACCGCCGTCGCACGCAGAACGACTATCGGCGCTACGGCGAAAGTAAGGCAGGCATCCTTGGCTTTGGAGGACGTCACAACGGCGGGTCTGCAGATGATGACCTCCTTATGGAAAAGGGCTTCATGCAGAGCGACTACAATCGCCCATACCATCATGCAGATGGTGGCGCAGAGGACGGTGCTGGGCTGACCGGCGGTGTTGCATATGGCAGGAGGCGTGGGCGTACCGAGGGCTCACCGTGGGTGGCAGGCAACATGGGTCATGCGATGGAAGGATCAGGCCCACACTTCCGCGAGCGCATCGCTATCCTCGCCGGTCGAAGCAGACGTGAATCTCAGGCAGCTCCTCGTTTCGACATGCTCGCGGACGAAGGCGATGGCAGCAGCGTCTATACCACACGTCAGGCCGACAGCATCAATCGAAGCTACGCCGACGGCGCGGACGAGCCAGAGAGCCCGACCTGGCCTCAACGACATATGCGCGAGCACTCTTACGCCAACGCTGGTGACGAGGACCTTTCGAGCGGTGACATTGGTCAATTCTCGCACGACGATCGCCAAGCGCATGACGAGCTCGACATGTATTCTCCTTTCGAAGATCGTCCTGAAGAAACCCGAGCAGGCCTCACGAGCGCAATTGCTGCTGCAGCTGGCGCGAGGGGCTACGGCAAGCTCGCCGACCGCGACCTCGAAGGCAGCTACGACTCGGAGCATCGATCCCACGACGGTCGCTCCGATCTCGACACGCACGAAGACCCCTCCGTCCAATCGCACAGCACCACCAGCCGAAGCGACGTGCCCAGCTCGTCGAAATCCTACGACGTCACTTCATCCGGCGGCATCGTCTCCTTCTCAGACGCAAGCCACGGTCGTCAAAGCAACAGCAGCAACGGGATGAAACGCTCTTCGACCTGGTGGGACCGTCTCACGGGCCACTCGTCGGCGATGGAGCGTTCTTCGTCGGGTCGACTCTTGGCTAGTCCTCATGCTAATTTGCCCATTCGCGACCCCGCTCCTCCACCCGTGAGCGGGCTGGCGGTCATCACCGAGTCGGCTCGGTCGCGAGAGGTGTCCGAAGTTCTGCCGGATCCGTTCGCAGACAGCAACGCCAGCGGGACGGACGAGCATGGCCGTCGTGTTGGCGCCGACGGAACACCCGAACCCTACACAGCGCACACTCAGGGACCCTCCCTCTCGTCCATCGGTTCCGCTCGAACGGGCGCCTCCTCGCACTTCGAATCGCAGCTGCGCGGCATGGACGTCATCCAGCGCGTGCGCACGGGGAGCAGTCGGCGCACGCAATCCACACGCGCTAGCGATACGGATAGCGAACCTGCGCTTAGTCGCGGTCCTACGTTGCTTCGACCTCGCAACATCCCCTCCGACGGGAATGACGCGTCCACACTCGATCCCGCATCAAAACGACTGGGTGATTTGGTCGAGGAACCTGCACGCCGACCAAGCAACGTCTCCGAAACACCCTCCATCACGCCGCTCACCACCAAACGTGCGCGGTTGAATCCGGTGATGATCTCCCCACTCTTCCCGTCGACCAGTCCGCGTCGGTCGGCTCCGCTGGCTGCGGGAGCTGCAGCAACCGTGCGCGACAAGGTGCGCGCGTTCGAGTCTGCCACCTCCTCGCAGGACACGTCAGCGTGGACGGCGAGCATGTCCAGCGTCCTCCCGCGCACCGCACCGACGACGACGGACGAGGGTGTGGAGCGCGCCACCTCACCTCCGCTATCGGAAAGCGCGGCGAGGAGGCCCAAGGTGGTGCATGGTCTAGCACCAAGGCCGCAGCTGTTTGTGGCGAATCCTGACGCGCATGGTCGCAGAACCTCGGGCAGCGATGGTAGCGGTCATTGAACACAGAACTTTCTCATGTCACGGATAACGAACTTCCCAGTCACGCATCGCATGGTTATCAAATTTGTAGGAACTCGCATCTCAACTCGACTGTGTGTCCGTGTGAATGACCGGGGTCGCGTTCTCATGACAAGTCTCTGAAACAAACGCGACTCGATCGCACGCGGGACAAACAATCCTTGTGTGCAAGCATGAACATCTTCCCAACTAACATTCCATCATCGTGCGACTTCTTCTCGCTCGACATCCTCGAGTGCGGCTGTGAACAACCTTCTGTTCCAAACTGCATACATCGATGTGAAATCACGGCCCGGAATAGCTGGGCAACTGCATAGCGCTCGCAATCAGATTCACCGCCTCCTGGTCGATGTCCTCGTTCTGGATGCTGAGGGGCCAGACGCTCTGGTCGTGCGAAAAAAACTCGGCGATGGCGAAGGAGGATGTGTCCAGCTGACCCGGTGTGGGTGGGTGGTAGGCGGTGAGGGACATTGGGTTGGCGGGGTTGTGCAGCGAAGAATTGCGACTGTGACCGCGGTGTGGGGAGAGGACGACGGCTGATGACGGGTGGAGGTGGGTGCTGAGGGAGGAGCGGCGGCCAGGCGAAGGATAGATTGGCGGGCCGGTGAAGGTGGGGACTGGCGTCTGACCGGAGGCTGGGTACGGGGTGTGACCGCTTACTTGCTGCTGCTGGTTGCCGTCGTTGTACTGCGACACGGCCATGGGCGCATGGAAGCTCGACATGGGATCGAAGTGATCCATCTGCCAACTGCCCATCAGCGCGTCGATGTCGAACGTCAGGCCGGCAGAGATACCGAGCCCAAATGGCGAGTCGCCGCTGTGCGTCGACGCAAACTCGTCGGATCCAGTGTTGCCCGTCAGGATCCCGTTAATGCCTTCCATCGACTCGGACAGCGTCATCGCATCCGCCTTTGGTGTGACATGCGACGACCGCGCCAATCGCTTTTTGCTTCGAATGCGAGACTTGGCCCATTTGAGCACCATCTCGATATCACGGATTGGTGCGCTCTGGGCATCCTCGTCCGACGCCTGCGGGTCGATCTCGCCACCATTCCCAGCAGCCTCTTGCTCCAGAGCTCGCAGCGGCCAGGACGCTCCAGCCCAGTACTGCTGCAGCTTTTGCAAGATGCGCTGGCAGGCACCGAGGTTGATCTCAGCGTACGATTTGGTCGAGACGAGGTGGCTGGTGCGACTCTGTTGCTGCGAACCGGCGCCACGCGAAGGTGGTCTCGACGGCGCAGGTGTTGTTCCATGTCCCATGCTCCGCAAGGCACCTCGCGCCGCTTCCCTCTCTGCAACGAACGATCGACCTGCGGGCAACACCAGCTGGTCGAGGTACGGAGAGGCGGTGATGCATCGATCGTCAAAGGCATCGCCGAGCGTGAGAATGTCCGCGATCGTCCTGGACGCAGCTGCACTCGCTGCTGGTGCAAAGGATGGCAGCAGAGGAGCCGAGTCTGCCGTGAACTTCTTCATCAGCGCCGGACGGTCCAGCAGTCCAATGGTGGACTGGAAGAGCACGTGCAAGTAGACAAAGCCCGGGCTCTGGTGATGCGCCGCACTCTGCTGGAAGGTCTGCACGTTGAAGTGAAGGTTCGAAGGCAGCTCCGAGTAGCTCTGAGCGAGCTCGAACCACATGCGAGTCAGGTCGCGCTTGGTGGTCTCCGCCGAGATCTGCGATTCTTCTTTCTCGCGCCGGTTGAGTAGCTCGCCCATGCGTCCTCGGAGCATGAGGATCCGAACCACGTGGCCAAACACCACCGTCTCGTCCTTCATATCGCTGGAGGCGCCTAGCTTGGGCAGCTCAGTGTCGATCTCGGTCTCTCGAATCGAAACCGGACGGCCCGTGCCGAACGTGGTGATGCGGTCGAGTCCGATGACGGCCCAGAACAGCAGCCGTGCCTTTTCCTGATGCTTTTCGATGGGAATGCTTTGGATGCTGACCTCGTGCTGCAGGCCAAGATCTTGAGCCATTCTCAGTGCCATGCCGACGTACATCCAGAGGCCCGAGTCGCTGCCAGCTGCGAATTCGGCATAGCTCAGCAAAATGAGCGCCTCGATGACCTCGATCGACGGAAATGACAAGAGTGGAATGATGAGGATCTTGGCCATTTCGCTGAAGGGGTCGCCCGAGGACTTGCGTGGTGCCTTTCGTAGCTCGGGACGATCGGAAAAGCGAGCAGCGACCGCGCAGACAGCGTTGGCGAGAATGGCAGGCATGGATCCGTTCTGGGCGCTGTTCTTGAGCTCGTCGGCCTCCATCCAAGGACACCAAGAAGGCTTGAAGTGCGTAAGGAACAGAGACACGAGATGCTCGAGGATGTCTTTCCTGGGGTATCGTGGACGATTGATCTCGAAGAGGTCACGGGTGACGGATGAAGAAGCCTTGTGATCGGGTCGTTGCCCCGGGCTTGAAAGCTGCGCCGGATGTGGCGACAGCACGGAATCATCCCGAGGCTTGCCTGGCGTGCGTGAGTCATCGTCGTCTCGGATTGTGAAACCAAATGCCGCCCGACCGTCCGAAGCATTGTCAGCTTCCAGCGCTGGTGCCAGCTCGTCCGTACCTGGCACCTCCGAGTCTTGCAATACACCCACTTTGATCTTCCGGTAGCCAGGAGTGTTGGCGGTGGTGCCAAACCAACGAAAGAAGGGAAGGACGATCTTGGGTCGCGGTTGCGCCACTGGCTCCTCCTTGATTGCGATGTATTCGCGCTCATCGCCTGGTCTCGCAGCCCCGCTGCGTTGCCATCGCTCAATTCCATCGCGAAGTTCGGTCGACATGTCGCGACGAGGTGGCTCGCTTGCATGACTCGAGCTGCGATGATCCATGAGGGGTCGGTCGGACGCATCCATGTTGTTCGAGGAGGCTGGATCCGAGGGGTGACCGTAGTACTCCAAGGACATGGGATCCACAGGTGGACCCGGCTGCCTTCGTGCACTGATATCGGACGTCTTGCGTCGGGGGCGCGTTTCGTCGACGTGAGGAGCGCTGATCGGTTTGGGAGCGGCATACACTGTATTCAAACGACCTGACCGGTTTGACAGGGCGCTGCCATCCGTGGGAGATTGATGCTGCAAAAACATTGAGCTTGCGCTTGCTGGGCTGGGGCCAGATCCTGGTGGGATCGCGACGGGATGGCTATAATGAGAAAAGTCGTTGGGGTGGGCAAAGGTCTGGAAGGGGGCACCTTGTGGGTCGATGACGGCAGGATGGCTGTGTCTGTGTTTTGAATATCCAGGCGCAGACGGACCGGAGTTGACAAAGCCTCGGTCATAGACATCATTGTTGGCAGAACCAGTCTCTGAGTAGCGTCTGGATGCTGCAGAAGAGGAGGAGACCATTCTGGGCAATGGTGGATGTGGGCCTTTGTGAGGTGGTGATGCCATCATGGAAGATGGAGGGACCGAGGACGCGGCCGACATAGGCGTGACTGGAACGGGTAGCGGCGCGGCGAGATTGGTGGGATTGGCAAAGGAGCGAAAGACAGCTTTTGCTTTGGGCTTACCATTGGAGGACATATCGACATCGGCATCTTCTTCCTTGTGAATGGCATCCGAAGAGCCACGGTCGTCTTCGGACTTTTTGCGTTTCGGAGGTGAGGGTCTGTCTTCTTCGTCGATGCCGTCCATCGACTTGCGGGATGCAGCTTTGGAGCTCTTTTTGGAGGCGATTGTTCTTGCGTTAGCGCTAGGAGGACCACAGTGAGCAAAGCGTGCAGCTCTGAGTGCGGGCGCGAGGTCGTCGACTCGGAAGAGACACTGCTTGCCGGATGCGAGGCAGTTCTGACAGACGGGAGCGTCAGGCGAGAGAAGGCAGCGCACCTTTTTGGCACGACATGCCTCGCAGGCGCTGACGGGGCGCGTCCTCTTCTTTGGTTCTGATCCCGAAGTGGATGCATCCGACTTTCTGCGATGTAGCTTGGAGGAAGCTTTCTCTTGTGCTGGTGTGGAGGGACCGGCGGACGCGACGGAGGCCAGCGTCTCGGCAGCAGCCATCATGGCGGACGAGGTCATGTTGCAAGACGCAAGCGAGGTATCGAGAATGGGTATCTGTGTCGTCCGGGAAGGGCAGCGAATTGCAGAGGGTATGGCTAGAGAAGGCTCACAGGGTCATGGCTGGCTGGTGCGAGAGTGTGGACCAATGAGGCGAGTGGAGCTCTTGTTGGATCCAAGGAGCTGACCGAAAGCAAGCGGTGTCTCTGAGAGGCCGGGATGGAGAGGCTTAAGAAGATGAAGTGTTGCCAGGAACGCGGGTCAAGCGGTAGACGCCGCCTTGGAAGAGGTGGGCGGTTGACGAGCTGAGAATGGTTGCGAAGGATCGCTTCAGACTGACATGGACCGAAACAGCTCCGTTGCTACGGGTGTCAATGTACGAGTGGCTGGGCAGGAGAGATCAAAGGAATCGTTCTGCCAAGGAGAGCGAGCTGGTGTACTGGCGGAAATGGCTGAGCCGGCGCTGAAGGTGCGAGTCGGGCTGGAGCGAGAGTGATGCGAGTGAGTGAGCTTGTAATGCTTGGTTGTGGTGGCGTGAGAAAGTGCCTTTTGAGGTTGGTGATGATGATGGTTAGGTGTGCGTGTGGTGGAAGGAGAAGGCCGTCGACGAGTCAGGGCGACAAGAAGGTGTGACGTTTCGAGCAACGTCGCGGGTAAGTTAACCAAGCGCCCAATGGCGGAAAAGGTGGGGGACCACAACCGGCTGGCTGGCTGGCTTGCAACGCGGCGGCGAGGGCGGCGGTACAGCTTTGTTGCGCATTTTTTTTGCCGCAGGGTCCGGCTTAAGCCAGAAAGGCCAGAAAGCCGTGCGCAGTCAGAGAGTCGCGTTCCAGGCAGGAAACGGCGCCAACTAGCCAATTCCGGTTTGGCTCTCCGCCCTTGCTCTCTCATGTCTTGATTGTTCAGTCGTTCCTGCAGAGCGTCCGCTGTCAGCCTACCTTTGGAGCACATCCGAAGCATGACTCAAAGCCTCCCACGCCCACTTTCCAAGCTGGCGGACTGATCGCTCCACAGCCCACTTGACGCGGCTAAGCCGAAGAGACGGTGTGGCGAGTGCACAGCAGCGCGCCAAATTTATATATAATATAAAATTAAGGCCAAGAAGAAGAAACAACAAAGCGAGAGCAAGTCGAGCGTTATGGTTGGTCACCG